GCACGGCTTGTGTTCTTTGGTGAAGGTGGAGCTGAAGCTAAGGGCGTACTGGAATGATTGTTCATGGAAGTAGCCATCCAGCTTGACCGTTTCTTTGATGTTGGCGGGCTTTCATCTGAAGGAGTGACTGGTCTGGCAGCAATTTCATTCGCGAGTGCATCCAGGTCTACTAACGGCTTGAACGAACCAAGCTGATATGGAGTAGATTCCATAGAGTACCGGTTCGTATTAGGTTGGGATGCTCTGTTTGCATTCGAATGGGTTTCAGGTTTGCCGTTCGAGCTACCTTCGCCCATGACACTCACAAGATACCAACTGCGCCATTGTTGCACAGCATTATACCACTGACAACCGGTGTCCGAGCCACTCATAGAAAAGTAGTGAGCGAAATTGTCGCTCGTAAGGAACATGCTTGCCTTTTGCTGACTTTTGATTACGAAGCACAGCTTCTTGGGCGGCTTTATCCGCCGATAATCCCGCTTTTGAGGGCAGTAAATATCGAAATCGGACATGTGGCATATATTCATTGACTCTCCGCCCGGTTTCTTCGCCATGAGAATTTGTCCATCAGACCGGATGGTGATATACCGCTTGTCCCATTTTCCCTGGCGTTGGGAGTGGTAAATGTGGAATGTCGCATCTTTTGGTGGCTTTCGAGGTGCAGTTCGAACGTCGAGGCCTTCGCTCACGTCTTCGCTTGGAGCCGTAACGACTTCTAGGTGATTCTGCGTGTCATCATCCCAGGAGTTCAGAACTTCCCGGACATGTTCGTATCTTCTCAATGGTCGTTCTATACCGAGCTGCTTGAAAGTCTCCATCAGAATCGCAGCTTTTGGGTCGATCTGTTCGCTCAGACAATTTGCGGCGGAGTACAAAAGGTCCTGAACTTTGGTAGTCGGGGTAATTGGGAGATTTATGAAGGAGTCATTGCAGACGATCAACACTTTACGTTCTCCCGCATTGACCGCAGAAACCGGCGTGTCATCGGGGAATCCGCTCTGGAGATCCTTCGGATCAATCAATTTGGGCGATGATATTAAGTTCTTCAAATCCTCCCTGGCCTCCCGTTGGGCCTTTGAAGATCCATTCGTGTCAATGCCTTTGATGCGGGACAAAAGGCCGCCTTTTTCCTTCACAAGCTTCTTGCCTGAACTCGGTCTGTTATGCACCGCTGCTGCTCTTTCATTTGCAAGGAGCTCTTCGCGAGTATTTCTCTGAAGGTCTACTGGTGGTATTTCGCTGTCCTGTCTTTGTTCATGTTGCAAAGGAGATGTCGGGACATGAATATTTTCAGGCCTTCCACGAGTCCGCTTGGAATCCGCCTCATCTTCACCCCCGCTGGAGTACATGTCTCTTGAATATGACGGACGGGTCGCTCCTGCAGACATTGGGGGAGACGATTCCTCATTCTCGCGACGTCGATCCAGGGATCTCCTCCCTAAAATTCGCGAGAAATTTCCAATCTTTGGGCTCGATGGCTGTGAGAGAGCCTGCCTCGGCGCATCGTAGAAAGATGTAGCCGTGAATCCATGTCCTTGGTCTGGAGAATGCGCTTGAGACTGCGAGGCCTCCTGGCTCATCCTGGTATTATCGATCCAGTTCTCTATGTCCGCAAATTGTCGATTTTGCAATAGCGGGCCCGGTGGAGGCGGCGGAGGGATTGAAGTAACGATCCTGGTAGGCTTCGCATGTCGATAGCGAGACATGCTCCGCTTGATCGATTCATTTTGAGAGTTCGCAATTGAACAATTGCTTGACGGATTGGCAGGCAGAGGAGGAGGCGCACTCGAACCGGAACGCTGCACGCCCGGAGCTGCAGCTCTTCTCACCGATCGATACCGGGAAAATTTCGCTGGCTGCTGCGCTTGGACCAGTGATGAAGCACCGCAGTTCTGATCCATAACAGCGACATCTGCATGCGCCAAAGGCTTTCGCATATGTGGTCCAGGTATTCCAACGTCGCTATCGTCGCACGTAACAGTGATCGCATGCAAACCAGTTTCCAAAGTTTTCTGCTGGCGGTGGATCGTAGAGGGTTTGCCCGGTCGCTCTGGATTTCTCTCGGGGAGACTGCCAATGAGATGTGGCAAGAACCGGTAAACGAGAACCGGCGAGCTGTCTGGTAACTTGGCAGGTAGATGTCAACAGGAAACGGTCAAACTCAATTCGAAATTGAAATAGTGGTAAGCTGTCAGACCAGGCCATGGAATGGACTCTGAAGAGGTCAATTCCAGCATTCATATGTGCTCAGCTCTTTTGAAACCCCCTCCGCGCAAGTGAATTCGCTCTTGGGGAGGCAAATAAAGAGGGTTGGGGGGAGCAAAAAAAAAAAAAAAAAAAGGAGAGAACATGCGCTAGCTAGCTAACTCACTATTTATTTAATTAATGCAGGCTTGTCAACCTAGCCCTTTGAACGAGAGACAAAACAAGGCATTCCCATGATCTCACCACGCAAACTTATTGAAATGGCGCGTCGTCACTTGGATGTGATGTCACAAACTCTACCCTAAGTATCGCAAGGCCTGACACTCTTTGAAGCAGGGGAACAGAGGATTGAGCCAGAGTGAAAGCAGAGACCAGCATTTGATTGACCTTCTGTGTCTTGTTTAGGGGAAGGGAAATGGGGATGGGGATGAAGTAACTTTAATGACCGGAGAGGGTGCAGTTAATTACTCCCCACTAAGGGCTGAGGAGGTCAGGGATTTTTTTACCTAGTTACATCGAGACTGGCTGGATTTTAAAATGAGGCCCATCTTGGACCCATCCACTCGATCAATGCAAAAGCTGTGAAAGAGCAGCAAATGATCTTGATATGCCAGGTTTTCAATCTCTCCTCCACACATCCACTCGATGATGATCATCATTTATGGTGTGTGACATTGGATGATAGGTATTTGTAACACCCTTCCAAGATGCACCATCTTCCGGAGTTGCTTGAGCTTTGTTGACTCTTTGCTGTTATTGGCTAATTTCTTTGAGTTTCAGTTGTTGCTGGACAGTACAGAGTACAGATGCTCGAAGTATTTCCCTTTGGACTATTATGTATTTCTGTTTCAAAGAGAATTGTAGTTATCCCGTACCCTGTACTCCGTACATCTCCATGAAAGAATAAAGCAACTCCCCTTCGCCCCAAACAAAAGGGGGTGCTGCTGAGCCTGATAATTTTCTGCCTGCAGAAAGCATGTCAAAGAGTGGGGTGGCAAACATGGTCTGTACATATGTGTTGTGGACAGCTTGCATGTGGGGACATACATTCATGTACAGAGTATGTATGCACGTCCTGCTTATCAGGTCTGGGCACTTGCTGCGATGATCATGTCCCGGTGCTGCGGTGGCCACCGTTGCCGCACATTGTCCCGATTCCTATTACCATGTCCGGACTTCGCGGGTAGAGTTTTGGTTATTGGGCGGGGCAAAGAAGATGACGATGTCAGCGGGAAGTACAAGGCAAGGGGAATTCACCGAACTATGGGCATACAAGAGCCGCATTCACAGCGGCCGAAGGACCTGATCACCTTGCTAGCGCAGTGGCGTCGTCAATCGACGAACTGAGTTATCGAATTGCCTGTCTTGGAGAAATCTCCTGCTGGAGAGCAAAGTATAACGTGTCCGTAGGTAAACACTCCGCACGGAGTGCTCCACAGCGAATTCGCATTTGCCTCCCCTGCAGCTGGTGGCCAAGTGTTCTTACACACCTGGTTCCCGCTCAGAACCCAATGCGTAGTTAAGGATATCCTTCAATGGATAGCATGCTCACTCCTTGTCACGGTACCCATATCGTGGTCAACTGGGTCCTCTCCTGGTGGATTCCGGTGAAAATCGCGGCAGGCTCTTCTGCCAGACATTATTCACGCTGGTGGCTGACGTAGCTCCTTGATCAATTTCATCGCTTTACTTAGTCATATAAGAGCCCATCTCTCTCATCTTCCTCGATCACGCCCCGAAACTGGCCACAGATCAAGCCTGGCAGGCGCTCCTCTTAACCAATGCCGATAACCAGTGTGATGTCAAGGCAAAGTAATGCGCACAGCAAGCCCATCGACGCCAAGATGGGGCAGCTAAAATAATGAAAGCAATAGAAATAATACTGGTACATGTATTTCTGTGGAGGAAACAGTGATTTGATTGCCTTGACATTGATCTATATATCTTTCTATACCGGTACAAGAACGTCTATTCTCTGTCTTTGTGGTTTCTGTATACTAGGTAAATCCTAACAGTCAGAATATTAGGTAGTCTTCATAGTCCTGGACTGCATAATATTATAATGAACAATAATAACAAGCATAACTAAAAGGGCTAGAGTTGAGTTGGAGAGGCGGAAGATGAGTTGATGCGTGAAGGTTGCGTTCCAATTTCGGGGACGAATCCATCCAAGTTCCACTAGTCCCAACCTGGAAAGGCCCGTCGGGTTGAGGCTTGGCATAATGGGGATCACGGGATCGCCCCGTCTCAGCTCGCCAGGCTGGACGACCACTTTTTCTTGCAGAACACTCACCAGGGCTCAATCGAACTTGCTACCATTAGTTATCGCAGCCATTCTTGAAAACTAGGCCAAATTCTTGTGTTGAAGATACATGCAGCTAGTACAGGGTATACGGAGTACAGTCACTTCAATGTAAGCCGTCATAATCTATAACGCGGCCGGTAACCGCAAGAACCAATCTGCATCTCCCGTCCAATTTGCTCCTTTGCTCATTTTCTTGGATGTCTCCGGTTTCATTGGCGTTAAACGGAGCAGCAACCATTGACTCTCGGGTGGCTAAATTCTAAGTTCACAAAGAAGTTAAAGGCTGATCCCAATTTCAATTTCCAAAGCACACTTGTCCTCCAGCGCGTATTAACGGGTGCTTTCGCGAGATGCACTTTATCTTGCGATCCTGCCCTTCTATAAAGAACAGGAGCCGACGGAGCCGGATGTAATGGGTTTTAATGCCGATAGGCACGGAGTTCTCGTCTCCTGCAAAAGGCGTCAGAATCCAGAGGTCGAAACAACATCGTTATTGGACAAACTCCACAATAATTGCTACATACCACCAACTCACAAAGTCCTGGGTATCAACTGGTATACCCAGCTCCTTCAGCGCTTTAGTGGATAGATGTGTGTCGAATGGGCGTTGCACACCATTGCCAGGCGTACCACCTTGCTTTATCCTCTCCATTCCCGACAACGGCAATCCAAGGATTTCAGCGAATCTCTCGCACATTTCGTATTTAGTCACCTTGTCCTCCGACGAGAATTGAAGGATCGTTGGAAATGAGGCAGCTCTCTCCTGCTCGCCGAGATATTTAACTGCAATATCGTGGCATACTCTTCCTACATCCTCTGTGTTGGTAGGGTATCTCTGTCCCCAATCATCCATCTTTACTTTGGCATCGGCGGCTTGTGCCTTCCATACCGCGTCGATTAAAACGTTTACCGCGCTTTCACTGTTGGTATCAGCAGAACCGTAGAGAACGGGTACTCGTAGGACCACTCCCTTTCCCGAACCCTGAGTGGTTTCAATAACCGCGATCTCCCCGTCAAGCTTGGTTTGGCCGTAGATATTCGGGGGCTCGGTCTGCGATGAGGTCTCATACGGTGCTTCCCCAGGACGACCAGGGAAAACGTAGTCCGTAGAAATGTAGATGAGAAGAATGGATCTTTGTAAGGTTGCTTTCGCGAGGGCTTTGGTGGCTTCGACATTCACCTTACGGGCAAGATCAGGGTGGGCATCGCACTGATCTGGAAATCGGTTGGCGGCGCCTGGTTACATCGTGTCTCAATACTCGAAATCATGGATGAATTGCGCCCGGCTTCGGACACGAATAAAACCATTGAGATGAACAACGACGACTCACAGTGTACGACAACTTGCGGTCTGATATCGACCCACGCCGAGATCATAAATCAGCCTTCTCGAACGTCCAGAAAACCTTCTGATTTGCCCACGCAAGAAAAACATCCAATCCGGCAAAAAGCATTTTCGGGCACGTTTCACCAGAGTCCACTTACTTCACCTCGGCTAGTAAACTCTCAATTTCGGAGGGGTTGGTCAGGTCCGCCTTGACAATGTGTGGAGGGGCAGCTCTTGTGAAGCCTTGGCCAACCGCTTCCCAATTGACGTCCTTCTTGAAAGCATTGAGTACCTGGCGCCCGAGAAGGCCGCTGGCGCCTGTTACAAGGGCTTTTTGGGTCATCTTTGGCCAATTTACTGCTCTTGATGATTTGAAGAAATCGAAACACCTTGTGCGGGGATCGAGAGGGTTCTACTTCTTACGTCATATGAACTTCAACCCGGGAATCCCCCTGCAAGATAGTTCTTCAATTCTGCGTACTATATGCCATCGCCATGTGGACCGAATGTGCAGCATGTGAACGAAAAAGCATTGCCACTGTGCTAAGTGTTTGTAGAGTTTTGTCATATAATATCCCAGAGCAAGAGGAAAACTGTCCATTTTGCTCGGTTCCTACGGCCGCCTTAGCCTCCTGCACTGCTCACGGTACAACCGCGTCCGTTCTCGATGAAGTTCTTGCGCTATACCATCAATCAAGTCTTTGTCCTGTGCTCGCTGGATCTCCATCACTTGAATCACAGAATAAGCCTCGCGCTCTCCCCACGTAGTTCGGAGTACACCCCACCCATCAAGTCTTGCCCGGTCCCACATTACATATCCCCATTTGCGAAGTGGAATAGGGCGCTCATTACTCACGAGGGGCCGGTAGGCCCTTGATCGCCTTGCCCAGTCCCAGACGTCAATCGGGCCAGTGTCCAGGTCTGACGTGTGTGGAAATGCCCTCTTCACCTCCGCTATGTTAGAGGATTCTGTGGTAAAATACTGCCGCGCCGCGATGTCAATTAGGCTATGTTCGAGGAACCATAGCTGGGTCGAGCGGAGTGGACGGTCGTAGTCTTCAGTGGTAATAATTAGAGGGTTGCTGAGCAGTGTGTGGAGGTAGCTCAGCCCCTGAGATAAATGGTATGCAATACAACCATGATAGATCCCTTCCTGCACTAGGGATAAAAACTCGCACCAGCGAGGAATAGACGGTAGAGCTGCACGGAAAACTATAACTGATTAGCCTTATCAAAAGGTTACTTTGATAGTGGAAGTCATTAGTACCATTTTTCACTCTCTCCAGTAAATAATCGTGAACACAGGCAAGTTGCTCGTTTTCCCAAGGGGGAAACATCTTGTGAAAGATTTCTTTTTGGTCAGGAAGATGGCCGGCAAAAGGGTCCTGATCAGTTCCTCCTTTGAACAGCTTGCAGTATATTTCAAATCGATAGAATGCGATCTCGATGCGGTTGACTTCGCTTGACGACAATGCCCAAGATCCTTGTTCCTGGTTTGCTGGTCCAAATGGCGTGCTGAACATAGCAGAGACGAAGTCATCCACAAAGTGCTGAACGAGATTGTAGAACCCGGCTATAGGCAGTGCTTCCGAGAGCCTGGATGGCTTGGGGACAAGCATGGGATTCGATTTTGACAAAAGTCTTCTTATGAAAGCCTCAGCGGTTTCTGGCGTCCAAGGGACGGTATACTTGGCTGCTTCGTGGGCGACAAGGGCATAGTGTAGTAACTCAGGATTCAGCTGAGAGGTAAGAACCTGGGGAGTAATCAATTTTTCAGCGCCCATAAATGCTTGGTACATTGACCAGCAACACAATGCTGCGGACCTCAGCGACATCACATCTGGAATAGCAGCCAGTATGAGTTGTTTAAGCTCTGTCGGGAGGCATTCCAGGCGTGATTTGTGAATTATCTTCTCGGGGTCCATTTTATAAGTAAATAGATCTGAAGATAGGAGTACAAACGAAAGCGGGGAGGATTGGGATGAGGGGGCAGGAGGGCAAAAGCTTGTGAATGATGAGAAGTTTGAGAGTGCGAGGCGAGTTGTTTAAGCAATACTAGGTATCTATCTCAGCAAGGCCAAGGTAAACTGTTCACGGTAGTTACCTAGCGTTGAGTCTCAGACAAGCCAAGCCCATACATCTAGCAGTCCCCAGACACATGAAAATATTAACAAAGACAGAGAATGAAAAGCAAAAGAGCAATATAACTCTGATGCTCCTCAACGTTGTCCAAAGGCACAGTAGTGGTGGTTTTATCCCATAGAAACAATCCGGGTAGTCAGGTCAAGGGCTGTGAGGTAAGAAGAAATGTTTTGTGTAGCTTCATTTGGTTTCTATGAGGTTTACTCTCCTCAAAGGTCACCTAGTTTCATTGTAAAAGGTGGCATCTTATGGAAAGATAGCTCTGGGATGGATTGAATGAAAAGAGAAGCCTCTTAGGCGCGCTTTCATATAAGAATTTGAGGCATGCTTGTTCCCGGGCCGGAGTTGACACTAGCAATCATTATCAACTCTGAAAGCAACGGGACAAGTTCCTCATAGTCGAGAAAGGAATTCCTCAATATTTATATCCTAAATACAAAGACGGAAGTTACAGGCACGATGTCTCGGTCCGAGACGGTTGAAGACGCCGATTGCCGTTGAGTTAAGCCGTAGCTAGTGATTTCGCGAGATAGATAGCTGATTGGTATAGTCCGTAGTATGGAATTCAACGTCTGGAGACGTCGTCAGCCAGGGACCACGGGGCGAAGATCTGCGGTGGCAGACCAAGCGATGGCCAGGCAAGGCGGACCAACAGGGTTAGAGGCTAACCGAAATGGGCTAGTGTATTGTTGCCTCTTGGCAGAACTCAAGGGCGGTTTTGGCGGTTGAGCCCATTTGTGCAGCGATATCAACATGAAGCCGCCGCTGGGTGTTGCTGCGTTAATGATCGGATTCGTCTCATATCAAAACAATGCTAGTTAGATGTATGTACATTAGTAAACAGCGCATCATATCTTCTTCCTTCTCTCCCCAATTTATTTTCCTTTTTTTTTTTTTTTTTCAACTAACATAGACCTTGGCAGGACGTTCTATCACATCGCGTCGATATCGCCGTGTCGATACCGGTCTTTCTGTTTCGACGTAGGAGGATGAGCGTCTTCGATGTCTGGAAGGGTGATCATATCGACCGGTTCTATACGTGACTGTCTCTGAAGTATTCGTGGAATCGAAAGCAAGTTTCAGTAGCCAGTAGAGGAGGAAAAAGCCGGCTATGCTACCAATGACAATTCCAGCAATCGCACCGCCGCTCAAGCAGTCACAGCCATTATCATTATCTGGCGAAGGTGCCTCCTGTCGTGCTTTGAGAAAGTACGATGGAAGCTTCTAAACGACTTTGAAGTTAGCAAATCACTTCAACAAAATATCACACGGCGTTGCGCAGATTGGTACAATGCGGGTGTGGCTTGCATTCTCCTGGTGAAGCGTGCAAAACTGGTAGGCTGTGGGGGCCGAGAACGCAACGAACCATTTCTGTCTGAAAAGTGTGTGGTTAAGCTTGGATACTTCCGTGGAACACCAGCGGGAAATACGGATAATCGTGCACGGCCAAGTTCGAGGTTGTATGTATGTTCTGTACATACATACAAGTAGTTTTAAGATGCTGCTATAGACCCTTTTGTAGAAATGTTTTAGTTGCCGAAACAAACGGTCTCAACAACGCGATGATGTACAAAATTGGGAACAGGAAAGTCCTGGAAGACTTTCAAAACTGCATTGCAACCCGCTCCTATGAGAACATTCATAAATAATTGCCCACTAACGGTCTGGCAGATCCTGCCATGATGTCAGTGCCCAGGACATATTCAACGGATCCGGCCATGAGAGACAATGGCCTAGTGTGCGAAGTACCAGCCAATGGATTTACTCTTCCTTTTTTTGCTTTTTCACCCATGGCGAAAGAGAGTCTGCGGGCTTAGATCCCACATACTTCTTGTAAAAGACCGTTCTATGAAAATCAATCTCCAAGAAGAGCTCCGCCCCTGATAGATATCCAAGTTCTGCTCGCCTAGCGACGTCATCAACGACGATCCCTCGGCGGCAGCCATTCGGACACGTGATTCAGGCTTAAGGTTTGCTCCGTTTGCTCCTTTAATAGGGGGTTAGTGGGCTACGGATGGGAAGAAAAAGGATCGTTCTCGGATGAACCAAGAAAGAGATTTAATTGTATCAAACCTTTGTTACAATATAAGTTGCGTAGTGCTAGGGATGAAGAAGGAAATCGCGCTGCAATATTGAGAGCTACTCAACTCCAGGCTATGTCGCGGAGCAAACATAAGACGAAATATGGAACAAACCCTGAACGCCTCGCTTTAATTCACTTGCTCAGGTATAGTATACACGAAAGCAGCAACCAAACACATAGAAACAAAACTAAACAGGTATATCCTGCCAATCAATTAGGAGCTTCGCTCTTCGTGATGAATGGGTAGCCTTGCATTTGTATTGGCTTGTGGCGATCTTGCACCCAGAGTCCACGGACTGCCGGACGGGCCCTGTTGCCATCCAGTACTTGTACCATAACCATCCCTCGAAGCCCTGCTTGCACAACGAGCAGCACCAGCCATGGCGCTAATAGTCGATCCGCGGCGCCTCACTCGCATTGTAGCGTCTCGTAGTTCCTTCTCATGCAAAGCTTCCGAGGGAAGAAGAATAGCACGATCGAGCTGATAGGGCAAGCCACGATGCCTGCCTCTGATCATCATGGCGATTATTACGAGTTTCGATATCACTTTGAACTGAGCGGACAGCGAGGTGTTGGTACCAGGGTATCCCTGGGATAAGCCGACCGTTCCATAGGCGGAAACGACTTCAAACAAAATGCCGAACATGGTAAATTGAGGGTCATTGGCAACACGCGAGCCTTCGACAATGGAGATAATAAATAGGCCCAAGAATATGTACCAGATGTCGAAACCAAGCTGCCTTCGCAAATGTGCGGCGACGTAACTTGGATCTTTGTCCGAGATCAGTTCATCCTCCTCATCTCCATAGTAAATTCCCAAGCTCTTTTCCTCGTAGACGTTCGTTTTGCGTAGGGATATCGCGATTGGATAAATTGATATATACATCATGATCATATACGATACCTGCACCCCCGGATGCAGCTCCGAAAGACTTATTATGGATAAGCCAGCCGTTCTAGTGGCCGCGGCTTGGAACAAACCGTCCACGAACCGTAGTCCACCTGGTATTGAGGTCACGGCGGTATCATTTAACTGTACGTATCATTAAAAAGAGTCCCCAGCTTTGGCTGTCGGATTTGTTCGCGAGAAAACTTACATCTAAGATAATGAAGAGGACCAAGTCAATCACGTTCAATACCACGAGAACCCAAAACAGCCACCAGGTAGCCGAGCTGGGGAATAGAAGCGTAAAGCATCGGCGTGGATGATCCAAAAGGAAGTGAAACTCTTCCCAAACCGCGGTACGTTTCGGGAAAATCTTCCAGAAACACCAAATAATGAAACGAAGCATGCAAGGGAATCCAGTGTTCCCAATAATGATGAGAAATGTCATCAGAAGCAAGGGGAATATAGCATCGTAAAAAGAGGCCAATGAATTAGGCGTGAGCGAAAAGCCTTGGTTGTTGAATGCGGAGCCTGCAATGAAAACGGCCCACCAAGGTCGACCAACGGCGGCGCGTATAGGAAATATTCCCCATCGGGTATGCAGAATCCAGGGTACCAAAGATATAATTCCCAGCACATGGAAAAAAACGAAATACGCGATTAGAACGTAGGCGAGAGCTTTCAGGGCTCTATATTCAATGCCACCAAGTTCGTTTTTCTGCTCCTCTGTCAGATCCACAAACGCGGAATTTCTCCCAAGCGTGGGCTGCCAGCTCAGGTAGGGGGCTTCTCTGGCTTCGTCTTTGGTACCAAAGAATAAAATGGACGCAAGCGTTCCTCTCCTCTGCTTTCTTCGATGGTGGAGAGCGGGCTCTCCGACGTCAGCAGTTTCGCCGTCAGCAAGGACGCGGGAGCTAGTACGGGGGAACGTCGTTGCTCGGCGCGAGCGTGCAATGTTGGGCTCATCAATGGTGATATGTTGGCCTCGAGATTGCTGCTGCTTTAGAGGAGAAATTTCCGGTTCCTGGTCTGATTGCACAGTTCTACTCCGTGATGGCTCGTCGCCAAAATCGTCAATAGTCTCGGGCACTCCACCTCTATCGAACTCGCGGGGACTGGGAATTCTAAGGGCTTGAGTTGGCCTTCTTTGGTTCTCGATAAAGGTAATGTAGTGATCAGGGCCATGCTCCATTGGAGACCTTATGTGGCTATCTGTAGAGATGCCAGCAGGCACTTCCGTTGTCTTGGACCTATCACTGTCATTCTCGGGTCCCATTTGGGCGTCGCCTCCATTTGACGCTCCCGAGCTATCAGCAATCGAATTCGCCTCCTGGCTCTTGCTTTTTGGTTCAATGAAATGTCCGAGTGCCTGCCCTTCATTATCCCGCAACACCGTTATCTTCCGGCCGCGTACACCCATCTCTAGCCTATTCATGTCACTGCTAGCACTGCTAGCACTGCCAGCACTAGGAGCTCTAGACCTTGTGCGTGTGCGCGTTCGTCTCATCATTTTTGCCTCTTGCACGACGTGTTGAAACCGCTTTTCGAACCACCGCAAACGGATAAAAACGACCGACGAGTGGATGACAATCGGATTCGCAATCATTGACCCTAGCCATAGCCCGACTTGTTGGTATGTTGAAAGGCGGTCCAGGTCGATCGTGTTCAGGCCGCTCTGGGTGGCGGAGCCGGCTGCCAGGAAGAGCGCATCGGTATAAGCCAGGTTTCCGCCTGGATAGAGATATACGGACCCGATGATTGTAACCCCAATTATGTAGGCGTAATGGATGAAGATGAAGTTGAACTTCAGCGTGTTGATCCATGGGATTTTGCTTTTCAAATAGGCAAGCTTTCTGGAAAGCCGTGATGCGAATCGAGATATAGACATCGCGGCTTTTGCGGGTCTCGACATTCCTACCCGAGTTGACGCTTTATGGCGCAGAGGCTAGCCTGCGGAGCCGAGTAATGGAGCTGTAGCTGATCCGTAGAGTGGTATCCATAGAAGATGACAGAGATAGAAACTGTAAGAACGTTTGGAGCGCCACAGGTCACATCTTCTCCCGTTAGGGATCCCCGTATTCAGAGCCACGTTTCTCTCGTTGCGTGGAGCCGCTGTCTGAAGGGAGATCAACGAAAGGATAGAACCAAAAGCTGGGCATGGCACGCATTATGTGAAACCCAGAGAAAGACTAGCGAGTCTGATAGATATGCATAGTGTCGGAATGTGAGCTGGTCCCAACATCGAGAGAAGATCGATATCAGCGCAAGGTTTTGGCATTGCCCACCGGCGGAAAGTGGCTGCAAGTGGAAGTGTGAGTGTCCATTGCACGAAAGCTTGTCCATGGCGGCGCTTCAGCGGGTGAGACCGCCAGGCTTTCCACCGCCACTAGCCGTTCACAGGATGCTCTGTTGTGTGGAAATAGCTGTTGCAATCAAGGTTGTGCTGTTTCCATGGTTGCTGTTGAGATCAGGATTGATCTTGCTTTCGCTCTGGGCCCGGCATGTGAGAAATTGGCTTTTGCGCCCCTTGGCCGCGTGGTCCAGAGTGGCGACAACGACTAAGTTTGCTTGTTGCGGCGAAGCTACCGTAGCTCTGCGTTCATCAGAGAGAGGTGTTATCTGCTCAAAATGTAGCTGGAGCACGTAACTATCCACTATACAGAGCTGTACTCTGTACTCTGTACTCTGTACTGTGTTGTTGAAATACATATCTATCAATGATGTAGCTTGTTGTGTTGTTAACCACCCTGTACGGAGTTACTTTGCTACAAGTGATCCCTGCAGCAACCCCTGAATCCGCCGAAGGTGCTTAAGAAATGATTTACCCTCTGACATTGAATTTGTTTAGCATTCTAGAAGAATATCCTGTTCTTCTCCTTTTTTCCGCCAAAGGTCAAGCTTGGCTTTCTTGATGATGACACAACACCACCAATAGTTAGATAAATGCTGTTAATTTACGCCGCTGCATCATTGTGCCTCGTTGCAGGATTGCATTCACTGGTTGGCCACGTGTGAGTTCTGCAGCCACGACGCCCATTGACTAAACCGCAAACCTCATTGCGCCGCCATCAAGAAGAGTGATAGTCTTGAGATCTTCATCCCCAGCCAAGACAACCAGCTTAAGATGTAGGAATGAATGATTTGTTGTTGCACTTTATGATGATGATGCCTGGAACACAGTCGTGTAGAGGCTGCATAGCGTTGTGAAGAGAGAGCCGGAAGGTTGTAATGCAAGACTGAAAGCATATGGAGTCAATAGTCCAAGACAACCTTGTCCGACACCACCAGTAAGAATATCATCCTCGCTCATTTCGATGCCTGGATGGAATGTAAAGAAGCGCTCGCAGAGCAACCGGACCCTGACATCGCTCTCGGTTCGCGAAATGGCCTCAAGTATGCCATGCACTGCAGGACTGCCCGCTACACGTTTTCAACCCATGTCAATGCTGAATCCCAGCCTGATCGATTATTCGGATGAAGATGCCTACTATGATAATTATGATGTAGGTCGGTACATCAATCTGCTGGGCCTGGGCTGGGAATTACCAGACAGGCACAATTATGACCATGGAGAATACAGAGTTGACCAATGATAAGTAGTTCAACCAAACGGATAAAGGAGGGGAGAGGGTTCGGAGTTGCAAAATGCCTAATGTAGGATTTTTTTACGGTTTGATTCTGGGTTGTATTCAAGCGGGCGCCATCAACCAGGAGGGTTTAACATCTCCGTGTAGATATAGATTTTTGAGTAACATGTTTTATGCAAACATTGGCCTCTTTACAGGCTGAAAAAGGAGTGTAATGGCAAAAGAACTTCAGGATTTATGAGTGAAACGAACGCGCAAATGACGGCTTGAAATCAGAAACGCGATCTTTCCGATTTGCAACCCATTTAACATAAGCAATTTGGTGGAGAGAAGCCAGAACACCAGGCCAATACTAAACAATAGTCTTTCCACTTGAATCATAACGGCATGAAACGGAAGGACGATAAACCGCGCATATCATTCAGAAAGATTCATCGCAGGAAAGGAAGTATTAAAATAGGATAGAATTAAAAGGAAAGAGATGCAAGCAGCTAAGGTATGTCTCGAAGGTACAGTTTACCAACACTCTCATCGTAGACACGAGGAAAAAGAAAAGAAATGTATGGGATATCACAAACTCAACTTTAGGTCCCCATTTTTCTTCGACACATTCTATTATTCGAGTAACTGTGCTGCTTCTATAAATCCAGCTTTCCGCGGTTCAAGCAAGCCCAGGGCGTGCCAAGGTGTGGTCTGATTTACTGAACCTGGCTGACAATCTCACTTGCTTTAGTCAAACTCTCAACCATTTGCTGACATTCTTTCCGGCGTCGGATAGTGTATTCGCTTTCGCGGAGTAAGTCGTCGATCTCTTCGGCCTTGTATATACTTCCAAGTAATTCTCGCTGTATCTCATCCTTGGTGAACCTGAAATGGTGTCAGACGGTTCGAGCGCAGATTGGGGAGGAAATTACTCACTGCACAAGATTGAGCATAATGGCTTTGGGGACCATGTCTATCATTGTCCGTTTTACAATATTGTAATAAGAATTTATGAGGAGTTCTGTCAGGACGTTAGATGAGTCAGGTACACATTAAGCTACAATGTACTTACTGATAACCTCAACTTCTGAATTTTCTCGTTCGGAGAGGGTGCCGGAAGCCTTCAAAGTTGGTGGTGGAGGCTCCATTGCAGCCATCTTCTTTTTGTTCTTTGAAGCGAAAAAGCTCCCGAAGAACCCAGAATTTTCGGGCTCCAGAGATGGGCTAGCGGAACGGGGCGGTTGATGGGAGATAGGAAGCGGCTTTCCGGTTTTTGGATCAACCTGCGTGGGTTTGCCAGCATTTTGTCGTTCCTGGATAATAGCCATGGCCTATTTATGCAATAATTAGTAATCAAGTTGCACAAGGGCTTGCACATTATATATCTTCACTTACCCTGTTACCGGTAATGAAGTCAGGATGTCCAGTGTTGACGTAGCACGACTCCATGGCCACAAGATCTCTGACAAGTTTATTGGTCGGATCCATAGCCTTTTTGAAGAATGCTATAACGACTGCATGGAATTTCTCCCTGAGCTGAGGATATCTCCGGAAAGGCTGCTTGTTCAACAATTGGCCAAGAATGCGAACGAGCTCATCAAAGACAAGCGACACACACTTTAAACTAGGTTCCTCTAGTCTTCGAATTTGCTGCTTCACAATCAGCTCAAAAGCTGTTGTCCCGACAAAAAGAGCGGGAGATGAACCGGAAGAGTTATACAGAATGGTGCGAATATCGATGTCCTTCACTTGATCAAACGGATCCACGGCCTTGACCCCGTTGGAATAAAGCTCGTGGAAGACGAAACTGATACGAGCTCCACCTGACAATTCCACGCTAGATAGTTCCTGGTTATTACCATCTAAAACGGTTCTGTACTCGTTGCTGAATTCGGTGATGATATTGAGGACGATGTTTGAAGTGTTACCAAGCATGGAATCGCCCAATTGGCTCAATTCCGAAGAGTATTTTTGCAAGGAGGACGCAATGCGGGCTTTGATGTCGGGAAGGGTTTGTTTAATGTGCATCATTAGAATCTAGCGAGGACGTGCAGCGGTTAGCAACTGACTAGCACCATCAAAATGAATTCTAGCCTCCATACCAAGTTTAATTTTTTGGCCAAATACGGGGTACCGCAGTACGAGGACTTGCTTCTGTATGCCTTGTGGTTTTCAAAGAAGTTTTTCTCGTGCTCAAGTGCATAGGAGATTGGTCGCTTATTCTCGATGTCTCGTTGACCTCTATTAACCACAGGGACGTAGCCTAACCGTAGCGGGATAATTCTGCCAGCAAGAATATCCACAACATCCGTTCCCAAATCCATAAGATCAACTTTGGTGAGAACGCCGATTGTCCGCTGGCCTTCAGGGTCCACCTCGCGAGCCAGTTTCAAACCGTCGGAGTTAGCCAAATCCTGGTTAGCAGCCGTTACGGCAAGAATAATCGCGTTCGGCTTGCTGATATGTTTTAAGACCATTTCTCTTATTTGCTTCTCAATATCTTTGGGTTGATCACCGACCGGCACTTTAGTAAGACCGGGCAAGTCAACCAAGGTCAGTGTCAGCACGTTGGGGGAGTAAATTCGTAAATTAATCGGCTGAGGAGAGATTCCTGCATTACGGCCGGTCTTCGCCTCGGTTTCTCGAACGATTTCCTCTCGGATTTTGTTGAAATCGTAGAATTTCTGACCTGGGATATGCAAGAACTCTCCATACTCGTCGAGATTCGACTCCTTATCGGTGGTCTCAATCTGCTTGTCCTCCTTGATCCCATTTGCCTGTGACTTGACAAGAGCGGGCTTATTGATCAATTGTAGCACTAGCGGTCGTCTGGTTACGATGCCGGATCCTCTGGGAAGACTGTATTCATGACCTCCGTTAGCCTAGCACCACCCCGTTGCGGGTTGGGCCATAGTTCTCCTTACAAATCTCTTCCGACAATATTCTCAAGGACGGAGCTCTTTCCACTTGACTGCGAGCCGACCACGACGATCTGCGGTAAATCTATCGGGTTTTGAACCTTTAGAATTCGTTGTTAGTAACCATCATCCCTTGCGACTTCGGGGGAGGGGGGGGGGCCGGCATACTCCGACTGTCGTAAACACATCCTGCAACTTATTGACAAGGGAAATAAGCGATGGGTCATTAACATTTATCCTGTTAGCGAATGCCGTCTATGGTTAGCTATGCACATGCTGGCGGGTAGGTACCTAAGGGGAGGAAAGACTTACGAATAGCCAGTTGGGGATGCCATGCCGGCGAAAACAAGAGAAAGGGTCGAGAGGATCAACCAGGGTGCTGGATATTGACAAAGGAGACCTTTAGAGATATGTAATCCAGGCGGGAAGAGTTGTATTGAATTGAGGGAATAGTGAGAGAGAGGCGTTGCTAGGTGAGAGCCAAATGGGTTGAATCCTCCAAGCCGCCGTCCCAAATAATGCCAGTTCACGTGCTTGGGCCGGATTTCCACCTGGACACAATTCACTATGGGGGTGGTGACGATGATGATGATGATGCAAGGGGCACGACAAGGATTTAGTTTTCAAATATTCTCGCCTGACTCCTCCGTACTCAAAACAAGAGTTTTATGAGGGAGAAAAAGGTTGCCTATTAATTTTTAATTAATCCTGCCTGGCTTCGCGCAATTTTGCTGCGACACGAAATTCACTTTTGGGCAGACACAGCTAGTCAGGTTGAAAAAAAAAATAAAAATGGTTGCCTTGAGCACCACGAGAATGAGCGGACGCATTTCGCTCCTCTATCTTAATATCTTCACATAGCTATTAGACTGCGAGAAATAGAGCCATTATGCTACAAAAATTCCAAAACTGAATGGCAGGTTTGAATTGAATTAGCCGAAATCCTACTCATCAGAAACCGAAGCAAACTTCTCCGACATATCTTGGAGGATTTTCTCGTACTAGAATAGGAGCGTAAGCACATATTCATGTAAAGAAATTAAAGAAGTATGGGTTTTACCTTCTGTGTGACTGCTTGCTCGTCGTCGGGAACCTCGAACTTCATGTTTCGGAGAGTAGTCTGGATGTCGGCGGTTGCCTCTCTGACTTTGGTCCAGCTCTGACCTTGTGCGATGGCTTTCTGGCTTTCATCGAAATACTGCATGAACGCTTTCATCATGTATTCGGTCTTCCAAAGAGGGCAGAACTGATCATAATCACTGTAGCCGTTCTGCTGTAAGAAATCGTCCTTGATCAACGCAGCGACATCCAAAGTGATCTTGTCCGGGTCTCCCAGAGCGGATTTTCCCACAAGTTGAACGACTTGGTCTAGCTCTTCGGAGTTACTCAGCAATTCCTTGATCTTATCTCGCAGCCGGGGGAACTCGGGGTGCTCCTTTGCATAGAACTTGTCGAGGATGGCAGTATATTTGCTGTAGGATATCGATGTATTGACAGACGGGAAGTGTTTTCGCTGGGCGAGCTTCTTGTCGAGACCCCAGAACACTTGGACAATATTGAGAGTGCTGGAAGTAACCGGATCCGCGAAATCACCTCCCGGAGGACTGACAGCACCGACGATGCTGACACTTCCCTTCCGCTCTGGGCTACCGAGAGCTAGACTGTTTCCAGCTCGTTCATAGAAAGATGCCAGTTTTGCACCGAGATACGCCGGGAAACCTTGATCTGCTGGCATCTCACCGAGACGACCGGAGATTTCTCGTAACGCTTCCGCCCAGCGGGAGCTAGAGTCGGCCATCATAGCGACATGTTTGCCTTGGTCACGGAAATATTCTGCAACAGTGATACCTGTATAGATGGATGCTTCTCGGGCAGCTACGGGCATGTTAGATGTATTGGCAATTAGGCAAGTACGTTTCATGATGGGTTCTTTTCGTCCCTCGACGGTGATAGAGAGCTAGCAGAGTCAGTATATCCAGGTAGGAAACCCCGCTGTGCCGGGAGAGGGATATACCTCGGGGAAATCCATCAAGACTTCGGCCATCTCATTTCCTCTCTCTCCGCAACCAACGTAAACAATGATGTCGCTATTAGAGAACTTGGAAACACTCTGACTGATGACGGTCTTGCCGCATCCGAAGGCACCAGGAATACAAACTGTTCCTCCTTGTACACTTGGGAATAGAGAATCCAAAACACGCTGGCCGACAATAAAAGGTGATTCCGAAGCAAGTTTTTCGTTGACGGGGCGGGGAACTCGAACTGGCCAAACATGCATCATGCCATACTCTGTCTTCTTCCCTTGGAATTCGACTTCCAGGAGCTTCTCCTCGACAGTATAGCTACCAGCTTCGGCAATACGGGTAATAGTGCCTCGAGCACGAGGAGGAAGGAGGATCTTATGGTCATGAAACAAACTGTTCTCGAACACGGTTCCCCAAATGTCCCCGCCCGTGATATGGTCGCCGACCTTGAAATTAATTGGCTTGAAGTCCCATTTCTTCTTTCGGTCAAGAGCTGGAAGGGATATGCCTCGAGGGATGTAAATGCTATCCGAAACGTCAGAAATAGCTTTGAGCGGACGTTGGATACCATCGTAGATCGTTTCCATCAAACCCGGCCCAAGCTCGACGGACAAGGGTTTCCCCGTGCGAATGACAGGATCCCCGACCTTTACTCCAGCTGGAGCGTGAGGGAAAACCCGTTGTTAGCAGAACAAGTTTCTCCTAGGATCTGAGGAAGGGATATTGGTGTGCACCATACCGGTTTCCTCGTAGACCTGGATTGTAGCTCGATCTCCTTCGAGGCGAATGACTTCTCCGACGATTTGGTCATAGCCAACTTTACACTGATAAAAGGTATTTTCATTAGTACCTGTTAGGGATGGTGTATGGATTTAAGCTACCTACCAGCTCGTTCATAGCACAGCCTATCATACCCTCGGCCACGATGACGGGACCGGAGACTGAGAAGACGGCGCCATGATATGCTGCATCTTCCGGGTGAGTGCCTTTAGAATCTTTGGAAGGCATTGTGTGCTGCGAAAGGGGAAGAGACTCGGGTGGAAGCGAAGGCTGAAGAACGGCGTTGTCGTCGTCTGGCACGGACTTGCGACGACCGACACCAACGGGAAGCTGCTTATTGTTCGCTTGGGTGGTACGAGACTGTATTTTGGGCGAGACGGTGGTATCCTGGTGAATCAGATCCAAAATTGAGGGTCGACGTTTGAATGAAGGCCGCCCGAGACCTAGCATGCGATTAACGGAGAGGGATCCTGAGGGAGCTCCGGTCCTAACCCATCCACGCAGTGTTGTGAGGTGCAGCCGTGGGATCAGCGGTCCCACCAACGCCGCCAAGCGTCGAGGGCGGATGACAGGATGAGGTCAGCAGCAACCAGCCACTCGCTATCAAGGCGCGGAGTGGATGGCGGACGGCCTCGCGTGGAGCACAACTCCTCTACGGAGTACGGAGTACATGAGAGTACTTCATTGGACGATGGAAAAATGTATCAGAGCAAGCAAAACGGCCGCCAACCAAGCCTGGAGGCGTTGTGAGGGCGGCAATCCGGAGAATTATATATGCAGCTGTCGAGAAACTCCCAGGGACGCGAGACGCGTTTATTTACTCGATACGAAGTATGGAGTACTCCGTACTCCATATCGGTAGGACTACGACTGTTTTCCCAAGGGCTAGCATACTCTGTACTCTAAGCAGTATTAATGTGTAGTTAACGAAGTCATGTAGAGCGACAGCGCGACACCCACTTTACGATCGACATTGCTCCCTACGTAGAATACAGTATGTAGGCTCCGCGAGCCCGCGCAACTCTCCCGCGCCGTGCTAAAGATTCCAAAATTCCATGCCTTCGGCCACTTTCCTCTCCAAATCATCGGAATCAAGCCGACGAAGTTTGATGAAAAAAGATGGGTTTCGCGTCGATCGGTGGTAGTGTAAGACCGATGACACGGTGCGGAAAGACATGCGCAAGCACAGAGGTCTCTCCGCGAGGTCCAAAAATAAGATTAATCAATGTTGTATTCCTTAGAATACTTTCAGAGATTAAACTGAAAAGAACAGATACTACACTTGATCTAAGCCATAATGGCAAAGAGAGCTGGAGAAGAAAAGAGAAAAAAAAAAAATTCAAAAGACTGGCGGGGGTGGAGGGATAATTATACCCTTGGGGCGGTGAAGCTGGTGGCAAAACTGACTAGCCGAGGACTAGTTTCTGACTGATGATTGGTCACCCTTGCTGGTAACCGGAAAATCTCCATGGAGGAATGATGGAGGACTTGTATGCTTGTCATTCACTAAGCTACCTAAAGGGGAATCTCGGCTAATCTATGTGGGTCACGTGAGCGAGGTGCTAGTTGGATTACCTAACACCCCCCCATGCAACGAGCTCCAGCAGCGAGCGAGAGCCACAAAGGTCCAAAGCTTCCAAATCTCTCAAATCCGCGATAAAAATTAATTACAGAATCCAGATTTATTCCTTCTTTAGGCTTAGCTCCGTTTCGCCGCGATACCGTATTTTCGCTGGCTTCACTGATAAACCCCCATATTTTCCTGTATCAACTCGTCACCCCTATCGCGCTCACGAATTGAGCGTAGGGATCCATTGCAAGAGCCTTCGTGAGCCCGTCAGCTTTATTCGCGTCGGTTCCAACGTGCTCGATTGAGATTTCGTCCTTTTGAACCCAGTCTCTTAGCATATGGTGCCGAATCTCAATATGGCGTGCTCTTCGCGTTATAGCTTCAGCTTTGGCTAAGTCAACCGCTCCCTTGTTGTCAACACTTAATTTTGAGCTCCTTAGCTTTGCTGAGCCTTCGCTAATCACCCCGGCGTCTATCAACAGGTCGTTGATCCAAACTAGTTCACAAGCAGCTTCGCTAGCTGCCAAATACTCCGCTTCGGTCGTTGATTTCGAGACGGACGTCTGGCGCTGTGATCTCCACGATATTGGAGCTCCGTTCATGGTAATAATGTAGCCGCTGGTGGATTTGTACGCAGGGTCGGCTCCAGCCCAGTCAGAATCCGAACTGGCCGCCGGTTTCAAGCCTTCAGGATCCATATCCCTTTTGAAGACTATTCCTTTCGATTTTGTGCCCTTGAGGTAGCGTAGGATCTGCTTGAACGCCGCCCAGCTTTCCCTATTGGGCCTGCTGTTGAATCTCGCCAGATAATTGACTGCGAATGCAATATCCGGCCTCGTACACGTAACTAGGAACTGTAGAGAGCCCAGGCCTTTCCTGTAATTCGTAGGCGTAGCCTGCTCGTCAACTCCATCTTTGAGGGTCTGATCTGGCGCGAGTTCGATGCTTATTCCTTTCTTCATTGGCGTTTTGGAAGGTTTACAGTCTTCCATTCCATATTCAGTCAGTAGATCCTCGATATACTGTTCCTGGTTCACAAAAAGGTCTCCATTCGGCTGCTTTTGAACCCGCATGCCTAGGTAACGGCCTTGTTCCGTAACCTCCTTGATCTCGAAGCGTTCCTGAAGCTTCTCAATGAGCCATTCTATCTCGGCTTCGTTGGGTCCCATTATACGGCAGTCGTCGACGTGTAGGGTTAGGTAGATCTGCTTCCTCTTGTGGTAGAGTAACCCCGCATCATATGGAGAGATCTGGAATCCTAGAGATTTCAGATAGTCAGTAGCTGCTTGATACCAGAGCCTAGCAGCTTGCTTCAACCCGTAGAGTCCCTGGCGTAAGAGCCCTACTAGGTTACCCCGCCCGTGCTTGAATCCAGTGGGTAGTTGAACGTATACACGTTCGTCCTCTGGAAGAGTTCCATTTAGGAAGGCTGTCACGAAGTCAAAGACTCTGACCTTCCAGTTCTTGGCTGTTGAGATAGCAAAGAAGGCTCTCGTTGTAGGTCCACTAACAACTGCTGCGTAGGTCTTCTTGTAGTGAACGCCTTCTTGCTGTTCGAATCCACGTACGACCCAACGGGCTTTGAATCGTACTGTGCCACCCGTGTTGTTGAGCTTCCTATCGAATACCCATTTGCCAGAGAGGATCTGCATTTGGGGTTCCTTCTCGACTAGGATCCAGGTGCCTTTCTCTTGTAATTTGGAGACTTCAACATCTAGAGCCTCCTTCCAATAAAGCCACTCTTCAGAGCGTTTGGCTTCGGCGATGGATTTTGGTATATCTGTACGTGTACTGAGCACTGGAAGCTCAGTTCCATTTGTCTCTTCTTCCTCCGTAGTATCCGAGAGGATTTCTTGCTCTTCGCCCAGGTATGTGGGCTCTAAAGCCTCTAATTCGCCGTCCGCGAGCTTCTTCATGATTTCTGGCTTCTCCTTCGCAAGGTAAGCTAGTAGCTTGTGTTGCCAGCCATTCAATGGATCTATGTAATCGTACTCCTCCGGGAGTTCAACGTATTCGGCTTCGGTTAGCGAATTCGTAGGGATTTGATCCAATTTCTCGTCGAATATAACATCTCGCGAGATCATTATACTGTTCGTTTCTGGGTCCCAAAGCCTGTAGGTGTGCATGCCACGATATCCTACAAATTTGACCTTCTTGGACCTAGGTTGGAGCTTCGAGGATTCGTTCAAAATCTTCACGTAGGCGTCACATCCCCACCTATGGACCCATCTGCAATGGGGTTGGTGACCCGTCCAGGCTTCAAAGGGTGTCAACGGCTTCGTGTTCTTGCATCCGTATAGAGGCACTGAGGTAGGCGATAGATTCACCATCATGGAGACTGTGGCGAGAGCTTCGCCCCATAACTCATTGGGTAGTCCTGAGTCTATAAGTACGCTTCTTGTTCGCTCGCAAAGAAGTCGTATTCCTCGTTCACTCGTTCCATCTTGTTGAGGTGTATATGGGCACGTAATCTCCTGTTGTATACCCTTGCTCCTGTAGAATTCAGCCAGTTGTTGGCTCGTCAATTCGGGAGCTCCATCGGACAGTATAGTGCCGATCTTTCGTTCGGTAGACACTTCGATCATGTTGATCCAGTTCTTCAGGGTTTCTGGAGCTTCTACCCGCTCCTTCAGGAGGTAGATCCACCTGTATCGTGTGGCATCGTCCGTTATAAGTAGGAAATACTTCGCTCCGCCGTAGCTTGGAGGATCGGAGTCTGTGGATAGGGTACGGCCGCCACCTGCAATATCAATAAAAATTTTAGCTCCAGGCTTTGTAGAGCGTGTTCTAGGTTCGAATGGGTTGCGAGCTTGCTTAGCTTTAGCACAGGTTTCACAGAACCCTAGCTTCTTTACTCCCTTTATTCGCATTGCCATTCTCGGATCTCTAGCTAGAATAGCTATATCGTGGGCGTTGAGATGCCCCCAGCGTTTGTGCCAATTGGCCATCGTATCCTCCTTGATTTCTGGCGTCTTTGCCAGGTGATTCGGTGCCAAAAGTGCGTCATCTTTATTCTCTAGAGTTGCTGTTACATAGCAGGGCTCTAGGAGTTTCGTAGGTACTGGAAACGCGTATGCCAGTAAATTGCGTATCCTAGGCGTTCGTAGGACTAGGATGTCATCCTCGTTAAGCACAGCTTCGAAGCTCTGTGTTTTATCTGCCGATTCTAGTAGGAAGACGTGTTCTCCGTCGACATAAAGCTGTTCCACTGTAAAGCCGTCTCGTATAAGCTTCCCAAAGCTTATGAGGTTAACCTGGAGGTCAGGCACGATTCTAACCCCCCCAATGCTCAATTCTCCGTTGTCAGTTTGGATACTGGCCGTGCCAAATCCTCTGGTGACTGATTTCGAACCGTTCGCCATAAGCAGTTGTGTTGCATGGCTCTTTGGGTCCATTTGAACTAGATCCGTACGTGAGGTCGCGTGGGATCCGGCTCCAGAGTCAAGGATCCATTTGTCTGTGGATTCGCGCGCTTCTTTCATAGAGAAGGCTGCTTCGTGAACCGAATGGATCTTGTCCGTTGCAACCGTAGTTGTTTCCTTGCCTTTGCCTTTAGAGTCTTCCTTAGGCTCGTTAGGCTTCGAATTCTTGTTAGATTTGCAAAATTTAGCCAAATGGCCAGGTTTGCCACAAATATAGCAGTTCCAGTTCTGCAGTGAGCTCTTCTCTGGATTGGATTCGGAGTTCGTATTTTTGTAAGACTTTTGGGGATCCGAGCTTGTTGCATTTGTATTTGGCTTTGTAGATCCGCCTTTCTTCAGGTCTTTCTTGGGGATTCTGTGGAGGATATCCTTCAGTAGGCCTTCCAAATCCTTCTCCGGTAGGTTCGTTCCGCTCTGGCATGCCATATCAAATCGGTTCTGTATGAACTCTCTCCATCGGGACGTAATGTTCATCTTCAAGATATCATGTAGGGTGTGGTCCAGTTGTTTGAACCCTAATCTCTCAAATTCCCCACGGATTGCTAGGAATCTCTCTATATAATTCCTTTCTGAGCCAGCGGATTGTGGTGTCATTCTTACTAACTCCGTAAGTAGGCTTTCCCGCTGTATCTCAGGTCTCTCTTGGAAGGCTGTCCTTACAGCTTCCCAGAGTTTGTAGGCACTAAGGCTATCCGATTCCTCGAAGTGTTCTCTGGCTTGTGCAGATATTGTGCTGTCGATTAGGCCGTGTAGCCAATTATTCTGAACATTCCAGTATTGTGAAATCTTCAAGCGCTCTGGCCGTGGTGAAGTCTCTTGCCTTTCCAGGATAATCTTCTCAACACCCACTTGGCGGGCTACCTTTAGGATGGCTTTGCTCCATGCTAGGTAGTTGCTGGCCCCAGCCAGGGTCATAGGCTTCTTCACCGTCTTCGTGATCTTCGTGAATTGGGTGATTGCTCTGCCGATTCGCGTATTTGTGTCTATAAGGTTGCCGACATATTCTTCTAGTTCCTCATCAGAGTCTATTTCTCGGTCCTCTTCTTCTTCTTGTTGAGCTTCGTGCTCTAGGTTCTCCTGCATCGTTGCAGGTGCGTTTGCGGTGCTTGCTTGGCCTGATAGGAGGTTCACTTGCTGTGCCAGCTGTTGTACTGTCTCCTGTTGCCTTTGCATCGACTCCTGTTGCCTTTGCATCATCTCCTGTTGATTCAGCATCATTCTGCGCAACATTTGGAGTTCACTCTCCTCCCTAGGCTCCTGCTCGTCGTTTGGCGGGCTGCCTCTGAGCCTACTCGACCGCCTAAGCTCGGTTTGGGGTGTAGGGAGGTTTGTTGGAGCTTCCCGGTCGGGAGTTCGGTGCTCCGGTTCGTCCGTACGGTTCACCATGGCTTTGGCGTTGCCAGGTGCTCGATTTGCTTGCTAGGTGCGTTTAGCAGGCGTTTCGCTCACTCTCTGGTCGCGTGCCAGAAAGCTACAGGGTTCAACTCGCTTCCCAGCTCGGTGCTAGAAAGCTACAGGGGTTGCACGTATAGGAGGCGTCTATCTCAACGTACGCTCTCTCTTGTGCTCGTAAAACCTCGTTATCCACAAGGATAACTGTTCAGGATGTTGATCGTAAGCTTCAATATCCAATTGAGCTGTAAATCAACCTTATACGCTTGCTCTTCAGCGCAAAGGGCTATAACCTGATGGAGGACTTGTATGCTTGTCATTCACTAAGCTACCTAAAGGGGAATCTCGGCTAATCTATGTGGGTCACGTGAGCGAGGTGCTAGTTGGATTACCTAACAAGGAAATTTCTCCGCGTGGCTCGGAGCGCTGAAACCATTTCCCGAAACTCTCTGCCCTGGAGGTACCTGTCGGGGTACTCTGTACGGGCTTCAGGCTAAGGAGGACGCAATAGTAACTACATAGCAGCTATCTTGCACGGCTATCTTGTCTCAACCCGACAAGTTCCGTTTGCCACATACTTCATTCTATCATGGGCGATTTTAAGCATCAAGTGGCGCAACCTTTCGTGCAACATAACGCCAAAACAGTTTCTTCGAACTCACCAATACCCTTTTTCTGCCCGGGATAATGAACTATCCCGTCAAAATGGGTCTAACAAGGCGAAGCTGACGAGGGATATACGAGTTAAACCAGTGATTTCCTGAGATCTGGGGATAGCATCATTCGAACTTGGGCGATTTTGCGTCGACTGTACAGAGCACTCCGGACGGAATGAAATGCCAATTTCTTCTCGCCCTGTCGGGGAAAGGTTGCGAAAAGGCCATGCTACCTCCTGTCAGACTCTGCGCAGGTTGCTAAAACCACGCTTTCTTCCCACCCGAGAAAATACGGAGTGATTACACATGCCCACAGGCAGGCAGCCCAGCCCAGCCCAGCCCCGAGGGGGTTGAACTCTCCTGCTCTGCCTGAAGTTCATCCAAACTGGCCTAGCTTCAAAGTTTCGTTGAATATGACCTCGACTGCGGCGGGACTGTTGGGCAGGAACCCATGAAACAAGCACAGGCTCCTGAGGTATACCGGTCATGCATCCCATTCGGCTTGTCATCCCAGCCAAGTCACAGGAGCAGCGGCGGCATGTGAGGGTGCTGACCAATCACGCCGCCGTCATTCTGGTAACTTACATACAGCGGACCCTGTCGGTGCCAGCCTGCCAGGTCAGCTCTGAGAAGCGCACATGGTACTCCGTTTTACAGTACTGTAATGTTTTCGTCTGAAGTCGGAAGAGCCTGCCAGTAGCTAGCTATGTTGTTTCGCTGGGAGAATGGTACGGAGCACAGCGGAGTGAGAATGCTCGAAGGGGACTCCTACAGGGCTGATAATAGAAATGAGGGGGCCTGACCGACAGCGGCGCTCCCCTTTGTCCGCTTTGTCCGCAGTGTGTCTGCAGGACAAGGCATGAGAGCAAGGCACTCTCGCCCCGGTTGCTTCTGTCGACGGTATGGAGCACTTCTATAGCTACCTGTCATGGAGATAATATGTAGATTGCTTGCCGGAGTGAGATCCGGAGGAGAATTGTGTAATCATTATCATTTCCTTAAATCTGGAAATTACCATTGCTGGGGTCTGTTCGTCGGAGAGCAACAGCTGCGTCTGGCGCACAGTTTGTTGTTCGGGATTATTAAAAATGCGCCAGTGATTTGTCTCCCTGGCATGCATGAGTAAGTTCGTTAGTCGACGATGGAGTTTTGGTTATTTTACCTGCTCCCCCGGCGGCGCCAGCACAGAGTACATCCACCAGCCAGGATGTCCAGCAACCTCAGAGCTCCATTCGGACCCCAAGACCATCTTTCTCCCACTTGATCAACCCAACATATTCATATTTCCCTCGAGTCGCTACATAGCACCTCGCCTCGTGGCCGTATCACTACCTCCCTATATCTCTGACACCTATCCTATTGGGCTTGTTCCACTGTCGTCATTCGGAGATCTTCTCGTGCCGTATACATCCCTCACCCTCCAGAAGGCAAGACTTTACTCACTCTCTCACACCACTCATCTCCCAAAACGCTCTGCAACACAGAACCAGTTTGCTTTGTGCTTGGTGGTCTGGCCAAAGGCTTCATTGAACGCCTGTAACCTCTACGCCCACCTCCCTCCAGCCAAGGTTTAGTCCTCCAAAGCCCCCCACCCCGGTAAGCCTATTCAGCTGGTTCTTTGGAGGACCAGACTGAAGGGCTCTCCAAAACTTCGACCTGGCAGACGAAGCTTCTCCCAATCAACCTGCCTCAGCTGGACCCGACCGCTCGAACAGTGCCTCAAACCCTCAGTCAGTATACGCTGCTGCACACTCTCACTCGCCCCATCCACCATTACTCTATCTAACATTCGATCCAGCTCCGCACTCGACGTTTCGACCACCACCAATCCTCCATCTCCACGATACTCTGCTGCAGAGCTCCTGAGCCTTCTCCGTTACCCGCCGGAACCCACCACTCGCCGTAGTCATCTTCGACGTCGCCGGGAACCGTCAACGGAGCGAGCGGATATCCAAGGGGGCACCTCGAGAAGTAGCGGTCTAGGGAACAGCAGAGGTGGGCGTATCCCGCCGGAGGGGAGCTCAGAACAAGCACAAGGCCAAGAGCAGGACGATCGGCCTCTCTCCAAACGTAGACGCCTGGAAAACGACAATATGAAGCCCGATGGAGGAGCGTCAGCATCAAGTACAAATGGCTTTTCTCCTGCGTCAAACGGTACTGGCAGCTCGCCCTTCAGAAAGTCGATTACGTCCAACGCCCTTAGCGGACGATCGTCAAATTCCTACTCCCAAGCCCAGCCTCAGACGAATGGCTCCACGGAGCCGTCATTGCCGCGCACCTACTATGGACATGACAGAGAGGAAGTCACCAGAATATTAATCCAGAGTCTATACGATCTAGGGTACTCCGAAGCAGCGGCCACACTCAGTCGCGAGAGTAAATATGAGTTAGAAAGTCCGGCAGTCGCCGCTCTCAGAACCTCCGTGCTAGAAGGACAATGGCTTGAGGCGGAGACCATTCTGTTAAGTTCTTTCTTTGAGGGTGTCGAAAACGTGGCGGATGGAAAGCATGCCGTCGGACAACCGCGACATGAAGGGTTGGTCCTGGCCGAGGGTGCCGACAGGAATGAGATGCTCTTTTCGTTGCGGCAGCAGAAGTTTCTGGAGCTGCTTGAGAACCGGGATCTTGCGGCTGCCCTCATGGTACTCCGGCAGGAACTTACGCCTCTTAATCACGACATTGCTCGACTTCATTCACTTTCAAGGTGCTTATCCTAGTGCAACATACTTTTTGAGCTGTTCGATTTCCTAACCGCATATAGTTTATTGATGTGTCCCCCTGAAAATCTCCGGGTCCAGGCTGGCCTTGAAGACTCAGTTATTGACTCAAGACGGAAGCTGCTGGCAGAGTTGTCGAGTGAGTTCTTTCGTGGCCTTTGTCTGTTGAGTATTTCGAAGGAGCCCGGCTGACCTCAAGGGCCTAGAATCTATTTCCCCCTCTGTTATGATTCCCGGACATCGCCTCGCAACCCTCCTTGACCAAGTTAAACAAAATCAAATCAACCGCTGTTTATATCACAATACCGCCGAACCGCCGTCTCTCTACTCTAACCATATGTGCGACCGTAGCCAGTTTCCAACACAGGTCACGCTGGAACTTAATCAGCACACCAACGAGGTGTGGTATCTGGAGTTCTCCCATGATGGTACGAAATTGGCCACGACGAGTAGCGACCGCTCTGTGATCATATACGACACGAGAACATTCGGCGTCATCCACAAGTTGACAGATCACGGCGGCCCTGTTGCTTTCGCGACGTGGAGTCCCGACGATACCAAGTTAATTAGCTGCTCACAGGACTGTAAGGCTCGATTGTGGGATGTGGAGGTTAGCACCCTTTTTTTTTTTTCTTTTTTTTCCCCTCTATATTTTCGCAGTTCATCGCTAACCATAAGCACTTAGACTGGTCGTTGTCTCTTGACAATCGACCATCACCGCGAACCTGTCACATCCGCAGCATGGGCTCCGGACAGCGAAAGTTTCGTCACCTGTTCTTTGGATAATAAATCCCAGTTATGCCTATGGAGTGTTCATGGTGATCCGCTATATACTTGGGCTGGTTCCTCGCGTATCCGAGATTGTGCCATATCTCCCGATGGCAGAAGACTCATTGCTATCTCAACGGATAGAAGGATCCATGTGTACAATTTTCCGACTCGGGAGGAGGAATACAGCATGCGTCTCGATCTCGACCTTACGTGCATCAACATTAGCAGCGACTCCAGATACATGCTGGTGAACATGTCTGAAGGCGAAGTACAGCTACTCGATATCGAAACAAAGGACGTTGTTCGTCAGTATTCAGGCCAGAAACAAGGCAACTTTATCATTCGAAGTACGTTTGGTGGAGCCGCTGAGAATTTTGTGGTCAGCGGTAGTGAAGGTTAGTCCCGAGATCATGGGTAAAATAGTCCACAAATCGGATCACTGACGATCAGGGTTAGATTCTCGTATCTATATTTGGCACAAGGAAAATTGCATGCTTGTCGAGACACTTGAAGGTCACGCAAAAGGCTGTGTTAACGCAGTGGCGTGGAACCCAAAGGATCCTGGGGTGTTTGCCTCGGCTGGGGATGATCGAAAAGTCAAGATGTAAGTTGCAAGTCTCGGCCCCTGCGATTTTACTGTACATATACTCAATTCATCCCCTCTAGATGGACAAACGGTCATACCACGATCCCCACCACCAAGTCCTACGTCTCACCCAATGGATCCACGCGCTCAAGTGCTGTAGGGCTCAATATCAGTCGCTCATCGAGCACACGCTAGCCCGTTTTACAAGCGAAAGAGGGGTCCTCAAAAGGGATCCCCAAATACTCGGATTCCTAAGTCTACATCCTGGATCACATATGCATATTTTTACGACTCTTCTTTCCACATGCGTGATATCATCGGCGCTCACGGCCTCGGTTAGGGTTTCAAATTTTGCACATACCATATTATCAACACGGAGTTTGTCAACATTCGAAATAACTGCATAAGTAAGGGGGGTTTCGGCTTCCGGTTTAACTTTCTCCGCAGTCATCTCCCTTTGGTTCATCCCTCATGTCTTTTTTTCTCTTGCTACATCTGTTTGAAGGGTTTGCGGTTAGGCTGCCTTCTGCTGGGTAACTATGGTATCTGAGATGAGATCGTCTTTTGAATGTGGGCGGCGGATGGAGGCCTCCTTTTTTCTCCCCTGGGATATGAACAAACATTGCCAAAACTCTTCTGTTTCCTAAGCTTAGCTATCCTCTTGCGCGCGGCTCTTTTTTCTTGCATATCTCAACCTAAGTGTTTGTAGAGAGTAGCAGACCTAGCTAATGCTTTGAAGCCTTAATATTGTTGCTTCTCCAAGATGCGTTTGGGAGATATGTAAATATTTAATTGCCGGGTTCTGACCTAATGGCCTGGTACTGATGCAAAAGCAACCTTGACGACCTTAGCGTCCGCTCCAGTATTGTTCAGTTCATATGTACGGAGTACGAAAAGTAAAAGAATATACGAATACAGGGCTAAGAAAGAAAAGTGTGAGAAACATATTTCATTTCTTCAAATCCCGCCAACCCGGCCTGCGCGTCAAACCGAATAGATCGCCACAGAGTATAGGCAAAAAATTCGTTGTAGACATACAAAAGCATGGTCGGAAACGCTTGAAACCAGAACATTGAGTCCGCCATAGTAGTGTTAGAAAAAAGTTCATACAATTCTGTTTTAACAAGGCCTTTAAGACAATATAAGGATAGACTCCGGCCGGGGAGGGAGAAAGAACGACATTCCTGTTTTATGAAAATTAAACGAAGTTAGGAATAATGGCGTAAATATATCCTTTTGAGGACCGAACACAAAAAGCATTGAAGGCACTGAAGGAAGGCGGAATGCAAAAAGAGCGAGACAACGTACTATTTGCCGGGCATCCCCTGTTCCTCCACGACAATTCTCCTTGACTTTGTCGTCTAGAGCACTGGTATGTATTAAATGACGTGTTTGCTCCAAGGTTAATACGGACTTTCTGCTAAAAAACGCATAAGGCCACTGTGTTGTGACGCTGTTACCCGGAAGTGCGGTCGTCCATTATTAGCTGCCGTTCATTATCATTTTCGTGCAGTGTTTTGTCGTGAGGGTTGATCGGCCGAATTAACCCAGGAGATCGGCAACTATAGAAGTTAGGATGAGCAAAGTGGGGGTGGTGGGTGTAGGTATTGGCTTACCGTTCATAGGCATTTCATCAATTTGGGTGGAATAATAGAGTTCGATATCCCTCAGAATCCTGACATCTTCGCTTGTGACAAAGTTGATCGCAACACCTTTGCGTCCAAAGCGTCCGCTTCGACCGATCCTGTGAATATAATTCTCACGGTTGCTGGGTAGATCGTAGTTGATAACCAATGACACCTGTTGCACATCGATACCTCGGGCCCAAACGTCGGTGGATATAAGAACCCGAGAATTTCCCTGTCTGAAGTCTTGCATGATGCTGTCTCGCTCCTTCTGTGGCATTTCTCCATGCATACTTGAAACTGTGAAGTTTGCTTCTCTCATTTTATCGGTCAGCCAGTCAACCTTGCGGCGAGTATTGCAGAAAATAACTGCCTGTGTGATCGTGAGAGTGTCGTAGAGATCGCAAAGGGTATCAAATTTCCATTCTTCTTTTTCCACTGCAATAAAGTATTGCTTCAAGCCTTCCAAAGTCAATTCGTCACGCTTCACCAAGATGCGAACTGGGTCTGTCATAAACTTTGTGGTCATGGAGAGGACATCGTAAGGTAGAGTAGCAGACAATACGACCACCTGAGTTGCTGGGGGAAGGTATCGGTAAACGTCATAAATCTGTTCGCGGAACCCGCGCGCCAGGAGATCATCGGCTTCATCGAGAACGAGCATCTTAATGTGACGTGTGCGAAGGTGGCGGCGTCGGATCATATCTGCGACACGACCAGGGGTTCCGGATACGACATGCTGACCATGGTCCAGCTTTCTAATATCATCACCAACGTTGGTTCCTCCAATGCATGCGTGGCATTGCACGTTCATGTAGTCGCCAACAGCCATAATAACGTTCTGGATCTGGGTCGCAAGTTCACGAGTCGGGGAAAGAACCAACGCTGTCGGAATCAGCAAAAAAAAAAAAAAAAAAAAAAAAAAAAAAACCCGTGCGATCTATAATGGCCATTACTAACCTTGAGTCTCACGAAGCGCGGTGTCAATAACTTGTAGGATGCTAATTGCAAACGTTGCAGTTTTACCAGTCCCGGATTGCGCCTGTGCTATAGTATCGCGGCCTTTGCAGATCTGGACGATGGCGCGAGACTGAATGGCTGACGGTGACTCAAACCCATATGCATAGATACCCCGTAGGAGGTTCTCCTTCAGATGCATATCATCGAAGGTCGGGGCCACCGTTACCTCCTTCGAGGTCGTGAACTCGATCCTCTCTGCGTTTCGTCAGCTTGGCGCAAGCTCTACTATGGGGACACGGGGTTGGGGCTTACCATCTGCGGTTCTATCGAAATTGTCCGCCATCTTTTCTGCTATAGGAGAGGAACTTCTGTTGAGGCTGAGATAATGCGATAGGTAAAAACAAGACGAATTTTCGGTGAGGAGACAGCGGCGTGATGGGCCAACTGCTCTTCCAACCTTTGAGCTGCGAGGAAGAGAATTTTGGGGCGATTCGAGCTTGTCACGTGACCAGGCGCGTTCAGCTTCAAGAGTAACTTTTGGATCGACGGTGATGCTCTAAGCAGGGCGATGGCGTTGGCTGCCCCATAACTATTTTATTCTTCACTTGTCAAGGGATCCTCATAGACCGAGAGCCGTCAAAATGCGTGTGGAAGATCAAAGATTCATTCACGAGGATCTTGAGAGACTTGAGCAAGGCATCAGCGACAGAATATCAGAAGAACCCCGGAATGTGAGTGCTCAAGGGTTGTTATACGGTTGTTATGTGCTGACGACCGAATGCAGATACGGGAGCGCTTGATTAGAGACCATCAGATCGCCGGATTCCTCGATCGGATACAAGGACAATCACAGCGGCTTCTTGATATTTATAACGATGCCGACGGCCTTCGCGCAAAGGAGGTCCAGGCCATATCTGCCGGTGACCCGTTCGAAGAATTCTATAAGCGTTTGGAGGACATAAAAGATTTTCATCGACGATATCCTAATGAACCCGTTGAGAATTTGGAGCGAGCCTACAAAAGACGACACCCTGCGGAAGGTGACCCGTTGGCATCGGAGATTGAGCACATGTTCACGGGGGAGGAGTCGTACGGCCAATTTTTCGACCTAACCATGCTCCATGAGGAATATCTAAATCTTCCTGGAGCTAAAAGACTGACGTATCTCCAATATCTCGACCAGCTTGACCAGTTTACCCAACCACAGCTGCCGATCAAGCGAGAAAGCAAATTAACGGACAAGTATTTCAAATACGTGGGGAATCTCGCTAGCTACTTAGAGAACTTCATAAAACGAACCAAGCCGCTAGAACCGCTCGACCAGCTTTTCGCCGATTTTGATAAGGAGTTCGAGAAACTCTGGGAAGCCAACCAGGTACTTGGTTGGGAAGAGTCAACTGCGACGTCGTCTGCTCCAAAAACTGAAGGGATGGGTGAAGGTATTTGGTGTGCCGATTGCGAAAAGGAATTCAAGAATAAAAATGTCTACAAAAATCACCTCACGGGGAAGAAACATATTCGGGCTGCAGAGGCGCGAAAGGCAAATGGCGCCACTAATGACGAAAGCGCACGACCCAATGGTGTGGGAGCCGCCGTTACTCGTTTGAAGGAGAAGGCGATCGCTGAACGTGAGTATCGGGTTCAGGCGCTTGCAAAGTCCCTGCAAGATGAAAGACAAGCAACCCGCGTCAACGTCGAGCGCAAACAGGGAATGACCGAACGAGAGCGGCAGATGGAGCTGGAGGCGCTCATGGCCGATACTGGCGACGTGGGCGTGCTTCGACGTGATGAAGAGTCTGAGAGTGATAGCGAAGAAAAGATATACAACCCTCTGAAGCTACCTTTAGCCTGGGACGGAAAGCCCATACCATACTGGCTCTACAAGCTTCATGGTCTAGGGGTGGAGCTGCCTTGTGAAATATGTGGTAATTTCGTTTACATGGGCCGGCGCGCTTTCGACAAACACTTTTCCGAGGCTAGACATATATATGGCCTAAGATGCCTTGGAATCACGCAACAAACCAGCTTGTTCAGAGAGATCACCAAGATCGAAGATGCCTTACGCCTCTGGGAAAAGCTCGAACGGGACCGAAAGAAGGAGAAAGATTCCAGAGACAACGTGGTTCAAATGGAGGATGCCGAAGGAAATGTTATGCCGGAACGTATCTATTATGAGTGAGTATCCCATCCGCCTTATCCATTTGCAGAATGGTGTTTTCCGGATAGTGCTAATACATTTACAGTTTACAAAAGCAGGGTATCTTGTAAATGGTTACAGGCTCAGCTAGATTTTCTGGGGCGGATTGGGTGCCGGGCGCTGGGGACCATTTAGAGGTTCAGGCGTTAGTTAACTTCTCTATTTGATCTCCAAGTTTATAAAACATCATTGCTTCTGCATCAAACCTGTTCTGTGTTATGTTCGCTTGTTTGAATTTGTGTGCTTCTGTTGGCTTTCTCTGCAGTTGCTACCTTTGTTCCCTCCTGATCAGAACCACGGTAGGTTCCTTGCCTGTGCCGGTTTATCCCAACTGCAGCCTGGAGCCCTTGATAACTGTGTCACGTGTTCTGGTGTTGTGCTGGCGGCGCAAACTTTTGGTCGCTCGCGTCTCCCAATCAAAGCATCAACTCAACCACGATAACACATTTCGTGCCTGATCAGGCTATCCATTAACCCCACTGAGATTTTATGGAGTTGATAATATAAAGAAAACATAATTAAAGGATTGCAAACATTGATTCTACAGAATTTCATCTTCTCCTTTTCTTTCAGCTCAAGTTCGGGGTCGAACACTGGCCGGTTTCGGTAATTGGGGCAGCCAGGCACCAAGGCTCCGGTAACGCCGGGGTCAATGGTTGCCATCTCCGCACAAGCTTCTTGATTATGGGCTTCAAGTTTTCGTATGTCTGTGATCTCCTATCAAGCCTGGATAACAATCGGATTGCGAAGACAACCTCAGAAGCAAGAAAGAAAGATCCGGATGTCTCTACGGTCTCACAGTGGTTTGACAACTACGAGAGGAAAATACACTCCGGGGATACCGATCGTCTTGCTCTTCTCTCTTGTATCTTTCCGGAAAAGCGCCCGGAACGTGTTTTTCGGCTTCGAGAGCCATCGTTGACAAAGGTCGTTGGACGATGTCTCCTTCTTGGTGCCTCGAGAAAACAGGAACTAGATCGGTGGAGGGAGAAGGGCTGGGGAGACCTGGGGCAATGCGTTGAGTACGTTATGCAGCAGGCCGAAAATTGCCTGGAAGGTCAAGATGAAGTCACCGTTGAAGAAATCGATCTTGCCTTGGCAAAAGTTGCATCTAGATGCCGGTTCTCCGGACCAACAGCCCGTTATCAGTACTCTGCTGTGGGTGTGGACGAAACTCTGTCCCCTATTTTTCGCAGGTTGTCGAGCCGAGATGCGAAATGGTTTACGAGACTGATTCTCAAGGATTTCAATCCCGTCACCATCCCTACCCAATTGATTCTTCGGCATTTCCATTTTCTATTGCCAAAACTACTCTTTTTCCAGAACTCGCTTGAAGGCGCTTTGATGTTTCTAGCCAAAGAGCCCATAAATTCTTTTCCGCCGCGTCCAGAGGCTCACTACGCTGATCTTCTGTCAAAGCTTGCGCTACCCCATCTTAGACCTGAGGTTGGATTTAAGATCGGCAGGGCTGATTTCTTGAAAGCAAGGAGTCTCAAGCATTGCTGTAAAATGGCGGATAGGCGGATAATGGGCGTCGAGAAGAAATATGATGGAGAATATTGCCAAATACACATTGATCTCTCAAAGGCAGACAGTATGCGGATATTTTCAAAAAGTGGGAAAGATTCAACCAGGGACAGGCGAGGCGTCCATAATACGTTGAGAAAATCCCTTCGAATCGGGAAAGATGATTGTCGTTTTTCTATCAGATGCATTGTAGAATGTGAAATTCTAGTGTGGAGCGATCGTGACTCCTCGATTCTTCCGTTTCATAAACTTCGGAAGCATATCGCTCGGTCTGGTTCGTTTATTGGAATCGACAATGACTCCCAGTATGTGCTCTCAACGCAAATATTGAAATGCTAGCTGATATTCCTTAGACCCGACGCTTCTGAACACTTGTATCTGGCCTTTTTTGATGTGTTAATGGTTGATGACGATGTGTGTTTGTCTAAGCCCTACCGTCAACGTCGCCAGATTCTCCAAGATATCGTTGACCCAATTGAAGGATACTCAGAGTTAGCCCAACAACAAACGATTAATTTTTCACATCCTGACAGCTACCAGCTTTTAAGGGATGCAGTCGCCATGGCTGCAGCCCTAAGATGGGAAGGTCTCGTTCTCAAAGGAAGTGATGAGCCATATTTCCCACTATTCGAAGAAAATGCAGATGTGAACTTTGGACGTTGGATTAAGCTCAAGAAAGAATACATTCCGGGTCTTGGTGACTCTGTCGACTTTGCACTTATTGGCGCGAGATATGATGCCCAGGATGCTCTCCAATGTCCGAATGTCAAGAACCTTTCCTGGACATCATTCTTCGTTGGATGTCAGGAAGGAGATAACCAAAACTTGAGCGTGAAAGCGAGGAACTATCGAGTCATCGACGTGCTTGGTCGCCATAACATTAGCCCAAAGCTCATGCAGACTCTTAACCAGCTCGGCCAGTTCCAGGCCTGCGAACAGGGCTCGGAACCATGTCCATTCTCTATCAGAATAGACCAACCTCAAATCCCAGAGATGGAGGTCTTCTTTCGGATTCCATTCGTGGTAGAACTGGTTGGAAGTGGCTTTGAACGGCCTCATTGCGCGAGGTACTTTACGCTGAGATTCCCTCGGGTACTGAAAATCCACTCGGACCGTGGACTGGATGATGCTGTTTCTTTCGAGGAGCTTCAACAGCTTGCTGAGGCTGCTCGTGCCGTGCCTGTGGAGCAGCTATCGCAAGAAATCGCTATTTGGACCGCGAAGCTAGATGCAAAGGACGGCAAGCTGGGATACATCGTGGATGATTCTGAAATGTTCTCTGCATCTTCCGATTCACCTGATAGAATGTCTTCTGAGACTTGGAGCTTTGCCACGATGAGCCTAAATGAAAGCTTTATCGATAATAGAAATCATATCGATATCCCATCATACAAGTTGGTTTCAGCTCCGGTACCTCCAGTTCAACGACATGACCCGAACTTTCCAGCAATTCGGACAATGAATTCTCACTCTCCAAAAATAGAGATACATAAAACATCTACAAATTCTTTACCCTCGATTAATATCTTGCCTGACGATACACAATCCACATCTGCCGTGGAAGATTCTTTTCGTTCTACAAACGCCTCTTCTGGGTTTTTAACCGACCTGAAAGCCTCTTCAAGAAAGACAAATAGACACAAAAGCCCGGGAGAAAATATACCTAGCGATCCAGTTACAATCCCAACCTCGCCATTGTCTCCGAACGAACTTACAAATTTGGAAAATAAACCTCGAGTTTTAAAGGGAAAAATTTCGGAGCAGCCAACAAAAACTCAGTCTTGGAACACATTCGCTCAGTCTCACTGTGTTTTATCGAAGAAAGCTAGACAAGGAAGTCCGCATGCTGCATTCCAAGAAGACAGCATCCGGGTAAGTGTCGAAGGTAATGGCCTCTTACATAAAGCCCCTATGTTCCTCAGCCCTGGCATTTCGAAAAAGGCTCGTGACTTGGTAGACGTGTGTTTGAAGAAATTAAATCGGTCGTCAACTTTGTCAATTTTGCACTTTTTCGATGAGATATCCAGCATGAAAAATCTTCGAATTAGCTCAAAATCTGCCTCACTTCCGTCCCGCTACGGCATTGTGATTGTCGACCCCAAGAATGGTGATGCAAGTGACGTCGCCTCGGACATCCAGACCATTGGGAATGGGCTTGCTAAGTGCCGACGACAGGGGCGCTTATTGGGTTCGGGAAAGATACTTTTTGTGCACTGGAAAATACTGCATTTGGCTGTAAGCCGCCGCACCAGGTCCCAAAGGAACTGGGACTCATACGGCAAAGCAATATTTGCTGGCTGTCTCAAATGGGGTTATGGTGTGCCAACTCGGCAACGGCATATGCACAATGCCTCTCTAGAGAGTCGGCAGCAGCAGCAGTCAAAGCGACCTCAAGCGGAAACTGATGTTGTCGTGAGCATGGATTGGAAAGAAATACTGCCTTTAATGTGGGTGGACCATGGTTAGAACCGGGTTATGTCGGCCATTCAAACAGCTTGTCACGATGTTGTGACTAGGGAATGCGGAAGTATAATCCACATCGACATGTTTTACGATGGTTCACAGCTGGAGTACGCATTGGATAGATAAGGGCCGGGTATGGAGCGTGGAGCATGCAGCATGGAGTATGGAGTATGGAGTATGGAGTATGGAGTAAGGAAGTGAGAATGGGAATCATAGGGTCAGTTTTGAAGGAATAACATCATCTTATAATAACACATTCTAATTAGTTCGGGTTGGCTGTGATCCAACATTGTTTGTATGTATAGCATTAGGTTGCCTCTGCAATCACCATCAATATAATAAAATAATAATGTCTGATTAACTTCATTTGGAATCAAACATTCCATTCTACAGGTAAGATTTGCCCATTCTGTCGAGCCTGGTTGAACTTAGCCACGGCCTTCTCTCCTTGCTCTCACATCTCTCATCAAAGCCTTTGCTTCCTCTATCTCCACTCCATCCTGACACAGCTCGTTGGCCAACTGCTCCGCCCGATCTAAATCATTATGTCGCAGCGCCCATCTCGCTAACCATAAACGAGCTTTACTCGTCGTCGCGGTTACTCCAGTGCCGGTCGGCTCTTCGTCCATATCGTCATTATGGTGCGTAAATGCAGACGTCCGTCGAGAGGCGGACATCGCATCATCTTCGGCATCATCGTCATTATCTTCATCATCATTATTGCGGCCCATTTGGCCCGTTTCCTGTTGTAAAGTGAGTTCCATGTATGCAGCCGCTTCTTCTTCGTCACCTAAACGCTCGTAGAGAGTGGCGATTTGGTGCAAGGTTTCTGGATCAAGAATTCGTCGTCCAAAGGGGGTATTCCCTGGGCCTCCAGGAGGAAAAGAAATCCCAGCAGCACCACTATTGGCAAATGAGTTAAGCGTAGTACTGCTACTATCATAATAGGACCCCGCGGCGAGAGCGCGCTTGAGGGCACGGATGCTCTGGTCGGCCCGGCCCATTTTTGCGTAGCATGATCCGACCGCTTGCCACATTTTGGGGTCGTATGGGCGGAGTGCAGCGGCTCGTTGGTAGTAGAAAAGAGCATAGAAGGCCATATCGAGAACCTCGTAGGCTTGACCTAAGCCGTACCACGCCCGATAGTCCTTCCGATTGACGTCCACGGCTCGTCTATAGGATTCAATGGCGGCGTGCGTGTTTTTCATTTCAATATACTCATGACCCATAAGCGTCCACGCGGAAAGAAAATTTCGATCCAGAGTGAGGGCACGTCGAAAGTACATCACGGCCTTCTCGTGCTCAGATTTTAGAGAGTAGTAGTTCCCGACAACGCAACAGGTTTCCGGGCGAAATTTATCTGTAGCGGTGGCCATCTGTGCTACAAACGCAAGTTGGGGTCGAGCACCCATCACATATAAAATATTAGAGTAATGATCGAGGCCATCTAAACGGTGAGGATGGCTGATGAGAAGTTCTGAAAACAAATGCGAGGCCTCCTCGAAGTCTGTCTCCGACTCCACTTTAGTAATGCGAAGGGCATCCTAAGACGAAATTGCGAAGGAGAACATTACCTTTCGAGTGATAATAAAGCAGGGCTCGCTGAGTTTTGAGGAACGCACTTGAAGGAAATATGCTTTCTAGCTCTGTAAGCGTGTGGTAAGTGGCCTCTGTCGCTTGGTAGAGCTCCTGGCTTGAATAAAGATGGAATATTAGGGTCATTATATTCTGTGGCAATTTTTCAGCCACACGTCTTAACTGCCCGGCAGGAAAGTTAGACAAGGCACAAAGATAACGGGGAGACCAAGTCACATACATCATCTGCATTAGTTAAAAGATCGTTCAATTCTTGCCAGGCTCCCCAGTGGAAGGGATATAAGTGTACACTCCTGATCAGCCATTTCTTCGCATCCTCGTCGTTTTTAGCTTTCAAAAGAATTACACCGTAGAGATATTCCAGCCATCCCTGGCCACGGGATTCGAGGCCTCGTTCACGGCGATCTGAAAACCAGCCTTCGAGCCCTTGGGCTAGAGCATGTAGCTCGCGATTCACTGTCATTCCCCCATCCGCTGGACCAAGAACCATTTCTGTTTCTTCATCTTTCCGCTTCTCCCCTGCCAGATACTTGGCATATAAAGCTAGGAAGAGGGACTTTTGGCTTAGCTTAGGGAACGGATTCTTGGATACAGCTCTTGCTTGATGAGCGCCAAGTGATATAGACTTCTCTTTTCCTTTATGAGATGAAGTATTTGGCCTTATTTTTGATGTAGAGGTGGGTTGTCGCGGAGCGAGAGGAATAGAGGACATCGAGGGAGGGAGAAAAATAGCTGCGCAACGGTCATATTCGCGAGTATCAAAGTATGCTTTGGCAAGAATGTATTTGTGAGCCTCTCGAGCCTCTAACGCTGCCTCTTCAGGGTCAGCATTGGTTAGAAATGGGTTCTCGGCGACGGATGGGGAAATATCCATTGGCGAGTCTGGCTCTGTGTCTGCACCATCGCTAAACTCGTCGGCGGGGATCAAGGAATCGAGCATTTCTGCAGCCCTTAAGTATAGCGCTCCAGTTAGTCGTGCAAAGCTTCAGCAAATGTATCATGGAGCAAAAACCTAGCATACCATTTTGCGGACTGGTACAAACATCGCTCGGAGCACTTACGAGCGGCATCTTCCAGCCGATACCGCAGCTCTTGGATGTTGTCTTCGGTGAAATTTGCAGCCATTGTGAGAGGTATAGAAGCCAGACACCGCAAATCCAGCTATATAAACTGCACTGGGACCATCGTCTGCCCGGCCCGTTGAGCACAAGCACGAGGAACGCGGCGGGTTTGAAGTGTCGAGAAGCTTGGATGGAACGGGGATTGTGCGACGGGGAAGCTCGTATGCGTTTGCAGGGAGCAGTCGCAGGGCGTAAGCTAACAGCTATAAAAATCACCAGCCTGTCGGCAATAACCCCATCAAACGCAGGTTCACAAGCGATATTCCATTCATGCTCAATTCAGCATCGAGCGATTCTCACGCAGTGTAAGAGCCCGTTGGAAGTCGTCGAGGCAAACATGACAAACACCAGGAACAAACAGTCCGCTCCCCACCAAAAGTGATTTCGTCGCCCCGCCGCCTCTGCGCTCCCGTGAACTCTGCCGTTGCTCCGTCTCGCTGAATTCCACTCGCCGTTTTGCCCAGCGTACTCGTTTCCCCAGCAAGAACAACTAAAGCCATGGCTGCGAAAACATCCAGAGCCGATTTCGAGGCGGTCTTCCCCTCACTCGTTCAGGACCTTACCGAGCATGCGCAGCAATACGGAGTCCCTGCTACAGCTCTAGAATGGTTCCAAAGGGTTTGCAACCCGCCATCTTCGCCAGGTTCGCCCGACAGATAGCTAATTCGGTTTTTGTGTATAGTCCCTCAATGCGAATACACCTGGGGGAAAGCTCAATCGCGGTCTCTCCGTTCCCGACAGCGCCCTCCACCTCCTGAACCAGCCCCTGACAGACAAGCAATTCAAAGACCTATGCACACTCGGCTGGCTTACGGAGCTCCTACAGGCCTTCTTCCTCGTCTCTGATGATATGATGGATACTTCCATCACCCGCCGTGGTGAACCATGCTGGTACAGGCGCGAAGGCGTGGGCATGATCGCCATCAATGACTCATTCATGCTTGAGTCTTCCATCTATGTCCTCCTCAAGAAGCATTTTCGCTCTCACCCAGCCTACGTCGATTTCATTGAACTATTCCACGAAATCACCCACCAAACCGAGCTTGGCCAACTGTGCGACCTGCTCACCGCCCCGGAAGATCATGTCGACCTGAACAACTTCAGCATGAACAAGTTCACCTTCATCGTCATCTACAAGACCGCCTATTACAGCTTCTACCTCCCTGTTGCACTCGCACTCCACTACCTGCAGCTTGCCACCCCAAAGAACCTCAAGCAGGCCCATGACATTCTCATCCCGCTGGGTGAATACTTCCAGGCCCAAGACGACTTCCTCGACGTCTTCGGCAAACCAGAGCAAATCGGTAAAATCGGAACCGATATCCAGGACAACAAGTGCTCATGGGTTATCAATCAAGCCCTCCTTCGCTGCTCCCCTGAACAGCGCAAGGTCCTTGATGAGTCCTACGGCAGAAAGGACAAGGCACTCGAAGCTAAGGTCAAGGTCGTCTTCAATGAATTGGATATGATCAAGGTCTACCGTGACTTTGAGGAAGACCAGGTGACGAAGATCAGAGGACTCATTGCTGCACTCGATGAATCCGAGGGATTGAAGAAGGGAGTGTTTGAAAGCTTCCTGGCAAAGATTTACAAGCGCGATAAATAGGCGCCCAAGCTCTCCCCTCCTTCCGTCTTCTATTGCATTCATTTTATTATCCTAATATTTGTTTCTTAAAAAGACCAAAGAAGGAACGACTCTGATTAATTCCGTGCATGCGCGTCCAAAGCATAGTGAGAAATTATGTATATATTCCTCAGTCACCATAGGTAGGGTATTTCCCCCAAGATATTCTCATCGCCTGATCGTGAACAATGGATTAAGATGTTGTACCTTATGTCGACAAATATTCCACAGATACCCCGATAGAATACAAATGCAGTGATGTCACCAAAGTGGTATTTCTGCTGAATAGCACACCCCCCCAAGCCTTGTCACTAATTTTAGAGTACACCAAGCAAAAGCAGGAATAAGATAGAATCTGGCACTCACAATAACAATCGCGACACAGAGCTGCAATGATGACTACAAGATGAGAGCTATGGCATAAGACAGCAAAGCTAGAAATCACAAACCAATAATAGTAATGCCATGTCATGATCAAACAAAAGATACAAGCCACCCTTTCCAATTGACAGCTCTGAGCAAATAGCCACGCAGAAATAGTCCACTACAGGAAGAAGATAGGCGCAGCTAGCTGCCATTCGGAGCCACATCCCGATCAGGAGAATGGGGAGGTTCGACCTTTTCTTTTGTTCTGGTTCTAAGAGCAATGGGAAATGGGTACTCATCGGCTTCCTCTTCATCACTACTTATCGCAATAGCCGTATTAGCTAGTTCTACACATGCAACACAGCGAACGCATGAATGGAATATAGATAAAAGGGGTAAAGGCTGACGAGGTTAGACATACGGCAGCTTCCAAGATACATAATCATCTGTGCTCAGCCCTTCTCGTCCTTCCTGCAGTGATGCAAAATCACCCGGTGTCATCATTCCCGAGCGATCACGCGGAGATCCAGGGATGGAGAGCGGGCGCGATATCTTTTGCTCTGTTCCGCCGATAATATCACGGAAGTCTTCTTCTGGGTCGAAAGACATCGGGTATGCTATTAAGACGGGTTAATTGACTCGTACACTGATATTTCGAACAAAAAGATTAAACTCTTACCCCGTCGCAGAGCCAGCTGCCTCGCCTTCACATACTCCAATCCCATTCTCTTCCAGTCCAGTAGATCGCTTAGTCTCTCAGTTCTGTTTCTCTGGTTGATACGCTGTCTTCTGCTCTTACTCGCAAACTCAAACATGTACTGGGTGAGCTGATTAACCGAATCATCCACGCCTTTTAAACGGCGATCCACAATATAGATTCCATAGTCAGAGGAATTTTCAATAAGCTCCTCCATATAGCACCCAAAACCTGAGAGATTGGTAGTGATGCTTGGGACGCCCATTACCGTACACTCGGCCGGAGTATACCCCCAGGGCTCGTAGTACGAAGGGAACACTCCGAGATTCGTGCCGCGAACAAAGTCGTCATAGTCCAAAGGAAGCACTGGATTCGAGGAGTTCAGGAACTCAGGGTGAAATACTATTTTCACGCGATCCGTTGAATAGTTAAACAGCTGCACCCTACGGAGCTGGTTTAGAATTGGGTCCTCGGAGTCATTTAGCATGTTATGGGTCACAATTGGGGGCAAGCTATGACGCTTCATAGCAAAGAGCCGGCGACGGATGAGGACCCTATCTTGAGCGGTGATGAGATTCTTCTCGTCTGGCATGTTGTCACCTTCACGCCAGCTTAAACACCGCTCAAACAGGCGCTTCCCGATTCCCTTCTCCACCATTTCTAGTGTATCTCGTAGTGATTTAACAACCGCCTGACCTTTTAGAGCCTCAACAGTAAGAGACGATGTTTGAGCGGGCATAATGATAAATGCGACGATGGTAGTAGTCGATCCAGTTTCCCTTAAACGGTGGTTAAGACGCGCCAGCGATTCGATAAACATATCCACCCCCTTGTTTCTATACTCATAGCGGCCAGCGATGAAGAAGTAGAGTGTGTTTTCGAGGTCAAAGTCGTTATGGCCATAGAAATGACCTCGTACAAAGTCATGGATCCTCTCTTTAGAATGCGAATGGAGATTCTGGAATTCGTGAACGGCTGAAAACTTCTTCACGTTTAGACCGTTTGGCAATACGCCATCAGGCTTTCGTTTGAGCAAATGCTCGCTTTCATATGCAGTAATGTGGGAAACGGTAGTGAAGACATCTGCTGAATGGGCCGCGGCGCGTTCGATGCAGTATCGGTGGTATATTCCACGCTTTCCAGCCTCCTCGTCGACATCAAAGTTTTGCAGATTATTATAGAAGTCAACAGAGCCAGCGCAAAGGTACCTTCCGAGAAGGGTGGCATGAGTGGTGAATATTGTCGTTAGATCCATGCGCCTTTTCTTGGTCAGGGGTAGAGCGACGCCAGCAAGCCACTCGTGAAAGTGAGCGACTACCGCAAGATCCACATCTCTGCATATATACTTGACCGTGGAATCAGCTTCCTATGGATGTATAAACGGGAGGGACGATAGAAAGGCTCAAATACCTCGCCTAGGAACCACGCGACCAAGTATCCGAAAACAATGGCTTCGTTGGTTTCGCTATCCCCTGGAGGAGATGGAATGCCGGCGGCATTCCAGAGATCGCCTTTCCATTCATCTAGGAACTGATAACCGGCACCGGTGTCAATCAAAATAACTCGTGGAGCGCCTTCAATTAGCCATCTTCCATATTCGATATCAATGCCTCTTTCTTTCATCGCATCTATCGCCCCAGCGAGGTGCGGATTGGTTGGGGTAAGTGACTCAACTTCGACAACGGCCTGCAAGGAAATCAACAGTCAGCGCCGCGAGTTAAGGTGAAGATATGCAATTGTACCGAAGCTCTATTCCAGGGCCCAATCAACGTATATCGGTCACCATATTCAGCGGTGGTTACTTGGGCTTTGGACTTGAGGACCGAGTAAATGCCACCCACTTCCAGGCGCAGTCGAAGTCAGCAGCTATAGTAGCCATAAAAGAGAATTCCAACGAATCATTGAGAATAAAGATTGGACAAGTGACAGACCTCTGTTCGCAACTTCAGTCGAGATCTCGAAGAGAATGTGGCTCTTGACATCGCGTTTTAGCACCGGCGGCTGACGTGCACCTTGATTTCCAGCCATGACGTCGGTTTCAGTTGGCAGCCGCAACGACCGCAAATAGGGAGTAGGGGACTCTAGACAAGTGGAATCTGGAGAAGAAAGCAAAGAATACGAGTCTCTGAGGAGACAGATAGTATAAGGAATGGAAGCAAAGGTGGAGCAACTTATACAGCCACCTGGTTATATTGTCCTTGGAAGTATGTCTAGCTTGTCGTCACACATGGCTATGGTCAGGGTTACCTCACACTAAATCACTAGTCGAGGCCCCGTTTGAACACGCAAAGCCTGGCAGGCTATGGACATCGTTTGGCCGTTAGAGGACCCTACGGGGAATACGTCTGGCCCGAGCCAAACTGTGCTGATACGAATGCATTCAACAATTGAGGTGGGAGTAGCAAGCGCTGAGATGAGTATTCAGAATGCTTCGACGGGCTTTGAAACCAGTCCACGATCGTTGTGAGGGGTTGAAGCTTTGGCCCCGGCCACAGTGGTACAAGGTTCATCCAGGATCCATCGCACCACCCATCTCGCCAGAGACTTGCGCACGGGGTCAAGGCTGAGATGAGTCTCGCTCCCACACCACACAAAAGCAACACTTCGAGATAAAGCTCTCACCAGAACCCTGGAAACGGGCAAATCCATGGAGGATGTTTTGTTTTCCTTGTCGACCAGCTGTGCAAGGCGATTATTATCCTCTTGAGTATTATGAGGGGCCAAGGCATCATGGTTTCATGCAAGTCACTCAATCCCGCCACTTCTTGGCTCTTGGGCCCAGTGAGAAATCGCCATGATTAATCCTGTGTTTGCGGAGGATTGAAACTTATACAGAGTAAAATTTTCTTTTTCAGATTGATTACAGAGGCAAATTTTAAAAAGTTTTCAGTACAAATCAGTATACCCTACCTCATCTATCCAGCACATCCGTCACTGAGTATGAGGATAGTGAAGGTTGTTGGCGTAGTCAGTTGCTCCGTATGCACGAAGTACAGAGTGCCTGAACAGGCATTCACAAATATCCGACTGAACCTCGGTGAATATATTTAACTGCTTCAGTGGGATTCCTACGATACTTTCTGGAACCGTGGTTATCCCAGCCTTTACACTTTATAGCTCTCAATGTGACGAGGTCATCGAGTCACAAGCACCCTGAAGTCTTTCGCATGGAGAGGAACCCAGAAATCGGCGAAAGCGTAACCTTCAGAGATTTTGAAAAACGCAGACCTTGAGTTGAGCTCGGCTTGAGGGTCAATTCTCCACACCTCAACTCACCAAACAGTGACACTACTCCGTACCCTGCCCGCCAAGGAATGGAGCTGACCCGTGTCTCGTCGAGCCCCAGTCAGCCCAAGCCAATGTTTCCGATAGTTAGCCCAGAAAATCATCGAGACCAACCACCGTATGGATCAGCCGGGATCCATAGCTTCCGGCAGGGTTCATGCTGTTAGTCAAGAGAGCGCATGCGGAAGATGTCAGGTACTGGGTTGACTTCGACAAGATGGGTATTAAGTTATTAAGTATTTTATGGTCGCCTTCAAAAGCAGCCTGTCGGCTTCTCGAAATACCCCCACCCGTGCACGATGTTCCGTTCTTCCTGTGGTCTGCTGCCAAAGCCCTGGTTGTGCTTCCGGCCGCGTAGCCCCGTGACCCGCCACCCACCGACCGCCCGCCCAGCGCATCGCCGCCGTAATTGGACGATTCCCGCAGACGAGCCAAGGGGCGGCCCCACCCGGGCTCAGGGACTTTCTTTCAACGTCAGTCCATCATCGTCCCTTTCAAACCTCCCACTTCCACATCTTCATTCTCTTCGTCGCCATCTCTTTGTCCAGGAGGGGCCTGGGAGCGATGTCTGGGTTCCGTTCAAGACCTTCACTTGCTCTATGTGCCGTCTGCGGAAATATATCGTCGTTCGTCGCCGGAATCAACCCTTTTTCGTCCAATCCCTGATCTGCAAGACCTCACCAAAGAAGCCGGCAGTGGCCGTTCCTGCGGTATGAACGAGGGAGTCTTTCCCGTAGCACCAGGCGGGAGCGTGTACTGCCGTCTGCAAACCACCGTCAATATTTTCCCTAAAGCGTCGTTCGTGGCCGGGAGTTTTCCTTCGCCTTCGACAAGTTTGACCCCGTCTCTGATACCTCCGATCGTGCATATGCATACCAGGGATTAAGGATTTATTCTGTTGTGTTGATATTTCTTGCACTGTTGTTGCTGATCAAAGCCTGAAAGGGCAGACTCGGCTATGAGTTTCTTATAAAATATTCATGGCCTTGCTGAAAAGGAGTATGGCCTGGCAAAGTGTCTTTGTTTTCATATGTCTTTGCCCTCTATAACAACAAATGGTTAAATAGAACCATGTTGTGACAAGGAATCCCCTTTTAGTGTTTTCTCACAACCACCTCGTTGCCTTGAGGAAAAAGAAAACACGAGACTGTTCTTGTGCGAAGATCGAGATTCGGTTCCGGCTGCACAGCAAATTTGATTTGTTGACCGAGTGTTCTTGATGCCAGGTATATAAGAACTTGAAACGGCAAGAACGCCCGTTTAGTTGAAACAAGAAAAAGGGTCTGCCGTCGCCGTGATTCGAACGCAAACCTCGCAAAAGATCGAAACTGGGAACGACGGGGGTTATGCCGTTGCGCCACCAGGCCAATTTAGGAAGTTGACGCGCCTGACTTTCAGCCCGATACCTCACGTGGGCTACCCAGTCGATGGAGACGAACCCTCGCCCTGCGATCCAAAGACGTCGACAACAGCGCCTACGTCGCCCTGATAGGAGAATCAAGTTGAGAAACGGGTTCTACGAGGCCTGTACAGCAACTGACGATAATTTTCGGGGTATTCTGGGGCTCGTTACGTGAGTAAGGGGGGTGAATAGCTTGTAGGCGGTCCGCCATATGTTAAGTTCCTTCGAGTCCTAGTGTCACTCCCCGGCCTGGCCTAGTTGGATAACGCGTGAGATCCAGCTTACAGTACCGAGGTACCGCGGTATGTTGTAACGCCCCAATGGCAGTATGTGCCTCTAGGTGTCACAGAAAGGGTTGCAGTGTAGAAACCGACCGCTTCTGGTGCTGAGTTTCATAATGACTTGAGCCCAGCTCGTCATGAACTTTTTGTCATTCTGGTTAATATTAGCTTTATCTCTTGTTTTTGTATTCTTTGTGGCATGGGATGCATTAGGATTGCTGGAAGACTCGAAAACAGAATGCGATATAGTGTACTTCGCCGCGAAGTACCTCGCCAAGTACCTCAATTTTGGACGTCGCCGGTACGAATCCCAGCTCTGCTGAAAGTAGGCATTTTCCTGCAACACTGATAGATACCGAATTTCGGCATCATCCTGATCTTTACGACCAGAAAAAAATGATTCTAATCTTAGTATCCTTTGAACTATAGTGTTGCATTCAGAATCAGCCGTTTGCGTTGATGCTGGTAATGCTTCCCCTATAATTCGAGTCTACTTTTTCCTGGAATAATTTCCTCCTTTTTCCATCTGTTTAATATTGTCCTGGAGACATAGCAACTCATCCCTTCATAAAATAAGCGATTTCAACTGATGCTAGTGCGTTGGCGGGTGCAGTGCAGGAGCCATAGATTCCTTTCTGCAGGAAGTTGACTGCCAACTTCCCACGGCGTTTTATCCCACTCCAGATACCATCTGCTTTCGATTTCAACGATATAACCATCAACAATAATCTCTATTATCTCCTCATTCCCCGAGAAATGCTCCTCTTCACTCAGGATTTAAGGGGATGCGATTAGTCGTGCGAATCCTACATTTCCTTGCCGACCGTCCCGCCTACGGAGTTCATGCTTGGTCTGAGCCTCGCATCGCATTTCAAGAGCTTTCGCTAACACATGAATTTGATCCTTTTAGGACCAAACCCTGCGTATGTCGAACACGTCTAGCTGGTACAAGGCCTAAACCATGGGTTGGAGGCGGAGTGAGAGCCTTGGGTTGTACTATTCCTGCGTTCCAACTTCCCAGCCCCAGTGCATGGATATACATCATCTATATTTTTCTTGAACTATTGGTTTTCAGTTATACAAGAATCAGGGAACTGCCGTCGGGTTTGCCTGTCCCTCCTTTATTTGAGGCTTGTTTTGCAGTTCTGCGCTGTAAAGCGCAGAGACCACAGAGGCATTGTCCACGCCCCTCTTTTATCGACTCCTTTTGACCTTTTAAGCACTCGAGTTTCGCTATCGAATTATGTTTTCTCGCTCTTCCTTCCGTCCTATATGATTCACACCTTTGCTAATTCGTATGTATTTCATCCTTCTCTAACAGGTCAGCTCTCATTCGGTATTTAGCTGAGAGCCGAGCCAACTTCCCTGCTCGGAAAGCGATGAAACTGCGTACGAAGTTCTCCCGTCTAAAAGGAAGGCTCTGGCGCACTGGTCGCAATGTCAAGAGGTGCTTTATTTATTGCCCGAGGAGAACCAATTCTTCGTCGCTCGAGGACAGGTATCAAGCAGGCGAAGCCGCCCAGACAGAGCCCTATGAAGCGCTCCCTTTCGGGGAAAACAATGCCCTCCCGGTTATAGAGCCGCCATCAGGTTTCCCTTCAGCTACGGATCGTTCTGTCGAGACTTTTCGAAGACTAGACCCCACCTACACATGCGAATGCCGGTCACTTCTCCTTGAGAGACTCAGACTAGTCATGGCAAATAGTCTAATACCTGTCCTTGAGGAGTTTAGTTCGTGTTGCTGTGGACAAGGTCGGTTTGGTGGCGCTCCCACCGATCGCTCATTGTCAAGCGGGTATGACACGATATCAACACGAACACTCTCTTTGGAGCGTCACGGTGGTATTCGGATCGAACTACGTAACGGAATGTTCGAAGCATCCCTGGCCGCATGTCAGAACGAATCTCTGTCCTGTTGTGAATGGGGAAGCAGTTCCTCATCCAGCTATCCACCACCCAGAGCTTTATCTGAGCCATTGAATGACAGGGTCTTAGTTGTAAGGCTACCTCGTGGCCGGGCAGTATGCCATAGAACGGCATCTGGGCAGGGCGAGTGTCAGGGCCGCAATCTCTCCGAATGCAGTAACTGTTTTACAGACCAATGGCATCACAGGCCTGCGGAAAGCGTTCCCGCATGGATCAATGACCTTCCAGATTGTCCCATTCCAGGAATAACGGATCCCTCAATACTGCACCGACCGCTGCGGCGGAAGAGGAAAATGTCAGATTTATGCCGTCAGGGGAGCTAAGCGAATATATGAAACTAATAAAACTGGGATCTGGCCATGAGGCTCAGGGCCTATTAATGAGGGGAATGTACGTTATGCATGATGTTTATGTCAATTATGGGAGATGAGGAAAAGTTAATAGGAAAAAAAAAGGATACAGACAGGAACTTATATGTAAGGGAGCTTAAGGGTAGTGACCCAACTTAGGGAGAGAGTAAATGCTAGTAGGATAAGTGTCAAAGTCTTTATGGGTGAACATTATGGCTCAGCAAGGAGCACATTCCCCCGATTGTTTATGATTAGAAACAGCACGTAGCAGCACGAAACATTCCTCACTTTGATTGGTTGAAGTCCATTCTAATGACCTGTTCAAACCTCCGTCAACACTGATTAACCCCCAGCCTTGACGGCGGGTGAGCCCAGCCCGATACAAACTCTCTTCATTATCCCCTGCACAGCGGGTAAGAATCCCATAATCATTTGCCGCTGATCCAAGCATATGCTCCAGGTCGCTTTCCTTGACTAAAGTGTACAAGGTTAAGGTCAGGTCTACCAGTCGCAGATCTATCCTTGATCTCTCTCCGGGACTGATATTAGGATACGGCCGTCGGGAGTTGGCAATCCCACGCAGCAACGAGACAAGATGCAGGGCGCGGTCGTCACTGTACAAAGGCTCGTAATTTCGTGCACTGATGTCGAAGTCGTGAACGTCTAAAGTCCCTTGACCACCCTCCTCAACTGCCCTTAAGATTTGCCCAACAACCTCTTCTGCATTCGGGGGAACGGTATTGCGACCCATGCTCACGTGAAAGAACCCCTCAAAGGAGGCTTTTGATGCGAGACCCCTATGGGGAATACGGACGAGGTTAACTTCCTCCAGTTCCCTCTCACTGTGGCCCGCGTATGTGGGAAGCAATTCGATGAAGGAAGCTCGGTAAAACGAAGGGTGAAGGATTGCCATCAACAGGGTGAGATTTAGATCAGAGACAGCAATGTGGTCAGGCAGATAGCCATAAATATCTACCATGCGGTGCAACGCGTTGAGAATCATGGCGGCCCTGCTTTGGTCAATCCTACGATCTCCTTCTAAGACGTAGCCGGGGAAAGGCTCGATGTGGCCGGGAGCTCGCGTACCTAACTGAGGCTGGCCTCCCAAGGCGGGAACTTGGGCTGCCATTGATGGCTGGAATGAACGATTTTCGCCCGCACGCTGCATTTGATTTAAAATGGTGGACGCTTTCACCTTTTTGTATGACATGATGTGGTAAAGCGCCTCGCAGCGCAAGTCTCGGTCGCTTCGAGGATCGCCTGTCTCAGCCAGCCGACGACTGAGCTCAATGGCTTCGTTTGTCAATGTGAATTCGTCCAGCGAAGTGAAATTCTCGAACCACTTGGACTGTGTACACTGCACAGCTCGAAGAAGAGTGTGTCCTGAATTTGAGTTGTCCCTATATTTCTCCGCCATCAACTGGGAGACCACTCTAAGGGTTACGAGCGCGCCGTCAATGCTTGTTGCAAGTTGGCGCCAGTTTCCAGTTCGCAGTGATAATTTTGGCCCTCGAGGAACCTCTAAATACACGTTGTACCTGATAATTTGCCATGCAACGGCGTCGAAGTCAATGCTAAGAGTGGTGCTGGCCAACCTGAGGCTGGCAATAAGAGCTGTTTGAGTTTCCGCTATCGGAGGAGGTGCGGACAGGGCTTGAGATTGCTGATACCAGGAAGGAAGGGCCATATAAGGGTATCTTTTGAGGACTGAGGCAATATAACTCCAGTCATATTGTCTTCCTGTTGCCGGATCAATTTCGTTGAACTTCTCGCCACCGAAGCATATATCACAGCGCAGAACGCTCGTCAAGGGCTCAAACACATCGCCAAACTCTTCATACTGAGTGATTTCATGTGGAAAGTCTTGCTTCAGTGCAGTATAATGATCTGCTAGGCCTCTCATGCCAAGGCAAACGGATCTCAGAGCTTGATGGTCAAGGTGACACAGCCTGGGCAAGTAAGCCATTTTTTTTAAAAGCCCGGATATATGTGTCAGAGCAACTGTAGGTAACTGGCCGGCCTTAGCTATCCAAAGGTTGAAGCATTCAAGCCCCTGAGAAAGGTATCCTTTTTGTGCGCTCTGAAGGCCTTCATGGATTTGCATGCGTTCGAATTCTTCAATCGCAAAGGCTATATCCTCATGCTTGATATCATGGTCTCCTGGCAGAGATCTCTGCTCCCACAGAGGAATCGGCATTTTGCAAACCAATATTCTATTCCAAAATATTCAGTTAGATCACCATATATGCATATCCCACCCAATACAAGTCGACTAGGTAAGTAGTTAAAGGGGGAGCTCCAATAACATACTGGATATAAACAATTTAAAAAGATAGGCTGTTCTTCTTCGTTCAGCTGTACACTCTTGAGGAAGCTATTGATATCAAGAGGTAGGCGGTGTGTGCACGATAAGAGGAAGTAAGAAGGATACAGCAGAGAGTGTAAATATAACAGTTCCTGTCAGGCAAACCTCTTCACATAAATTAAGCGAGATGTGTGCAGGACCTAGTCAAGGAATCACTGTGATTGACGGCTTCCTCCGGTGCTTCCTGCTAGGGAGAATAGCCCTCGTGCTGCTTGGTGTGCTTTCTGAGAGCATCAAGACCAGAGTATCTCAGGAGAAACATTTTACCGACCAGGGGTATGGATATCAAGTATATAAAAACAGAAGCCATCTGTATAGTGCCACAGGGAGGAAATCGAAACCCATTAATGTACAAATGTTTAATCCCAGAACAGTTGACTGGATGAACGGGGAAATAGGTTCATTTTAAATCATACATAGCTCTAAGAAAGATTGTGCAAGAAGAGCCCGGAAGTACAATGACCAAAACTCCGATCCCGCTTAAACAAAGGGTTGACATATCAGCAGATAGGTATATGCTATGAGAAAAATCATAGCTTATTGTGGAACATCCTAGCAGGATCGGCACTGCAGGTAGGCATCTTCAAAACACAAAGACTATCAATGGATCCATAGTCATATGAGGCTGATAATTAACTTAGGTATGATCTTTGCCGGCCTCTGGGTCACCTGTTTCTAGTTCTTGGGGCGGGGAAGAAGGGCCTTTCACAGGCTGAGGAGAAGCACTGCTTGCCGGTGGGCTGACAATTGTTTTGGACTTGACAATTCCAATAAGATGTTCTCCTAGATCAGCGGATCCATCTAACTTGTCTATTTTGGATTTGAAGAATTGGACATCGGATAACATCCTTAGAAACGTTAAAAGTTAGCAAATAATACGTACCGAGAGTTAGGGTACGGGCAGGCTTACCTTTGACGAGCCGTTTCAGAATTCAAAGTAACTGATTGAAACGCCCTGGTCCATTGATCTCGATAGTTCGCGAAAACAGGAACCATGATCATCATGACAGTCGTGTCCGGTAGATGTTTGGTTAGAACTCGATGTAGCGTCCCAGTTTCCTTGGCAAGGGTCTCCATATATGGGCTGATAGCATTGACATCCCTCTGCGATTCCCAATCTATCTTCTTCATGGAATTGGCATGTACAGCTGCACGAGAGCTCATGATGTCGACTAGCTTCTCATGAATACCTGACTGGTGCTCTTGGTAGAGTCTTCTGACTTTGTCGAACTCAGCCATAAGAGGAGATGTGCAATGCCTGCGGATAAATTCTCTGACATACGGGATGAGCGCCATAATAAGGCTCAAGGCTTGGGACGCAAGTGCAAGATGTTTTGTTGTAATATTCTTCAAGCCAGCACTCTTCGTGGCGCCAGCGCCAAGGATTAGCTGCGATAGGCGGGAATTAAATAGTTTGAGGCATTCCAAGAAATGTGAAGCGATATCTGGAATTATGCTCGGTATTCCTGTCATTAAATGCTGGAAATCTTCGATTATTTTTACCATTAAGATTGCAGACTCTGGTAGAATGTATTTTTGCTCATCGATAATGGCGCTCCGGAGCCGATCCTTGCTGGTGACGGATACGTCATTGCCATTGATCGGGGATCCATTCGTCGCTGTTTCTGTGCCGTTTGCTTCATCTTCCCATATTCTTGATGTCGCAAGCCATACATCCACCTCTCCAGTGCTTGCCTGGAGGATTCTGTTAAGCAAAACTGTTTCAGAATCACCAAAATCTTTTGCATCCCACTTGTCAGAATCCATAACCTGGACAATCCGATGTTTATGGCGCTCTGAAAAGCTGCCAATGTAGGCTTTGATTTGGTTGTCCACCACTGTCTTCAAGGCTGCACCACTTCTTCCTGAAATCGCCTCACATTCATCAGCGAAGAGTCTGTTAAGGCTAAAGTACCTTAAAAATTGCGGCAAAGTCAGGTTTTCAATCTGCTCAAGCCGCACCTTGAGCACCTTTACCATTTGCGATTGAACGATGTCGACGGCCTGTCCAAGGAGGCTAGACATGTCCAACACTTGCAAGATCTCATCCTTTGCGATTGTGGCAAATTCGCCAGGGCTAGCGGGGTCGTTAAAATTGGGTACGGAAGGGCTTCTAGACGGGGATCGGATTGCATTTGGGTTGGGAGAATGTTCAAGTCCACTCGTGATGTCAAGAAGAACTTTGACTTGAACGCTGAGACGTCTCAATGACTCGCTGATGCCGGTATAAATTTTTGTGAGCATGGAGTGGGCATCTTCTGGATCTAATGCTCGTAAATTACGAGCGAGTATTGATGACTTTTCCTGTTGGGTGAGCTGTCTCCCACCGCGGGTCGATGCAGACATTATCGACTCCGTGTCATCGTCACTCGAACTCGGAAGCTGGTGTCGAATTATACTTTTCATTTCTCGTAAAATGACATTTTTAAAGGAGGTTGCAGCAGGCATGGTATGGTGAGAACGGCCCAGGCCAGCCAAATCTCTACGTAGCCTCGCTCGCAACTCATGGTCCACATGCATATACTTTGGAGTCGAGGGGATCTGGCGATGCGCCCTACGAGACCTCTGGAATGTGTCGCCTAAGCGCAGCAATGTAATCTCAGGTGCTACAGCCTCAACATGTACTCTAAGGTCTTGCAGCAGGGCTTCCAAGAAGCGGCTCTCATAGCCCATTCCAATCCGGTACCGGAGTTGCATTAGATCATCTGATGCACCTTGCAGAGCCTTAATGCCTCGCAGATCAATAAATGAGTCGCTGAGCGCATCTGCCCGTGGTTTTATAGTCTTTTCGCCTGCAATCAATCGCTCAACGTCGTCAAGTTCATCAATGGCGTCCTCGATGTCGCCCTTCTCAACCATTTGCTCGCATTGGGAAACGGAATCGATTACCTCTTTTAGTTGAATCATTGCATTGGCAAGTTTGGAAACATTTTCTCGGCGTCGACGTAGTTTAACGACTTTAAGCCCTCCCAATGCTATATCCTTATCCAATCTAGCCAAATCGCTGCGTAAGATTTGAATTTTCTTAACAGATGCTTCGGCTTCTGCATGCAACTCCCGCAGCGAGCCAAGGGCGGAGAAAAACGAGGTAGAAGCGGTAGATATAGAAGAAATGAGATGAATCTCGACAGTATCTAGGTACCACGATAATTTTTCCTGTAGTATGGCATTGGTCGCTAGCGCTTTTCTCTTGGTCGGCTGGATTTCTACTGGATTATCGATCGACTCTGACGGTTTGCGAGAGCTGATGACTTCGGACCGTTCGGAGACAATGTCAAACGTCCGCGGATTTTCGAGCTGAAAATTTTCGTCAAAGTATACCCTTGGGATAGTCGATAAAGGGGTAGCGGATGGCCCACGACTTCGGTAATTCAGTGACGAGCCCCTCCTTCCAGGTACATCCCCTGATGCGCTGAGCAGCGAACTGGAGACTGACTGCCGCCTATCCAACTGCTGAGATAATATGGTATCTAGCTCAGACACTTTCGACGTTTCCGCATGCTTTCCGAACAATTGACCCTCGCCCTTATTCACAGCTTCCTTGGCGCGGCGTAGCGAGTCATACAAAGAACCGATCTGTGAAATATAGGCCTCAAAGGATGTTGATTCCACATGTGGGATATTTGTCAAAGTAACGGGGGGGATATCTCTGGTCGACGGTGGTTTGTACCCGCTAGACGGGGCAGAGGTATGAGGAAGCAAGCCAGTCCTGACGATTGGCGGCTGGAGAAGAGTCGATATAGCTAGAGGCGGAAGGAGTCAGTTCTGCCAGAGACATACAAAGCGCACATGCTTACCATTCTGGCCGGATTCTGCTATCGAGCCATTGTGCAGTGTAAGAATGGAAGCGGCTCCTGAGCTCGCAATCGAACTCGCCGTCGAGCCGCGGCGGGATTCATGTCTCGGCCGGTAAAAAGAACGACCGGGATCGGATTGAAGAAAAGGTAGCTGGGGTAGCGAGGAGGTCGAGGACGGGGAAGTTATGTTTTCCACCGACTTTCGGGAATTCGGAGAGGTCATTTCGCAACCAAAATCGACGATCAAAGACGGTCGATTTGTTAGGTGGTCACTGCTCGAGCATGGAGCGGCATGATGCGCATCAAGCTCACTTCACCAAACAGAGGGACAGGCTGAACGCGGGGTTCTACCGGGACAGCTGTTGGTCTAGAAAATCAAACTCCAAGTGGATATGAATTTGCCGCTGTGACCGTTCTCTGGTGCAGTGCCTGGAACTCCATAAACATACGAACACCCGACCTCAACGGCGAACTGACCAGGACGGGCAACCCCAACAGCCAATCAGCACCCGGTGGCCCTGGCAGCCACACTGGGGCACCGCCTCATCTCGTAGAAATAGTTTATCCGGAGCCACGCCAAGAAACCACTTTACGCGCTTCTGGGTGCGACGCGACGCGTCCGCCGCTCAACGAGTCGCTATGGATTTCTGCAAGCTTGAGAAGTTCGGATTGCTGTTAGGCGTTTCCCGTCAATCCTCCTAGAGTCGACACCGAAATTCTTTTCATTTGGCTTAACAAAGTGCAGTGAATGACGCCGTGATCCCGTTGTTTTATGACCCATCATGGATAGAAGAAGCGCTTACTCCCTCAGTGTCCTCCAACCGACAGTTGACGGGCCCGATGAAGCACGCACAGCCATTCAAGCCCAGCTCCGAGAATTTATCCTTGCCTTCCAGCTTGACAATGCCTTCATATACAGGTGAGCAGTTCGTGAGCTATGATGTAAAGTCGGCCATTGACTAATTTTGGTGCTGTAGAGACCAGATTCGACAAAATATCCTTGCCAATAAATATTACTGCTCCGTCGATATCGCCCATCTGATTGCATACAACGAAGAATTGGCGCATAGGCTCACCACAAATCCTTTAGACACAATTCCATTGGTAAGCCACAGTTGCTTTTCAAAGTGGTTCGGTTTTCGTCCTAATCTTGTTGCACGACTCCAGTTCGAAGCCGCCCTAAAACAGTGCTCCCAGCGAATAGTATACCCATCCCAGAGAGACGTAGAGCTACCAGAACACCAGCTTCTCCTTCATTCCACTGCATCCCATATCACAATCAGAGACCTTCATGCAACCAATGTCTCCCATCTGGTCCGAATACCCGGGATTGTTATTGGTGCATCAACAATATCGTCGAAAGCGACTGTTATCCATATCAAATGCCGCAACTGTGAGACGTCGGAAAATATTGTTGTAGAGGGCGGATTTTCGGGATTGTCGTTACCCCGGACATGCAAAAAGGAAAGAAATCAAAATGAGGATAAGTGTCCATTGGACCCATACGTGGTTGTGCATGAGAAATGCCAATTTATCGACCAACAAGTGCTTAAACTCCAAGAGGCTCCAGATCAGGTTCCCGTTGGAGAACTTCCTCGCCATATATTGATATCTGCCGATCGATATCTTGCGAATCGTGTGGTACCTGGTTCTCGGTGTACGATAATGGGCGTATTCTCTATCTATCAAGCCAAGGGGAAGAAAAATGCAACCAACGGAGCGCCTGCCATTCGAAACCCATATGTTCGGGCCGTGGGGATCACGACTGACATTGACCATACCGCAAAGGGTAGTGCAATCTTTTCCGAAGAAGAAGAGCAAGAATTCCTGGAAATGAGTAGACGGCCAGATCTCTATGAAGTATTTGCGGACTGCATAGCTCCATCGATTTACGGAAATCGAGACATCAAAAAGGCCATAGCATGTCTTCTTATGGGTGGATCGAAGAAAATTTTGCCTGACGGCATGAAGCTTCGAGGAGACATCAACGTTCTCCTCCTTGGTGATCCAGGAACTGCCAAATCGCAGCTGCTCAAATTTGTGGAAAGAGTGGCGCCAATTGCTATATATACATCTGGTAAAGGTTCCTCCGCCGCAGGTCTGACGGCTTCCGTCCAGCGCGATGCGACTACGCGAGAATTCTATCTCGAAGGAGGAGCCATGGTTCTTGCGGATGGAGGGGTCGTATGTATCGATGAATTCGATAAAATGCGAGATGAAGATCGTGTCGCAATCCATGAAGCCATGGAACAGCAAACTATCTCCATTGCTAAAGCTGGGATCACCACAATCTTGAATGCACGAACTTCTGTGCTGGCCGCCGCAAACCCTGTATTTGGACGATACGATGATATGAAAACTCCTGGAGAAAATATCGACTTTCAAACCACAATCTTGTCCAGATTCGATATGATATTCATCGTACGAGATGAACACGAGAGGGGACGTGACAAAAAGATGGCAAAGCATGTCATGGGCATTCACATGGGTGGCAGAGGGATTGAGGAGCAAATTGAAGCTGAGATTCCAGTGGAGAAAATGAAACGGTATATCAGTTATTGTAGATCGTAAGTCGTCTTGCCTAGCACCAAGATCCCTTGATTTCAGCTTGATGCACATGCTAACGATACTGCAAAAATTTTTCAGTCGATGTGCCCCTCGACTCTCACCTGAAGCCGCTGAAAAGCTGTCTTCACATTTTGTCTCGATCCGTAAACAGGTACATAAAGCTGAACTGGACGCCAATGCACGATCATCAATTCCCATCACAGTTCGTCAGCTGGAAGCTATTATACGTATCACAGAATCTCTCGCGAAGCTTAGCCTGTCCGCGGTCGCGACAGACGCCCACGTCGACGAGGCGGTGCGGCTGTTCCTTGCATCAACCATGGATGCTGCTGTCCACGGCGAGGGCCACGCGAGTAAAGAGCTCATGGCCATGGTGGGCAAGGTCGAAGATGAGTTGAAGCGGAGATTGCCTATTGGCTGGAGTACGAGTCTCGCTACGTTACGGCGGGAGTTTGTAGATGGGAGAAACTATAGCGAGCAGGCATTGAACAGGGCGCTGGTGATTCTGCAGCGTAGGGAAACAATACAGTTTCGGTCGGGTGGATCGCAAATCTATCGGCACGGCCCATGAATGCATTCTATGTATGTAATAATGACCGCTTATTTTTGCCGACGACCATGGCAACCACGGACTAATGATTTAATGCTTCCGCTCAGCACCATCACTCTCTTCACTCTTTATAGTAAATTCATCATTGCTTAAATGCAGCAGCATGATGTCAAAGGCATTGTCATAGTCAGTCCAGAATTCGATGTCGTTTTATACCTCTGCACGAGCTGGTGCGGCGTCGGGGGCTGTCAGCAGACGCATTAAGAACATTTTATGACACATGAGCTTGACTTCCGTCAAGCCAGACCCGAGCCCAGCGGTCAAACTCGGCGAATCAGCATCTCTGTCAAAGAGCTCCTGGTGGCCAATGCTCAGTTTACGGAGATTTTCAACGCCACAATGAGCTGGAATAAAGACTTAGCGATGATATATCAGGGACAGGGGCTTTGCTACGTCAGACAGTGGAGTTATGCTATTTATTCGTGGTAAATTTTTACACTTCGGGCATCGATCGCTTTGACTTCTTGTTGTCATGGCTTCACATGCAGGCGACTCGACTACCATGAGAAAGTGATACTAACCATTGCGCTTCTGCGCTGGACGAACTAACTCAACCTCAAGGATTCCTGCGGAGCTCCTTCGACTCTTTATTCTTGTTATTTCTTTGTTTCTGATCTTGCCACGCACTTCCACGATATGTTTTGAGATATTGGTGTTTCATCCTACGAACAATTTTCGCTTCAAATCGTCGGACAGTTTCACCAACGAAGTATTTTGCGCGAATCAAATTGGGAATTAAACCCGACTGTTACACAAGCGTAGCTCTGTGACCAGAACGCTAGATTTAGAAGACGTTCCGTTGACACCACAATATCGGGAACTGCTATGTTACACCCTGTCGCATGAACTCGAATCCGTCTGGCAATTATTATGGATACTCCGTACCCGTTCATTGTGTCTGATGGGGACATTATCGATAACGGAGGTCCTACTTCAATCCTGTTTGATTCTAACGGTGATATATCTTGATATTGAAACATGCCAACCGCAGTACAGGAGGGTACACAGACCGCAGTCGTTCAAGTCGACAAGTCAGAAGATGGCGTTACGAGGATTGGGATCAACAGACCACAGCGAAGAAACGCCATAGATCAGCTCACGGCAAAGAAGTTGTATGAGGCGTTTGTCGCTTTCGAGAATGACAACCGGCAGAAAGTATGCGTGTTCTATGGTACGGGGAGAACATTTTCGGCCGGCTTTGACCTCAGCGAACTGACCAGGTGGGATACACCGCCGGGCGGGTCTAGAGACATCGATCGCGGAGGTAATGAACACCTGAGTAACATTACGCGTTCCAAGTTCGAACCCGTTTGCGGTCGCAACGCCGGTCCACTCGGCCCAAGCAGAATGCGGATAAACAAACCAGTGATTTGTGCCATTTCAGGATGCTGCGTTGCGGGGGGGTTGGAGTTGTGTCTTCTCGCGGACATACGGGTTGTGGAAGAGGATGTGGTATTCGGAATATTCTCCAGACGCTTTGGCATTCCGCTACTCGATGGAGGAACGGTCCGTCTGCAGTCTGTCGTCGGGTTAGGTCGGGCATTGGATATAATATTGACGGGAAGGCCGGTAGGAGCTCATGAGGCCCTTCACATGGGTTTAGCGAACCGGGTTGTACCGAAGGGCCAGGCTTTCGGGGAGTCAATGAAGCTTGCGAGGCTACTGGCCTCGTTTCCTCAGGAATGTTTGAATGCAGATCGAGATTCTTGTTACTATTCTGCCTATCGAGCGCAGTCACTGGAGGATGCGCTATCCTATGAATACAACGGTGCTGTGAAGGTCGCCGACCTTGCCATTCGGGAGGGAATCAAGTTTGTCCAAGGCAAAGAGAGGCAGGCGAAGCTATGACATGTGTTCGGTGGAACTGCTTCTTGGGGTTTTGAAAGGACTACTTCATTTTCCTAAGATTTTAAGAGCTTTAGAATTTCGGATTGTGTTGCATCTAATAAAGAGTCAGAATCGATGTCTGGCAGCCACTTTTATACCGAATTGCAGTGACAAATAATATATGAAGTGCGGAGTACTCAGGAGGCTTCTGTTGCATACTACCAGGGTCTCCTTGGAATCCCAAAGATTTCAATGTTTTGCCTACATACATACTTTTGCGATGCTTCGACAGCCTTGAACACCCTGTGCGAGTGCTGCCATTATTCTACACTGCGTTGGAGGCTCGGAGCAGTCTAGCGCAAATAGGCTCCTTGCCGCCCATGGCCCATAACTACTGTAGCCCCTGGACGGGCTCTCCGGCAATTGGGCGCTGGATGCACCCTCTGGTGGCGCCGTTCTAGGTGGGGCACGCTGATGTCACCCCGCCGATCAGGGCCCGGAGTGAAAGGCTTCAGAAGCATCGACGTTCGGCTTTTTGAAAACTTTTTAAATCGGGAGCAAAAGAAATAGTCCTGCACTTTAGGGTGAAAGTTGACTTGTGATTCTTCGACCTTTTGGGATTGTGCTGGTTTATGCACACCGGTGGACTACTCAGCTGGACACGGGTCGCTGTGGTTTGCTGGCAAAGCACTCTTCAATCCACGGCCTTATCCACCAAAGTTCAGTTGATTTGGCCCGTTACGCCCGCTGGCTGATTTTTTTTTTTCCTTTTCTTTTTCAAGAGGTAGATTCTTATATATCCCAAATAATGCCAGCCCGGATTCGAGTCATCGGCTCCTTGAATGCCGACATGGTCACAGTGACCCCGCGCTTCCCCGGGCCAGGAGAAACTCTCACAGCGAGATCCTTCAACACCAGCGCAGGTGGCAAGGGCGCAAACCAGGCCGTGGCCTGTGGCCGCCTTTCCCGCTCACAGCCTAGATCGTCGACCAGTGATACCCAGGATGAGGAGATTTATGTTGAAATGATCGGTGCCGTGGGCCGCCAGGATTCGTATTTCTCTACTCTCTTGAAACCAACTCTAGAACAGTCTGGTGTGGATATTGCGCGGATTAGGGAAGTGGATGGTGTGCATACAGGCATCGCCGTGATTGTTGTTGACAGTTCGGCTGGTGGCGAGAATAGGATTTTGCTCTCTCCAGGTGCCAATTACGCGGGGATGCAGCCTACAGCAGAGCTTTTGGACTCAGTACTGTCGCCTCCTCGACCAGATGTGGTGGTGGTGCAGGCAGAGATCCCACTGACGACGGTGGTTGAAGTTCTGAGGCGGGCCGGGCGTCAAAAGGAGCAACTACGCAAAGAAGGTGTCAAGGGCGTGGATGGAGAGGTCGAGGTTGTGTTTAACCCCGCTCCGGCTCCAGAGGGCGGCCTACCTACAGACGTATATGCGGCAATTGACCATTTGATCATGAACGAAACGGAATGTGATATTATGGCGCCGAAGGAGCTGAGGGATATCTCTGAGCCAGAAGAACGCAGGGGCCAGATCGCAAAACATTTCCATAGCTTAGGTGTACGGTATGTCATAGTTACACTGGGCTCGGAGGGAGTATGGTATAGTGCAGCTGATGTGGGCAGCAAGGCCCAAGACGACGTCAAAACGTGGATTCGCTGCATTAATCATATTCCTGCCGCAAAAGTGGAAAAGGTTGTGGACACCACGGGTGCGGGAGACACCTTCGTGGGCGGCTATTCGGTGCAAGTGGCTCGATGGAGAGAGCAGAGACGGTTGCTTGGGAAGGCCAACGAATGCCTTACAGATGATGAGCGGAGAGAACGGTATCACAAAGGAATTGAAGAGGCAATTCGAACGGCGGTCCGGGCTTCGGCCCAGTGTGTTCAGCGGCAAGGAGCCATGGATAGCATTCCATGGAAGGGAGAGATCTGATACTATTTTCAACCACCGATGTAAATAAACATGCCAGATCATGAAAGATATAGAGAATGCTCTATACTAGGAATGGAGAACAAACAAGCATGTGTTGCTTGGTAAGTTAAACCTACGGGAGTAAAGAAGTGTGCTATGGCCAGTGGAGTGCTTGGATAGCCGTCCTCAGCTCAATATTTCCATAAACATTGACCGTGCAAGCCTCTTACCGTCTCATCAAAGGGGCATTTATTTACCTACATTGCCCAAGGTCGCCAGCAGGGGATCCAGGGGTGGACGACATGAAGGGAGCCTTGGCCGTATGGAGGAAAGATACCCCTCGACAGCGCCTAACGGGAACACTCGGCATTACACGACTCCGTAGTGAAGCACCACTGTCCTACGCAGGTCTCGAAGAATCGATGAAACGACCGATTAACTAGCGAGGAGGATGCGAAACGGCGGCGGAGCGGGTTTGAACTCCCGACCTGGGTACAAACCTTTCCGTCAGCAATTCGCCAGCGATCGATGCGCGCGCATAGAAGTGTATGTACGGAGGAGACTTGAGAGAACTATTGCTGAGGCCGGGCGAGACGAGTGACCGGGATGTGCATTCAATTCTCAGCAGCCCAGCTGTCATGTCCTTTTTAGCTGGACGGAGTACGGCGTCCTCTGTAACATGATTCGTCGTTCGCTGGCTGAAACTGGACGTGTCGAGCACAGGAGAAGAACTAGTGGCTCTTGCACGTCAATCTGAATCTGGCCAACCCTGTCCTCTTGCCGGTGATTGGTCCTATCTTCAATTTTAGATTAAGTTGACGACTCCATCGCGAGGGTTGGTTATGGAACATCGAGCCTGGGAGGTCGGCGGTCCGGCTCCCTGCGTTCAGCGCGAGTCCACCTCCCTTTCCCCCAAAACTCGCGCGTCGTGCCTGCTCGTCGCCCGCTCACCCCCGAATCTGCCCTTCCGGCCTGCAACTCCCCAGCGATTCCGCTCTCTTCTTCCTGCAGCGTGCGAGTTTTTCGTTCCCGTCGTCCATCGTCTGTTCGTTCTTTGTTCCGTCTCTGGTGCTAGTTGACTCGGATTGACGTTTGCGCTCTGCAATTGTGGCTTGGCCCAGACCAAACGGTTAACCGTCGACGCGTCTTGGGGGTTTCTCGTCCGTGACGCGTAGGAACCGGCAACCCCTCAGCTTTTCAGGTTTGCAATATCTTCAGCTCCCTTTCCTCCGCGATTGCGTTGGATTCACAGATTCTGTGCCTGGGGAGAATTGCAATTGCTTGCTCTCACTGCGTGTTTCCTGTGTCAGATCAGTTCACTGCTCAAGGTAATGCGCGTTCTATTCATCAGTCTCTCGTTGCCAAGGGTTACCGTCTGTAGTCGACTGAACAGAGCATTTGCCTTCGCTCAGCCATCCCTCAGATCTCCCGCCTGCAAAGCGGGGGGTTGGGGACCAGTCAACTGTCAAGCTAACGTCCCTGTCGTCTATCTTGTTTAGAACCCCATCGTCAGGCATGACGGCAAGAATCCAAACTATGTCTCCGGTCCCAAGGCAACCATTCGCTGTTTTGGGCGAAAGCCGCCTTCGAGCCGTCGAGAGCACCAAAAACCGCCAGAATGGTATGTTGACAAATCGATCTAGATCGTCGGGAATGCTCACGCAGACACCCAACTTTAGGAACGCATGCGTCTTCCCTGAAACGCTGTTTCGATGCTGCCAATCTTTCTGATTCCGAGAACCTCGACCCGTTGTCTGGGGAATCTCCGACCAAGAAATCAAAAGATCAAGTAGGCAGTGACACGCTGACGCCAAAAAGCAGATTTCACACTCTGACGACCTCTGTCGATCTGGATATTCCAGACAAGTCACTCGTTAGCACGCAAATCTTACCTCGTGCTCTGACTACGTCAACTCCTCGACCAACGCCTCTCAGAGCTGCTGCTGGTTGCTCTGCGAGGTCGAGAGTGCCAAAAGCGTTTGCTCGTCGAAGTTCTGGCTTGCGTCGAGTTGAGCCGCCATCACGTCTACAGCGCCAGGCCTCCCGTGCTCCTTTCTCTATTTCAAACGCTCTCAGTAGGACATTCAGCCTGTCATCCTTTAACCCAGATGGAAAAATTACGCCCAATGGTGGTGAGAGCCGCCGGAAGGCCTGGGATTTTGAGATCTATGTGGATAGCGAGCAAGATGAAATGGCGAATTTGATGGAGCATTCAACTTGCGTACTTGATATCAGTGACGACGAGCATAAAGCAGAAAAATATGGTCTGGGAAAGGAAAACATTCCGCCGCCTGACTTCAGTCCCGAAACTTCCTCTGCTGGAACCGAATCTCGGGTCGCCCCTACATCTGAGATAGTGGAAATGACAGACAGGCCTCGCTCTCCCCTTGGCGAGTTAAACCCTAAAGAATTCATCCCAGAGGGCGAGGATTCTTCTGCAGTTATAGTGGTGGAAGTCGGTGAGGATGATGAATCCGAGACTTCGTCAAGGCACCCATCATCCTCTGTTCCTGAGATTCCTGTGGCCCACAAAATAAGCCAAACTTCGGAACAGCTTCTACTAAAACAGGCGGTCATCTCCTCCTTTAAAAAGAACACCGCTGCTGCTACTTCTGATGATGAGGCGGAACACTGCGTTAAGGAATCGACTCCATCAGCCGCAAAGGCTGAGATAGCTAACGCTACAGAAAGCGCCGCTAAAAATAATAGTCAACTTAATGACTCTGGCACCACCGAAGTTTCCAGCGCTTCTTAAATCTCTCCACATGTTTACACATCAAGTTCCCTTGCGGATATATCCTGCATTGTGTACCTACGGTGGCTGATGATTCCCGGGTTGATATGACCTTGAATATCCCTAGTGCTTTCCTTTAGCTCAATAACTACGCGATATCAAACACTCTTATACGTGCTAAGCTTTTTCACCCGAACAGTCCGATTGACCCAGTTCTATGTCCCTGCTACCTAAGCCCCCAAACTTCTGCCTAGCGTGTTCTGTTACTACTTAACCTGTTTCACTGCTTTCTCTCTTTGGCTCTCTAACTTGCTGTATGGTTTATGGTTATCGTATGTCAAGCATGAACAGATTTGTTGATGAACCGCAACGCCCCAGTCCCTAGTGATGGAGAGTAATGAGCAACATGGGAATACGATGCTGATGGCTTATGTCTTTTGAACGGTCTGACTTTATGGCTTGCTTTTCAATTTCCGCTACTCATGTGAAGGGATATTTTGCGAATGATCTGCGTTGTCTATCATGGTGTTCGACAGTTGGTGCTTAGTGAGATTCTGCCTCCATTTTGAATTCTGCCGTTTACTCGTTTAAATGGTACTTGGTATTTGCAGGTTTCCTTTCGTTCATTTTTTACATGTAGGTGTACAGCATTCCCGTGTTGTTGTCTTTTATGCAGCTGAATAACATATAATATGATTGTGATAGCTATATGAATCAAATGATTCGTAAACTTAGGCATAGACCTTGGGTTTGAAAGCATCATCCAATCTCATTATTCTCCTATTGCCTCGGATTCATCGTCCTCCTCGCCCTCGTCTTCTCGCTCTTCTTCCTCGAGCTGCCTGACTTCTTCTGCTTCCTCTCCCTCTTCACCTTCTTCCTCCTCTTCCTCGTCCTCCCATCTCACCCTCTTCCGGCCGCTTTTACCTACCTCTGTATCCCTGGTCCCTTCACCACGATTCGCATTTCTTCGCCCGGGAGCACTTCTTAGCGTCCCACGAATTTCACTCGCCAACTGTACACACTTACCTCCCACCTCACTCGAATCGACGGCCACCCTCGAGATGTCATCTTCGGTCTCTACATGCGTAGGAAAATTGAACAAGGCCAGGAACTCGGTGTCGTCCGGATAAGCGGCCTTATGTTCGAGCATATGCTGGATCTTGGCACGCATGATGGCGCGCGCCGTGGCTAACAGCACGTTCCCGTACCAACCTGCGGAATAGATGTCGCAGACCGGCCGAGGGGGTGGAGCGTCGGGATTGAGAGGCGACAGTTGCTGGGTGACGGTGGCATCGTGGATGTCGCATATCATCCACGTTTTGCCGTCGCGCGCAAGCGGCGGGTGACCGGTGAATACGTGCGATGTATTTCCGACGTTTGCATCGCCTAGGACCTGGGAAGGGCGAGGAGCTGTGTAGCGTCGGCCAGAGAGTGGGGTGGTTGTGCTGGTCGATGCCATGTTGCTTGTGAGGGATGGGTCAATTTCGGTTTCTTCTGTGCTGGGAGGGATGCGAAACATTAGTGTTTGGTAGATTCGTGAGTCTGGCGTAGTACGGGGGTCATAGCCGAATTTGAGGATGGCATCCCGCCATGGCCCGGAGCGAAATATATACCCTACGTAGGGAACGGCCGTGCGGAGGGTGTACTTTTGGTCGTTGGTGGTGAGATGGTTGCGTAGACCGCGACGAGTCCAGGCTGGCCTGTCGTCGAAGAGCTTTTGGAGGATACCAATTGTCTTCTTCAGCGCCGCGTCCAATGTGTCGATAGGCGGCAGTTTGTCGTTCGGTTCTGTAGGAACAGAGGGTACATCGCATGGCACAAGATGAGTAAAAACTTTGGTTATTTGTTGGGTATTAATAGTCATTGTTTCCCCAGAGGGATTTAATGCTTGTTTTACAGAAGGGTTTTGGCGGTAACTGTGTGCATGTGTCAGCTCGATGATCATAAGCCAAGTGTCTTGTTATGGTTGCATACGTATACTTGAACGGCATCTCAACCAGGCTGAAGGATGGTGGCGGAACTATATCAACGTTTGATGTAGCGCCTTTGCTCATGTCAAGGTCGAATTCCTTCAGTTTCTCATCTGGGACCAGCATCAGCGGGGCATCGCGGGAGAGGACGAGGAATGGGCCTACTAACATTCAAATGGCATGATATTCTCACGAAATTTGGTCATAAACGGGCTTGCTGTGGTAGAATATACGAAATCCGGGACACCTGGGTCTTCATCAGCATCCACGCCCATATCTGCCGACCAGAGCACTCTACCCCTGAAAACATGCATCCTGTCAATTCGTCCAACGACCTCAACATCATAACGGCCGGCGTTATCCCTCAGACGACGTAGTAATTGCTTAGCATCTAAGCTCCCTGAATCCGACGACGAAATGGTCGAGGTAGAACGAGCATCGTCAACATATGGATCCTGAGATCCACGTTTCCGTTTGCGCCCAGTTCTTTTTGGAACTGAGACCCTGAGCAGCATATTATTGGCGGGTTTAGATGTTGAAAATAGCGGTCTGCTCATGCCATCGTCTGGATTCAGGGATAAGGTCGCAGCAGCATGGGGTCGTGTTGGGTCCAGGATCTGGAAGATCCAAGAGATAAGTACACGTTCCTGCCAAATCTGTGAGGCCATGAGGTTACCTCTGCTATCCCAGGGCCGCGTTGAAGAGTTCCAATGGCCTGATCAACGTTTTTCACCACGCATGGATGTTCCACACTGACGATTTCTCGAGCGGGTATAGTGTACCACGGCGACGTGGTTGAACCTTTCCAGGTGGCCATGATTCCTGCAGTTTAGGAATACTGAGAAGAATGGAATAGGTCACTTCAAAGTAACGAAATAAGAAGAATGTTGAACAGCTTGTCCAGGGGGTCTCAAGAGCGGGCGGGAACCAGATTTATATGTGGTAGTTATTTTGTTTTATTTTGCTGGTGTATGGTATTCATGGACAGAAGTTCCCAATAACTAGTTAATAATTGACTAATTGACTGGTACTCCATATACACCATAGGTTATATTCACAGGTGCTGAACTTCGAGATCGCCACCCTGCATCCAGCGCATCTGTGCCGCTTGGGTTGAGTGTCGGGATAAGAGTACTCCGTAGTTTCCAGGAAATACAGAGAAGCCAGGAAGGTAACTTAACTTTACCTGGCGCGCTGTTAACGAGTTAACTAACTGGTTAACAAACCAACGAACCTGATTAGATAATGAAACATCAAACACTAACTAACCTAAAGTTATATTAGTGAGTTCGACCTCCGTCTAACCAAAGCTCCCCCTTCTGGTGTGCATCAGCCGTCAGACGGATATTATGGAACCCGCGAGCTGCAAATTCCAAGCTCTGCACTTCTGCCTTCGACAACTTGAGATTCAATATTTGTGGTGCTCTGCTGATAACTGTTCTTTGCATTCCTGTGCTCGGTGACACGGATCCTCGCATCGACAGTGGTAATTTATTTTAATATTGCTGCTCCACGTCCTCCTCCACCGCTTTTGGCTGGGTTGGAGCCTCCCCGCCTCCTGTCTCCGTCTCCCAGCGCACCACTCTAGTGTGAAGTAGCTCGTTTGAAAAGGAAAACACCCGGCGAAAGTTACACGTCTCAATTGCCATTCTCACAGTCTAGTCGAGGTATGTTTTGTTGTTCCGCTCGAGCCTTGCCGTCGACTGTTTACCGTTCGTCTCTACATATGTGGTTGTCGTTCTGCTGCCCGAGTGGCCGGTGACTTCACACCTCGATTCCACAAACACCGCCTACTTCCTTTCACGCTCCACCTCTCTGCTATTCGAACAATTCCGCTTGAGCCTATGTTTACGTGGTTGTCTCGACTGCTTCTATGAATTTTTTTTTTTTGGGATTCGTTGTTATAACCAGAGTCTCAGCGTCGTTGGAACAGGTTCACCCTCGTAAACAGAGTACCCCGTCAGTGCTCTGTGCGCCCGTGAAGCCGACTCGCCGTCCCCCCTTCCTTCTCTCCGGGCATCAGAGATATTGTGGCGGATAGGTACATCGTCTGTTACATACCTTACATGTGGACACAGGACTGCTAGTCAAAATGAAGGGCTTCAGGCAGAGAGTGGTATGCCGATTCCCCGGACCCCGGCTCACGGGCCCTATCCACCAGGCATTGTTTCCGGAGCATTAGGGATGGACTTGAATAACAGTAATAGCATGAGCAGCTTTCGCGCGCGAAGGACTCGAACAAGTCCTCGAAGAAGAAAGACTCCTCATCCTCTTCCACACCTGCCACAGCTCCCGCGTCCACGCCTTCCGGCCAAGGCCCATCACCCACAAACTCGGGCCATGGGACCCCGAACTCATCCACCACCGCGTTAAATGAGACAAAGGGAAAGGCTACCGCGCCCACCGACAATGCAGGACACCCCCAGATGACCATTCACCATAACGCACACGTTGTGCCGAATCCCGTGCCCGCTCCCCAGCATTACCCTCCTCAGCAGCCCCACGCCGGAATGCACCCCGGCCAAATGTCAGCAAATGGACCAGGGACTCCTTCTCGACAAGTCCAACAAATTGCCCCAAGCGTGATCATCAGCCCCAGCGCTCCGGTATGTCCAAGCTGTGCCGTTGAAAACACCGCCCTTCCACTCTTTCACTGTTCGCGCTTCAGACCTTAGATAATGCCCATGTCCAGTCTTCTCCTTTGGCCCTGAGATACATTCCTCAACCATTCCCCAAAGTGTTTTCAAGGCGGAATTCCAGCCATACTCCACCTTTACAGTCTCCTTCTCTTTGTCTTTCACCGTCCGTTGTCAACAGGGTGTCCATTTGTGTGAACTAAGGATATAATTGGGTGGAAATTGTCTTATCGCTCCGCCTGTTAATTCCCTTGACATGGCACCTACCTCATCTTCTCTAGCAATGGGCTATATCAAGTCAATCCCGTCCTTCAGCTTTCCTCCGTTTCCTCTTTTACACCCCTTTGTTTGATATGTTTTCTCCTCCTGGATTCCTCCATAGATCCGCCCGCTAGCCTCATGTGATGGTTGATTATCCACTTCGCAATATCTTTGATTTATCGGCCTAAAGTGAGCTTTCATCGCTTCACTTTTGCTTCACTTTCTATGGCAATTCTCACCTGCCTATCCGTCTCAAGTGAATATTTGCACCTCCGCTAAGTTTAATCCTTGCCTCTTCCTCTGCTATCTTTATGTCCTATACACACGCTCTCTCTCTCGTCTTATGTTTCTTTAATCTCTAGTTGATCACTGATAGCATGTGTCTATCCGTCTTAACTCTTCTCTTTTCTCGATATTTTCTCTGTTCATCATTTTTTGTCTGTCGGCCCATTCTCTTGTTTCAAAATCTGCATCTTGACTGCTTTCGAAATATCTCCACCAGAGGAGCTTTTAGAGGCTTTTTCGAAGCTGACAATGGATCCGTCGTCACAGCATATCCCACCTCCTGGAGCTGCCGAAACAATGCCCGGGGACCTTCAACCCCCAAAGATTGGCCAGAAATCGCATGCCTTCGATCGACTGCACACGACTCCCAGGGACGTCCCTGAGGGGATTCGAACTCCAAAACGACAACATTCTTCCCGCTTTGATATTTCAGACCAGCGTCAGAGGGACCTAGAAAAATTGCCTGGATTTCATGAAGTGCCACCGAACCGTCGTCAAGACCTCTTCATGCAAAAGATCGAGCAATGCAACATTATATTTGACTTCAATGATCCCACCGGTGACATGAAATCAAAAGAAATCAAACGACTTGCTTTGCATGAGCTGCTCGATTATGTTGCAAACAACCGCTCTGTTATCACCGATCCTATGTACCCAAAAGTCGTAGAAATGTTTGCCAAGAACCTATTTCGACCAATTCCTCCCCCAGTGAATCCCCAGGGGGATACTTTCGATCCCGAAGAAGATGAACCAGTTCTAGAAGTCGCCTGGCCGCATATTCAAGTTGTCTACGAATTTTTCCTAAGATTTATTGAGAGCCAAGATTTTAACACGAATGTTGCTAAAGCTTATATTGACCAGCATTTTGTTTTACAGGTGGGTATTAACCCGCGTGATATGCTGTCTAAGGAAACTTGGAGATGATTCTAACATGGCTCTAGCTCCTTGAATTATTCGACTCGGAAGATCCTCGGGAACGCGATTTCCTTAAAACCACCTTACACCGTATTTATGGAAAGTTTTTGAATCTTCGCTCATACATTCGCAAGTCTATCGGGAACGTGTTCTTTCAGTTTATGTATGAGACCGAGCGTTTTAATGGCATCGCAGAGCTTTTGGAAATTCTGGGATCCATTATTAATGGATTTGCTCTTCCACTCAAACCGGAGCACAAAACTTTTCTTACACGGGCTTTAATCCCGCTTCATAAAGTCAAGAGTTTGAGCATGTACCATCCTCAGTTAGCCTATTGCATCGTTCAATTCCTTGAGAAAGACTCGACTTTGACCGAAGAGGTGACTATCCTTCTCGAGATTTTGTTTTCCGTTCTAACTATCCGAATAGGTTGTTTTGGGACTTCTCCGTTTCTGGCCAAAGACCAACAGTACCAAGGAAGTTATGTTCCTTAATGAAGTCGAGGACATATTTGAGGTGATGGATCCGAGAGAATTTGCCAAGGTTCAGGAGCCTCTTTTCCATCAGTTGGCGAAATCGGTTTCTAGTCCCCACTTCCAGGTATGGACATAGCCTCCATGCTCTGTTTTCTCTTGCTGACTTTCCAGGTTGCTGAACGAGCCCTCTACTTCTGGAATAACGAATACTTCTGTAACCTCGTTGGCGATAATGTGGAAACGATACTTCCGATCATGTTCCCGTCACTTTATGAAAATTCGCAAGGCCACTGGAACAGGTTTGATCCCCAGCTCTGTTCCTTTGCTTCGTAACACACTCACAAGTCATAGGACTATTCATAGTATGGTCTACACTGCGATGAAAATGTTCATGGAAATTAATCCGCAGCTTTTCGATGACTGCTCCCACGAATACCGTGAACTTCAAGAGAGCGCACCAGCCCGTGAGCAGAGTAGAAAAGCGAAATGGGAAAAGCTGGAAGAGTTAGCGAAGGCTCAAAAGAACAAAGACCACGCTACTTTGCGTTCGAATAAGCCATTCGCAAAACTTCCTAGTCATCCCGAAGACCCGGAACTGATCGCTCAGGATAATCGGCAGCGACTTAATGCTTTGAAATTGCAAGATGAGGCAGCAACGACTAAGGAATCCAACCAGCACCGGTTGCCAGAGCGAGAGGGACAGCATTCGGTTAGTGGCTCACACGTTGGTTGATACATTCCCAGCCGTATCTCTCTTCCCAATCTCCGCTTGAATACCTCTATTATCGTTTGAAAGAGCGCGTTATTGATGTCTTTAGCCGCTATGATTCTAACGTTTACATACGTTTGATTCAGAGGCGCCGGCGTGGATCGTTCGATGATTCTCGGGGTCGACGGGTTGGAACCAGCACTGGACACAGAAGACGTGGCGAACGACGAAGGTCTGTTGGGAGCGGCAGCGGGACTTCGTCGGTCTCAGCAGTTACCCGTAGTAATTCCACCAGCAACGTCATGCGAACGATTTGATACCACTGTTCTTTGATGACACTGAAAACCTTTGCTGACCTGTACAATGATGACATTTGGCATGAGCAAGCTGCAACGACCCTTGTGATTTGTTTTATCCCATTTCCCCATTTCCCCATTTCCCCATGCACCGGCTACCTGCCTTTCATTTATTTTTTCCTTCTTTTTTTTTTTCCCTTCTTGCTTTTGCGTGCCGTTCAGTTTAATAATCCCTAGTTTCTTGTGTACATGGGACTTCTTTTTGATTCCTTAATTTTATTTTCTTCTGCCCACCATGACTATGGAAATAGGACTGCTTGGACCGTTCTAGATTGCGTCAGGTTAGGGAAAAATTGGTGTGGACGGCGTTGCCATTGTTCCTTGGTTTGGGTCAGTTTTAGGACCCATTTGATTTTATTTACAGATACCTTCTGCAAATGGATTGATGTTGCAATTTCTCAGCGGCTTTCAGGTAAAGGATCACGGCCACCATCATCCGTCCTACTCCGGAGTGATTTTGATTTCGTCCAGACTTTGGATCTGGACGCATGACCTCCTTAGTTAAACGCGCGGTTGAGTTTTAGCGGCATTCGGCGAATAATTTCCCCATTCCGACCCTAGTGGAAGTACGCCATTCCTATTTAGGACTAGGGAATTTTACAGGGTCTCAGCGATTCCCCAGCTCCTCCAGAGGCCTCTCTCCCCCAAAAGGTTCTCCTCCGCCGCGTTCGAGAGGGCGGCATTCAACACTAGAGAGGACTCTCCGCCCACCAGCTAAATTTAAGACTTTTCCATGCATTGACAAATATCACGTACCTTACCAAGCCCTTTCTTTCCCTCCATCACGCGTCAAACTTATCTCTTGCCCTCTATCCGCCGACCTCAGACCGATACCATCACTTTGATGCGAAGTGACGGCCAGCTTAAGATCGTCCCTGGCCTCCTCCCAACAAGCCGGCCTAAGGGCCCGGCAATAAAATTGGTTGATCCAAAACGGCGGGCATGCGATAGGATTGTTTCTTCGCCGAACCGCAGAAATGGAGCGTAATATCGACATTTATGCCGCGAAGCTTGCGGACCCTGCTATAGGTATGTGAGCTCGGTGGTGAACTTCCTTTTTCTTTCCCTTTCTTTTTTTTTTTTTTTTTTTTTTTTTTTTTTTTTTGCCCTTGCTTGAATCTACCGCGCCGAGATGCTGACTCCTGCTCCGTCCGGCCTCTAGAATCCAAATTCAAAACCAATGTAGCAGTCGAACTGCGCGACTCGTTAGAGCAACTATGTTCCCCGCCAAGCTATGCCATCTTCCTCACAAAGCTATGGCCGGTTTTCAAGAAGATATTGAAGGGCGAGCCCGTGTTTGTCAGTATGTCGTGGGAACAGGTAAGCCGATTGTTGAGAATCCGGGTTGGGGAGTTTCAGGCTCTAATGCTTTCCCACTTCTTAGAAACTCCGGAATTGTATTCTGGAAATCATACATCGGCTGCCGTTGGACCTTCCGGATGTCCAGCCCTATGCGGGAGATATGGTCGACCTCTTGATGGAGCTCGTTAGAGTTGAAAATGAGGAAAACGCGGTTCTGTGCATGAAAACAATTATGGACCTTGAGCGACGGCAGGTTGGCGCAACGCAGAGCAGAGTGCAACCATTCCTTGAACTTATACGGGATATGTTTGAAGGCATGTCGCAGGTCGTGAAGGATACCTTTGATACTCCTGTTCAGGGTTCAACGCCAGGCATGCTTCCCTCAACGCCCGGTGGTCCTCAGAATTTCCAATCGCCCCGACCCAGCTCACCCGCTACATCTGTTTCGGACCTTGCTCCTGATCAACAAGGAAACCAGCAGCTATTGAGAGGCATGCAATCCTTTAAAGTTCTTTCCGAATGTCCGATCATCGTGGTCTCTATATTCCAAGTACACCGTGCCTTGGCTCCTCAGCATGTTAAGGTGTTTGTTCCTCTCATAAAAGGCATTTTGCTGCTCCAAGCGAAGCCACAGGAGAAAGCACATGTCGAAGCTGCCGCGCAAGGAAGAATATTCACTGGCATTTGCAAAGAGATTAAAAACCGAGCGGCTTTCGGAGAATTTATTACCGCCCAGGTCAAAACAATGAGCTTTTTAGCTTATTTACTTCGGCAATACTCCAGTCATTTGCAAGACTTCCTCCCATCTCTGCCGGGCGTGGTAGTAAGACTGCTTCAAGATTGTCCCAGAGAGAAATCAAGTGCTCGAAAGGAGTTGCTCGTTGCTATTCGGCACATCATTAATTTTAATTATCGCAAGATCTTCTTAATGAAATTGGACGAGCTCCTTGATGAGAGAACTTTGATCGGTGACGGCCTTACGGTTTATGAAGCTCAGCGACCTCTGGCATACAGTATGCTCGCAGATCTAATTCATCACGTCAGGGAATCGCTCAACCGTGATCAAATTCGTCGAACCCTTGCAGTTTACACGAAGAATCTGCATGATGATATCCCCGGTACTAGTTTCCAGGCAATGAGTGCAAAACTCTTGTTGAACATGGCGGAAAGGATAGCGAAATTAGAAGATAAGCGAGAGGCCCGATACTTTTTAATAGCAATCCTCGACGCCATTGGTGACAAGTTCGCTGCTATGAACCGTGAGTTTAAGAACGCGATTAAAGCATCGAAGCAAGCGAAGGAAAATCCAGACGGAATAGAAAATTATCTAGGAGATCAACATCCGCCGGACTGGGATGAAATCGACATCTTCACTGCTACACCCATCAAAACATCCAATCCTCGAGATAGGAATGCGGACCCGGTATCTGATAACAAGTTTCTTTTCAGGACCCTGGTGAATGGGCTCAAAAATCTATTTTATCAACTTAGGACTTGCAACCCAGACAACGTAAAAGTTGACCCGTCTAACGTCCTCGTTAACTGGACGGAGATATCTTATGGATACAACGCTGAAGAGGTTCGGGTTATCAAGAAGCTGTTTCATGAAGGGGCCGCTGTATTCAGATATTATGGAGTTGACGAACCAGAACCCGAATTGCAGTATTCATCACCACTGGAATTTATTACAAGCCAATACATGCAGCAAATGAGCAAGGAGGAGAAAGAACTTCTAGAAAGCTTCGGGACGGTTTTCCATTGTGTTGACCCTGCTACCTTCCACGAGGTTTTCCATAGCGAAATACCCTATTTGCACGATTTGATGTTCGAGCACAGCGCACTTCTTCATCTGCCGCAGTTTTTCCTTGCTAGTGAGGCTACCTCTCCAGCTTTTGCAGGGATGGCATTGCAGTACTTGATGAGCCGCATCCATGAAGTCGGTTCTGCCGATATGAAAAAGTCGAGAATCCTCCTACGAATGTTCAAATTATCTTTCATGGCCGTTACCCTATTCTCTGCACAAAACGAGCAGGTCTTGCATCCCCATGTCACCAAGATTGTGACCAAGTGCATAGAGCTTTCTGTCACTGCTGAAGAGCCAATGAATTATTTCCTTCTCCTTCGATCGCTGTTTCGCAGCATCGGTGGTGGACGGTTTGAGCTGCTCTACAAGGAACTTTTACCTCTTCTTGAAATGCTACTCGAAACATTCAACAACTTGCTACTCGGTGCTAGGAAGATTCAGGAACGAGACTTATATGTGGAGCTTACGTTGACAGTCCCAGCTCGTCTCAGCCACTTGCTTCCGCACCTCAGTCATCTTATGCGACCGCTAGTTGTTGCCCTTCGTGCAGGTTCGGATCTTGTTGGACAAGGTCTTAGAACCTTAGAGCTTTGCGTCGATAATCTTACAGCAGACTACCTCGATCCCATAATGGCTCCGATCATGGATGAACTTATGACTGCACTCTGGGATCACCTTCGGCCAAATCCATACAGCCATTTCCATGCACATACTACCATGAGAATCCTGGGAAAGCTGGGCGGGAGGAACCGGAAGTTTCTAAACCACCCTCCGGACCTTACCTTCCAACAGTACGCCGACGACACACCCAGCATGGACATTAAGCTTATCGGGTCAACCAAGGATAGGGCGTTTCCTTTAGATATCGGCATTGATCTCGCTCTGGGAAAGTTGCTCAAGGTACCCAGAAGTCCTGCTGCGAAAGCATCTGATAGTTTCTACAAGCAGCAAGCGTACCGAATGCTTAGTTCCCAACTCAAGCTATACATTGGATTTGAGAACCTGCCAGAGGACTTTGCCGCCTATCTGCGACTTCAAGCCAATGATATTATCGACGCCAAGTTTGCTGCCGGGATTGACATACTGGAGAAACCTGAACGTCAATATTCGATTCCTAAGAAGTTAGTCCAAGAGGAAACTTTAAAGAAGCTTCTCAAGGCATGCATGTACGCCACAACTATTCCAGAGTTGAAACAAAGTGCATCACAGTTTCTTGCCGATGTCTGTCGCCATTTCACGATTATTGAAGTTGGGCGTGCTCTAACACAAGCACGACATTCGCGCCGACCGTTTAACGTGAGCATGGGAGAGGGACCTTTATATTTGGATACGAGAGTACTCGCCGATTCTGTGGTTGAATGCTACTCATCTGACAATCCCGCGGTTCGTGACGCTGCTAAACAAGCTATGTTCACAGTGCGTGATACCGCCGTAATCATTTTTGGATCGCCTGCAAAGATTGGCAAACTTCCTTTTTTTCCGCACCTCGCTCGATCATTCTGCCATGCTTGTCACGACGAAGAGTGGTTTATGAAAGCAGGTGGAAGTCTTGGAATTCATCTCTTCGTCACCGATCTCGACCTCGGTGATCAATGGCTAGTTGAGCGGCAAGCTGAATTTGTTCGTGCTTTGATGTATGTTATCAAGGATACTCCATCAGATTTTCCGGCGAGCACTCGGACTCGAGCCCAGGAGGCGCTAGATTTGGTCCTTCACAGATGCACGAAAGGTTTAACGAAGGACGAATTGAAAAATGATAAAAGCAGACTTTTTGGCCTCTGTGGATTCCTTGTTCACGAGTTATCTCACATGAATAAGCACGTCCGTGAGGCCGCACGGAACGCTTTCAAAACTATTGGTCGTACAGTGAGTGCTGAAGTTCACGAGTTATTGTATCCAGTAAAGGATCGCCTTCTTCTACCGATATTCAATAAGCCATTGCGAGCTCTTCCGTTCCCTACCCAGATAGGGTTCATTGAAGCGATCACGTTTTGTCTTGGCCTACATCGAGATATTGTGACGTTCAATGACCAGCTCAACCGACTCTTAATGGAATCTCTGGCACTGGCCGATGTTGACGACGAGTCGCTTGCTTCGAAGCCTCATGAGATCAAGACCGCAGAGCAAATAGTCAACCTCCGTGTATCCTGCCTCCATTTGCTATCTATGGCCATGAGTTTCCCCGACTTCGCTAGTGGGCCACAGAATTCTAGTCGTGCTCGTATAATTGCAGTGTTCTTTAAGTCTCTTTACTCAAAATCTCCGGAAATTATCGAGGCTGCTAACTCTGGCTTGCGGGATGTGCTAACCCAAACAAATAAGTTGGGGAAGGATTTACTGCAGAATGGATTGCGTCCCATATTGATGAACCTTCAAGATCCGAAGCGACTGAGCGTGGCCGGACTGGATGGTTTAGCACGGCTGCTTACTCTTCTCACCAATTACTTCAAAATTGAAATTGGCGCACGGTTAATGGAACACATGAAGGTCATCGCAGATGATGCGGTGCTCGAAAAAGTATCGTTTGGCTTAATTGAGCAAAGTCACCCAATGAAGATTGTGGCTGCTATATTCAATATCTTCCATCTGCTTCCACCTGCGGCTACATCCTTCATGGAGAATTTGGTGACCAGGGTCCTTTGGCTGGAAGACAAGCTCCGGAGGACTGCGAATAGCCCTTTCAGAAAGCCGCTGATTAAGTACTTGAATAGATACCCTAAAGAGAGTTGGGCATTTTTTCAGGTTCGCTTCCATGATGAGCGATTCGGCCGGTTCTTCGGCCAGATACTGGCTGAGCCAGAAAGCTTACCCCTGAGATCTGTTGTGGTGGCGGATGCGAATACGTTCATGACGATTGCCTTTGGGCATACTGAGTCTCCTGCTCGAAACACCGCTGCTATTAATGGTATCTATGCGGTTCATTCCATATGCAGCCACGAATCAACTAGAGGATGGCTGAACACCACCCCTGACTTAAAAAGACATCTTTTGAATGCTGGCAGAGACCTTGAGAGTAAGCTTAGAGGTGACAAGTTACCAGTGAATGAACGCTTAAGAGTCGAGCAAGCGGATGATCAACTGTTGGAGATTTTCACAGTTTATCTCTCACAGAACCTTTACGACCTTGATTTCCTTTTTGACCTCATCGACAAGCTCTCTGCGGGAGAACTAAAATCTACTCTTGCTATGCCTAAGTTCCTCTATGAACATATCATCTCGAGCGATTCGATTGATTATCGGAAATCAATAATAATGCGGTGTCTGGATTTGTACGGCCAGAGAAACTCATCGCAAAAGCTGAAAACATATGCGTTCCGCAACTTGGTCAATCCTATTCTCGCAATGGATGTCCAAAGGACATGGGGAAGCACTAACACCGGCCCTAAGTTAATGGATAAGAACATGACAGAGTTGATTCATAACCGTCTCTGGAAGCCACAGTTAGGGGACATCAGTGATGAGTCCGGCCAAGCAGGTGTTGACCATTCACGGATGGCATTGCTCCAACTGTCAGCTCTTCTTATCAAGTACCATCATACTACGGTTCAAGAATCCCGCAAGGATATCATCAAATTTGCCTGGAGTTATATTCGTTTGGAAGATATTATCAACAAATACGGTGCTTACGTTCTAATCAGCTACTTCATTGCTCACTACGAAACGCCTTCGAAAATCGTCGTCCAGATATACGTTGCGTTACTGAGAGCCCACCAAAATGAAGGGAAGGCACTCGTGACACAAGCACTAGAAATCCTGGCACCAGTTCTTCCAAAACGAATTAGTTCCGCTGGAGATGCAAGGTATCCACTCTGGGCAAGGTGGCCGCGCCGTATCCTTGCTGAAGAGACTGCGAATCTCCAGCAAGTTATGAGCATTCTCCAATTTCTTGTCCGCCAGCCAGACTTATTTTACGAGTCCCGCGAATACTTTGTCCCCCTCATTGTTCCATCTTTGGTCAAGATCGCTGGCCCGCCGAATCCCTCCAATGAAAGCAAAAAGCTTGCCCTCAACTTGATCGGGTTGATATGGACTTGGGAAAAACGACGTGTTACAGATCAGGTGTCTGGTTCTCCCAATCCAAGAAAACGAAAATTGGAAGAGACTCGGGCGTCCCCACCCGGACCTCCTGGACCGCTGGCCATGCGAGAACGACCTGATTATATGATTCCTCTCGATTTGAGAACGGCTCTTATCAAATATCTCGTAACTTTCATTTGCGGGCTCCCGGAGCGTTTTCCTGTCCCCGCGTCAAAGTTGCGTGAACGAAATTCGGTAAAGCTACAACCGTTTGTTCTGTATGGGGACATGATTAAGCGGGCTGTGCAGCTGTTGCGGGACCTACTTTCAACCGAATTCTGGACTGATCTTGACATAGATCTCTACCAGAAGGTGACCGAGCCGATTCTTTCCGGGGAGAAGGTGGCGGAGAAGCCAGACGAGAAACATATAACAGGAATGGTCAATGCACTCCAAGTCCTAAGGGTTCTACTCGCGGCTAAACCAGACGAGTGGGTTGCTAGTCGTGTGTCAGCGGTACAGATTCTGTTCGAGAAGTCGTTACGTATGGATAACCCGGAAATTCAGGATTGTTTACACGGGATTGAGGATGAAATGGATATTTCGCCTAAACTTCCTCCACCAGTCAAGCGAGTTTTGGACTCTTTACCCCAAGAGCAACCAGCCGACGACGAAGCCATGGATGTTGATGATGCTCCGACCGAGTTTGCCACCTATTTGTCCACCATTGCAACAGAATCCCTCTCGGCAAATAATTATATCTCAGCCATCAACATCCTTTGGACACTCTCCAAGAGCCGACCTGCAGAGATGGATCAGCACATTCCACATGTTATGAAGGTCCTTTCTCAGAAACTCGCAAAAGACCATGTTGCTGTTTATGCAAGCAATCATGGCTCAGCTGCTGCTAGGAATGGAAGTCAGGAACAAACGGCTCCTGACCAGCAAGAGTTTGAACTTGGTGTCGGTTTGATTCTTAAAACTATCGACTTGATTGCCGTCCGTATGTCACATTTAGGCGAACAAAGACGGCCGTTCCTCAGTGTCTTAGCTCAACTCGTCGAAAGGTCACATAATATCCGGTTATGCTCCAAAGTGTTGGGGATGGTTGAGTCCTGGATCTTCCATTCTACCGAATCCTGGCCAACCTTGAAAGAGAAGACTGCAGTGCTACATAAAATGTTGCTATTTGAAGCAAGGCCAGATCAAACCATGTCGAAAAAGTTCCTAGAGCTGGTGATTCGCATTTATGAAGATCCTAAGATCACCCGAACAGAACTTACGGTTCGATTGGAACACGCGTTCCTCATTGGCACCAGGGCACAAGATGTTGAGATGCGTTCTCGCTTCATGACTATTTTCGATCGAAGCTTGACCCGGTCCGCTAGCCGACGGCTCAGTTACGTTCTTACATCGCAAAACTGGGATACTCTTGCTGATTCGTTTTGGCTGACTCAGGCTTCACAACTGGTTATGGGCTCGATTGACATGACTACTCCGGCGAAATTACATCCGGAAGATTTTACCTTACCTCCCGCTTCCTTTTTATTCGGCCACTGCGAGAAAGACCCATCGAAAGCCAACGTTGTAGTGGATAACAATTTGGAGTCCTTAATCTCCGAACATCGAACTTTCTATTTGGATATTGCCGATGTCAAAGCTCGTGACATCCTTGAGCCATTGTCCCAGTTACAGCACGCCAATCCAAAGGTCGCCTACAAAGTTTGGGTCACTTTGTTTACGATCTGTTGGTCTGCATTATCACGGGAGGAGCGAATCGATCTCGAGAAAGGGATTGTGACACTTCTTACGAAGGAATATCATCAGCGACAGCTTGATGATCGTCCAAATGTTGTTCAGGCTTTGCTGGAAGGTGTCATAAGGGCCAAACCACGCTTCAAAATCCCTCCGCATGTGCTCAAATTCCTCAGCAGGACATATGATGCATGGTATACAGCTGCTGTTGCTCTTGAGCAGTCAGCAATCAGCCCAATAATCGACACCCCCACTGCCCGTGAAAGCAATCTTGATGCTCTTGTTGAAATTTATTCGGGGCTTCAGGAGGACGATATGTTTTACGGTACCTGGAGGAGACGGTGCAAATTTGTTGAGACGAACTCCGCACTTTCTTATGAACAACAGGGAATGTGGGACAAGGCACAGCAGCTCTATGAATCTGCCCAAATTAAGGCGCGAACTGGTGCAGTGCCATTCTCACAGGGGGAGTATTATCTCTGGGAGGATCACTGGGTGATCTGCGCCCAGAAACTACAGCAGTGGGAGATACTGGGAGACTTTGCAAAGCATGAGAATTTCAATGACCTGCTGCTCGAATCCATTTGGAGAAGCCTTGACAGCTGGCAAGGTGACGCGAACCGCGAACAAATTGAAACCCTGATAAAGGGTGTATCCGATGCGCCAACACCACGTCGCACCTTTTTCCAGGCGTTTATGTCGCTCCTGAAATTTCACGCAAAGCAGGAAAATCCTCAAGAATTCCACAATACATGCGACGAGGCGATTCAATTATCTATTCGCAAATGGCACCAACTTCCCAAACGTATCACAAACGCCCATATTCCTATCCTGCAGATATTCCAACAGCTTGTGGAGCTGCATGATGCGAGTGTCATCTGTTCGAGCCTTAATCAGACGAACGAGAGGAACCTGGATACGAAATCCGCCGAACTTAAGCTTCTGCTCGGAACTTGGCGCGATCGACTCCCGAATGTCTGGGATGATATCAATGCTTGGCAGGATCTTGTCACCTGGCGACAACATATCTTCCAGCTAATCAATCAAACATACCTTAGCCTCCTTCCACCCCAGACCAACAATGTTGCGAGCAACTCCTACGCCTATAGGGGCTATCATGAGACCGCCTGGATCATTAATCGCTTTGCTCACGTCGCCCGAAAACATCAGATGCCTGAAGTGTGTATTAACCAACTCAGCCGGATTTACACCCTCCCAAATATTGAGATTCAGGAGGCCTTTCTGAAATTGAGGGAGCAAGCTAAGTGTCATTACCAGAACCCTAAGGAACTTAACAGCGGTCTGGATGTCATTAACAATACGAACCTTAACTATTTCGGGGCTCAGCAAAAGGCGGAATTCTTTACATTGAAAGGCATGTTTCTGGCTAAACTGAGTCATGTAAACGAGGCGAACGATGCATTCGGCGTTGCTCTATATTACGATTTGCGACTTCCTAAGGCGTGGGCTGAATGGGGTCAATATAGCGATCAGCGCTTCAAAGCCGACCCTTCGGATATGGAGCTGGGAAGCAATGCGATGAGTTGTTACCTGGAAGCTGCGGGACTCTATAAAAGCCATAAATCGAGGAAGCTCCTCAGCCGCATTTTGTGGCTGCTAAGTCAGGATAACGACGAGGGGAAAATTGCGACTGCGTTTGAAAATTTCAAGGGTGATACTCCTGTGTGGTACTGGATTACGTTTATCCCACAGCTACTCACCAGCCTTTCTCATCGCGAAGCCCGGCTTTGTAAAGCGGTGTTAGGGAAGATCGCTAAGTTGTACCCTCAATCCCTATTTTTCCTACTTCGAACTTGTCGTGAAGACCTACTAGGAATCAAGAAGAGTCAGGATCAGAAGCAGGAGAAAATCAACCGGCTGAAACAGCAGCAGAGGTCGCCGCAAATTAAGACTGAAAACAAACCCGGTTCTCAGATGTCGGACACGGCTACAAATCCTTCAGCTGGCGTTGGATCTCCTAGGCCGCCACAAGCAAATCCAAGCGCTCCTCAGATGAGCAGCACACCTGATGTCGCTCAAAAAGAGAAGCAACCCTGGGAATATGCGGAAGACATCATGGCGGGACTTAAGACGGCTTTCCCCTTGCTGGCATTGTCGATGGAGACAATGGTTGATCAAATCCACAAAAACTTCAAATGCCCGCCAGACGAGGATGCTTATCGTCTCATCGTGGCGTTGCTTAATGATGGCCTTGCCTACGTTGGTCGCATGCCCTCTTCGTATGCGCAGGACTTCAAGCTTCCACATTCTACTGAAGCCAATATTACACGATTTGCGGAAACTATTCTCCCTGCTCATATTCGAAAATCATTCGAGGCAGATTTCGTTATTAAGAAGCCGACTATGTATGAGTATATCCATAAGCTTCGAAGATGGCGCGACAAATTTGAGGAAAAGCTCGACCGTCGCCCTCAATTCCAGTTCCTCGAAGCGTACTCACCGCATCTGAGCGAGTTCAAATTTCAAAAGTTCGATGAAGTCGAAGTTCCTGGCCAATATTTGGAACACAAGGATAAAAATCAGGATTTTGTGAGAATCGATCGCTTCTTGCCGAATGTGGATCTGGTACGGGGAATCGGAGTATGCCACCGAAGACTAAAAATACGCGGCCACGACGGCAGCCTTCACGCGTTTGCAGTTCAGCACCCAGCTGCTCGCCATTGCAGACGTGAAGAAAGAATGCTACAACTGTTCCGAATCTTCAACTGCGTGCTTCGAAAACGAAAGGAGAGCCGTCGCCGGAATATCTATTTCCATCTTCCATTAATGGTTCCGCTTGCGCCTCATATCCGTCTTGTCCAGGATGATTCTTCGTACATCTCCCTGCAAGGGATCTATGAGGACCATTGTCGCCAGACCGGGATGAACAAAGATGAGCCAATGCTCTATACAATGGAGAAAATGCGTGCACTTGCAGAAAATAAGATAAATGTGAGCCGACCTTTGCATGGAATCCGAGAAGTTACCAACTTTACTAACTTTCAACAGCGTGCTCCGGATCACTCCGTCATCCTACGAACAGAAATTTTCTCCGCCATTCAGCAGAAATGGGTCCCCAACACGGTTCTTCTAGACTTTATTCGACAAACATACCCCCAGTACGCAGATTTCTGGCTCTTCCGCCGACAGTTCTCCTATCAGTATGCTGCAATCGCTTTCATGACGTATGTCATGCACATGGGGAACCGCTACCCAAGCAAGATTCATATCTCTAGACGTACCGGCGATATCTGGAGTTCGGAGCTAATCCCGGCCATGAACAACGCGAAAGCTCTTTTTTACAACCCCGAACACGTTCCATTTAGACTCACGCCCAACATCCAGACCTTAATGGGTCCATTGGCCACGGAAGGAATCTTTGCGTGCGCAATCATGGCGATTGCCAGATGTCTCACAGAACCGCGGCTTGAGTTAGAACAGCAACTGAGCATTTTCGTCCGCGATGAACTACTAATCTGGGCCGCCGCTCAACAACGCGTTCTACCGCAAATGAAAGACCTAGTGCAGAGCAATATTGATTTCATTGTCAACCGAGCTATCAGTTTGGCCAGTCCTCCTGAGGGCAACCTTCCTGCCAACCAATCCGCTATCGACCTTATTTCCAAGGCAGTTAACCCCCAGAGTTTGGCACAGTGCGAGGCTCTGTGGATGCCATACATGTAATCTGTCAAGTTTTCATGTCTCTCCTTTTCTTTTTATTCTTGCGTTTATAGCTTCTGATTTTTTTTTCGTAATGTATTATCAGTTGTGGTTTGATGATTTCGCGCTCTAAGGGTCTACGTTTGATGGACATGACATGATAAGTTGACCAAGGGTGTACTTTAGCATGGCGTTGTCGGATATGAAAATGCCCTGGATGATCGTCCCTTCAGGCAACTGGTTGAACTGGTCAAACTGGTCAGGATTTGCTGGGTTATTCATTTCATTATGTATGGAATTATTCTAAATTCCTAATGTTAAATTCTGAATTCACAATTTCATTTCATTAACTATTGCCCATTTTGAACATTAAATATAAAAGGGGTATTGATACTACAGAATATCTAGGAGAGTGCCGCAAAACGCCTTCCGCAAAATGAGGAAATATGCCATGGACTTAAACTAAAGAAGTTTTCTTTTTTATTCCCAGACCGGCTGAGAACGGCTTTTTAGGCCTTTTTACCCTCGCAAATGACGGTGGCGGCATCTCTGCAGAATTCGGCACGGGCGAGTCTCCTGTGTCGCTCTCTTCAACTAATCGCTTCACGCGCTCGCCATCTTTAGTCATAAAGACTTTTCGCGCGATTTCAGCATCCTCCGCATCGGCTTTTGCTTGCGCATCTTCTGCCTCCCGTCTCGCTCGTAGAAGGGCTGCTTCTTCCCCGCCCCTTTCTCCACGCTCAATTCTGGCATTCCTCGTTCGAATCTCATCCAACGCATCAGCGACGGCCATCTCTCGTTTTGAGTCCAACATCTTTTCTTCAAGTTCCATCATCTTATCTCTCTCTGCTCTCTCCTCTGCCTCATTTTCTTCCCTCTCGAGTCGATCGAGTGTCTCTTCTTCGGTTTCATTGACTTGGCTCGCAGCCGCATCTCTCCAGGGCTCGAAGTTCCGTTTTGCGCCTCTCTCACACGTATAATCCATGTTTTTGGGGTCGGTTTTAAAAGTAATCTCGCTCGAGCATCGGGTGCATCTTATATAGAAGCGATATATTGGAATATTCAGATACCGTTCATCGGTGGTCTCTTTTCGAGCGTTGAACTTCCGGCCTTTGTAGATATACTCTCCACAGTTGGTGCATTTGAGACTAAACGGAGCCATTAATCGGACTGTGAGAAGCTTCGGACCTGTGGCGCGCAAATGCTTGGGTGTGCGCGTAATGGCTGACGGGTCAAAGTCAGGAGGGTAGTATTTCGTCTATTTTATATTAGCCATATGTCTGCTTTTAGGGGAGTGACGGGTCGTCTACTTACAAGAACCTTACGTTCAGACATGGTTGCGGGGAGTGGTGACTAGAGCTAACTAACAATATTGTTGGGATTCTGTCTCTCTTGACAGCAAAGTAATAGTTGATAGACTCCGAAGATCAGTGGCAGTTGAAGTCGTCAAGTCACCCAGGTGTCTCCGCGTCCGGTCCCAGGAGGTCGCCACTCCATATCACGTGCAAAAAAACTGATTCTAACCTTAACTAGTTAGTTAACTTACGGAGTAGTTATTAGTCAGCACTATCGACTAAACGGGACAAACTTGACAAACGCCGCAAACAAAACAAACAGCGCGGCTTCACCTCGTCGCTTCGAGCACGGAGAAAGAACATCGGCGGGCAGCGAAGAGCACGTAGCTTATTGTCTCACCACGGCTATGATCGTGTGCGAGTGATTCAGGGATTGTTGGGCTTCCTCAGCAATGCATGATGTCGCATAAACAAGCTCAATGATCCTCCTCTTCCCGACCCAACGCGCCTAGCTTTGCTCCCGACGCCAGGCGACTATGGAAGACTTTCTCCGTAACTGGAGGCAGGAAGCCCTCAACAGAGGACAACACGATGCGGCCATATATATAGGTGATAAAGTGCTAGCTTTTACAAGTGAGTCCGGCTATCCTAAATCTCTCTTGTCTTGCTACGGGTCTAACAGAGCCAAATCGCGTGCGATAGATAGTGATAATGATGCCTTTTGGCTGGCCCAAGTCCACTTTTCCAACAATAATTACACCCGAGCATTAGCTCTTCTGACCAGGAAAGATCTAATATTCCGGAGTTCTTCTTGCAAATATCTCGCTGCCCATTGCTACATAAAACAAAACAAATATGACCAAGCACTTCAGGTGCTAGGTGAACACAACCCCGCACATCTCATTTCGACTGCTAGTAACAGCCGGCGAAAACTGCAGCACCGAAATGAAAGTTCGCACATTACCCTCCGGAATGGAAAGTCTACAGCGTCTAGATCGGATAGAATTGAACGGAATGAGGAAAGAGAGCGCGAAGATGCAAGCCACATCAAATTCGAAGCTGCCATGTGCTATTTGAGAGGCCTATGTTACGCTCGTCAAAATGCATTTGACCGAGCTCGAGATTGCTATAAGGATGCCGTACGAATTGACATCCAGTGTTTTGAAGCGTTTGAGCAGCTAATGAAGAACTCTTTGATGTCCCCTGCTGAAGAGCTGGAGTTTCTAGAGTCGCTTGACTTTGATTCTATGAACCCCTCCTCCGATCCATCCATTTCCCAAGAAGCAGCTGAATTTGTGAAGCTCCTCTACACGACACGGTTATCCAAATACTCGTCCCCTTCTGCCATTTCTCACGCTACCGAAACCTTATCTACACACTACAATCTCGCAGAAAACCCTGATCTTCTTCTATCTCGCGCAGAAACACTCTACACTCAATGCCGATTCCCTGAGGCTCTCCAGCTAACCTCTTCTATTCTCTCTTCCTTAGACTCTGATTCCATGTCCGCAGCAACGTCGCAGGGAAGTCAGAGTCGCAGCATCGGTCATTCTCCATCTGTCTATCCTTTACACCTTGCTTGTCTATATGAAACCGGCGCAACAAATTCACTCTTTCTGCTAGCCCACACACTGGCGGATAACGCACCGGAAGAGTCGTATACATACCTCGCCATTGGCGTGTACTATTTATCCGTCTCAAAAATTGCCGAAGCCAGACGATTTTTTTCCAAAGCATCCCTATTAGACCCGCATTCGGCGCCTGCTTGGATCGGATTCGCTCACACATTTGCTGCCGAGGGAGAACACGACCAGGCGATAGCAGCATATAGCACAGCCGCCAGGCTATTTCAAGGAAGCCATCTTCCTCAGTTATTTCTTGGGATGCAACATCTCGCCCTAAACAACATGTCTCTCGCCCATGAATACCTATCGGCGGCTTATAACATGTCCTCCGGCTCTCTCTCTGCTACCTCGCGAAATGGCTCTTTTTCGTTCGGCGCTGGTAACATGCAGCCGCCACCTGGTGGCGACCCTCTTGTTCTTAATGAGGTTGGAGTTGTTCTATACCATCAAGCTAATCTAGAGGGAGCCATTGAGTTCTTCCGGCGGACATTGGCTTTAGCTGCTTCATTACAATGTGACCCGGGTGCCTGGTCAGCAACGCGTGCTAACTTGGGACATGCATTACGCCGGTTAGGCAGTTTTGAAGAAGCTCTGGTAGAATTTGACGAATGCCTTAGAATTGGTGCCGGTGGTTCTACAACTGGCTATACTGGTAAAGGTGGAGTAGGCGCCACTTTATCTGCTGGGTCTGCTGCTGTCGGTGGCTATGAAGACAGAGGTCTTACTGGTTCTTTGCACACAGCCCGTGGACTTGTTTTGCTGGAATTGGGCAGAACCATGGAGGCCGTCACCACCCTTCACGAAGCTGTTCGTGTGCTGGGTACGAGCGGAGGTGACGCAGCTGCTGGTGCAGGAGTTGCTGGGACATTGCTTTCAAGGGCACTAGAAATTTGGGCCCTAGAAGAAGGTGATCGGGATGCGGCCGCGACTGCCTCTGAGCATATAGAGACCGACATTCCCACTAAGTCGAGACCGACCGCTGCCAAAGGAAAAGACGTGCAGAAAGCCAAATCTTCAAGTCGGATCGGCAGTAGAACCAGGTCGCGAAAAACTCCACTCCCTGCCCAGGAATGGACGGATGACGTTATCAACCGCGAATCTCCGAATACCCCCGGCGGTCAGCGACCAGCTTCCATGGAGTTGGATGATGATGCGGATGGCCTACTCAATAATGCTCTTGCACGTATAAAATCCAGACATGCCACGAGACAACGAGATGTTGGTCTAGGTGCGAATGACCAGGCCTTTGATACACCTGAACCCAGCCAAAGTACACGTGCAACAAGAGCGACCAGTAGACGCAAAACTCCAGTAACGCGTGGTCCTCCTGGATGATTTTTACCTCCATTTAACCTAATCCTCCATTATTTGTTAAAAGCCATGGCTGTCAAACACATGAGGATTCATAGTGCTATCTTTAAGCAGGTCGACTTTTCGTGCTAATTGTCATTTCATGTGCTCAATATGGCATTGGTGCATATTATTATTTCCTCATGAGGAACTCTAATGCAGTTTCCAACTGGCGCTTGCATGACTGGAGTTTGTTACTGGGGATGGAATGTCCTTTTTTTTTTTTTTCTTTTTTTTTCTGTTTTTTCTGTCAGTTTGTTGATAAGGTGAAGAATAATGCTTGTACAGCTGATATCTGTGGATTGTGCCTCTTGGTCTTTTATCATCAGTCACCCGTTCAATACCACAAAAATATAACACAGCATAATGCAAGAGAAATATCCAGAATATCAGTCATTTTAATTGATCTTTGTATAATTGTTGCTATGAACATAAACAAAAAAAAGTGTATCCGAAACAGCCAGCCAAAATATTGGTGCATTTATCTCCCCTTTACTCCTGACTTTTCCCCAATTTCCTATCTTTTCACAATCGCCTCAAAAGCACACTTGTCTCAAGGAACAATATCAGCTCAACGCCTTTGCCCATGCCAACAGCTCACCTGTCTTATAAGTAAAGTGTGACCGAAAAATGCATTTCATGCCAACACCCTATTCCAATGCCAAGGAAATATATATAAATACATACATACATATATAGGATGTATGCGTAGCGCCGTTATATCCGTAACAATCATATATGCACAGGATGCTTCGAATATTTACCATAATACGAAGGAATCCAAGTTCCAGCCGGAAGGGAGGAAGAGGCCTTTAGTTCAGTCACGGCCACAGGGGAGGATGGATATATTCGGCCGCCCGGTCCAGCAGGTTGGGGAGATTCCAGTCTGAGCTCCCAGAACTTTCCGGCGTCGGAGGAGGCAATGATCCGGCCCTTGTAGCGTTTATTGACGGTCCACCTATAGATCCAGACGGCGTTACATACCCGGAGATACTCACACCTACACCAGGGCTTGACGACATGGAGGGTAGGGACCCGATAGGCTGGACCTGTTGTTGTCGGCTGTGCATGCTAAAAGCAGCGTTCAGCTTTTGTAAAGCACGTAATGACTTTGTGAGTGGTTTCTGCCATTGGGTTTCCGTATCCGTAGCCACAGACGCGGGTATTGTGGAAGTCGTTGAAATCTGGGTTGGATCTAGGGTTGACGTGGGAATATTCGTTACACCACTAATGAGGTGGGGTGAGCCTTCTGATACCGATTTGCTAGCTCCAGGAGAGGGTCCTTTGTCGGTTGCATCCGCTGCCGTCCGCTCTGCGATCGCGTGCTCAAGTTGTAGGAGAAGACAGCGGATGTGGGCATCATGTTTGGACTCCTCTAGGACCGCCAGAAGAAATGCAGAACTGATGGTTCGTTGTAAACTGATCCAAGATCTTGAAGCCTGTGGGTTAGCAGCGTGCAATTCTACATATGCCTCCACAGTTCTACTGAGCGCCTGAATGCATTCTTTTCGTACAGCAGCAGTTGTTGCGTCCGTTGGATCAGCTGTTACTTTTAATGCTGGTCGACAGAGCTCCGAAGCGATATAGGAAGAATGTAACTTCAACCCAAGTCTTTCGAGGTTTTGTTTTGGCGTGGTACAAAACTTGGGGTCGCGCAAGTGAGGAGCGGCGTCAGCTAGAATGCGCCTAATTTCCTCTCGATATGCCCGGGTGACAGCAAAGCTCATTTGAGATTGGGGAGACAGCATACGACTTCGAACAATCTCAAGAGTTAAGGCAATTATCCTGCAAAGGGTCTCAAAGAAAGATCTGTTCCCTGGTTGTGAGTTTGCCCGGTACGGAATGTCGGGATGGCCGAAAGCCATCGTAGAAGGTCGATCGTAGGATAATGAAAAGTGGCTATCTTGCCAGGCTGTGGACCACCTTTTAAGCATGAAATCGTTAGGCATAGAATACCCTGGAGTTTGCTTTGAAGGATCAAACCTACCAAACCTTCCTCCGAATATACCTCTCAGCGGGTGAGAATTTGTGAGACTCAACTTGTAAACCGAGGGATATGACCATCCTTAGAGTCATGCCTTTTTCGAGTTAGCTAAAATTGTGAGCTGATTAAGGTGCCCTACTAACCTAGTAAGACATATGAAGCCCCGGGGTTCATATTATGGGAAAGCACGTTCCCTATGATGAGGAGTGTCTGAATTGCCTGCAGATTTGGCTGCGACACGAAGTTTATAGCACGGAGACATTGGTATGAACAACAAACTGTGCGATATTAGCGTAGTGTTTCGGGCCTGATTGGTCTGGATCACGTACCATATACCTGAGACGTCAGTTCTCGTTCCTTGCCTGACATGTCTGATGCTTGACAGCCTGCAGCAAGTACAGCGAATAATAGACCTATGAAAGCTATGCTCATTCCGAAAGGTTTATCTATTGCCTCACTGCCATCCGCGGTAACTCCACTGGATCTGTTTTGCAGAAACCTTTCTAGGTTTGCTTCGAAGTGGTTTATATCTGGTATCACAGGATAAATGGTGCCTCCGATATCACGGTAGAATCGGAAAAGTCTAGTAGTCAGAAATAAGGCAGGATTGATTAGCCACAATGCGAAGGAAAGAAAATAATAATAAAGCAAAAGAGAGAGAGGGAGAGAGAAGGAAAGGAAAAGGGGAGAGATGTGAGGGAAAGAAGAAAACTCTGATGGCAGTTGGGGCTAACCTATAACACTGTTCATCATCCGGCAAAGCACTGCAAACAGCATTTATATCGAATGTTGAGCTGTTGGAGGACCAAAGATCAATAAAAGGATATGTTACCAGCTCATTGTCAAGGCCCAATTTTGGAAGAATTCCTCCCTCACTGAGAGCCTGCGCAGCCTCTGTGGAAGTACCGGAACCACCCAGAATATAAGCCAGCACAGATCTTGAGCCCAGATGGATTGTCCCATTCCCTAATTCATTTGATGCGTGGATGCCTTCTCTGTCCGGGGACGGGGGGTCCCGGACACCAGCGGTATTGTCGCTCCGGACTTCTGGAGACGCAAGAGGGCCGACGTCGATGCGCTCCATGCCCATTCGCAACGAGGAGATAGTCTGTTCCATTTCTTTCAGCTTAGAGCATACATTCTCCCATTCGTCTCTCGACAACGACACTCTGTTTGGGTCAATGGCAGCGGAGGGTTGTGTCCGCACAACTCCAACCGCAGTGGTTCCACCATCGCCACCTTCCTGTTTGATAAAACTTGGAGGGATAACCTGGCGTTTTTTGGACGGGCGTTCGTAGGAACAGAGGTCGGCATGGTCTCTTTTCACACAGCCGTCACAAGGCAAATTGCGGTCACATTTGACCTTGCGGGTGTGGCAAGGATAACAGGCTTTTGGCTCGCGAGCTTTGCGCTTGGTGCGGATGATAGCATCGACTTCGGCCTGCGGGAGATCGGAAACTGGAGTCGAGAGGGTCCGCCCTGGAGTAATAGTCGGAGGATGATTCAATGATGGCAAGGACATGGCGTCGAATGGACTGGAAGGCGAGGGTTGAGAGGTCGGGAAGGATCATGTTCTCGCGGGGACGCCCTGTTTTGCATGATGACATCGACGGCCGCTCGCCAACAGGAGAATCGACTGACTAAGCGGAAGCTTACTGCCCACTTTTCGGGACAACAACGGGCCGGGCTACAGCTTGCGACGGCGCTAGACCCTCTTGGGGTTGGCGTCACGCCGCTTATTCGGCAACTCGGCCTCTAGCGCGGTTCTGGCGTCACGGTGCCGCCGATCGCGCTCATCACCCGCCGTAGTTCCGAAGCACGTTGCATTTGCGTACGACGATGAAGATGTAATAATAGACAATACTAGTTAACTAAAGGTAAATCTGCTTTATCACCGCTGGCCTATCTTGTTGGTATCTCTTTGTCTATATCTAATGTCTTATATATACAACCATGATTATCAATTATCGCCTTTGCACCCCTCTCCAAAGCGAGAGGGTCTTCTTCCAGAACAAAAACGCCGGATCGCTCGCAAGCTGCAGCTAAAAAAAAACGCCAAGAATCATCTGAGGTATCAAAAGGCGAAGAACTTTTACGCCAAGCGTTTGACATCGGTTCGAGATTAAGACAGTCTCGCCAGGGGAAAAAGAAGAAAAAAGAAAAAAGAAAAAAAGAGAGAGGGAGAGAAGAATGAGAAGAAAGTTACAGTTCACCTCTTCTCTGTCGCTGGGGATTCCTCCTCATCACCGGCATATGCAAACTTGGAGTAACGACGGATCGCTTCACCTTTGAAATAGAAGACGTATGGAATGGCGCAGCACGCCAGCGCCAGGAAAGCCAAGAAAGTGCTGGCCCATTGGTAGCCCATACGGTTATACATCTGGTTGGTAAAAAGCACAACAGAAGCTCCCCACATTGAGCGCAAAAAGGTCTTCGCAGCGAGAGCCGACGCTGCCTGATGTTGGTATGTGTCCACTGCCACTGGAAGTCAGATAGTGTTCTCTGCGCTATCTTAATGGAAATAACTGTTCAAGATGCCGAATGACTTACCCAAATAATTGTTGCAAGAGTTATACAAGAAGATGAACCCGAAACCAACGGGAAATCCTCCCATGGCTGGGCCAATCCAATGAATCTCGGAATACGATGTCCAGGCAAAAATAAACAACCCCATGGGCACAAACCAACACGAGGCCATCATTGGGATCAGGCGCATTTCCGGAGGTGGCTTTCCATTGTATTTGGCGCAAATTTTTAGGTAATGCTTGTTGACAAAGGGTGCGCAAACAGCACTGAGCAGCACACCGATGGCCAGTGGAATAAACATGAGGCCAGTGATACCTGGCGAATATCCTTTCCCGATTTCATAGACAATTGGGTATCTAAAATATTGGTTAGCATTTCACGGTAATGTTGTCGGGGATAGCCGCTGCTACTTACGCCACGAAAAACATATAAAGCAGACCATATAGAATAGACATGTAGATCGAGAGCAGGAAAACAATCAACTCCATAAACAGGAGCTGGAATGGTCGGAAAAGGAAGATACGCAGCTTTTCCCCCATAGGCCTTGAATCCAAGTCCTGCTCCGTGACGTATATTGATTTTCCAGTTTCTTTTCGTAGCTTTTTAGCTCGCTTTGCAAGAAGCGTTGGTGTATAGGTTTCAGGCATTGTTATCAGGAGGATGAGGACGACTCCAGATAAGATAAGCTGAATCCAATAGAGCCATCTCCACCCTTTGGCGTCACCCAAAAACCCACCAGCAAGAGGCCCAATGGCAGGGCCAATAAACGGTGCAGCGCTGAAAGCGGCCATAGGAACACCTCTCTCTTCATTACGCCACATGTCGGCGAGTGTACCGCCGACCAAGGTCATAGGAGCACTGAACGCAATGCCATCGATAGCGCGACAAACAAGAAGGGTGGCAATATTTTCAGCCACGGCGCATGGGATTAAGAAAATAACAGCAAGAAACATCGTCACGACATAAACAGGCTTCCGGCCGACCATTTCGGATAACGGGGCAAAAATCATAGGGCCTATAGTTGAGTTTAGCGGTTGAACGCACTGATAGATCAAATAGAACCAGGAGTTTCGTACCGACACCGAAGCCAATAACGAACAGCGTGATTGTTAGAAGAGTTACCGTTTCGGAAACGCCAAATTCCTCTCCGACTGCAGACAGATCCGCGGTGATAACACTACTGTTAAAGGCCACAACGAAGCAGGTAAACGCAACGACCATAGTGCAGTACCATTTGAATGCTTTGCTCCAATTCTTTGGATTCTCTGGATCCCCGACCTTGAAAGTAATGAGCTCGTAGTCTTCGATCTTCCCCGTCACATTGGATCGGACAGGCCGAGTGATCTGTCCATCCGCGGTTTCCTCCGTGTATTCTTCGAATACGGCATTGTCATTCAGTTCACGAAAGGGCAAGTCTGTTGGATCAATTGCGCCTGGCACGCCGACAGAGTAGGTACGAGATGTCCGGGCGGACCGTGGAGGACTTGATACGTGAGCCATATTCTGAACAGTTTTCAGAACACAGCACGACTTCAAAGGCCTGACACTGATGTGGACTAGATGTCATATCGTGGATCCCTTGGGTATATATAATTCCCAAGTAGCCCTGATGGTTCCTGGAAGAGACGGCATCTCGGCCCGTCGGGACCATAACAGAATATTTTCAGGAAAGTTTGCAAAGTGATCCATTCCATCATCCTTCTGGAATGGCTCATCCGCAAGTCAAAAAGGTGAAAAGCAGATCGTTAATGGCGGAAAAATCTCGGCATGCTCTCGGAATTGATAACTCTTCAGGAGTATTCAGTACAAATATGGGAAAAAAGGAAACACGTTCCAGCAACCTTTATTGGGCACAAATTGATCGGCCTCTGGGCAACAATATTTTACTGCTCTTGGGCAGGCATCCACCGCCCAATCTTGCGTAAACATGTTATTTACCGAAGTGGACATCTGCACCGGGGAATTCTTTTCTCCATCACCGAGAGTCAAATTTTGACAAGCTTCTGCAGAATATAAAGTCTGAAACGTCATTCTCATCTAGCCATGATCGGGGACCTGGGCAACGTGCTCGTCATCGCAAGACACGACTCGTTCCCGTCGCCATCAACACCATTAAAGAGACTAGGAGGATAGTTGAAATACCGGACTAAGCATAGAGGGGTAGAAGCATCTACATACTTCGTACGTCACTCCGCAAATCCACATAAAGCAAGGGTTGGTAATGGAATCCTCATCGGGCTTCTTGGAAGTGTATAGGATGGACACGAAGTCCTCCAACCTCGCACAGGCGGCAGGGAAAGCAGAAAACAGGTGTAAGGTTGCGTAGTATCAAGATATCCAAATAATTAGACGATACTACGGACGGGAGTAATAGCCATAGCCTTCCCGGGCTATGGTCCTGAACGCTGCAAGACCCGCCCTGCCAGGGGCTGGGCCAATCGATATAGCCTGAAAACGTTAGTATTCCGGATAAGACGGTTCGATTGAAGTGGGCCAATGTGAGGATTTGAGCTAGTCGCCATCACGTCGACAAAATTTATCCTGAGGAGCATTTTGAAATCCTTTTCCCCCCCCCGAAATCCAGATTTTCAAGCTGATGTCGGCATTCGCTCGGAGTCGATCTGTTAATCGGCATATCACGTGATATAATTACGTCATTGTGACTAACATCTTATCTTATCAATCAAGTAAAACCACGTGATTCATCATCCCGCCACTAAACCCATACAGGACTAGCTTTTATTCTTATCAGTAATCCAACCACGTGATAGCCCCGAAATTTGCGAAGCACGCAGTCATTTTCATTGCCGCGACGGGACGATGGAATGCAGGAGAGAAGCAAACGGTGAAGAAGACTCACTTCTAGCATTTTGCTTCGATTTCCCGATAATGCCCTTCTGTGTTATAGTTTCCATCTCCTAAGGATATCAGCTTCTGCATCGATATTCCCGATCCCACATATCTGGCGCGGGGCAAATTTTCATGCCGAATCGATTGGTGATCTTGAAAATCAACCCGCCTAACGCATAATTACCGGTTCCAGACCAGTTGGCAAGATGGCTTCGTCGGATTCCCATCGTTTGGTTGTTTCAGGCTCCGTTGCGTTCTCGCAATCTCGGTGTCGTGCCGTTGCTGGTAGTATCAAGGCCCGAGCAGTGCGGGCGCAGTGGATCCACTATATCGATCTCGTAGAAAATCTACAAGAGCAACATCTTGCCGTCCTGGAGCAACTTCTACATTACGGAGACATATCCGACGACCTCGCCGCCTTTGAATCTCTGGAGGGCTCTCATGTTACGTACTATGTTTCTCCCCGCATTGGAACAATTTCACCGTGGAGCTCTCAGGCAACGGGAATCGCACATGTTTGCGGCCTGAAGCAATATGTGAAACGGATAGAACGTGGCCTGAAAATATCCTGTGTTCTCGGCCATGGGGAAGAGACCTTGGACTCGGAACTTCTCAATCTGCTACATGATCGAATGACCCAAATAATAAGCACAGAGGAGCCAGATCTGCATGCAATGTTTTCCGAGCATCAACCTAAGCCACTTGAAGTCGTATCCCTTGAGGATGGAGAAAAAACTCCGGCCCAAATTTTGGCGGAAGCGAACAAACGCCTTGGTTTAGCTCTTGATGAGTCTGAAATCGATTATCTCGTTGACGCATATTCTCCTGGCGGAGCCGTCTCAAGGTCGCCTACCGACGTCGAATTGTTTATGTTTGCCCAAGTGAACTCGGAACACTGTCGCCACAAGCAATTCAACGCGAAATGGATTATCGATGGCAAGGAGAAGCCCAACTCCCTGTTTAGTATGATCAGAAATACCCACAAACAGCATCCTGATTACACCATCAGCGCATACAGCGACAATGCTGCTGTTCTCCAGGGAGAAGAAGCAAGTTATTGGGCCCCAAATCCTTTAACAGGCGAATGGTCTCAAACCAAGGAACTCGTTCACTTCCTCGCCAAGGTCGAAACTCATAACCATCCTACTGCAGTATCCCCGTTCCCTGGTGCGGCCACGGGGTCAGGTGGGGAGATTCGTGACGAAGGATCAGTTGGTCAGGGTTCCAGGCCTAAGGCAGGCCTAGCAGGGTTTTGTGTTTCTGATCTATTAATACCAGGCAACAGACAGCCCTGGGAGCTAGATGTTGGGAAACCCGGTCACATCGCTAGCAGCTTTGACATCATGATGGAAGCCCCAATTGGAAGCGCTGCATTCAATAACGAATTCGGTCGACCTTGCACCGCGGGCTATTTCCGAACTTTGCTCACAAAAGTCGATCTGGACAACGGCGAGGCCGAAATCAGAGGCTACCATAAGCCGATTATGATTGCTGGAGGTGTAGGAACTGTTCGCCCTCAGCACGCTCTCAAGAATCCTAGAGCGGTAAAACCTGGCTCGTACTTGGTCGTTCTGGGTGGCCCAGCTATGTTGATCGGGTTGGGCGGGGGCGCTGCTTCAAGTATCACTTCTGGAGAGGGTTCTGCAGACTTGGATTTTGCCAGCGTTCAAAGAGGAAACGCAGAGGTCCAAAGAAGGGCCCAGGAGGTTATCAACTCTTGTGTTTCAATGGGAGATGACAACCCAATTAAGTTTATTCATGATGTAGGCGCTGGTGGCTTGTCCAACGCTTTGCCCGAACTTATCCACGATGCCGGCTTGGGCGCTACCTTCGAACTACGTGAAATCGACAATGCGGACAAGGGAATGAGCCCGATGCAAATTTGGTGCTGCGAGGCTCAAGAGCGATACGTAATGGCCGTCTCTGAGGAAGGAATGTTAAAATTTATAGCAATCGCAAAGCGAGAGCGGTGCGGTTATTCGGTCGTTGGACGTGGCCTTGGCCAACCCGAAGAAGACAGGAGGCTTATTCTCCTTGATCGAGATTCGAAAGTCTACCCCAAACCAATCGATCTTCCTCTTTCAGTCCTATTTGGCAAGCCTCCAAAGCTAACAAGGACTGTATCTTCAAGAAAACTAAAATTACCTGCTTTTGATAGCAGCCTCCAGCCTTACTTACCCGCAATTTCTGATAAGGAATTGATAGGCGAAGCCGTATCAAGAGTTCTACAACTCCCTGCTGTGGGTTCAAAATCCTTCCTTATCACCATCGGAGACAGGACTGTGGGCGGGTTGACTGCGAGAGATCAAATGGTAGGCCCCTGGCAAGTTCCCGTATCTGACGTGTCAGTCACCGCTACCTCTCTCCATACCGGGATGAAAACGGGTGAAGCTATGGCCATGGGGGAGAAACCCACACTCGCACTCATTTCCGCAGCAGCATCTGCAAGAATGGCCGTGGCGGAGTCGCTTATGAATATTGCAGCTGCAGATATTCCCGGTCGTTTGAGTCGAGTGACACTCTCTGCAAATTGGATGTCGGCAGCAAATCACCCTGGAGAAGGTGCTGCCTTGTACGAAGCGGTCGAGGCAATTGGAATAGACTTGTGTCCGAAACTTGGTATCAGCATTCCCGTTGGAAAGGATTCAATGTCCATGAAGATGAAGTGGAACGATCAGAGCACCGGCGAAGCTAAAGAAGTAACTGCTCCTCTGTCGCTCGTTATCTCAGCATTCGCACCCGTATCTGATATTCGTAAGACATGGACACCGGCCCTACGAAGTTTTGAAGAGGTGGGAGAAACTGTGCTCATATTCGTTGACCTTTCTGGGCGCAAATGTCTCGGAGGCTCAGCGCTAGCTCAAGTCTTCAATCAAGTGGGCAATGAAAGCCCGGATGTCCACGACGTGCAACTTTTCAAGGATTTCTTTGACGCTACTCAGCAGCTCCAGGAAGCTGGTGTTGTTCTGGCGTACCATGATCGTTCAGATGGCGGTTTGTTTACGACACTGGCGGAGATGATGTTTGCCGGTAGATGCGGAGTCCAAATTATGCTTGATGACATCTGCTCCAGCCCCAACGTTAAAGATGTTATGGAGACATTATTTAACGAGGAATTGGGTGCCGTATTCCAAGTCCGAAAGAAGGACGAGGGTGTCTTCCGCAGCTGCTTTGCGACTTGCGGTCCTCCACCTGGACTACTCTTCAGGATCGGACGTGTCGCAGAAAAGTCTAAGCAGAACATGGCCATTTACTATGGAGCCACCCTAATCTACCGCAATTCTCGCGCAAACCTACAGCAGACATGGTCCAATACCTCGTACCAAATGCAGAAACTTCGCGATAATCCTGCCGCGGCCGAACAGGAATACGAGAACATCCTTGACGACAATAATGCCGGTTTATCGTACAATCTAACATTCGATCCAAAAGACCCTGCAATGCCGCTTCTAAGCAGTCTTAGTGCTAGATTCTCACCATTTGCAGCTAAGCCTAAGGTTGCTATTCTTCGCGAACAAGGAGTGAACAGCCAAGCCGAAATGGCCTTTGCCTTCAACATTGCTGGATTTTCTGCTGTCGATGTGCACATGACTGACATCATCTCCGGAAAGGTTTCTCTTTCCTCCTTCGTCGGCATTGCAGCCTGCGGTGGATTTTCCTACGGTGACGTCCTCGGTGCCGGCCAAGGATGGGCTAAGTCAGTTCTCCTTCATAATGACACAAGGCGAGAATTCAAATCATTCTTCGAGCGACCTGATACGTTCACCCTTGGGGTTTGTAATGGATGTCAATTCCTCAGCCGCCTTAAGGACCTGATCCCAGGCGCCAGAGACTGGCCTAGCTTCGAGCGCAATGAAAGTGAACAATATGAAGGCCGGGTGTGTATGGTGCGCATTTTCGACTCAGATCAATCGTCGCCAAGCGTCTTCTTACATGGAATGAACGGAACCTCCCTCCCGATCGCCGTTGCTCATGGAGAGGGACGCGCTTCGTTCGCAAATACACCTGGGGTGGCCGCAGAGGACATTGTCAAGCATAACCTCGCGCCCATCCGATATGTCGATAACACTACCTTGAAACCAACAATGAGGTACCCGTTCAATCCAAACGGAAGCCCTGAGGGTATTGCTGGTGTGAGGAGTATGGATGGTAGGGTCCTTGCTTTGATGCCTCATCCAGAAAGAACTATTATGAATGGTGTGGGAAGTTGGTTCCCTGGAGACAATGCTATGTCCGCGGAATGGGGAGATATTGGCCCATGGGGAAGAATTTTCTACAGCGCGAGAAGATGGGTGGGTTAAGACCTGTTGATTTTTGGTGAACATGTTTTATTTTGGTTTAATGTGCCTCGTCTGCCATCTTATTTTCATATTTTCAATATTTTTTGAATGGACCTATTGGAGGCTAAAGTCAGAAAATAAAGAGTTTTGGTTGCATATAGGGGCAGGTGTAGGCAATCTCAAAAGGTTGCACAAAAGTTAGGGATGGCTTGATGCTAAATAGCATATGCGCAATATTTATTCCATTTTCATAAAATACGCGAGATTACTATACTTGTGCGCCGTAAGTCGTTATCTTTGCGCATCAGGGTGTAGGAAAACCTATAGCAGATGCCACGCTCAGTTCGGCTAGTCAACACTCTAACCCAACGGACAGGCGATTGAATGAGATGAAACCGTTTAATAATATGGCCTAGGTTTTACATGAATGTGTGGCTCTTCGGTTCCAGCCGATCGGCCAGCATGGCCCAGCTATTTCGACCGTCGACCCGTCCGATGCCTCTTAATCCAGTTTTAACGAACCTGCTGAGTTCGTCAGATTTTTGTTTGACACCGAGCAGTCGTTCCCTGTACGACAATTCGGCAAAGGACATGCATGTACTGCTCCCATCACCGAACATAGTCTGATTAATATAGTCTCCTTCATCTTCATCTGAACTTAGCTCTTCATCATCTTCTTCGGAAGCCGAACGGCGTCCACGACGATATCGGCTCGAATTCAAATGGAGGTACGTAGTTGACTGATTTGCTTGGTCGTACTGATATTCAGCATATCGCCCAACTTGTATGTCGGAGAACTGAAGACATAAGTCAAGGATTGAAATGACGGCTTGGTAAATCGGTGCTAAATTCTTTGAGAGGAGGCACTGTTCCTCCATTGACGAGATGAATGATTGATGAACAGAAATCATGCCATCGACATCTTTGGCTTCGGCCATCGATTTTACCATTTCTGATCTCGATGACGAGATAACGAGCTCGGTAAAATGGTAGTACAAGATGTTGACAAACCAGAGTAGATAGTGTCGGATGGCGAATGAGAGAATATCATCTTCAGTGTAAGTATCATGCCGAAGATATCTTGGTTTATTGGAGCACTGTTTTTCAAGGACGTATTTCGCTCGGCGAATCTGCATTAGAAATGTTGAGAGGCGTTGGTACACGTTCATTGATTGCTTTGAGATTACGTTGGCAACAGGCCACGGAAGAACATAATCCACAGAGAGCGCCTTCAATAACTTGACCGAGCGGCAATGCTTTTCGAATTCTCGAGGGGCGACCTTAATGGTCCGTGCGATAAGACGGCTGACGTCAATACAGGACAGGTTCCCCAAGGCTTGCTGAAAACTCTCAGTCAGCAGGAATCGATCATTCCATGATTGCCTCCCCTTATCAATCAACTCAAATATTCTTTGATCAACCGCCATTAAGAGTGCCGTGTCTTTGCCCAGGTATATATAATCCAAAGCCTGCATTGAAAGCCAAAGCCCACATTTCTCGTTGAGCTCCGCTCTCAAGACAGCTGAAGCGACGCTATGATTTTCATTCACCAATCGCCCAAAAGCACCTTGTAAAAACCCGGAAAAAGGTACAAAAGCTGACGGAATTTCAACCGGAAAAATGTCTTTTTTATCAATCTTGGGCGTTTCTAAGTTCAGAGTTTCCGGAGCGACTCCAAGATTGCGAAGAAATATCATGCTTTTCCCAGTAGTAAAGATTTTGTCCGCTGCTGGACGAAGAAACTTTGGGCCATACAATTGCCCCGAGAACTCTTCTAAGGAAAACCATTCATGCCAGAGAGACTTCAAATGAGTAGATCGACCCGAGGTTTTAATGAAAAAAGACCCGAGAGATTCATCTAACATGCCTGTTTTCATCCAAAGCTGGATAGGTTTTGCATAGATCTCGAAGCACTTGAAAAAGATTTTGGCCATAACTTTATATTCTGCATCCTCTGCGGCAGCCTGTTTTGCGCAAACCAAGTCATAGAGCAAGTCCAGGCAAAGAAAACCGTTCTGTCCTGTGGTCCTTTTCAGCCTTTTTACGAGACCGGCTAACTCGACAAGGAGTTTAGTCTCTTTTCGAACATCGTCGAACAGTTCAAGAAGGCTAGCACATGGTAATTGGGGCTTAACTGAATACCGGGCTTCCGTCTCCGAGAGAAAACTGTCAAGATCGTAAACCAACTTATCCACTTCCTTTTGGAACATTTGCATGAAGGGTACTTCCTGCGGCTGTTTCCCGAAGGCCCTGAGTCGCTGAATGCAAACTCCCAGGTCACTAAATGACCTAAGTATTGACCTGAATGCCTCTCTAGAGGCATGCTGTACAAAGAAGCGGTCGTCTATTTCAATACTATCATTCAGATTCCGGAACAAAGAGTTGGGTAAGCCTTCCAGCATAAATATTACTTCCCGCATGACTTGTAGGTCAGTCAAAATGCCGTTAGAACTTTCCGGGAGGGAACTCGGTAGATATCTCCAAGCTTGGGTGTTTTGTATGGATGACACTAGCCCATCATCCTCTACGGTCAAATATATGTCTTCAGGGGGGATATATTCGTCCAGGGGAACCTTGGAACTTTGCGGAATGATTCGCGGGATGGATATGTCGCTTGACGCCAGTGAAAGATTTTCATCAGATGAATCATTCGCATAATCAATGTCGTCCCATATGTCCTCTTTATCGAGGTCGGAAGTACCGAGATCAGACCAGACCAGAATGGGGGGCGGATCAGGTGGCTTGAATAACTCGACTCTGTCCGGGCCCGACTTAGAAGCAGGCTTGTCAGAAAGTTCTAAGAGCAGGAAAAGAACTTCTGGGGCCCAATGGCATTTCTTTGCATCTAGCTCTGACAATCGGAGGCGGACCGCATCGGCTAAACCGGCATTGCCCACAATCTGGAATTTTTCTTGGAGACCATCAAGCCTTCGTGAAACTTCAAACTGGTCAACTCTGCCGGCTGCATTTCGTTTGACGATGTTTTGAGCCACAGTCTTCAGGTGTTTAAATCGTGGTGAACTCTACAGATCATCAGTTCTGTCTCTCTGCCCATTATCCTGGGACTGACATACCTTATCCTGGATATTTGCGATGATTGCGATGAGTTCATCTGTGAGAGTGCCAATGCGCAGAGCAGCGGCCATATCAAACGTATCTCAGAGCATTCGGCAGCCAGTTCTACAGATCATGGGGCTTTGAGCCTTGAGCTCCCTGATACCGCGACTCGCGCGTTCACTGGACCTGGCATCTCGTGGTGCTCCTGCTTATGTCAGCCAGCGCTTGCCCCTGATCGAGGCAAATCGCCCGTTACATAAGCCGTGTTACTTCAAGCCGCGCTGTTAACGAACCTGAAGAGAGAAATATTGCTAGAGCACGCCCTTTGCGAAGAAGGGTTGGGTTGGAATGCCATCATGGCTGTTGCAAGGCCTCTTCGGTTACTTCTGGCGGGCGGTATACTGCTCTGCCTATTCTTTATTTTTCAGCTCTCCAGATCGACCAACCCCATCATCAAACTCGTGGATCCTTACGATAATGGGCTGATGCATGATCCACTGGCTGATCGTAAGTTACGAGGAGAGCATTGACTTATCTACCGGATTCGTGATCCTAACCTATTCTATAGCTACCGGAGAGCCAGAGGGCCACCTATGGAGAGCGGAAGGCGATTCGTACGCTCCTAATAACCCTAACTCCTCCCGTCTTAATGCGACCCTCCTCTCACTTGTCCGTAACGAGGAGCTGGACCAATTGATCATGACAATGAAAGAGCTGGAGAGCACATGGAATAGCAAATTTAACTATCCTTGGACTTTTTTCAATGACCAACCGTTTTCAGACGAATTCAAAAAGCGGACCCAGGCGGAAACGAAGGCAAAATGCAACTATGGTATGATCTCGCATCTATAAATATTTCCATGGGGATCGTTGCTGATGTATCTCACAGAGATTGTTCCAAAAGAGCATTGGGACGTTCCCAATTGGATAGATATGGACCTATACAAGGAATCCGTGGATATGCTGAAGGAAAAGGGAGTTCAATACAGCGGCAAGCTTTCGTACAACCAAATGTGTCGGTGGAATAGTGGCATGTTCTACAAACACCCGGCTTTGGCCAACATGCAGTACTATTGGCGCGTCGAACCTAATGTACACTTCTTCTGCGATGTCGATTACGATGTCTTCCGATATATGCAGGACAACAACAAAACGTACGGTTTCACAATAAATCTTTACGATGCTCCGGAAAGCATTGAGAATTTATGGCCGGAAACTGTTAAGTTCCTCGCGTCGCATTCCGAATACGTTCATCCGAACAACGCAATGGACTGGCTGGTGGACAACAAGCAGAGACCTACACATAATCAGAAGGCAAATGGGTATTCTACTTGCCATTTTTGGTCTAATTTTGAGATTGGAGATTTGTCGTTCTTCAGAGGCAAAGCATATGAAGATTATTTCAATCATCTGGATCGTGCCGGCGGGTTTTTCTACGAACGATGGGGTGATGCGCCCGTACACTCCGTGGGCTTGGGTTTGTTCGAAGATAAAAATAAAATCCACTGGTAAGATACCTAAAGGCTGTCACATCTACAGGATACATTCTAACGAGAGTTGGCGCCTAGGTTCCGCGACATTGGCTACAATCATATTCCATACTTTAACTGTCCAAATTCTCCGAAATGCAAGGGCTGCACTCCTGCAAAATTCTATTCCGGGGAGCCGTTCTTACAACTTGAGGATTGTCGGGCAAATTGGTTCAAGTATGTTGGGACCGGGTGACCAACAATACCATCCGACGGACCTACCGGCAGTTCATAAGTTGCATCGCATACTTAAGACTCTGATATAATTGCGGCAAACCGAGTCTCCACTTCCCCATCAGGCATGGTTACCCTGGCTCATAATATATTCTTCCTTTTACCTTCTTGAAAACTTTCCGATTCCTTCTATCAGAATCCGGAGATATCACATTTTTGCGGAGTAATTCGGGCTCCGCGGATAAGTTTTAGCGACAGGTATATACCAGGACACGGCGTTAATGGGCATGGCTCCGGACAGTGAAACCTTTGGCGGTAAGGTCTAATGGTAATTCTGTATTTCTTCGATGAGGGTTGATTTGATTTACCCCCTTTCTTCGACGGGAGTGGATAAAAATTCCCTTGTCCTGTTGACGGCTGCGGATTGTGGTTTAGCCATTCAGAGCGTATGGTAGATTTGTGTGTATATGTTTTAGATCAAGATTGCTATGACATCTTTATTTCTTTTTTTTTAATGGTGAATCTGCGTTTTCTATTACCTCATGCCCCAGCGCATTTCTCTGAGCAGACTTATGATTTGATGGGCAGGCCTTTTTCTATGAATAGTTGCTGTTGATGTTTCAGAGTAGAACTGATATTGAGATTTACCATGACCAGGCTTCGGACTGATTAGGACAAACAAGCTTTTCATCAAGATTACTGGCAGTCCAAGATTTACAAAAGAAATCATTTGAATATACAAACAAGCATTGCTTCAATTCTGTCTGATTTTACATGTTACCAAGGAAAGGAATAAGGGCAAGATTGAGGGGAATTAGAGACATGGAGACTTCACCCAAGGCCCTTTGTCCCCTTCCATCTATCTAATTTATCATGCATGAGATGTCACCAGTGCAAATGTCGGACGGCTTCCCATTTTCCCAAAATAAAAACACCTTCCAATTCTACTGCTACAGTTTCGGGATAAGGGTAAAAGGTGTGCCCGCCAGGATGGAAATCTTCTATTTCTCTGCTGGGTACATCTCCTCCTGGAGCACGACGCCGAGCTCCTCTCGCAGAGGCTTAAGCTCCTCGAGATAGGCCTCGTATTGGCTCTTGTTCTCGACCTTAGCTTTGATGCCTATGTGTGACGCGATTAGAACCGATATTGGCATTATAGCGCAGCGGATGTTCATGGATAGTTAGGGATGTAACCGACCCTCAAAGATTCTAACGGCGGTTGGGAAGTCGTTGACTCTTCTGGCGGCCTTGAGAGCCGCGGTCATGACACCGACAGATGGGACGAGATCGTAGGCGAAGGCATTGTTAAGGTTTCGCTATATTAATAGTGATGAAACGGTTAATCGAACTGAAGCACATAGATAACCATAATAATTGGACCGGGCGGGATGGGTGAATCAATGGGGCTAACCTGGAGCTCAAAGACATCCTGGACGCTGTCGAACTCCTTCTCATATCTGCAATGACATCCATCAGCCCACATTCTCCCCACTTTATCGCATTCCACAATCTGTTCAGGCCATTGAGACTTGTTCGATGCTCGGCCGTCGTACACAGGGCACAAATCGGGGTTTATTTTTATTATCTTCCGAGTTGTCGGTAAACTTGCAGAACAACAAACTGCCCTACCTGGCAGAGAATTCCTCGAAAGTCTCCTCCTCGTGAGCGCCACTGCATCGTTTCGCCGTCGTGCTGAAGCCGCTGGCGCCGCCGAGAGTGACAATTGCAGGGACAGAGGCCGAAGCAGCAGCTGGAAGTCTCGAGCGGGCAGAGTACGAAGCCTTGAAGAAGGTCGCAGGTGTCCGGCGCGAAGCGATACGGATGAGGGTTGAGGGCGACATTTGTGGCGAGGAGAGCGAAGATTCGTCACAGAAATCAAATGGATACCGTCAAAGCTCCCAAATTGGGGGAATTGTTGATTTTGTTGGCGGCGAAGTGGTCGGCGAAGTGACTTACGGTGACGTTCGAGATTTTTGGGTGGTGCGAGTGGTGGGAGATTTCGGAGGCGTGCTCCGTGGTTTGCTGTCTTAGCTTGGAATCATAATAACGCCCAACCTCTAGCAAAACTTGCAGCACTGTAAAACATCAACCATTGGCACACGAATAAACGAATTCATTGCTCAAATCAATTTCCAATATTTTTACGGTCAATTTACTTCCCATTTCTTGCACGGTTGGTCCCCTGTGCCGGATGGCCGTTCTGTGGCATGAATCCTCAAGACCCAAAGCCACACACTGGCTTGGGCGATTGTTTGGCTGCTGCGTCGCGCAGCTTGCTACCGACTTCCCAGTACTCAGGGCATTTGTTACTGTCAGAGAAAGCAGCCGCTGATCCGGCTTACTGCAATTGCTCATGGCATCCGGATGACGCAAACGGCGCTATGTGTGCATGTGTGTGGCTCTCTTATTTATCGTCGACGACGACCCTCTCAAATAAGCACCCAGCCATAAAGGTGTGGTTATATCAAAGCAGATCATATCTTATGTATCAGTGCCTGTGAGTGTACAATGGGATTCTTTTTTAAATTTTTTTTCCCCCCCTATCCATGATTGCGTTTCGCGTCCTCGTACGGAGTATGTAGATTCCGGCGATTCAAAATGTAACTTTCAATGCTACGGAGTAGATGAGAATCATTCAATGTATGCACAGTACATACATACATGGGAAGAAGGCCGGACTCTTTGGAGTGAACATACGGGGTAGGATCTGGGCGAATCAATCGATGAGGTCAGAGGTGGCATGTTCAGTCCATTCCACTGTAGGCCTCTACAGGCTTCCTAGTCATCCTACGCCACAGTTTCTCTCGAAGGAATAGAGTGGATATCCGTAAAGAAAAAGGCCGTCCCCGGCGGTGGTGGCACTCTCGCCTCCGCGTAGGGAGTCTGGGCTGCCGTGCTCGCAGCGTGGAGAATTTGTGAGAAACCAGCACATCATGAAGACATCAGCAGGACAAGATTAAGCGCGTGCAACCCTTGGATTGAAACTTTGGGACTTACCAAGCTGTCGCCGCCCGCCGGTCCTCTTGCCAGCAAATAACGACGTTGTCGCGAAGTCAAGCATGTAGGGTTTCCGTGCTTTCCGTGGATGCGCATCAAACCATCCCGACAGACGCCCACAAACCCTCTCGGCTAGTTGCTCAATGCAGAGCTACAGTAACTGGTTTAAGCTACATACCTGCTGCCGGGAGGGCGTTCGTCCCCGTCGCGCTCGTTCACATGCTTCGCGGGCCTGTACTGTATCAACATGTATCGCGCGGTAATAATGCCAAGCCCCGCTCCCCTTTTTTCGGATCAAACCCAGCGCGCTCGCCCAATCACACCGTTCAGAGTGCGGGAGAAGCAAATTAATTTTTCTTTCGCAGGCCGGTAATACGGCTGTCAGCATCTCATCTCGACTCAGCTGTTCATCTCCGTTGGGGATCCCATCTCAGTTTCCTCGACATCATCAAGCCGTCAAATTTTTTTTTTCCCTTCTTCTCCCCCTCCAGCTTCTTCCGCCTAATGCTCTTTTAATAATTTCCGCCATTCTTCTTTCCGTCAAGTGAGCTTTCCATCCGGTCTCATCATCAACTACATAGATCATTCATCTCCTTGCATCCACTCCCCTTTTTTTTTCTTTCTTTTTTTTTTTCTTTTCTCTCTCTGTTCTTGTCTGCCGTCTGCTCAGCCTGACCTCCGAGCCGCAATCGACAAGCAGATCACTCTGCTCTCCTATGATCCGCATCCTCCTCGGATAGACACCCCACTGCAACTGTCTCCCAGCTTTCTCCCACCTACCATGTCTCTCGAGCTCCTCCAGCAATTCCCTCGACCTACCCTCGACCGTCCGTTCGGCGTCGAGTTATGGCCCGTTTTCGACAAGGCCTTCTCGGCCGTGGCTGGGTACTCTGCCACCGACTTCAAGTTCGTTCAAGGCGAGACGCCCATGTCGACTCTCAAAATGACGGCAACCGCCCTGATATCATACTATGTCATCATCTTCGGGGGCCGCGAGTTGATGCGCAATCGTCCAGCGATGAAGTTGAACGGGCTGTTTATGATCCACAATCTATATTTGACACTTGCTAGTGGGATATTGTTGGCGCTGTTTATCGAACAGCTTCTGCCCACGCTCTGGAGACATGGTGTCTTTTATGCGATTTGCGATCACCGTGGAGGATGGACAAAGCAGCTGGTGATTCTTTACTTCGTATGTCTTAGCTTTTCCCTATGCAACATCTCCATCCTGTGAAATCACCTATGATCATATTAGTACATATCTCTAACTTCAACAGTTGAATTATATCACCAAATATATTGAGCTCGTGGACACAGTATTCCTTGTCCTGAAGAAGAAGCCACTCACATTTCTCCACACCTATCACCATGGTGCCACTGCTCTCCTTTGCTATACTCAGCTAATTGGTTTGACCGCTGTTTCATGGGTCCCAATCACACTCAACCTGATGGTTCATGTTGTCATGTACTGGTACTATTTCCAGAGTGCTCGTGGTGTGCGTGTCTGGTGGAAACAATGGATTACTCGCCTCCAGATTGCTCAGTTTGTTATTGATCTTGGTAAGCACTGATATCCCAGCCCTCAGTCTCGGCGAATGCAGGTGCCTAACTGAATCTACAGGGTTTGTCTACTTTGCGTCCTACACGTACTTTGCTTCGACCTACTTCCCCCATTTCCCCAATGCGGGCAAATGTGCGGGTGAAGAGTTTGCCGCCTTCTCTGGCTTGATAATCCTGAGCTCTTACCTCGTTCTCTTTATCTCGTTCTACTTCGCTACATACAAGAAAACTGGAAAAGGCGGGCGCCCACGACGAAACACCGGCAAGCAAGCAGCAATTGCGATGAAGAACCTGGAGGTCCCCCCGGTTGGGCTGCAACCGAAGACCAATGGTGTTAGCAACGGCAATGCCAATGGCAGCATCGCAACAAATGGGACAGCTGTCTCCTCTGCTAGAGCCAATGGCCCAGTCACACGCTCACGAAAAGCTTAATCTTTTTCTTTTTGAATCAGTTACAGCATTCCGGGTTTCACCCCATGACGTGAAAAGCAGACAGATCTACTAAAGGGACATTTTCAGATGCTTTTTGGGCTTTCCCAATGGTCCTCCACACCTCCAACACTCCTGCAACATTCATTCCGATCTGCGCAAGATAATGAAGAGCATTAACCACTCTCAGATGTGAACACCATGATCTTTTTTCATCTGGTTCTTATTTTTTTTTGAAAGGAAAGTCTATGAACTTGACGAGCAGGATGTCTCTTCTGCCATTGGTGTGGCAGCACAGGTTTTGTTTTTTCTCTACCAAGGAAGTTGGCTCCTTGTACAGTGGCAGGATAAGTTTGATCACATAATTCTTTTTAATACGCATATCTTCCTTTTTTTTTTTTTTTTTTTTTTTTTCCCTTTTGGTTTTTTGGCCTGGGATTGTCCTTTCTGATGTTAAGACTATTCTTTGCTTTAATCTTCTGACCAGCTTGTGTAAACAGTTCTTCATTCTTTTCTCTTAGTTCTTATTTTCCTTTTTTCCCCTCCTTTGCATTTTGGTTTTAACTTTATCTCTGTGATTTTCCCTTCAACTTCTTTTCTCCTCTTGCCACTTGTCCGCCACGTTTCATCATGAGTCTGGATCGTTCTGAATAGAGAAGACTTGGGATAATATAAAATTAAGATGTATAATAGAATACCGTACTTAATGTGCCGGGCCCACATTCTATTATGCCGTAGTGATGCATCTGAGATACAGAATTCTCGAAGCATTCCGGGAATTTCAACAGTGGCCGCACATACGCGAATCCTACGCGTCGGATCATTGGCAAGAATTCATCGTTTAGATGTACATACAGTATAAAATCTACATATCAAGCACTCGGTCTCCTTATATTGATGGCTTCACTGCTCAGATGCCACCCCTCGCTCTAGCCGCCGGCGGCCAAAACAGAGGAAACACTACATTCATCACATATTTCTCCCAACCCAGCGATGCTCCAGATATAGGAAGAATATATATCTCCCAACTTTTTGCTACTGCCTGGGGCGGGGACAGATTCCTTATCGCGCTCGTCTATGTACCACAGTCCATCTCGCGAGTGCACGCAAAGAGCAGGTGTTTGGGCCTCCAGCAGAACCCAGGCCATGCTCGGATTACAACCCCCATATTTGGTAACTTGAAACAAAAAGGCGGCCTTGTATCCGGCCCTGTAGTATAGCCCGAAGTTCGAAGGGAAAGAAGAAGAAGAAGCTTCGACGGGTGCGATTGCAATCGACGAGCAGCGCGACCGTTGGGCACTATCTTCGTCGTCAAATTAACGATGTCAAATCTCTTGCCATCGAATGCAATTTCTAGGTGACCACGATATCACATGCTTTCCTGAACCTCCTCCAAGGTCTGATTCGAAGATTTGGACGGATTCTCAGATATATGGAAATACGTATGCAACGAAACCACCTCTCTTTCCTCGCGCACTTCGATCAACAGAACGAGAGATTTTCCAGTGACATGAAGACAACAGAAAAGGCTGGAAAGATTATGTGCGTACGGGCGTCGTACGGCTGTTTTCTTTAATAACACCGTGGATGAATATTTATAGATCTCTCCCCTCGGCAACCGGTCACTTTTAGTTTCGTGCCACTCCGTCGCAATCGGCGCCGACAAACATATCAAATCTGCAAGCCCATGTGCCCTTGCCACAAAGGATATAGCATCAAAGGACGGTTGGGATCGGAGCAAAGAGGTCTTGATGTGTGTCTGATGCCTCGTGGAGGGCAGCTCGAGAAATATCCCCCGGCCCCACCATTTCCAAGGAGCCAGGATCGAAAAAGAAGTCATAAATTAAACCAGTATCTAGAATCTGCACTTTGAAACGTAGCAGCGGTCTTTGTCCAGGAACTTAATGGCTTGCGCATGCCCTCGATCCGTCATCCATGCCGCAAGAAGGATTAAAGGGCACGATGAGCTGGCATGTCATTATATCATGTCGCAGGAGTGCCAACAAAGAGTCCTGTTCTACTGCAAGTCTGAGCAGTGTCCTTGTCGTTGCGGAGGATGGATTCCTGCTTCATGTTGATTCATTGTTTGGAACAAAATTCCACCCATCTGTGGAAGACATTCTGTCGAGATAAAAGCCGATGTTCTTAGAAAAGTGTTGGTTCTTGTAGCGATACTGAAGTCAGAACCGTGCCATTGGAAAGCTTGCATTGGAGCCGGAACTGCGGTGCATCGTCCGGGACGTGCAGAGCTGCAAATGACAATCCAAGAAGAAGGATGAGGACCTTTCGGGGTGTGTGTGTGTGTTTGTGTAGCACAAAGCTGCAGGGGATGGTTTTCCTGAGTGGATGCCAACCTGTTGGTATGCACTAACTGTCCGTTACTGAAAACCTGTCCTCCTGGCTACCATGTTATAGCATAGTGGAAATCTCTGCGGCACGGGTTCCTTGCCCTGATCTGAACGGCTGTGGAACATTTATTGCAGGACGGATCAAAAGCTATCTGAATACTCTAACCCGACGGTATAGGTGCATCATTGGGCGCTAGCTAGTAAAAGAATTTGCCAACGGGATGTCATCTCTCATATTCATATATGTATGTACACGGAAAATGGGCATCATGCGGACAAAAGTGTTTCATTTGGCAAAGCTCAGACAGTCGCCAACTTCAATGTTACATCAATCGTCGGGGATGCGAGAAATTGGAAGGAAAAAATAAAATAAAAAAAAAAAAAAAAAAAAAAAAAAAAAAGGGCAAATTCAAATGGATAAAGAAAATTGACAGTCAAAGGCAACTGGGAATTTTATCCCCAATCCTCGTTTTCTTCTGCGCCGGTTTGGGGGGTTTACCAGGTTGATCCCTTCTGCCCTCTCGGCTCAGAAGCGGGCACTGGTTGATCATTTCGCTTATTATGGAGTTTTGGAAATCAAAGGTTGAACAGATGGGTGTCAGGCGAGTGTGGATTTGGCATTCTTTATTCCCAAGCTCAATGGAAAGGGGAGCATGTGCCATTGGTGCAAAGGGCGCCAAATAATGTAACCATCCGGCAAAAGATTCACCAAACGCGGAGAAAGCATCAACACTCGTATCTGTTCAGAGCGATCCAAGGGGAATACTTCCAGGAAATTTAAAATGTCTTGTGCATGAGAAGCGAGTTGCTGACGTCTATATAAGTACACGAACAACCACATGTAAGCTTTCAGTATTTGGGGGGATCGCGGTCGCCATGTATGGACCAACCAGGTCCAGAAAAACCCCCAATTAAAAAAAAAAAAAAAAAAAAAAAAAAAAAAGGTACCGAGCGAGGGCTGGACTGGCGACACGTTGGCCCGTAAGCCAAGGTTAGAACTGCAGAAAACATCAAGCGCGTAGGATATATCCGGGACCTTGACATGCCAGGGTCTGGCACGGAGCCAGGAACGCAGTCGGCAGCAATAATCTCGAGATGGTGGGAGGATGATAACTCGACGGGGACGTTGAAGCAGGATCGGGATCCGGCTTGTGTGGGGGAAGAATTTGATCTTCTTTGATCCGAGACTCCCTGGCTGGCGCTGGGTCAGAACCGCACCTTGTTTGGGCTAATCAGTCGAGTGAACCTGGCCGCCAATCACTTGGCCGTCCGGGGAAGAAAAGCAAAGTGGGAAAAAAGGGAAGACGGCAGAGACGCCACTTGTTGGCTCCACGGCCGGGCCATCGCGCGCATTGCTTTTTCCTCCCTCTTCTTGTGCGACTCGAGACTCCTCCTGCGCAACTGGGTGCTAAACTCAGCCTACCCTGCAACGCTGGCACACATGGCGTTTGTTCGTTCCTTGGGCTAACTCGAAATCGAGGCGGCCGGGTGATCGTGGTCCAATGGCAGCGCTGGGGCCCTTCGAGTCCGAGACCGTCCACCCCATTAGATCCGAGAGGGTTTTGTTGCCACTGCGCCGGCAGGGTGAGAGGCTGACCTGCAGACAAAATCCGTCCGGATGGAGGGGCCCAAGCGAACGTCATTCGTGAACCTGCAGCAGAGCCCCCTTGGTACCCTTCAGTTACAAACTTACAGCCCGCCTGCTGCGTGGTTGGGGCTGACCTGGACTTCTTTCTCCCTGCGTGGAGACATCTCTTCACCCACGGTCGCGAATTTCTTCCCTCGAGAGCGGACTGTCTGCCTTCCCCCCCCCCCCCAACGCTGATTTCATATATTTTATTATTCAAGATGTCGAAGACTAGATAAGCTCGGAAATCAGCGGGGCTAGGATCGCTGCTGGTGCTGGCTTGGTTTCCGGGAATGTCTGGGATCCGTGACATTGCTTGAAGCAAAGCCCCTTGTCATCCTTCGAATTAGTGAGTTATGGATGTGCTTGAGACTTTTCTTTGCTCCTTGGAGAATCTTTGACGGAGACTGCCTTCTTTAAACCAATGTGGTTTTCCATCGGAAGTTCGTTGGCAGTGAATTTTGATTCCACGTCCTCTCTGTCAGCCCGGCCCTCAGCATCGTGCACCTGTTTACCCCTCGCCTCGTTGTGTTCTCCATCGTTCATATGAAAGTCTTATACTAAGACAAAGCGGAAATTAAGGACTGTGCTGGACCCGGCATGGTTGTCATCCCTTTATCACCTGTCGCCGCCCCCCTAGAGGACTCGTTGGACCACTGCATCTATTCTACAATCGCAAGACAAGAGCTTGTTTTGCACAGCAGCCATGGCTGCTGGCACAATGACTGCGTTTGCGGACGGCGAAAGGATGGACGGTATCATGACTTCTCTGAAGGTGCATGGCATCCCCAAACATGAGATGCCAAGCAGATACGAATCGGACGAGGAAGACATGTCGGAAGCGGATCTCCCGAGTACTGACGATCATGTTTACTCTCCTATCGATAGTGATATCGGCGCCGTCGACTATGATCATGATCGCAGGTCACCCTCAAATTCTCCAAACAGTGACTTCGCCTTCCGATTGCCGAGTCCTACCCCAGGACCCGAGACGCCCAAGTCTCCGGTCCGCGATGGAAAACGAGGCAGCTGCTTGACGCTTATGGCGCCGAAAACCCCCAAGCATGAAAACAGCGAAAAGCAGGTTAGAAGGTCTTATGGTCCGTATCGCGACTCTCCCCCTTCTCACAAAACGCGGTTCTTTTCATCCATGCTTCTCGATGCGGAAGCACGTCCTCTCCGACAATCAATATGTTCCGAGATCCTCTCATCCGATGATGAGTTGGGCCACGAAACTCACTTCCTTATTGCAACGTCCGTTGTATACCATGTCCCAGATTCCAAGCCCAACATCATCTCTGTCGGCCCTGCTTCTTCACCATCTACCACTCCTCCCGTTCCTGAGCAACAGAAGAAACGACCTGCCCCTCTCAATCTTGCTCCAGCAAGACAAGCATCTGCGAATTCTTCCCGAACACCCGGGAAAGTAAAAAACCGACTGGCTCGACTCATGAGCAGCAGCAAACAAGAGAAGCGGAGGGGCTCTTACTTCATGCAGTTACCCAATACTTCGAATTCATCCATCCTTGAAACACCTTCTTTTGTTATGCCGAACTGGGATGCCGCCGAAGGAAACTGGAGGCAGTCGGGCCCTGAGTTTGAGCAATCACCCGAAACCCGTTTCCCAGAGAGAGATTCCTGGTTTTCCCACAGAATGAGCAATACATCTTCCCGCTACTCCAGCCAAAGCCAGAAGAGCCACGCTTCGTTTAGTCAGGCGAAAGAGGAGAAGCCCACTCCAGCTCTTACACGATCAGGTGGATTTAGAAAACGGATGGCATCCCATGGAGATATTCTCAGTACCGAGTCGCCATCTCCCCAGCCACCATTTTCGAGCTTTCCTTCTAGCTCCGTCATGGCAGAGCAAAAGAAACGATTCGTATACAGCTTAACCCCACCTTCTGATCGTTCCTTAACACCACACAGCAACAGTGGCGCCCGCACAAGTTCTTCTAATCAGATGTACCCCACCAGTGGCCAGACACCTCCTCCAAGCTCAACTTCCCGTGAAAAGGCATATTCGATAAAGAGCGTGGCAAGCAATTCAAGCAAACTCAGCCTGTCGCCCTTTGATACCACTTCTTTCAAGAGTTTAGCACAGCGATACGTCCCAACGCCCACTCGCGAATATTCCTCTGCCCAACGCCGGCCCTCAGGCAGTCTTTTATCGCCGGGACCAAGGTCCGACAGCAGATTCCGCGAAAGTCGACATAATTCCGAAATTAGCCCTGGCGTATCGCGGACTCACACGTTGGCCCTCGGAGAAGAGAGAAGCTTTGGCACCTGGAAGGAAGAAGTCCATGAAAAGCCCAAGAGATCCTCTCCCAGCAAGCACAAACACTCATCGTCAAAAAGCGTAAAATGGTTCCAAGACAAAGGTGGAAACATGAGCCAGGCGGGAACCAAGGCACTTAACGGCCTTGGGTCGATGATTAAACGAAAATGACATAACCCACTAGAATCCCCTCCGGTACTATCTTACGCATTTCTCTTTCAATCTTATGTTGGCAACATTGTCTCTTTCTTCATAGGAGGTTCCATATTTTACGCATTCGACTTATATTACAATTACGGCATTTATTGGCTGCCGCTGCTTTCGTCGGCACCTTTTCACCTTTTGAGACCTAATGGTGGACACCATTTCATTATGCATTTTAGTGAACATCCCTTTCCTTATCTTCAGAAACCTGGGTGGGTGGCTACTTTGGATGCTGGTTTGTTTTCCTTGCTCTCTTACGGCGTTTCTTTTTCCAGAATGTATTTTTGATATATGCTTGATTTATCTTCTCAAGCTATCCCGGAATTTTCTCTACTTCGAAAGATCTCCGCTGCTCCTTGTTGGGCCTCGTTTTGGTCTTGGAAATTGATAATTCCAATATCTGCAACTTCTTCACGGTGTCTCGTCTTATACGGACTACCCCTACCTCAACGACACGAAATACATGCATTTTTTGTGGCTAAGAAACAGACTTAACTTCCGTCTATTGGAACCATATTCTCGCCTTTCCGGGTTGTTGCCTTCAGCATTTTCATGTGAGACTTTGATCCGCTATCATACCTAGGTGGGCGTCGACAGGAAGCCAAACTGTTGCCAGTGAGGAATCAAAGTCTTCTGGTATGAGCGCTTGTGGACCAGGAGAGAGCTCATACATCGGATACCGTGGTACTCAGCAAAGGATTCACCCCCAAACGCAGTCAAACACATCGATCCATTAAATCGCCGAGATGTTGACATCATGATACGAGCGCATCCTTGTCAGCGGGGCCCTATAAGAAGCCTCACCAAAGTCTGCACGGAAGAGCGAATCCGATGCAGAAAGCAAATTTTCACCTTCAGCCAAGCAATCAAAAGGTCTGCAATTGGTTTTTAACTGTCCCTCGATTTTGACTTTCGGATCGTAAGCGATAACGTTTTTGACATCGTGCTTTTTAACTTTCCAAAAAATTCCCCTCCCCCCCTGCCCGGCGTTTCCCCAACCAAAATGACTGGCTCATAATTCACGGAAAAAGTAGAAAAAATTGTTCAATATCTTTTTGCTCTTCTAAGATGACAAGAGAGTAGCAATAATCCCCGGAAGATCTGTAAACAATTCATATTCACATCTTATGGGCCAAGTTCTCTGTTTCAGTCATCTTCTCGGACACCACAATGACACCCCGCGATGGAGAAAGGATCTCCACCGCAGCTGTCCATGAAACAGATGTTGATGCGGCAGATCAGAGCGAAGTTGGCACCGACGATGCTCTGTTGGTATGCTTGAAGCCTCGAAGAGCTTTTTGATTAGGATCAAAATGTCCCCGTATCATTTTGATGCATCTATTCGCCGTCGTGGACAAACGCTAACCTGTAGTTATAGGAATCACTAGGTTATAAACCGGTATGCTATGCATATGCATGCCATTATTGTACTTTGCGAAAGTGGAACATTGCATTCTGACATTATTACTGTCACACCATATAGGTCCTCCATCGAACATATACCTTACTAGAAAGCTTTTCGACGACTTTCTGTGAGTCAGGACGCACTTTCTGGAGCTAAATAACTGTTACCCAACAACCATGCTTCGAAACGGTAATTTGGGCTAACCGCTCTATACAAACAGCTGCTCTCTACTTTGTCGGCGGTGTACGGGTAACCTTCAGCACTGGAATAGCTGCAGGTGGCAATCTAGCATACTGGTTAGTTAATTTCTGCGCATCTTCAAAATAAGAGCTAAACTAGTTTCACGTAGGATAAACTATCTAATCACAGCTGTATTCACATTCATTACAGCTGCAGTCATTGCGGAGATATGCTCTGCCCTTCCGTCGGCTGGATCCATTTATCTTTGGGCTGCTGAAGCTGGTGGGCCAAGATACGGTCGCCTGCTGGGTTTTGTCGTTGCATGGTGGAGCACGACGGCATGGACGACCTTCTGTGCGAGTAAGACATCTAGTGAAGACTTGTGTCTGCCCCTGCGTTGTGTTGATACCTGCAATAACTCTGTCTGCTATTCGCTAACCCCTAGAAACTATGTAGGCAACACCCAATCGGCTGTCAATTATATGCTGTCCGTATGTATCCCAGGTCATTATGATATGCTTCTGGATAAATATAACAACGCACCAGATCAGCGAGGCTAATTGAGATCGCGCAGGAATTGACGGTCTTCGAAGTCGATTTCCCCAAGAATGTGGATAGTGTCAAGTTTCGGGCCGTGCAATGGATCTGTACGGAAGTTCTACTTGGGTTAGCCGCGATTGTCAATTTTTTTCCTCGTAAGTCTGTTTTTCTTTTTCTCTTTTTCTTCTTCTCCCTTTCATCGCTGGGGAATGCAATTCTAACTCGGTGACAACTACGGAGTACAGCGAAATATTTTAGATGGATATTCTATCTCTCTTCATCTTTCGTCCTGCTCGACTTTGTTTTAAACGTTGTATGGTTGCCTATTGGAGCTCATAACACATGGGGTTTCCGCACCGCTCAGGAAGCGTTCTTAGAGACGTATAACGGCACTGGTGCCCCCGCTGGTTGGAATTGGTGTCTCTCATTTCTCGCTACTGCCGGTATTCTCATTGGTTTCGACGCTTCTGGTCACGTCGCCGAAGAGACGAAAAATGCCTCATTAACGGCTGCCAGGGGCATCTTCTGGAGCACCGTTGTAAGTGGCTTGGGCGCAGGAGCAACCATTGTACTCTTTCTCTTTTGTGCTGTAAGTATATACCCTTGGAGAGACAAAATCAGTCCTTCCCACCCGGACTAACAAGCATAGCCCGATCCTGAGACCCTGTTCTCGTTTGGGTCACCGCAGCCGTTTGTGCCACTATACGCAGTGGTACTGGGCAAGAGGGCGCATATCGTCATGAATGTAATATGCGTTATAGCTTATTGGTTTGTATGTTGCCCACCAACCCCGCTCCCTACCCCCCGCCAATCCGCTGGTCAATTAGTTAACTATTACTGTCTCTGACTGGGGTGCAAAGAACACAACCATTGCCATCGTCGCGGCATCCCGGCTCGTCTTTGCGGTTGCACGGGACGGGGTGCTGCCGTTCTCAGGCTGGGTGTCTCGAGTTTCTGCAAATGGGCAACCGCATAATGCCATTCTTGTCGTCTGGGGAGTCGCTGCAGGGATAACTTGCACCATCCTCCCGTCCACCGTGGCATTTACCTCTCTTGTCTCGGCTGCCGGTGTCCCATCAGCAGCCGCATACGGCCTGATCTGCCTAGGACGAGTTTTTCTCACGCCGAATAAATTCCCAAAGCCACGCTGGAGCCTGGGACGACTGAGCAGGCCGTTCCAGATTATCGGTATTTTCTGGAACGCGTGGGTGGTCGCTGTTTTGTTTTCGCCGTACCAGTTCCCTGTTACGGGCGAGAATCTGAACTGTGAGTAGTCCATGCCAACATCTTCATGCTCAGGACAGGTGCATTTTAATTGACTTTGTGCGTGCAGATGCGCCTATAATATTGTCCGGTGTAACCATTTTCGCGCTCGTATCATATGGGATTATTCCGGAGGAGAAATGGTTTCCCAATGCGAGGATCACGAAATTTGTTGATCAGGGGGAGCCCGTGCAACCGATACATGAAACGCGATCGCTGCCAAATAAATCGAGCGGTGGTAAATAATAGGTGAAAAGTTCCTGCTGTTTTACTTTCGATATTTAGGCATAAAAAAGTACTCTTGTTATGATTTAGATATACTCCGTAGACATCGATGCCGGAACAGCGTCGGATATCGTGTGGCTTGATTCCGGCTGGCAGCATTTGTCTTCCCCAACAGCTAAGGCCTAATCGGGTTAGACTCGGCACCCTGGTGAACTCTAACGGCAGGCTTGCTGCTTATCTAACGCAATTGTGCTTGCTGGTTGGCTGATTGTTCCCGAGGACTTGGTTGCCCCCGACATCGGCGAATTTCCCCGCATGGACTCCTGCTGTTTTCATGGCGGTTGCCGTGGGGTAAGGGGGAAAAGAGCGCTGCAGGCCGACAAACAGGACGAGGCCTTATTAAGAAGAATTTCCTCGGTTTGCAGCGGAACTGCCTTGTCAGATTATCTCTCCGACTTGTCTCCTCCGCTGCCGAACCGTTGAAGTATCACTCAGGTACGTCCAGCAAGTGTTTTCGAGCGGAGAGACAGTGCGATTCTAATCGGCATCAAGTCAAATAGGAGCCCCGCAATTCCCAAGATTGGATTGAAATATCGAATATCCCCCTCCTTTTCGCCTTTGGACATACACATACACGCTTGTGCCCCTACATTCAGACCATCATCATCATCAACAGCAGCAGCAGCAGCAGAATCCTTGCCACAATGTCTACCACAGGATCTCGCCTCGCAGGCAAAGTAGCCATCGTCACCGGTAGGCCCAACAACCCAACCCCAGCCCTAACGCATGAGCCAGAGCAAGAGAGCTAACCCACGGTCCCCCCACCATTCCAGGCGGCGGCTCTGGCTTCGGTGCCGCCATTGCAATCCGCTACGCCCAGGAAGGCGCCAAAGTTGTAATCGGCGACATCAACATCCAAGGCGCCGAATCCGTCTCCTCCCACTACCCGTCCTCCATCACCTTCCAAAAAATGGACGTAACGTCCCTCGCCGACTGGCAATCCGTCATCTCCCAGACCGTCCAGGCCCACGGCCATGTTGACATACTCGTCAACAACGCCGGCACGACGTACCGCAACAAACCCTCCGCAGAAGTCACCATCGAAGAATTCCAACGCGTCTTCGACGTCAATGTGAAGAGCATCTTCCTCGCGTCCCAGACTTTCATCCCAAAGTTGATCGACCAGGGTAAAGGTGGATCGATCATCAATATCTCTTCCACCGGTGCACAGAGACCAAGACCTGGACTCGTATGGTATAACTCCTCAAAGGGAGCAGTGTCCAACGTATGAAACCCCCCTCCCCCAAACAACCAAAAAAAAAAAAAGGAAGACCAATATATGTAGTCATAATAACTGTTTCAATAGGCTACCAAAGGCCTCGCTGCCGAGTATGGTTCACATCAGATTCGTGTCAACAACGTTTGCCCTCTCCTTTCTGGTACAGGTCTCTTTGAGATGTTTGTCGGTGTCCCGGATACCCCTGAGAACAGGCAACAGTTTATCTCCAATGTACCCTTGGGCCGACTTACCGATCCCAACGATGTGGCCAATATGTGTCTATATCTTGCCTCTGATGAGGCAGCCTTCATCAATGGCACCGATTTGGTTGTCGATGGTGGAAAGTGTATATGATAATTTGAGAAAATTTTCCTCGTCTAAAGAAAGATGGCAAGTCAGAATCGCTATGTCGTCTCAAGGCTGGACGATACAAGGAGCGGATTTCCTTCGAGAATGGGGCCATGGCCTACATAATTCATGTCTCATCTCATTTGCAAATTATTTGAAAGGCGTAAACATCAAATAAGCATAGACCTCCCCCCAACCCAAAACAAAAAAAATAAAAAAAATAAAAAAAATAAAATAAAATAATCTTTTTTTTTTCTCCTTATGCCTTATTCCTTTAAAATACACGTAAAGAAGCGATCTCAGAAATAATAAACATGAACAGAATTGCCTCATTTCTGCTTAGATGATCTGGATACTAAAGGGTATCAGATAGGATAGGCAGCATGCAAACAATAAACCCTGAATGGGCATAAGATCAAGAATGGAAAAGCAGCCTAATCTTCCCCTAGAGTTGTCGATCATTGATGGCCATAGGTCTAGTGACGCCGGGCATAGCGATGACGACGAAGTCTTCCCTTAACATTGCTGCTCTCATGTCGCTTTGCATGTGGTGTTGGCGCAGTAAGCTCAACTGTTTTTGTGACTGTCTTTCTGATGACGACGATCTCATAGACCGTTGTGCCTTGTGTTGAGTAAGATGTTGTGTATGGAATCTCAGGGGCTGGTTTGTCGACGGGGGGAGCTGGAGGTTCTGTCTCGGAGGGCTGAGGAGCCATTGTTGCCTTCGATGTTGGCATGACTGGTGTCTCAGGCACAGGGAGTTTAATCTTGGGGGGACTTGGTTTGGATGCAGGAGGGTGAGGCATTAGGTGCTTAGCATACTCTGGTCCTCTCATGACAGGGACTTTACCAGGCAGTCCTTCTGGGTTCAATTCAACAAGTTCATCGACCAATGCTGCGGGCTGAGAAAACTTGCATTTCTTTTGTTCGTGTTCTTCCTGAAGTTTGAACACAGGACAGTCTTCGACTTTTCCAGAAGGATTTGTGCACTGCTTAATGGCACGTTCAAGCACGTCCCCTTCCCATGCTTCAATGAAATCACCATGATATCCATACCCTGTTGGATCACCATTTGAAACCACAAATTCACCTTCTTTGCCTTTGAATGCATAGGTATCCCAGATAGTCTCATAGAAAAGAGTCACGAGGCGACGTTCATGACCCTCAGGACAAGAACCACCGTCAACCAAATCGGGGTAAGCGACGTGGGACCTGTGGTCAGGAGAGTCGAGGTCTTTTCCGTTCCAGCAGGAAGGGAAGACAAGTTCCATACGAACACCGTGGGTACATTGCGAATCGAGCAGAGTTCTCTCTGGGAATGAATGCCGCATCAAAGCTGGCTCAGCGTCCGCGTTGTAGTTCAGGCAGTTGAATCCGAGTGCTTTTTGGGAGAGAGCAAACTGTGTCTTATCATCCTTGGACCAGGTAGACTTTGGAGGATCCGGAACGGGGAGAGTAAAATTGCGCTGGTACGTATCGCCAGCTACCATACGAAACCCTCGAGGGAATGCTTCCACGTTTTCACCGCGGGGTAGGTAATAGCTGAAAAGAGTTAGAGGAGGATGGGCCAAAGAGAATGACATAGGAACTTACACTAGCATGCCTCCCACTTGCTTAACCAGCTCAGCTTCTCCATTGGCGTGGATGAAGTAGAGGCTGGGAGTCCAATACGCCGATTTATCCTGAACAACGGCGCACGAAGTACACTCGGAAGCTAACAACTCTTCACTAGTAACAGTCATGGCAAAGTCTGATAAAGTTAGCCGCGAATCAGGATGTGTATATTAAACTTGGCTGCTAATAAACAGATCGATGGTGTCACCACTTACTTTTACCACCATGAACAGAGTGCACATGAGGAGAAGGGATGCCTGGGTCAACAATAGGGTCAATTCTTCCCACACCTGAAACTCCACGGCAAGGGAGACGCCAGAATGCAGTGGCAGGGACCGCGAGAGAGCTCAGCGCAGCCGCCGCAGCAGCCAAATTCAGGGCGTTAAGCTGCATGTTGACTAAAGTTCAGATTCACTATGATTATAGAAGCCCTGGTCAGTCGAGAAAAAAAAATATATGATGAGAAGGAAAAGGCTCAAAGAATAATATTGGGCAGTTAGCAGCACATCATTTGGGCTGAAACCTTTTGCTATGTGGATGGGAGCGAAACAATCAAAAGTTCAGAGCGAAGCTGAAAAATAGCTAAGTATATTGAGAATAGGGTGGATCAAAGTGTGAAGAGATTGAATGGGTTGAGAAAAGTTGGGAGCGAAAAATTTCACTTGAGATCGAAATCAGCTGTTGATTGAAGGGGCAAGATAGGAGCGAAGGTCATGCCCAAAAGTGAGGGAAAGGTTCAGAGCGAAACTCTCACTTTTGGGCATGACTGTATTGAGTATTTCAACAGGAGGAAAAGAATTGGGGTGAACGCGTCAGAGAGCTCAAGCAAGAACAGCCATACTACTAGGATGTGAAGCTGAACATACCTTGTAGACAGTAAGCTGAAGGAATCTGGATTCACAGTTGAATTGCTGGATTTTAGCCTACAAAAAGGTAGGAGAGGAAAGGAGGGAGAGAGTGCGTGAGAGAGGGCGAGCAAAGTGAGAGAAGGTGGTGGAGGTTGAGCTGACAGCAGAGGAGCAGCAACGCGACTCTCCTAGGTGACCGGACAGGAGAGCACGTGAACAGCTTGTGCCTTGTCAAATCAGGATATCTATGTGCTAGCAGCGGTTGAATTTGATATAGCGATAGCGAGGATAGGGAGAAACCGCAAACACCACCAGCAAGGCTGTTTGCTGGGCCAGGGCGTGCTTCAACACAACACTGACACCGGGGATCAGATCAGAAAAAAGAAGGACAAAAGCAAAGTCCAGCTTGAGAAGAGCTGTTCAGTCCTGCTGCAAGTGATATGTTGATAGGATGAATGTGCAAAGGGGTGGGTTGTGCGCGCGAGCGCAGTTCAAAGGAATGGATCAAAGGTGAGGAACCCTGTGAGAACCACCAAGGCAGCTCGAAGAGATAGTGAAAAGGAGAGACAAAGCCTGCTTCGAGACGAAGGATACGGCCGTCAAAGAGGGACTAGAGAAGAGAAGGTAAAAAGAGAGACAGCGACAGCGGCAAAAGGGCGAAGAGGGAGAAGAAGAAGAAGAAGAAGAAGAGGAGGTGAGGTTGGTGGAGGAAGATGCCGCCAGATGAAGAGGGAGGTCGTTTGAAACACTTTCCCCAAAAGGAGGTTTTTGCGACTGCGACCAGGGGGAAGCAGCCAATGACACTCCTTCCCAGGGAAGGTTTCCTCACCTCCCGCCCATGGCAGGCGTGACTTTCGCGCCGCGCCTTCCTGCTGGGCTCCATCGACAGCGGCTCCTTCCGCTCAGCGTGCACACTTTTCCTCTCTCGGCGTTTCTTTTTTTCCTTTTTTTTTTTTTTTTTTCTTCCTGCCCCGCCATCCTCCCTAATCGGGAAGCAGCCCCTCCATATCGCCTCTTGCCGGTTGTTCGGCAGCTGCTTTCCTTGGGAGTGGAAGAGGCCCTCTGCGAACCACGGGCAATCGCGATCGTGGTGCTTGCGTGGGTTGAACAGCGGCTTGTTTGGCTCGTGGCAAAACGTCAGTTGCCGGTGTTTGCACCAACCAGGAGCGCCCGGTGCCTGGTGAAACGCCCGCCCACCACCGTCATTTGCTTGGCCCATCGCCAAGTCCTTGGACCCAACCTGCCCGCCAGGCTCTCTGGCCAACCCAGGAGGACCTTCATCGGCCGGCTTTGAACGGTCAAAAGGCTAATATATGCCTCAGATGGAACACCGGCCATCCCAGCCCCTGCCCATATTTCAACATTGCACCCCCACCGCGAGCGCCAAAATCCCACAACCCAAGCCAGACAAGTAACAAGTCCAGCGCCAAGCACAAAACTCCCGCCCAACTGTTCCGACGAGGATGGATCTCATCTTGCAAGGCTGCCATGGGTCGATATAGGCACCGTCAGGGCCAGATTTGAGCGTTGTGTTCGGTTCTCCTATTTTTCATGATCATCGTGGGTGTTGGTCGGTTGGTTCATATTGCTCCGTATGGAGAACCAACAAGATTAAATCTGTCAATCTCTCGCAACCCAAGAAGGTTAAAGCTTGAATGGGGATGATGGCACTCCATACTGTTCGGTCCAACAAACTGGAACCGTATGTACTCCGTATCCTAGGAGAACATCTTCCCTGACACTGTTGGCGCAAGACAACCCTGGGGCTGTCCGGGGTGACCTATGTATGTATGTACTGCAAAAATACACATGCACACCACCCAAAATACAGTACAACCCGACACCAGGAAAGTATCAGATGAAAGCATCCGCATTCTCCTTAGGTTCACGTCAGGAAGCTAAATACGTCTCAAATGTGGAGGAGTTTGATGAGTTTCTCTGACTTCTTCCACATGTTTTGCCGATGTGGATGTCCGATATGGATCAGATCGCATTCTCCAGCAGATATTGTTACCTCTTGATCTCGACATCTGACGCGAACCATGGCAAGATGAAAGTAAAGTTCAAATTTTCAGGCGGCAGACCAACATCATGCCAACTGCTAGTTATTCTGTTTCATGTGCTCTGGGAGGAAATGTTCAAGGGTTGTGCGAATAATGGTCATGGCGTCCTTAGCGCTCACCTTTTTTTTTTGTCGGGCGTCAACCTGCTGAAGTTCCAGTTTTATGTACAGGGGAGTCAAGGCCCATGAGAGGAGATAATGACATGCATATATAAAGTGCAGGGGGGGGTGTAAACGAGCTCAGAGTCAGTGGATGGAGGATAATATATACGCTGCAGGAAAACCCTCCGAGGATGAAACCGCTCTCCGCGCTGTTTTCCAAAGGGGCTGAAAGTTTGAAACGAGCCTCAAGATCCGCCAAGCACCGCCCCACCAGGCATAAATCGGCGCCAAGCCAAGTTGAGTCTAGCGCCGTTTGCCAAGACGCTGGGCGAGCCGAGCCTCCGTCATCCGTTCCGTCATTCATCCAGCATTTCTTCTCTCCCGATTTTCTTTTTGGACAAGGAATGAGTCGTCATCCTGCGCTCCACGTCCCATCATACTTTTTCAGATTTTATCTCGGTTGAGCGTATTCTATGCCGCGATATGGCAATCGACCCCGCTACAACAAGGTTTTCATTCTGCCCAGCTGAATGATGCCTCGAGCAACCCGACCAGCCGGAACCAGGAAAGCCTTCTGGCCATAAGCAATATGGGCCAGAAGAGAACTCTGCCGGAAATATTTTCATTCCAGATAGCCGGATTTCTGCCGCCCTGATCCTTAACTCAGCCTTCAGCATTATTGATGTCCTCATGCATTGCTTGCGCAAGAATGGCGCGATATCTGGCCAACACTGGCTCCCAGCTCCAGATTTTCATTTCTGTCTCTAAAGCTATGGGTGCGAGTAGCTGCCTGACGAATCAGGATGGGCGGCGATCTTGGGGGGATACATCGTTCCCGAGATATGACCAGCGTGCCGCCTTGGAGCCAAAATATCAAGATTCTCAGTCAATCGTATTGGCTGTTTCAGAGCTTTTCCCTTGATGAGTTTGTTTACGCCGCGTTGCGGCCAACCGAGGCCAGTTGATGCCTCGTTTAGCAAGGCCTCTATTTGAAAGACGATATCTTCCTTATTCGGATATCGAGCTGACCCCGTCAGCTTAAAAGCTCCCTCTATTCCCTCAGCTTATTTTTCACTTTTTCACCATACGCTCTTCTCTTTACATCTTTGCGGAGCATTGGTGCCATCACTTTTCGTGTCTTCTTCGGTCTTGATTGCCCCTGATAGCCCTTGCTTGAGAAATCAGGGCTGTTTTACCATCATGCCTGTCATTTGCATTATCGGGAATGAACTTGATCCCGAAACTCAACAGCCTATTTTGAGGGCTTTCAGTCTAGAGTCGGAAGATGCATCGCAATCCAACTGCATCTTAATCCAGACCTGATGAGCAAGAGGACCAACTCGAAACGCTGGGTGCTGTGGTTCACGAATATGTGTCACACAACACGTACTTGTGTGGCTACAAGGGCAGCGATCTGGCCCAAATCCGAGCACTAGAATTCGTCGTCTGGGCAGATGTCTATTTGAACACCTTCGTGATCCAGCCCACTCTAAAATCTGCGGCTCCCACGACTCAAACTTTGTCAGCATTCCCGGCAGTACGGCAATAAAGTCAGGTCCATAAGGTGGATGTTATATTCCACCATGACGTCGACACCCACGCCGAGAATCTTAGGATCGCCCTTGCGACTGCCGCCCATGTCGATGCTGACGATCTGGATATAGGCCCTCATAAGGTTCGACTTGCAGTCCAAGAACAGTACCTTGAAGGGCTAGCTGCAATAGATGATGTGCGCCTCATATAAAAAGTATATCCGTCAAATTGTTTAACAATGTAGCTGTGAAGATCGTGAATGGCGAGGTTGAACTCGGTGGAACGGCGTACGAAGGTGAGAGTTAGGTAGTTGCCGTTGCCGATATTGGATTCGACAAAGGAAGCACCCAAGATGTACATGAAGCATTTACTGGACGCGTGAAGAAACTATACCCGTTAGGAAAGTCAACCTCAGGTACAACTGGTCACCCAGACGGGCATGGCACACAAGTCTGTAGCTCGGTTCTCGGGGACGGGAATCCTAAATCGATGGGCGGCAGAATCCGTGGGGTCGCAGCGAAATCCACACTCGTCGTTCAGTCACTGCTTGACGGTCGCGGAAACCTAGGAGGTATTCCTGATGATCTAACCCAGCTCTTCATTCAGCCGTACAATGAGGACAATGCAAGGATTCATACCAACTATTGGGGGTCGACTTCAGGACGCCAGCTGCCCTATGATGCAAGTAGTTCTGAGATCGATAGATTCGTTTGGGAACATCCTGATATTGTGGTTTTATTTGCTGCTGGCAATGACGGTATGGATATAGATCGCAACGGAGTCATCGACGATCGGCTCTCGAGCAGCTGCAAAGAACTGCATCACCGTCGGCGCAAGCGAGAACCGCCGCCTGAACATTCCTATCAAGTATGGCAGTCGGTAGCCAGCATCACCACTTAGTAACGATTTGATGGCTAACCACCCAGATGGAGTGGCCGCATTCAGCAGTCGAGGGCTTACAAAGGAGGGGCGCATCAAACTCTATGCCGTTGCCCCCGGAACTGGTATCCTTTCCACTCGTTCACACGATCTTTTGAACCCGGGCGAACGATTTGGGCACAGCGATGATCCGAATTACTGGTTCCTAGCAGGAACCAGCATGGCCACACCGCTCGTAGCTGGGGCCGTCGCAGTGCTGCGCGAATGTCTTACCCTATGCGCTGGCTTGGAGCATCAACAGACCTCTTCAACCGGGTAATTGATGGTTACATTGCTCTTGCTAGCAATTTCTCACTCCTCTTTTCTTTATCACATGGGGTTGTCCCAGAAAATTAACATGAAACACAAAAAAAAAAAAAAAAAAAAAGGCAGGGAGATAAGGACACGAGACTTGGTTCCCTCTGGGGGCCACAGCACTCCAGTCATTAACCGATACGCCCACATGTCTACAGTAGCATGATACTTTTAATATATTGCGGGAAACACTCTTGGAGTAGAGTTTTGTGATGTAACACCGATATAGTTACTTTATTGTGTCAAATATAAAGTAGCCAGTTAGTATCCCCCTGTATTAAAAGGCTTGGTATTCAACCTAAGGTCTTTGCTTCCGGGAGAAAAAAAAAAAAAAAAAAGGAGCAAATAAAGACTAATAATATCTCCCAATCGTTACTGGGAACTCCTTTCCCCCCGGAAACTCCAACAAGACCGCCTCACGCGCGGACTCCGCCTGCTCTTCGTCAATTATTATCCCCTCATCGAGCAAGTATGGAATCTGGTCTCGCACCCAAAACCGGCACCCGCGTCCTTGGTCATCAAACTCGTATTTATGGCGATGTTGTTTGACAGTCAACAGGTGCACGAGTTCCTGGACGGTGGGCAGAACAGGCTTCTGGCGTACGGTCAGTGGGAGGCGTTTTGTAAATGTGCCAGAGTTGGAGAGTGAGTGAGGGCTTGTGGAAAGGATGAGAAAGGCCTTTGAGCCACCCGGGAGGACGGTAGAGGGAATGGAGTGGGAAGGGGAGACGTCGAGCTGGATAATCTGGTGGTCGTTTTCTGAGTGTGATTCAGAAAATGTAGTAGTGGAGGGAATGGTGTGGAGGTAGAACGCCCAATGGTTGCCGCCGTTGGGGAGCTTTTCGTGGGCGACGACTTCAATGGAGGCGATTTTGCGCGCGAGGAGAGAGGATTTGGCGCTAGGAGGGATGTACCTGATCAGGTCGTCTGGTGCTGGCTCCATTCGTAGCTTGTGTCACGGAAGGATATGGACCGAGCCGGCGTGGTTTTCAACTCGACAAGGGGGAGAAATGGGCTGGAAGTTCCTTTCAATCTAGTTAAACAGGACTAAATTATGGCAGATGAGAACAAAGGATCTGCTTCTTGGATCAATTTCATCTTCTGATTCCTTTTCCCTGGACACACGAAGGTCTTTGGATAAGGTGACGTCGAAGGCTTGGATCGTTGACGAATGTGGGAACTATCAAGGCCTTTTTTCTGAAGCGTTAACTCTCAGCAACTTGCCACAGTGGCTCGGTTCGCTCAGAGCCGTTCTTTTTGAATCCAGCGTATTGCCCACAAATCTCTGCTCAGGTCCCTGCTCGAGCCACGATCTCGACAGGCGTGATAACTATCAGGTTTGTCGCGATATCCGGCCCGAGGAAACGGGCTGACTCGGAAACCGGGATCGCTACAAACAGTCGACAAGACGAGCCGAACACTGTCAATCGGAGGCCGACACACCTCGTCGGTCGCATCATCCGCGTTTGAGTCTCTGCCGATAGCTCTACGGATTGCATCATGATTCGACGCCCTTCGGTTCGGCCCTCGCTCCATCTCGGTAGCAGGGTGGGCCTCGCGGCTCGGCATTCAGCTGGAGTGGAAGATATTTAGCGCACGCCCTTTTGTCGACTCATTAAAGGCCGGTTCGTTGAATTCGAAGATATGGGGGCTGCAATGAGCTGATGTCCGTCAAAAGCGTTATTGACCGTGAGAACTTGACACCCCGTTGAAAGCGGATGCGCTGCTTGTATTTCTATACCTCTATCTTCTCCTCGAGACAACCCGCCAGAACGATGTCCAGCGCCAGCAACACCAAGAAACCGACGCTGCTTTATGTCGGCGAACCGATCCGTGGACCTAACCGCGAGAGATGGGCCCGATTCCGCGAGAACTTCAACATCCTAACCTATACACGTACTACAAAGGAAGATCTCCTCGCCTCCTTGAAACCTGGTGGCAGGTACTCCCAGATAGATGGGATCATTCGGCCCTGCAATACCGGTAATAACAACCTCCCGCGCTTCAATAAAGAATTCATTTCCCATCTTCCTCTGTCGCTGAAGATTATTTCATCTTCGAATCACGGCTATGAACGAGAGGACACGGAAGAACTTGGTCGTCGAGGGATATGGTATTGTAACGGTGCTGGAGCAGCGAACGACTCCACGGGAGATATTGCATTGCTCCTCATCATAGCTGCATTTCGCTATACCAGCTTTTGCGAGAATAACTTGCGTACAACTCGCAAGGGAGACTACTTCGCCGTAGAGGACGCGGTGGCCCCAACCTCGGTCAATCCACGCGATAAGATTCTGGGCATTGTGGGTATGGGAGAGGTCGGACGTGCGGTTTCTGTACGAGCAAAAGCGCTGGGAATGAAAATACATTACTTCAGTCGAACACGAAAGTCGCCGAAGGTAGAGCGAGAAGCTGGTGTCGCGGAATATCATGCCACGTTAGAGTCCCTGCTAAAGGTTGCGGACTGTGTGCTGCTCGCATGTCCGCATTCCCCAGAGACGCATCATCTGTTAAATAAAGATACTTTCAAGTTGATGAAAAGAGGGGTGAGGGTAGTCAATGTTGCCAGAGGCAAGTGCATTGATGAAGAAGCATTGGCAGATGCTATTGACGAGGGTATCGTCGTGGGAGCTGGTTTAGATGTCTATCATGACGAGTACGCTGACCCACGAATATCTGTTTTTTGGCCGGTTGCGATGCTAACGCTCGAACATTTCAGGCCCACCGTCAATCCCAGATTACTAGATAACTGGAAAATCACTTTGCTGCCGCACATCGGCGGTGCATGTCTTGACACGCATCTCGTACGTGCTCGATTAAATCACTTTTTTCTGATACAAGCCTCACTAACAACAAGTTTTTAGAACTTTGAGAGAATAGCAATGGACAATATCGAGGCATTCTTCCGGGGAGATGGGAAGCTATTGACACCTGTAAACAATGTCACAGGGCCACGCCTCTAACACCGTATATGGATTTCTTGTGGATATAATGACCCTGAATGGATTCTGTCTATCTCTAAGGCCAAATTTATAAAATAAATAAGGGTGCGATTGGCGCCCCTCTTTCCCTTCTGTTTTCCCCTTTTCCATCCTTCACTTATTCCACCACTCAAAAGTGCAAAACACAGAGGATTCTTAAGGCCAAAACTGGAGGACATGCCAGCCCCAGAAATTGATCTTTAAGTCTCTTAGCACCCACCCTTCCCCATCCATAAAGAAAGCCCTCAGTTGTCGTCTATGTCATCCCACGATCTACCCGGCCATTGGCGCCGCGGGCCAAGGATATCAAATTGCTCAAACGCACCCGTAGTCTGCAGATGCCATTCCTGATCAGCCACGTCCTCACTCTTCCCTAGCACTCTACTAGTTTCTAACACGAAATTATCCCCAGAAGCGCCTGAACAGTTCACTATCCTGGTCCCACACCACTTGCAGGAGAAATCGTTTTTGGATGACGAATCCAACGAAGCAAGAACGAGGGCAGATATGGTCCGGTGAGGGCAGCAGAATCCTGGGAAGTCAACAAGGGCAAGTTTCCTTCTGGCATCCACGGTATAGTGAGAGGTAATAACCAAACGCCCGTCTTGATTCAACATCGGAGTGTGCCTAGCATGGACTTTCGTTGATCCCTGAGTGTATCGGCACTCATGCCAGTCAGATAGGAAAACGGCGTCTGTGTCTAAGCCGTCAGCGGTTTTGTTTGCGATAGCTAACTTTCGTAGCTGAGCGGTAAGGTTGAGTTTGGTCCGAAAAGTGAGTTGGATGCAAGGACAAAGGGGAATCACGCCAACCAGCGAGCCAAACATGCAAGTACGTTGATCTGCGACTGTGGCGAGGTCGTGCGTTGAGAACTCGCTAACTGGATGTAGTTTGAGGCATCCTGCACAGCATCTGAAGCGAGAATCCTCCAAGCGGCGCAGTAATTGCCAATATCCAGATCTCAGATTGTGATCACGGCTATGAGGAAAGGAGGAGGTGCTGAATTTCATAGGGTGCCCAAACCTGGGAGAGTTCTGAACGCCGTTCAAGGCATTCCAGGCTGATTTGCAGCTCAAAGAAAAGCAAAGCTTGTCCATCGGGGAAAGATAATCTGAGACACAGAGGACAATATCGATTGGGAGCTTGGTAATAGGCGGAGGAGGCTCGACCGGCTTTCTTTGAACCCAAAATTTAGATAGCATCATGCAAATGGCAAAAACGATCATTATTATCAGAGCAGCAATTCCAAGTGACTTTAACTGCTGCTTGTCCGGATATGAGTCCGCCCAGTCCTCTGGGAGTGCAGGGGTAGAATCCATGCTGCTATGGAAGCCAAGTAGCTCAGCTCACAGACAGGACTTCTGCAACAAAAAGGAAATGCCTTTGAGAGTACTTTTCTTGCAGAAAGAGATCTGTCTGAGAATCTGGAAATCATGTCAGGCCTTAAGTATCGAAAAAGGGACGACTCAGCGTGCTAGAGCATGCCGTCGCCGAGAACAGGACGACTCAGCGAACATTCAGGCATGATAGCTGATGAATCTGTCGCCCAAGAAAGGAATTAACTTCATCATCTTCATCTTCTTCTCTGTTGATTGTTCACTATGCTCCAGAACAGCACATAACAGCTCCATTCACAATAAGATGTGATTCTCTAGGAGGACATCATGGTAAGTCTGGATGTTCCTCTTTCTGTGGAACTTTAAAAAAAAGGCTCATTTGTCTGACACACCAAAACTAGGCATTTGCATGCAACCAGCAACCACTTATGACCTAACGCGCTTCCTGATGTGGAGCTGGCAATACATGGATATTTGCGGCAAAAGGACTCTGGTGCAGAACTTTTTCTGAGAAGCGAAGATCATAACTTCCAAAAAAAAAAAGAGGAGCAGACTTTCTCTGGTTCTCATTCACTTCACTTCACTTCTTCGTGTCACGAGACGCCACTCCTTAAGGTTACCGCGAGATATCCATTTTGCCTTTCCTAAGGACTGCACAGCATATAGTTGGGATATAATTACATGCTTTCCGTTCAAGGGTCTGGTTAGCTATCTGTGATCCCCTCACTCTTTTCTCTATAAGCTTGTCTTGGTCACTCCAGCAAGTTCTATGAACTTGATCTCATTCAGTCTTCGTCACTTGAGCCAATTGTCTGAGACACACACACACACATACATACACAGAGATAGAGAGAGAGAGAGAGAACAGCAAAAGGACTTGCCATCTGCTTGTTTTTGGTATCAGACGAAGGCTTTTTTACCCGCGAGCAAGCAGTTGCTTGTGTGCTAGAGCCATTCGGATAGGTGTCATCGCCCAAACAAAATGCCTTACGACATAGACAAGGCGATCGGTTCATTCGAAGCCATGACGGTTGAGCAGGACCAAGACCAACTCAGGGCACATGGCCTCTGCCCCGAATCCCGCGTCCTCATCGTCATGACGGGCGGCACAATCTGCATGCGCCGTTCCTCGTCCGGGTTCGTGCCAGCCCGGGGTTTCCAAGACGCCGCTCTTCGTCCATCCTCAACGTTCAACGACGGCTCGAATCCCGGGCCAGTCGACGTAGTCATCAACGCATCTGGCGAGCGGAAGAGTTACCCTACGCTGCGCACCCCGTTAAGCATATATGACGCGCGGGTCCGATATGCCGTGTACGAGTTCGAGGAGCTGCTAGATAGCAGCTCGATCGACGCAAAAGGGTGGGCACAGATCGCGAGAACTATCTATTGGAATTACACCCTCTTCGACGGCTTCGTTGTCTTGCATGGCACCGACAGCCTGGCGTATACCTCCTCCGCGCTGAGCTTCATGTTCCAGAATCTAGGCAAACCGGTCATCCTCACGGGTTCGCAGGCGCCGATGCTGGAGCTCCAGAACGACGCAACAGATAATCTACTCGGATCTTTGATCATCGCAGGTCATTTTATGATTCCGGAAGTGTGCTTGTATTTTAATCATAATCTCTTCCGTGGAACTCGAGCAACCAAGGTTGCAGCGAGCGATTTTGCGGCCTTTGCATCGCCGAATTTCCCTCCGTTGGCTGTGACGACGTCGATGCGGACGCACGTAAAGTGGGAACAGGTGCATAAGCCTACTACTATTAAACATTTCAGCATCCAGATGAACCTAGATACGACGCATGTGGCGTGCTTGAGGATATTCCCTGGTATAAAGCCTGAGATGGTTGATGCGGTGCTTCGACTGCCTGGATTACGCGGCTTGGTGCTGGAGACCTTTGGCGCCGGGAACGCACCTGGAGGACAAGACAACGCCATGACCAAGGTGCTTGCTGATGCTATTCACCGTGGAATTGTCATTGTGAATGTGACTCAGTGTAGGTTTATTCGTTTTGTTTTATTTTATTTTATTTTATTTTATTTTTATTTTTTATTTTTTATTTTTTTTTTTTGAAACATTCCACATTTAACAGACGATATTAATATATATTGGTCTAGGCTTATCTGGGAGCGTGAGCCCTGTATACGCTCCGGGAATGACTTTATCACGGGCGGGTGTGGTTGCAGGATTAGACATGACCACGGAGGCGGCTCTCACAAAGCTCGCCTTCTTGCTAGGGGTGCCCGACACGACGCCACAGTCTGTCGCTCGAGATATGTCGATCTCCCTTCGGGGTGAACTCACGGAGCACTCACATCCCGTGTTCAGACATCCTGACGGTGCGCTGCCTGATCGGATAAAGAATCTGGCGGCGCTTGGTTATGCAGTTGCCCAGGGGAACTTGGAGAAGGTGAAAGAAATCATGCGAACGGAGCAGGATTGGATTCTTAACGATGCAGATTATTCTGGGAACACACCATTGGTAAGATTTGATATCGCTCCCCCTCTTTCTTTCCGGTATTCGATATGCACGTTTTTCACATTCGGCTAACCTGGGACCTTTTTTTTTGTTTGTTCTTTTTCTTTTTAATAGCACCTCGCTGCGACTTCGCCCAATCTTGGCATCTTGAGGTACTTTCTCCTCCACGGCGGCTCTGTTCATCTGCGCAACTATGCAGGGCGCACGCCGTTGTTTCTGGCCGCCAACGCGGGACTGATCGACCATGTCAATTTACTACGGGAGTCCGGAGCGCACCTGCACGAGGACGAGCGAGGTGTCGCAGAGTTACACGCCCGTGGACGACCAGATATATGGACGCTGGCAGGAGTTGACATGGAAGTGGTGAACCGAATGGAGGGGGGGTCCGATTCAAATGGGGAGAGAAAGACAAATGGTAACGCGCCGGTTCCTACATGAACGGAGATAGCGCAGACCAGGGGGTTGGCATATTTTATCTTAGACCCAAAACTAAAGAGGGTTATCAAGATATGGCGTATGGGCCTAATACGATATCCAGACGCTTTTCGAATGCTATCAGGCCAAGATGATGTATATACTTGCTAGTCAAAAAAATAGACGGTCTGATAGTTGATATGTTCGATGGCAGATGGGAACTTTTAAACACCACAATAGAAAAATGAAGGAGACTGATATCGCATCCCTCGCAGCCAATGCGAGTGACGGTTTAACCGTCTCAGCGTCATTGATGATTTGCTGAGGCAAAAAAAAAAAAAAAAAAAAAAAAATTATATACGGAGTATATATGCCTAGGTTGCTGGGCCTTTCCCTACCGTCGCACACATCGCCGGTTAATTATCTGGTGATCCCCCTCTTTTGTTCTCTGGGGCGTGATTCGTAAGACGATCATCATTTGTACCCCGTCCGTACAATGCTCGGTTACGGCATACACGCAAGAAAGAATTGATGGGAGAAAAAAAAAAAAAAAAAAGAGAAGAGAGAGAGAGAGAGTGTGTGTGTGTGTGTTTGTTTGCAGACCGGGAGACCTCTTACTCGTCGCTGGGTCGGAAGCTTCTCCCCCTTCCGGTCATTGGGCGAGCAGGTCGGTCCAGGGAACATGCGGGCGGGAAGATGACTGGTCGAAACATAACCGGGGGCGACACGTGTTGGCCAAGCGGTCAAGGGAGACAAGGGCAGCCAAAACTCACCCGATTGATCGAGGTGCATGAGTGCGGCGAAGAACGTCCAAAGCAGTGGTGGGCACGCAGGAGAGTGAGGGAGAGAGAAGTTGCTTTTTGGGATGCGTGGTTCGAGTTACGTAAAGGAGGGTGGGATAACTAACTCGCTATCGATCATGTAGGACGGCAGCATGTAGCATGTAGCATGTAGCATGTAGCCTGTAGCATGTATGTATGTATGTATGTACACACAAGCGATGTTCTCCCGTGCTGCTGGGAGAATTCCCGGGGGCGCATCCCATTTTTTTTTTTTTTTTTTTTTTTTTTTCTTAATCTGGGGAGAGAGTTTTCCGGGGCCCAAAGCTTGACTTCTTCGCAGCAACCAGCGCGACAGGCGTTCCAAAACTCTTCCAGGTCAGCTGGCACCTCCCTCCCACCCCGGCGGGTTCGGTTGAGTTGGGTTTGAGTTGAGATTTGAGACCCCCCGTTGTCTGTCGCCCGGGAACGGAGTTTGGGGTGTTCTGGACCAAAGCCCATCCGCGTGTCTAAAAATAATATTAATAATGAAGGTCCAGATCGCGGTGACGAGACGGGCGTCGAGAGGGAATTCCCTGGTGACAGCGCAAGCCAGAGGTGGCACTCCGGACGCCATGGCCGCCAGAGAAACTCTCCCTCAGCAGTCACGAGATAGCCTTTCCCGTCCCCGAGTCGGCTAGGGCAAGGGTTTTTCATATATGGAGCACTCCTTTTTTTCTTTCTTTTTTTTTTTTTTTCCCGTATCTTTTCTTTTGCCTTTTTTTTTTTTTTTTTTTTTTTGATTCATACACTCTTGACGGGGCGAAGTCGGTTCTTTTTTTCCTTACTTTTTTGCCACGGCGATAGAATTGAGTTTCCCGCGCCGGGCCGGATAAAGACTATTTCCGCACTGCAGGTGACCAGCCCACCCGGCCGTTATCGCCGCACGCTGATTGGTCGACGGAGTTCGGCAACCCGAAACCGGCAAGCGCAATTCCAGTTCGTCTCTTCATCAGAAGTGGGCAGGCGCAGACCACCAGCAGCAGCAGCAGCAGAAGGAGAAGAAGGAGAAGAAGAAAAGAGAGCAGAAAACCCCCATCAGACAGAAGAGAAAGAGCAAGGAGCCAAAGAAGGCACCTTCCCGCACACATAAAAACCTTGGCGCTCCCCTACCGGGGCAGGCAGGACTCTCTCGTAGGCAGTCTCGACCCCCCCAATCCCTTGCACACATTTTAAGTAGGTACGGACATGCATTACATTCCAATTAACTATACAGGTACATCATACTCCGTAGGTACACACAAGAGTATGATTATTATTATTATTAATTTTTTATTTTTTAATTTTTTTTTTTTTTGGGCTCCAAAACCCTGTCTGTGTAAAGAGTTATCAAGCTTTTTTTCTCAGACAGCGTCACAGAAACCATATCATGTTATTTTGCCCCTATCTATGAACTGCCAAGTACAAGGGGAGATAGATATATCGCGAGCCCAAACCCCTCGCCTTTGCCATATGTAACATTCTTCATCTAGTGCAGTATTTCACACACACACACACACATATATATAGAGAGAGAGAGAAACAGAGAGAAACAGAAGAAGAAAGTCGGTTCTTTTAACTTCTTCCCCCCTTTCGCTGAGCCCCGCTTTGCTAGCCGTCCTGTCGAATCCACACCCCTCCAACTATTTAGTCCATTATTTCACCTACAAGGTCCAGCTCCGTCCATCACTTGACCTTTCACCGTTCTTCACCACACAAACGCTGGGGCAAGGAGGTCCTCAAAATCTTGTCTTGTCTCCCGGCCGCCCTGCTCGTCTATTAATTACGCTTTTCTCCCCCTCGGTTCTCCGACCTGTCACCTCTCCGGCCTATGGCTTGAATGCTTCCTCCGCTCTTCCACCCCCGCCGTCTCGATAGCTCCCGGCCATCATCCTCCTTCTCATGCCACATCGGTCTCCCTCACACCCCGCCGTTTTGTCGCCTTAAACATTGGATAGCTGGGTTGAAAACCCGAACAACCTGAAAACAAAAAAGAAGGAAAAGAAAAAAAAAAAAAAAAAAAGAAAAAGGAAGAAAGAAAAGGAAAGGATAAAGAGAGGACCTATTGTGCCCTTTTTTTTCTTTTCTTTTTTTCCCCGTTTATTATTCTTTTATTTTATTTTATTTTATTTTTTTTTTCCTTCTTGATCGGCGTTGTTGTTGTTGATGAGGACCTCCCGAACCAGACCAGACAGCCTTTGGCATTCACCCTTTAATCCCTAGTGATCTGGTAATGCCTGCATGCTTGTTTCCAATCTCTACTTCTGTCGCTGACCGTTTCCTCCGCTCTGCTTCTTCTAGCTCCCCCTCTCCCGCCGTAGACTTTCGAGATTGTCTTCATACCTCCTCCTCCTCCCCCTCCTCCTCCTCCTCCACCCCCGCCGTCGAATTCCCGGAACGCCTCTTGATAACAGAATCCGAATGACACAAACGAAGACGATTGCCGTTGTTAATGCTGCCGGCCGTCAAGCAGCATCGCTTATCCGCGTTGCTTCCGCCGTCGGTTACCACGTGCGAGCGCAGATACATTCCCTCGAAGGAGTCATACCGCAGGAACTTAAGAATCTGCCCAATGTGACGCTCTTGAAGGGCCCCCTCCTGAACAATGACGCCCTCATGAACTCGCTGTTCGAAGGCGCGCAGCTCGCCTTCATCAACACCACTTCGCAAGCCGGCGACGAGGTGGCAATCGGACGAGCGCTCGCCGATGCCGCTAAACGAGCGGGCACGGTTCAGCACTACATCTACAGCAGTATGCCCGACCATTCCATCTACAATCCGCATTGGCCCAGTCTACCGCTCTGGAGCTGCAAGTTCGCCGTGGAGAACTATGTGCGCCAGCTCGGTCTCCCTGCTACCTTTGTGTACGCCGGTATCTACAACAACAACTTCACCAGCCTTCCGTATCCGCTTTTCTGCATGGAGTTGATGGCCGACGGTGGGTTTGAATGGCGCGCTCCCTTCCATCCCGACATCCCGCTTCCCTGGCTGGACGCCGAACACGACGTGGGGCCTACAATTCTGCAAATATTCAAAGATGGGCCGAAGAAGTGGAACGGTCACCGGTGAGCGCACTCTTCGTCACTTTTCTTCCCCCCCCCCCCCCCCCCCCCCCTCTTCCATGGTCTTGTTATCCCATCTAACCATCTCACTTCCAATCAGGATTGCCATGTCGTTCGAGACGTTAACGCCAAGACAAGTATGCGACGCATTCTCCCGAGCTCTCGACCGCCGTTGCACATACGTCCACGTCCCCAAAATCGAGATCAGGGTCTCCGTGCCCACCGGATACCGTGAGCAGCTCGAAGGCATCGAGGTACTGTTCGGGCAGATGTGCGCTCCTTTCTTCCCGAACCCGGAGTTCAACCATCCCACCACCGGTCCACGCGCCGGTAAGACGATTATTCCGGAGCCCGATCAAGATGGCGTGGTGGCACTGCCGCTTGTCGATGAAGCCAGGACTCTATGGGAAGGGTGGAGGAGCATGGAGGAATACGCGCGTGAGGCATTCCCCGTGGAAGAGGAAGCTAACGGATTGGATTGGATGTTTTGAGGCCGACGAATAACTAAAATACGCATACGATACGCCGCTTTTTACGGAGTACATCCGTTCTTTTGACGGTTAAAATATGTTAACCTGGTCAGGCGGGCGTTCTTTCTCTATTGACCGCTCGTTGGCGGCAGCAGTGATGGCTGCGTGACCACTGGGATGGGCGTAGGCCCCGTTTCAAGTGTACTATTTAAAAGCAGGTAATATGGCATGACCATATCTATGATTTCCCTTGAATTTCAGGGGCAAAAATGCTGAAAAGAACTACGAATTGAATCTTCTTTAAACCTATTCTTGTACCTACCCCGTATTCCGTACATCAGCACCCCCTTGTAACTAAAGTAAAGAGTTAGTTCCCACATATAATACTTATCGTTGCAGAATAATCAGCTCTATTCCCAAAGGCGCCCCTGGTTGACCATAGTGGACGAGATTTCACCTGGTGGGAATGTTGGACAAATGTACGGAGTACTCCGTGTAGCCTTTGCATCCTGCAGGCCGAGTTCAAGCCTGCAAGTACCCGTCCCAAAGCAACAACTTTCACGCCGGCGCCGCGAAAAAAAGAAAAAGAAAAAAAAAAAAAAAAAAAAAAAAGAAGAAGAAAAAGGAGAAAAGAAAAGAAAAAGGCACAAGGAGCAGCGAGAAGTTGTGCGCCAAGCCAGGCCCCGGGAGGCGCTAGCTAGGGCAGAGCTCAAGGAGTTTAAACCTTCCTGACCGCCCCAAACCCGTGGAAGAAGCTCTGACAGGCCCAGCAGCAAAAAAAAAGTAAACTCGAGCTAGCTGGTAGTTTAGTGTGGGAGGGAAGCTTTTTTCGTTTCATGCAACCCCAGGCAAATCCCCATCCCATCGCAAATTAATTTTCTCTTTTTTAATTTTTTTTTCTTTCCCGCTTCTTTTGAATCCTATCATCTCTCACTTCAATCAGTCTTTGCACGGAGAGAGCTCAGTTCTCACATTTTGTTCTTCTTTCCTCTATTTTTCTTCCCCTCCAAAAAAAATACAATACCCCAAGGGTGAGAGACACGGAGAGAAGAGGGAGAGTGAGAGAGAAACGATGTCCTCAGACTCAGAACAAGTTCCCCTCCTCGAGAGGGCCGAAATGCCCGAGCTTCCCACCGTCCCCAAGGAGGCGAGGCGCGATATCGCCCTGCTGGAACGCGAGTTCTCGGATGCTGAGGTTCGCATGCGTACGTATATCTTGTTCCCTTTTATTGTTCTCTCTTCTGAAAGTTGCTTTTCTTGTTTTTCTTGTGGAGGTTTTCTTTTTTTTTTTTTTTTTTTTTTTCCTATATACACATGTGCATGATTCCAGGATGGAGTATGTTGCCTCTGTGTTGGTGGAATGATTCTATCATTTGCTGTACGGAGCAATATATAGATGTATATATGATTACATTTTGCCGCGGTGAAGCAAGGGGTGGACGGGAAAGAGGAAAGGGCCGTTTTAAAAGTCTGTGATGGCAAAAAAACAAAAAAACTGACAATCTATTTCTTGCATCTCGATTGAAACAGTGCGCCAGGCCATTCCCTTAATGCGCCCCCTGTACGCCCGCCGCAACGCCCTTGTGACCTCCAAACTCCAACACGTGGACTTCTGGCCGCGTGTCTTCGCGAACGCTCCCGCCGACATCGACGAATACATCCGTCCATCTGACGCGCAGATAATCAGCACCTGCCTGAAGAACATCACCCTCGACCGCTTCGAGGTCAACGAGAAAGGCGAAGGGGAGCCGCGCTCCGTCCGCTTCACCTTTGAGTTCGACAATGGCGAGGAGAACGTCTGGTTCGAAAACGATAAGCTGGTGAAGGAGTTTTATTGGCGGAAGGAGATTCTCACCACCGTGAGTGGCAAGAAGAGGGTCCGCGAGGGAATGGTCTCCGACCCCGTGAGGATTAAGTGGAAGGAAGGGATGGATCCTACCGATGGATTGTTGGATGCTGCGTGCGATCTGGCAGAGGCCGAAAAAGCTTTGATGAAGAAGGAGAACAAGACCAAGGTTTCAAACGAGGATCGGTTGAAGTTGAAGGAATACGAATCGTTGGTGCAGAAGGTCGCCAAGATCGAGGCTGAGGTCGCCAACGAGGGCGAAGGGGACGATGAGGAGGGTGAAAGCAGCCCTATGGGTTTGAGTTTCTTCGCCTGGTTCGGATATCGTGGTGGGGATGTCTCTGCCGAAGAGTCCGCCCGCGCTATCAAAGAGGATGAGGAGAAGTGGGAGAAGATCATCAAAGGCGAGGAGCCATTTGACGAAGAGGAAGACGAGGAAGAGGACGAAGATGAGGAAGATACGCTGGAAGAGGCTGAGATTTTCCCCGACGGAGAGTCGCTGGCGGTCTCACTGGGCGAAGACCTCTGGCCCAACGCTCTGAAATACTATGGTAAGAACAAACCCGACATCCGTTCTCTTCGAGGCGCGCTTTTCTAACATGCGTAGTTCAATCCTACGAGATCGTCCCTGATTTCGATTTGGATTCCGATATCGACTTGGAGGATGTGGAGGGCGATGATGAGGATGGTGAATCCGAGGATGAGCTGGCGCGTCCTCGCAAGAAGGTCAAGACGTGATTTTGTTGATTCTTCCGTCTTTAGTTACCTTTTTTCCTTTTTTTAATTTGTCTTTTTGTCCTTTTTTTTTTTTTTTTTTTTTTCTTTTTGTTCCGATATTTGGGTGTAATTTTAAAGCACGATGACCAAAATTAATAGCAGGATCAAAACCATAATCAAAATTGCAATGCAGCAACTTGACATCGTATCTTGCAATAAGAATGCAGTTAGCAGAGAAATCCCCCGATTATTCCGGATGTGATCTCGGAGACCCTGTGCACGGTAGGCAGATACTTACCCTCGTTTCTCCTGATTATATGTCCTACTCGCCTTACTCCGCTCTGTAGCTTTCCACCCACACGGTCCGCAAGAGTGTCGACATCCTTCAGTATCTCTGCCTGCTCTTCTAGCTCTCTTCCCATGTCATCTGCCTGTTGTCTCAGATTGCCTACGGTCCGAAACACGCCATCAAGCTGCTGATCCTGCTCCTGCATCATTTCCAACTGTCTCTGGTGCTCGAGCTCCGCATAATAGTCCTCATCGCGGTCCTCATCAAGCAGATGATCGAAATCAGACGGGTTGGGCAACGCACCTCCTCCTCCTCCTCCTCCTCCTCCTTCTCCACCAACACCGCCGCCGCCGGAGATATCTGCTGGGACGCGTTTACCCCCCGCCTCCCTTCCGGCGGTAGCTGCATTCGAAGCAACCGTCTTCTGCAACTCTTCCCTCATCCCTTCAATCTCCCGACCCACATCCTCCACGAGTCTCCGCCGTCGCTCGACCTCATCAAGCTCGATGCCATACCGGTAGGGATCGTTTTCTACCACGCGGACGCTGTCGACGAGGTCTTCGAGGTCTGTGCTCAGTTCGTGGAGAGTGGATTCGAGTTCCTCGCGAGCCTGGAGGAGTTCGGGGTTGTTGGGTTTGGTCGCGAGGGAGCGGATGCGTTGGTAGGAGGAGAAGAGGGGGCGCGTGGTGTTGAGGGTGGCGAGGATGTCTCTGTGGAGGGCTGGGTTAGCATCAAGCTGCTCAGACTTGATTGTCTAAGACAGTGCCTTTCTAGGGCGGTTCTTTAGGAGGGAAAAAGGTTTCGTACGCTTGAACTTGGAGGAAGGGGTCGTTGTCGTCGGGATTCATGCTGGACAATTCTAGGATATCACGAGATGATCTATGAGAAATGGCTAGGAGCTGATAAGTCTGGTATTCTATGTTTCTCCGCGCCGGATGGCTGCTATCATTCAAAAGAAGTCAGCTTGGCCAATGCCATTGTTGACAGCTTGAGCGTTGATGACGATGCCCGCAGTCGGCGCCCGGTCTTGGCAGCGAAAGCGGTTTCTTGGCGGCAGTCAGGCACCGAAAAGGTTAACTAAATACTGAAGCATCCGTCTTTTTCGCATCCTGAGACGAGGCCCGGAGCGACTATTGGGAAAATTGGAAGAGCTGGCTCCGTGAGATTTCCTTTTTCCTGGACGACCAACATTCTTCTAGTGCTTCTCCCGGAGGCCACTGTCCGGTTAAAGCTCTTTCCTCCTTTTTTTTTTTTTTTTTTTTTTTTTTTTTTCGGTCTGGTTTCAAAGTCATGATACCCAAGAAACCCCTCCCCCTCGCTGACGAGTGGGAAGATCCAGACAGTTATGTGAAATCTCTTTTGTCATTTGCGACCTCCTCCGTATTATGGTCCAATCTCTGTGGAGGTGTTCATATTCTGGACTTTTTAACGAGGCAACCTGATATCTACTCCACGATCATCCCGGCCGATTGGCGCGAATTTTTTGACTGCCATGAAATCCGCGACATCGTGGACCTCCTTTTGAGAGAGAATATTGGGCCTTTTCGGGAAGATGATGCCGCGGACTCGGGATCCATGGAGAACGGAAACCACAACGCCTGGCGAAATGGACCGAGGCCGCCTCCCTCTCTTGTGGCGTATATCCATGATATTCGTCGGCATTCCTTGAAGCGTGAGTTCGTGCCCGACGGTGGTCTATCTACTGGAAAGCTTCCGCACAGTGTCGCTGTTGGAATGAACCCTAAAAAGCGACACGAGGTTGAGCACTTCTCTCGTTATGTTAGTACGCTGGTCGACGATGTAAACGCCACTCGGGGGGAAGAGGTCTCCCACATCGTTGATTTCGGGTCCGGACTAAACTACCTCGGAAGGACACTTGCCAGCCCTCCGTATAACAAGGATATCATTGCCATAGAGCGAAGGCAGAATAATATTACCAGTGCAAAGGGAAAGGATGTCCACGCCAAATTAGCAAAGAAGACCATCACCATGAGGAACAAGAAAGAACACAAGGCCAGACTCTTAGGGATCGACCCCGGTGAGCTGAAGTCGGATTCGGGAACTTCCACGCCGGATGGTGTAACAAACGATCAAAATGGAGTGGCCATTATCGTCGATGTCGTCCAGGAAAGGAGTGCCATTGCAAGCGACAGTAGAACAAACGGAGAATCTGCAGTTGGTTGCATGCATTACGTCGAACATGACATCCAAGATGGGTATCTAGAGCCCATAATTCGCCATGTGATTGAACCTTCGGAAGACAACCCACTACTTCTGGACGTCAATCAAGATGAACCGCATAGTGTTGACTTATCAACTCTTGCTCTCACGCCTAATGACAAAGCTATGCCCCGTCCTCCTTCTCGGGTGATGGTAATCTCCCTTCACTCCTGTGGTAATCTAGTCCATCACGGGATCCGCTCCCTCATTATCAATCCATCTGTGGTCGCCATCGCCATGATCGGCTGCTGCTACAATCTCATGACCGAACGACTCGGCCCAATGACTTACAAACTTCCTGCCCTCCGTTCCCTTCATCCTCGCCTCGAAAAGACTTCCAAAGCATACGATCCTCATGGATTCCCGATGTCGAAACGCATGGAGGAATACACGTATGACGCCGGGAATGGAATCAGGCTCAATATCACCGCGAGAATGATGGCTGTCCAAGCTCCCTATAACTGGGGTACTGAAGATAGCGAAGCGTTCTTCACCCGCCACTTTTATCGTGCTCTCTTACAGCGTATTCTTGTGGATTACGAAGTTGTTCCTGTGCCTGGCTCAGTGCAGGCCGCCAACCCCACCTCAGAGCCAGTGAGTGCTACATGCGATACGCCTGGAACGGCTCTTATCGTTGGGTCGTTGAGGAAGTCCGCTTTCGTCTCGTTCCCTGCCTACGCACGCGCGGCCATATCCAAGTTGATCCGCGATCCCAAGTACGGAGAACTCATTAAGCAGAAAGTCGCCGACATCTCCGACGAAGACTTAAATGACTATGTGAAGAAGTATCACTATGCTAAGAAGAATCTCAGCATCGCGTGGACGCTCATGGCGTTTAGTGCAGGAGTGGCCGAATCGATCATTGTTACCGACCGATGGCTATTCCTGCGCGAGCAGCAAGCTGTGGAACATGCTTGGGTGGAACCTGTATTCGAGTATGCGCAAAGCCCGAGAAATCTGGTGGTGGTCGGAGTGAAAAAATGAATCATGGCTATTTAGAATATTCAGAGCATCCCTCCAACCTCCATGAGGCCGGAAGGATGCAAGAACCTTTCTAACGTGGGGTTTCAAGTGCGATCAACGGGGTGCAATCCGTGGGTTATGATCCCAAACGCCGGTTGATGGACATCAGGCAACGCGAGGCGTTTCTGATTCCAACTACGTCTAACAGAAGCTTTCCTCCTGCGGATTTCCGGTTCTTCAGGACGGTCGAAGGTGGGCTTTTTGAGTGGGCCTAGCAAAGACAGAGGAACCCAATCAAGAAGATGGAAAAATGATTCAAAAAGCCACTCCGAAGAGTGTCTGGCAGTACACAAAGCAAGTCAAAGACCCCCTCATCAGATGAGCAACAAGCCATCTGCCTGAGCCTTTCCTCCTGGTGAAGGTTATGAAACCAGACAACAACTTGTTACATTACAGGTAGCACGTTATACTCACCAATATCTACAATTGATTTCTATTTCCTGTAATATCTCTGCTAGATACCTGTTGCAAGAGCATATTCATACATGAAATGTAGATCAAAAATCTAAATACGCTCGCTGTTTACTAGGGTTAATCAAGGTCAGAGGAAGGAAAGCTAAAGCATCATTGGGCCACGCAAGGTGCATGCACTGGAACCAGGTTAGGAGGACATGTCTAGTGAAGGTAAGTCTGTTGAAGATCCGACTTGGTTTCCTTGCGAGTATGACCGGATGCTCGAACGAAACCATGGCACCTTCTTATGATGAGCTCCTCTGTCGGCAAATAGCAATAAATAAGGACTTGTTGGTTAATTAACTATACAGTGGACTCACTGCTTACAACTGTTTGTGAGTTCATCATTCATAGCCTCGTCCTCATCTTGGTGGTCATCCGACGCAATCCGAAAAACTGGGCCCATATAGGATTGCTCTATAGGTGCCAGGGTATCCAGAAGGGTGGGGTCATTCATGGAATGATGACGAGCTGAAAACCGCATACTACTAGCCCATGCCTTTAAATGACTTGAAGAGTGGCGGAATAAGAAAGAAGATAGAAAAAGATTTGAGGCTGACACAAAACAGAAAAGGAAAATCTGCTTCAAAGCTTGGGGGCCGGAACAAGCAGACTTGTAAAACTTGCTTCGAGTGATTTACCCTGGTGCTTTAGCTATCCCTGCAATCCAGTCCGTCATCCAATTTTTGACCGATTGCAGTAAGGGATTGTTGGCGTTATCATGGGGGGCCTTCAGTGTCCAAGCTACATTTCCATCATATCCTAAAATCGCTCGGTAGCATTCTAGTCACTTGTTAAGCAATAAACAGAGTAAAACTTACTCAGACTTCTCCGTTGCGTTCCTGGTATCCATTATGCTATTCCTCAGCTCACTTTCACGCTACCACTGGTGGACAAGGCGGGACTGGGACCTTCAACAGAGTGCAAAATCCTCAAAGGAAGTTCAATAAACAGACCACAAACTTTGTTGAAAAGCACATCAGGAAAGAAATCTAAAACCAGTCCATCAAAAAGCGTGGAGGGGCAAAAATAGCTTGTACGCCCCGGAGTCGCCCATTTGGGCCTTTGGACCGGCCAACTGCTCTTCTGTTCTGAATCCTGTTCCTATAAACCCGCAGACGAATATGTGCTGGATATACTTAACCATAGATCATCATTGCTGTAGGGATTACTCCGTGCGGTCCATCGTGTATTCCCGACGGCGTGGGCACCAAAGACTGAGTGGCCGAAGCTCAGCTCAACACGTGATGCAGCGGAAGTCTGGGCGGACCATTCCGTCAGATTCCCCGCGGGATGTATTGGGCACGTTTCGCTGGGTATATGTATGATAAAACCCAAGTCGGAGGGCTCAGAGTAACTCCTCCACCACGCCCGCCACACAGCAGCCACGGCTGACAGAGGTCAAGGGGTAGCGAACGGGTCACTGCTTCTCCGCTTGAGATCTGGGATGTGTAGCAGGCAGATCCGGCCAGACCCTGAGATTTATGTGAGATGTATGTAAAATCACAGTGAGCGCAAGCCCTATTGCCCTCGCGGGACGCTTCGACGACGGCGTGTGAAACTATACGCTCGTTTAATCCGTCCTTGGTGAGAAACACGCTTGGTCGGGTCGTTGACCAACGCGTCCCAACGACGAGACACGGAATCGGATGACTAAGCCTAGTCAGGCCCTCTTTCTCTCACGTGACTAGCCTAGATTGGAGGTGAAGGAATCTCTCGCATCCTGGCATAGCAAATGACAAGCATACGAGTCCTCCAGCAACCAAGGTTGAGGATGGCTTCGGTAAAACCTAAGTCCGCTAGGAAGCGAGATCGTGTACCGCCCAATCGGAGCCGAGCACCTAACAGCGTCCCCGGAGACACCCTGGCGAAAAAATACGACGTTGGGATCTCGGTGCATGACCTTCTCGTTGGGGTTTAGGTGGAAGGGGGACCATGTCCCAGGAATACCCTGTTCTAAGCATATCTCGGATATTCCCCCCTGTTTCCCTGCGACACGTGCATTTCGATGTCCTGTGTGGAAGACCTGCCCTTGATCGGGTTTTGGGGCTGGAGAGCGTTCCATCGTGCGGGCGGTTCGCGTTGGGCGATCAAAAGAGGGGGCCAATGAGCGATCCCCTCCAAGGTACTCGGACTTGCGATTCTGACAGCTCCAAAGTGCAGAGGTGGATATCAATGTATATCCTCCTTACCTTTGAGTCCTCTGTACGGTGTTTTTCCTCGGCGTCAAAGACCGTCGCCGCATCCCAGCTTCCCCACCATCAAAGTTCCGAGCCCTGTTCGATAGGACATGGGGCGTTTTACTGGCCACCCTCGACGTAGCCGGCAGAATTTGGCTAGATATATGCTGTGGAGGCAAAATCCCCGAGAGACCGGAAAGCCGGAGAGAATGGCGTGCGCATGAGTTCAAAATCCAACCGCTAATAAGGTCATGTCGTGTCGGATCTCTGTGCCTCCATCGTGCTCATAGGCTCGTTAGCGTCTGGCCTACCATTAGAGCGACTTATTGCCTGGTTCCCAGTAGTTGGTCCTTTATGTCGTCTGAGGACCACGAGGCTATCTTGATCAAAAATGCCCAAATGTAACTTCGCTTTGGGACTGGGATGTAGCAATTGGGTTGGGCGCGTCTTGACCTCGTGCTAACCGTGGAGCTAGAGACGCTAGGGGCACATAGAGATGGATGAGGTCTTTAACCACCATCTAGGAAGAGAGATACTCCGACGACAAAACCCTAAGCAAATATTTCCTGTTCCCAAAGCTCCCCGTTGAGGGTAGGGAGGGTGTATTCTACTTTGCCCAATGTCGAATGATGGGCGTGGAAGCTGGCTGATTGGGACACAAGCGGATAAGAAAATCTCTGTTGCCGGTGGAGAAAGCAATTAATACAAACCCGAAGTATACGTATGCCGAGTGTCTTGAAGCTGGACGGTCGTCCTCTCGTTTTAGACTTCTCTCGTTCTGCTGGAAACGCCATGCCCAGCCATTCGAACACAAGCACCGATGGCCACGACTAACCGCTCACTTGAGACACAATAAAAAAGAGGCTTTAGGTGAAGCCACTGACTTGGCGAAGCTTAAGACTTGAAAAAAGCGAACAGACAATGATGCCAACTCCTCTAACTGTCCTCTAACTGCTTTGCCTGGCGACTCGTTGACGGCTTCGATGCGCGTGCTTCTCTAATCGGCGTCTAATGATCATTGCGGATCCACCTCGCTCGGTCGAAAATTGAAAAAAAGAAAAATTTCACGATTACCACGCGGTCCTGTCTTGGTGAAGCTAATTTCCCCGGTGATAATGCTGCGATGCAAGCGCGGGCACCAACTGGTAGGGCCTAACCATATTCGGCCTAGCGCGTAGGCCACGTCGCTCTTGGGTATGATCGCTAAACCGGCCAAGCAACGCCTTCAACCTCGCCCTCGGCCTCCGCTTCCCCTGCCGCCGGCGCTCGCAGCACCACACGCCATCCCACGTCTTCGCTTTCATCTTGGTCCCAGAGCGTTTTGACCCCTCATACAAAGAGACATCATATCTGCCAGCAACGGCATGGCAATCACAATCCTCGTCGGGAAATAATAAGCGCCCAGATAGCGGCCGTTTCGCAGAAAATGACCATGTCTGGGCGGTTACAGCCAAGTTGAAGACACAAGCCTGCCAAGCCCAAAGTGCTTGAGTTGTGGCTGTTTCTTGGTGCTGATCAGCCGGCTCACTAGCTCAAAAATAGCACCCAGAAGTTCCGTGGAACAAAATTGACTTTCGAGGAATCGTCGTTGTTGGTTCTGCTACCAGGATTCTCCAGACTGCGAACCACACCACCCCTTGTCTCCCGGATGTAAACAACATGTGATGCTACTCTCGTTCTCCACATGCCCCGGCAGCTTCAGAGTCGTTCCCCTTGTCAGCCCTTTTTCGCAGTCGAAAACAGCCTTAACCAACCAAGAATGCGGCGAGGAGAAAAGAGAAGTGAACAGACCCAATCTCCTTGGTCATGATGCCAGGTAAAAATCAATTAAATTAACAAATCACTTTGCTCTTAAAGAAAACGTAAGATCTTTATCTGGAGCCACCCAAGCCGAGAGAAGCGGCCACCCTTCTTGCGCAATCAAGCCCTCCCGTCTCGCCAAAAAAGTTAACAGGGTGTTCTCATCTTCTCATGTCTTTTACCGAGTGTTCGCCAATCAGTGTTGACAGTTACCTCCTCATTGCGATTGTGTCGCTGAATCTCCACGGGGTCGTCTTATTGTCACACGGAATGAAATTGCTTGACAGGAGAAATGATTGGACAACAGATGCCTGAATCACAGCCAAATACGATCCCACACTATTTCCTTTCTGGAAATACTAACACAATTATAACATACCCAACAATTACAGATTTGCTCCATACCACCTGCAAAAGGCTCATGGGTGCAAGCGCATGGAAACCAAACAGTGTTCTTGTGGAAATGAAATCCCACGCTGCAAAGCAATTTTCCGGCGCCATTTTCCTGGCTACTAGGAAGTTTATGTTGTTGGGGAAAGCACATCAGTACATTCTATGTTTCATGCATCCTAATTAATATTCAATTGATAACAGAGAACTGCCTTTCAGCTCCCGTAACTCCTTGTCTGAGAGTCAATGGCGTAACGATCAAGTTGGCTGAGCGTGGAGTTATCCGTTCCGCCAAGTTGTCGTCAAAGTCTTTTTGAGGTAATTTATTATTCACGAAAATACTCCGTACGGGCTCAGTGAAACGGTCCCCCATCCTCTGCTCTTGGCTATGTCTGGCCTTCCATTTATGCGTACTTGGCACCTCCACAGACTTATTGAACTTCAACAATGGAGAACCTGACATGCCTATGCCGCTCCATCCCCGGTTGGCAAAATTTCTATTGTCAGACTGCCTCTCAGGCCGTTCCAGGTTTGACGGCACCCCATCTTCGCTGCAACCTTCTTCTCGTCTGGGCGTCTTGGTTCCCGTTAATATACCCCACCCAAACCAAGTAGCCTCAGACACGCTTTTTAGTTTATTTCGCCAATTCTGCGGAGTGGCAAGGGATCATGGCGAATAGCCCGGGAGCTTGCTCGATATAATCCTTCCAAAGGCCAATCCACGGCTACAAGCGGGGTTGCATTGTGCCTATCCACACTTCCCCGTACATATAGAAAGGAGCTCCCCGTTCTGCCCCAGAAACCATCCGGTTTCCCGTTCTCAGGTGTTGCTTCTTCTGCTCAACCTGAGTCAAGGGCAACAACTCCAATCCGCCTGAGAAAATGTCCGAAAAGGCACCAGCTAGTGTTGACCCCCACAAGGGTGCTGTCGACATTCCTCACGTCTCCAGTGTTCTTGACGAGAAGGAAATTTCAGTACATGTTGGAGGTGCTGGAAGTCGCCATGACAGCGACGACGAGGGCATGGGACTTAATCGGACTGCGCCCACCGACGAGGAGATGTTAACGCTGCGCAGAGTATCTGATAAGATTCCTTGGATCACTTTCAGTATTGCCTTTGTCGAACTTTGCGAGCGCTTCTCCTACTATGGCACAATCAACGTCTGTATGTGCAATCCCGAGGAATCGTCTGTTTTGGGGGAGAAAAGCAGATGATTAATATACCATTTTCTAGTTACCAATTACATTCAGCGACCACTTCCTGAGGGATCGACAACTGGCGCTGGCGGAACCCACAGAACTGCCGGCGCCTTGGGCTTGGGTCAGCGTGCCTCCGCTGGATTGACCATGTGTAAGTTGCTCGAACAGCTCAAAGTCCCAGGTGTTTCTGTCACTAATTCACTCATTCAAACAGTCAACCAGTTTTGGTCCTACATTATGCCGTTGGTCGGTGCTTATGTTGCGGATCAATACCTTGGCCGCTTCAAAACCATCATGTGGTCTATCGCTTGTGCCATGGTTGGCCATATCATTCTCATTATCTCTGCACTTCCACCAGTCATTGCCAAAGGCCCCAGCGCACTGGCTGCGTTCGCTGTTGGCGTGGTCGTTATGGGGATCGGAACCGGAGGTTTCAAGTATGCTGGGTTCTTCCACTAGCCTATTGCTTAGTTTACTGACAGGGCATAGATCCAATATCTCTCCTTTAATTGCTGAGCAGTACAAGGAAAGCCACCCGTATGTCACGACCACGAAAAAAGGGGAGCGGGTTATTGTCGATCCAGCAGCGACCATTTCTCGTATCTACCATTATTTTTACCTCATGATCAACATCGGTGCCCTTGTTGGTCAGGTCTCCATGGTTTATGCGGAGAAATATGTTGGATTTTACTTATCTTTCCTCCTGCCGACAATCATGTTCTCCCTTTGCCCGCTCGTCTTGTTCCTGTGCCGCAAGGTATATGTCTTAACGCCACCACAAGGATCTGTCTATGGCAAAGCATTGAAAGTGTGGGGGTTGGCTATGAAGGGTCGGTGGTCGATCAACCCCGTGAAGACGTAAGTTATGAAGAAGCTGCTTTTTTGTGTGTAACCTGTTTCTAAAAGTCAGTGCCGTACAGTTATCGCAACTTCCAGGATCCCAACATGTGGGAAGCAGCGAAGCCAAGCAATATTCCAAACAGACCAGCATGGATGAACTTTGACGATGCCTGGGTTGATGAAGTCCGACGTGGACTGTTGGCCTGCAAGGTCTTCCTCTGGTACCCTCTCTTCTGTAAGCTTACTTCGACCTGGCTGGCATGAATTTTAAAACTAATGTTGAGGTCCTCAGGGCTTTCTTACAACCAAATGACAAACAATTTAACTTCCCAGGCTGCCACGATGACCTTAAATGGTGTCCCTAACGACGTTGTTAACAATCTCAATCCATTTGCGCTCATCCTCTTTATCCCCATTATGGATAGGATTGTATACCCAATTCTGCGCAAGCTGGGTATCAAGTTCACTCCTCTGAAGCGTATTACAGCTGGCTTCTTTATTGCTAGCTGCGCCATGATCGCCGCCACTGTGATCCAATATCACATTTATAAATTGGGCCCTTGTGGCAAGTACGCGAATACATGTGCGAAAGACAATATTCCGGCGCCAATCACTGTCTGGGTTCAGGCTGTTCCTTACGTCTGCGGTGGTATCTCCGAAATCTTTGCGTCTGTCACATCCCTCGAATACGCCTTTACAAAAGCCCCGAAGAACATGAGATCATTGGTCCAGGCTGTCGCGCTCTTCATGAACGCTCTTTCTTCTGCATTGGGCCAGGCCCTCGTCTCACTTGCTGAGGATCCTCTCTTGATCTGGAATTACGGTGTCACAGCCTGCCTCACATTTGCTGGTGGCATCGGCTTCTGGCTTACCAACTACAAGATTGATAAAGAGGAGGACAAGCTTAACACTCTCCCAAATGCACACTTCAAGGGACAAAATAATGATGAAGAGAGGTAGTTTAGGGCTTGTGTATATTGGCGTCGATTATTGGACTCCTATTATCGAAAGACTAATTTCTTTTTTCCCTTCCAGTCTCGCTGGGAAAGATACCTATTTATTCAAGGTCTTTATAATCAGATACCAGCTACGTATATAGCACATTTCAATGAAATCTGTCGATGAACAGTAATACATGAACACATTTATGTTCAATAGCAGTGTTATTCTTTGTTATCGTCTTTGAGCCGATCCTCCACAGAGTACTTTCACTTCCCATTGGCAAGGTCAAAGGGTTGGAGGAACGGAACTCAAACCTGAAATGGCTATGAATTTGCCATGGATTGACTGGTGCATATTTTACTAGTTCTGGGCTTTTATTAGAAAACTCGGTTTCTAGGGTTGTGCTGCTCTACCCAGCTGGGATCCCAGATATTGTATGCTGGGATAAATTCGTTTAACCTCCCCAGGGCAAATTACAAGTACCGTAGGATCGGCCTCATCGCGTCGACATACCGTACTTTTGGGATCATCCCTGCTCGGTGCTTTTGCTAGGACTTCCTGGTGCGACTTCGGAGGTCATATTAAAGGTGAAGAAGATCTGAGCAGCTAAAAATAACCTTAAATTAGAAAGACAACCTCATCACGTGCACATCAGTGGCGAGGGTCATACAGTACGGAGTACCCTGTAACCGTATTGGCGTAAGTTACCAAAGTTACAAGTACGCCAATGCTTGGCGTTTTTGGCAGCTTCGGGTACTCCGCTCCCCTGTATGTATGTAATATGTGATTTTCCCACGACGAGGCGTCAAAATGCTGAGAAACATATGATTCCAGACTCACCACTTTTGGCGGATATTGCGGCCGGGATCAACGAAAGCTGAGGCCAGCTGCAAGTGTTGACATGGTTAAAAAATTTCCGGGAATCCAATCTTTCTCGCTTCAAACACAGCGCATGCCTGAGCAATGTTATCAAGGTGAGTTGAACCTCGTTACGGCGCACTATCCTGGCGTTTGATTCAAATAATGTCTAACTCAAGCGTTTTACCTCGAAGACGCGGGATGAGCCCGCCGTGCTTTTTTCATTCCATCCAGTTATACTGGTTGGAGGGCATCTCAATAGGATGTTTAGCATTAAAGATATAAACTTCAGTGTCTTTGCCTGTTTCTCAATGTTGAGGAAAAAGGTGCCCTGAGTTGTTAAAGAGGTTCATTAACCCAATGAAGAGAATCCCCAGGGCCAAGGCAGCGCTATCTGTCGAGAATATGCGCCCAGTACACCAGAGTCGCCCGCAATTCGAGTCAGTGAGTCGCCCAATATGCTGCATCTGAAGTTAACTCACAAAAGTTTTAAAGGTGGCTTAGATGGTGACTATCTCGCGGACCAGGGTAGACACGAGATATGCAGATATGACACCAACTCTCGCTGCCATGGATTTTGAGGGGGAAATACCAAGAACACCATCGGTTCCAGTGTCAGGTGTGGTCCTCAAGGAGTTTTCCGTCAGTTAACGCCAGGTCTCTTGAGTGGATTGGGATTACCTCCTTGGTTCATGGATGCCGTGCGACGCGCAATCCTCTGAATCGATCATCATGCAGCTCACCGTCTGAAGCATCAAGAACGGGATCATGGGCCACGGTGGATTTGAAATCTGTACCAGGGCCACCATCAAGTCCTGGACAGTTGTTATTAGACCCTGGTGTCCATAACGATCACGAAGATCTCTTCACTAGTAATCTCATCGCATTCAGTTCCTCATAGCATGGGTTGATCATATGCCCTCGTTTACCCACGCCGATCACCTGAGAGATGGGTTTCCCGGGGTGCGCGTACCCCAAGCGGCGGCCAAGCGGCCGTTACAATCCACGCCTACTTCGCATTTCCCACCCCTACCAATCATGGCCTTGTGCTTTTAAAATAGAGATTGCGATTAAAACGAGCGCCATCCATAGCAGATATGTCAGCGACAAAACAAGCACTGGAGGTTTGTTCATTATTGTTATTATCCGTACGTCTAACGGAACGCCGCTTGTTAACCGATCTATCCGCTTGCTTCCATGTCCGGGAAAATATTCGGATGCCATTTCCCAAGATATCTCGGTCAAGCTTTTCTTCAAACACTCTGGTCCCGCGGACCAATCAAAGTAAGAAATATGGCCCAGAGTGTTGGGTGACTGGAATTAAAAACTAGGCTGTAATGTGAACCATAATGCTCTGTCAGCTGGATTTGAAATGATAATTAGCATACTATGCTGCTGTACTGACTAGGATACACAATCGGAAGCATCTTTATCTTCTATGCCTTTCATTCTCGGCAACCATGAGCAGCTCGCAGACTCTTTCTGCGAGCCTACAAAATCTCTGAGCCCACTTTGCATCTATATGAGTGGGCATTGTGTTCTGCAACATTTGTAAGGGCGTTTTCCCCTCCCAGTTTGTCTCGAAGACGCTATTCGGGTCTTTATTTATGAGCTTGGTAACCTCGACATGATATCCCATGTAAGCTGCGATGTGTAGCGGCGTGAGATGGTATGACCCTTGGGTTTCTTCGAGTTTCAATTGCAAGAAAAGGGCAGAGCGATATGCTTGCCTGCTCCATCGTGCAAAGGAGTCTGCTCCACGCAAACTATCAGGGAACCGTCTTGCTCGCTCCATCACAATATCAAAGGCTGTTGCGTTGTTCGGCGTTTGTGCTCGAACATCTGCATTCATCTCCTCTACTAGCACCCTTATCGTTGTACAATCAATGAAATAGCTGGCAAGATGAAGTGGAGTCCATCCTTGTGCTGTAGTCGACTCGATCAGCGATTTCATCTCTTGCATTGAGGCAAGCGTCCTTAGGAGAACATGGCCAGGTAGCGACTCTGAATCAAGAATCGCGGCACGAGCTGCAGCATAGTGTAAGACATTCCAATTGTCGGAGCTAAATGCTAAGTAACCTGTCCGCTTCGATGCCTGCAGTAGAGCTGTTAATATGTCGATATTAAGCTCACTTCTTCCATTGCTAATGAAGGTACCGAGTGGAGTAAGCTTCAGGCCCGATGTTGTTAAGGAGGCATCGGCTCCGCGATCGAGCAAAAGTTTAACCATGGCAATGCTCTTTCCAGCCTCTGCTGCTAGATGAAGTGGCGTTCTTTCTTCCTCTTCTTGCGTGCGAACGTTTATGGAGTCTGGGTCAATTTGAAGCAGCATCTTAGCCACAGGAACGGTACCGCCAGCAGCTACCCAATGCAAGGCCATCCATCCTTTCTTATAGTCCGTGCTCCTCAGTCTGAAGTGCTGTGAAATGTCAATCATATCAAGGGCCATCCGACAAACAGATGACAACGGTGAGCCACGACAACCCAGAATCGCAGATTGCAATAACGTCCAGCCTTCATTGTCATCTTTGTATGTCCCAACTGCAACCAGAGCCTTTGCAATATAGTAATCGCTGTCAGAAAAGTTGTGTATCAAAATGTTCCGTAAAGGGTTGCCTTTTATCAATGAGTTCCCCGCAACCACACTAGAGTATGCACTCGTGAGCAATGTTATAGTCCTTTCGATTTCGGAGACGTAATTATTACCATGCAATAATAGTCTCCGAAATGGATTACTAGAGTTCAGAGCCAGTAGCATATTTCCTCCTTGGAAAAAACCTTTGGTTGGAATTGCCGCTAGAAGTATTTCAAGGATGTCGGACAAATGAAGAGAAACAGCGATTCTTATGGGGCATAAATCCTCAGGCCAGTCATGAACACGCACTCCTGACCTCACCAGACAAAGGGTCATCGCTCTATTCCCGGCTAAAACAGCCCAGTGGAGTGGAGCACCCCATAACTCACACCAATGTTCCGATGCATCGAGAATAGATGAAGAGAAGACATCCAGGTTCAATCCGGGGTAGAACCGCAGCATCAGGGACAGGGCAGCTTCGACTTCTGTAATTTTTAGCATGACTAGCATATGAAGGGCGGTGTGACCATCATAATCTGAAATGCTAGGGTCGCTGTCGCCTAGCTCAAGCAGCATCTCCATGGCATCCAAATGGCCTCCTTGGACGGCAAGAAACAGAGCTGTGCGGCCCTGGTCATCTTGAAAGTCCCTTGTACTTTTTAGAATCTCTCGAATCAGGCCTAGATCCCCTATATAGGCTGCCTGATGAAGGGTAAGCTCTTCATCACCCATCTGAAGCCGAAAGTCCTCCTGGACCACTTCGTCGAATACCTGAAAAGGATTAACCTCTCGGTGGGCTGATTCGGCCAGCAGGATACGCTGGAGTTGCAATTCCTCTTGGTCATCAAGTTCTACTTGTACATTAAGTGGCTCCATTGTCTCTGAAAAGGCCTCGTGTAGTCGATGGCGTATCCGGCGAGCCTCGAAACTTCCTTTAATTGCGGCTTGGTCCATATACTGCAGGACCTTTCTTTGGTCTCTATCAACGCCAAAACCTAAGTAATGGCATATTCCCAGTTCTAAACAAGCTTGCGAAGCTATCTTGTAGTTAGGGAGGGTAGTTCGCTCACGCAAACCCTCCGCTATCAATTCTTGTATGTTCCAAGGAGCGACATGTACGAACCCATCATCAAGTTCGTGGCCGACCAGAGTTGCAAACAACTAAAAAAGATGTATCAACGGATAGGAGTTGTAATGAGGTAGTCTGGTGCATTCTAACCTGGTTCATGTTAACGATACCATCAGATTCTTCGCGAGATAACTCCGAAAATGTGAAGGGAGACACATCTTGATCTCCCAGCATTTCTCCGTCACTTGTTCTATGTTAGTTCCACTAGGCTAAAGACGTGGAGACCTAACGAACCCCTTAACATCTCCAAATCGGGAAACAATTTCTTGAATTTGTGGCCGCTCCCCAGCTTCCGCGTGTAGGCAGGATTCCACCATGCTCTTAATGGTAGCAAGGACCACAGAATTTTGGTCGGCCACCTGTAGTAAACATTGCAAAGCTGCAGAGCGCTCCTCCAGCTGAACTTGCTGACCAGCTAGGCCAAAGTAACGTTCGCCATCAATCAAAATCTCCAAAAGCAGGAGTCCATACGTGTAAATGTCGCAAGCTCGGTAGCTAGATCCAGTGATCAATCCTGCTGCCGAAGAATCACCAGCTTGCTGGCAAACTTCAGGCGGTCGATAGCACAAGGTTCCCAAGTATTCATATAAACCCGCATCGTCCTCTAGCACCACTGATAATCCGAAATCGGTGATCTTTAACGCTGCGTGCTCAGAGGCGCTGGATACCACCAGGGCATTCTCTAGCTTCAAGTCCCCATGGGCGATGCGATTGCTGTGCAGAGCTTGAAGCCCTTTCGCTGCCCCGAAAGCTAGATCAAGTTTGGCTTCCACGCCCACAGAACCCCGATTATTCTGAAGGTAGCTCCGCAAAGTGCCATGTTCTGCGTATTCCACCACTAGGAAAGGAATTGCCAGACTACCTTCTGCTAGCTCCCAACCAAACCCTTTCATTTGCAATATATTTGCGTTTTCTTTGAGCGCTGGATGCGTGGCAATTTTAATTTCGCGTAAAACCTTGCGTATTTGGGAGCTCTCATCACTTGAAGGCCGTGTTACCCCAATGTCCAGCGAAGCGATAGCTTTGACATGCTTAACAACGACAATCTGTCCGTCCCGGCTTTTCACTTTGTCGACAATATAGTCGGCCCCATTGCCCAACCTTGCGCTCATAAGTCCTTGCTCCGCAAAATCTTGGGCATACTGGCGGAGGCCGGACGCAGAGGCGACACGAAGAAAATCAAATAACGGCACAGGTTTGGTTATTTTCTCAACAGGATCGGACGATGCGCCAAGTCCACAGTTACTCTGAACAATTGAAAGGCTATCCGCAAGGTTCGACCGGAACGATAGGATCTGGGAACCTAAGCTCATGGTGCTAAACTTCAATATTTCGGCGTCATATCAAATAATAATGCTGGATCGATTATTTAAGACGTCACCAACTTATCGCTCATGCGAATGCTGTTCTAGTAGGGCAAAGGTTCATATTCTGCGCGCTCCACGAGCCATTCCGGGGCGGAGTGGTTATGTAGTTATATTTTCGCGGAGCCTTGCCAATTATAAATTGATAAGTTGGCTGGTTAGCACCCTTCCCCGCAATACTAATTGCTCGCAATCACGTCGACTAAGCGAACATTTTCTCTCCATACACATATTCGGATTATAGAAAAAAGGACGAAGTGCCGAGTAATTTACGAAATACCCTTCACCGCTGCCACTATCAGTTCACCACAATTTTCACATGATGGACAGCTTTCAGAGCGTAGTGGCAGCTGTTGAAATTGTCCAAGTGACCATCAAAGTGCTTAGAGTTGGGTACGATACTGTAAGCGATGTCAAGCAATATGGGACCGATGCAGCGAAACTCGGTCTCAAATTTCAACAACTCTCTCATCGCTACGACGCCCTCCAAAAGGTGCTTTTCGAAGGGGAGAAATTCCCATTTCTCCATGGCAGAAAGCTTTTCGAAGTGCTTCCTGATCAAAGCCAGAACATTGTTGTTCAGCTTCTCCGGGAGCTTTTGCAATTACTGTATGCCCACTTCGCCCTGGAGCAGAAGTACGCGATATCTTCTGAGCCATCTAGGACAAGATCGGACTTCGCGACTCATTTTGGTTTAACAGCAGGCGAGGAGAAGATCTTATTCCAAAGAAACACGTCAGGAAACGACTCGGATACTTGTAAAAAATCGCCCTTAGCATCTGTTGTCGGATGGTCTTGGGCTACTCGAGGGAAAAGGAAAGTTGTGCGAGTTATTGATGAATTTGAAGACTGGCTGAAGCGGACCAAGGCCATTCTAGAGGATGCATGGTGGCCGTTGCCCGCATTCAACGTGCTGTCGAATCTCGACACATTGCAATCTGACACTGACGCTCGCACTGCGGGTTTTGCGGCATCAACGGCGATACGGAAACTATTAATTGACCAGACAAAGTTGCCACAAGGTCTCAGCGCGCCATGGACGTCTGTCAATAACATCAAGACTATCTCGTCTGATAAAATAGTCGGCGTCTTCGAAGGGAGTGCCGTGCTTGTCGAGACCCTCACATTTCCAGTGGACGACGATGGGGAGCTTTCGGACATTTTGGAGGAAAGGTTCTCCAAGATTGTCAGGCTTTTGAGCAGTCAGAGCGATCCCGACTTCCGAGTGCTGCGCTGCCTAAGGTACTGCAAACAAATATCCGCGAACTCGGGTCAACTCCGCCTCATTTCGTGCCTCTCAGACTCGAATGCTACACCGAAAACCAGAACGCTTGTCGGCCTGTACCACGGCATCAAATCTGACCAAAGGCCATCGCTGGGGCTCCGTTTCAATATGTGCCACCAGCTTGCAGAGTCGTTATTCCTGTTACATTCAGTAGATTGGGTTCACCGAGCATTACGCAGCGAGAATGTCCTGTTTCTCTTCCCCGATGAAAGTCTAAATCGGGCAGCCCTTCAGCGAGCAGAAATTCGGATTTGTGGTTTCGAGGCTTCGAGACCTTCGGTTGATAGCTCATTAGGGCCCTACGACAATCAACTCGCCAGAAATGTGTACAGACATCCAAAGAGATGGGGAACTCCACGGGAGACGTTCACACAAGTCCATGATGTCTACTCACTCGGCGTGATCCTGCTTGAAATTGGCCTATGGGAGAGGGCTGAAGACATGATATCTGGTCTGAAGCCTGAACAGAGGCTTCCAGAGAAGGTTACCCAGTATCTTTTAAGACACGCAAATGAAAGACTTGCACATCGGTGTGGCGACGTGTTCGCTAATGCGGTTCGGAGGTGTTTGACTTTGAACTTCGACGGAGGTGATCGTGCAGAGCCAACGATGAGCGTTACAGACTCGCACAGGGACAGCCAGCAAAGATTGCATAAAGGATTTCTGGAGCAGGTAGTTGATCCTCTGAAGATACTAAAGGATGTCGTGTGATAATCATCAAAAGAGATGACGGGAAGGCCCTGTGAATCCCCCAAATGACCGCCAAGCCCTTTATCACGTGACATATACACATTTTTATCATGTGATTAAACATTTTGCAGACAACAGAATCCCAAACCGGCTGAAGAAGCACATACGTTCGCGATGGTCAGACTAGGAGCCGAAAATCAAACCAGGGTTGCTGGTAAGGTAACAGGGGGATGAGGCCCTAGCCAGTTGAATCATTCCAAAAGGCCCGACAGGGGCTGTTCGAAAGCTATAAACATGTCTATAATAATAATAATCATATCAACCAGAAAAAAAAAAAAAAAAAGAAAAAGAAAAAGAAAAAAAAGAAAAAAATCCATCTAAAGCCATCATCCGGATTGAGGCATCTAAACACCGAGTATACCATATGTATCTTCCGAACCCAAAGCCTGTCCATCGAACTAAGCGAACCCGTAAAGCTCCAGAACCGAAAAAAATTCACAAATAATTCTAAACCATGTCGTGCGCCCTTTCTTCTGTATGAAACTTCTAGAAACCGAACTATGTTCTCGGAGGGGGCGGTGGAATCCAGGACCCATCACGGTTCCAAACGGCAACCCCTCCATATTTTCCAGCTGTCGAGCCGCGCAAGAATGCAAAGCGGAAAAAGAGATCCTCCGGGGCTTCGTCATCGTCCTCTTCGTCCTCGATGTCAAGGCCACGATGACCACGGCGGTACCAGGTGAAATCCCCTTTTTTGTCTTCATCCACGTAACCACGCCATCTTTCTACATCATTAACCAGCACACTGACCCCATCGACCTGTAGTGCTTCCATACGTTCCGGTTCCCAGAGGTGGAAGGTGATATTTCCATTGCCACGATACTCTGGTGCTGAAGGCAACGAGATCGAGACAGAGGAGTTTGTGATGTTAGGACTTGTTGCGCCCCACCAACCATCTTTACCACCAGGGCTTGGGCGTTCGCCCAATGCACTGGGAGTCTGGATGATGGATGCGAAGCCCCACCTTGCAACTCCGTTGACGAAAAGGCCAAGCAAGAGGCCTTGAAATATCAGCGACGTTCGCGTCGGGAAGCCGGTGCCTGGCATTAGCAGCATAGCCAGGATGTAGTGATGGATTCGAAGGCGGAAGCCAGGCAATACCAGCAAAATGAGAACCATAATTCCCATCGTGGCATAAATTTTGAGATACCGGAAGAATAGCCCACCCATACGGATGTACCACATTTGGCAAAGCACAATCATGACAACAATTATAAGCACGATGACCAGTGCAACGGGAGCACCGGGTTGGTTCTTGAGATCATAGGGGGTGAGTCGCTGAATGGGTATCCAAACGGCAAAAGTATAGTTGTTCAACGCGCCAATAAAAGCAGGAGTAAGATAAAGTATCGTCTTGCTCAACTGATACATTGGAGGCGATGAAAGTGGCCGTAGAAGCGGCACCGCACAGTATAAATAAAGAATGTACGCGATGAAACTGGCAGGAAGAAGCCGAGCGAAGTGGAGCGAGATCAACTCGCGAACCTGGGAAACGCTTGGGGGATCTGACACCAACCCAACGTGCAGCATGAGGATGAAGAAAGTACTGAAAAAGAAAACAGCAGGAGACGTCGTGAATATCGAGATTAGCACAATAGTGCTTGCGGTTATGGCAAACAGGGGCCATCTCAGGTCTTGCGGACAGTCCGACTGGGATCCAGGAAGCCGCAAGAAACGGAATGATTTCGGAAAAGTTGAAAGGAATGATGTAGAAGTAAACCCGTTCGCTGAGCTCGAAAGGTAAGAATGCGAGGTTCCGGTGAGTTCAACAACACCACATCCTCCAGTTGAATCGGAGATGACACCGGCATGGATTGCAGCTTGACAAATGAAGCTATCAGCCCGGTATATACCGTCTGAGAAACCTGGCTTCGGACCTCCGACGATTAGGGGCTGGTAATTCAAAGTTTGATTCCCAACAGTATGGGGGTTTAGCAGGATTAGACTGCTGCAAAACGCGGGGCACCTGAAGGTGAAAGTAGAGGCGTTGAACGGGCGACAGTCGTACCCGTTTAAACCACATTGATTGCCACCAGACCTGTCAATAAGCCATGCTATTAGCGAAACTCGCAACGGGGCAAGCAATAGAACGATGGAGGAACTAACCAGTAAGTTGCACTGCAAGATATCGGATGCGGCTGCCCATAACCTTCGATATGCCCAGCAGAGACCGAATGTCTCAAAACCAAAGACCACGATAAGAACCAGCTGAAGTATGCAAATAGTAGCAGTAAAATCTTGTGCTTTCTTTTGGGTAAAAAGCGGTTCAAAAGCCGGATAGGTGTTTCCTGGATGGAAGGGAGAAGCGGGTTGAAGCGCAGATCCTGCGGAGGTTGAGGCCCCTTCAGCCATCCAACAGAGGTCCTGGCTGCTTTTCTCAATGGTAGAGGAACCCATTTCCACTTGAAAGCCTTTGACGATTCCGTCAGCCAAACGGGTAGGGGCAAGGACGTGGTGGGATCGCCTTCGGAGGTTATATTCAGTCGGGAGCCTGAGGCCGCAGAGTCATAGTCAAGTATATCGTCCGTCTCGGAAGAAACAGCCGTCCGTCCAGAGAGGCCTTCTTCTTCATCACGGCTTTCATAAGGCATCTTGACCTCTTCTATCAGACAGGACCTCAACTGTCAGCGCACGGCAAGAGGTTGTTGAAGCGGAATAGGGCCAGAAACAAACCGGAAGTGTTATTGCTTTGTCTGCGATGTGATAGTCGAGAAAAGCGAGCAAGTCAACGATGCCGAAAGAGCCGCAAGTCTTCTTCAGCGCCACATCAGCCTCCCGGCTTCTCCGGAGCGCTTGACAGGGTGTTAGAATCAAAGTCGACAGGGAACAGAAAACAGATTCGCAAGCCGATATCCAGCTCGGCTTGTAGAAAATAGACGGAATGAAGGCGCCTGCTTCCTTTATTCTTTAAAAAAAGAAAGGCTTCGCGGTCAAATGAGACATCGACGTCAGTGCATGATGAAGTCGAACACACATGGGTGCGACAGCCAAGACCCAAGTTCCTTAGCAACAATCGTCTGGATCAATCGATCGGAAAGGCGGAAGCACTAAGCTGCGAGAAGATTAACTTCGTGGTAACTCCCAAGTGACTTTGGAGGGTTCTACCGTCTACGGAGTAAAAAGTCTGTTGTCGAGTTTAACCCAAATCCGCGCTGCAGGATGTGCACCTGGTGATCCAGTCCGCGAAACGAAGGACTTTTCTGAGGCTTCTCCGGGGCTTGTTTTGGTTGGGCTCCTTGGGCTGCGAGGAGCTGGGCAGTCGCGGTCAGCAGGATATCCACGGAGTCGCTGAAGAGCATTTGTTCAATAATGGCTGGGGGTGTCACAGACACACATGTGCCAGCGCCCATCCAGGGTAACGATGACGATCCGTGGCGGAGTAAGATGGGAAAGCCCAAGCTCCGCCCTCCCCGGAATTTCTCCCATTATTATTCCTTTGCGACCAAAAATCGCCAAGGAAGCAGCGTCAAGGAGTTCTACAAGTACTTCGCCATCCCTGGCATTCATAATCTAGCCGGAGGTGAAGAGCGAGCGTTAATTAATGCGTGATTACTGTGTCCCCATCGCTAATCGACGGCCAGGCCTCCCGCACGTTTCTTACTTTCCCTTCGACTCCCTTGAGGCGACCGTTGCTTTCCCGCACCGATTACCCCGAGAGAGCTCCTCTCACCGATTGCAAAATCCAGGACGAATCGTCTCGACAGCGACGTCCCTCCCCTCGCGGAAAGTGACAATTCCAAAGGAAAGCGACACTTCCGATGTGCTCAGAAAAGTAGACCTGGCGACAGCTCTGCAATACGGTGCAATCGACGGATATCCGCCATTGCGTTCGTTTATCCGGCAATTCGTCCGGGAGAACCTACTTCCCAGTCTGCCGTACGAAGGAGGACCGGAAGTAATTTTAACATGTGGAGCGACTGACGGACTCTCAAAGACCATCGAGATCTTTACAGATGTCTGGGTTGAGGATCGAGACCGGATCGGTGAACGACAGGGGTTACTCTGTGAAGAATTCGCATATATGAATGCTATTCAAACAGCGCAGCCTCGCGGCATTAATATCGTTCCTGTTGTCGTAGATTCCCAGGGGATGAGAGTGGAAGGGAAAGGTGGACTAGCAGATGTCCTCGATAACTGGGATTTCAGTCGTGGACGACGACCTCATCTGATGTACACTGTGACGTTAGTACTGCTCTATCCGCAGACGGAGAATCCTTTCCAGTCCCGGCTAACAGCACGATTACTAGTCTCGGGCAGAATCCCACAGGCTCGGTACTTCCCTTCGACAGGCGCCGAGAGATCTACGCTTTTTGCCAGAAGTATGATATCATAATTGTAGAAGACGAGCCTTACTGGCATCTACAATATCCGTCCAAGGGGATCGCTGAGCATACTGACTCCAATCGTGACCTGCATGGCCAACGATCTGGTTACCCATTCTTGGATTCGTTGGTCCGGTCATATCTTTCCATGGACACTGATGGCCGTGTCGTTCGCTTGGATACCTTTTCCAAAATTATTGCTCCTGGCTGTCGGCTAGGCTGGCTTACGGCGCAGCCCAGTATCGTGAGGCGAGTCTTGCAGATTAGCGAGACTTCTACGCAAAATCCTTCGGGCTTTGTTCAGTCGATGGTTGCCCAAATGATAATGGGCGATCAGGGTGATGATATTGATCGTAAGTCCCGCGCCTCAAACTCTCCAGGGTGGCGTATGGACGGCTGGGTCCGTTGGCTTGAAGGATTGCGTGGAGGATACGAGAAACGCATGCGAACAATGTGCACCATTCTTGATGAAGGTAAATTTTCTGCTATCCAAGGTTCAATATCAGGAGACGCCCTTGAACTGGATGAATGGGAGGTTGTCCAAAATGCCCAAATGTTTGACTTTGAGTGGCCGGGCGGAGGTATGTTCGTCTGGATCAAGTTATGTCTTGAAACTCATCCTTTATGGTCTCAGACCTCAGCAGCAGAGTTAGCGAACGCTCTGTGGAAATATCTGATGAAAAAACCATACCGCCTCATTGTTGCTCCTGGCTGGTTATTTGCACCAACAGATCAAGTGAAAGATCGCGCGTGGCAGTATATGCGTCTGTGCTTCGCGCCAATGGAAGAACATGATGTCGCAACGAGCAGCCATAATTTTGTTGAGGGCTGTCGTGCCTTTTGGCAGATCAAGGATATCCACGATATTGATGATGATGACGATAACGATGCCTCTTTTGCCCCATTCCAGCGCTGATGGTATCAAGTGTAATTAAGATTACCATGATTTGTAGATACCTATATATTTACTGTATATAATGGCTGTACGTTGAAGGACTCAAGTGGTTATCTCACGCTCGAGAAGATGTAGAGCCTGCAACCGCGCAGTTCCGTCGCAAGTTCTTAAGGACCAAATTGGCGACACAGCCCACTTCGCTTCAATCCCATGCCCACACCTAGAAGCTGACTTCTTCAACCATCCCACACAGCAAAGTTAGCAAGTAAACCGCTAGTTTCGCTTTCTTTCTGTATTCGCATATGCTATTACCACATCTAACAAAGCCATCTTGAACGCTAATCCAACATTTCCATCGAGGCGTCAAACAACTCAACCAAACCATGCCCTCCGAAACCCTCTCTAATCCCGACCTCGCCGAAGAAATCGATGCCATCAACGCAATCTATGGCTCCTCTACCGTTGTGCTATCTCCTACATCTAGTTCGACCGAGCCCACTGCTACAACAATAATACTCAATGTACCCGAGCACACCCAGATATCATTCATAGTTCGCTTTGACGAGAAGTATCCCGAGACCGCCCCACGCGTTACTGGGACTGCATCTACGGGTCTACGCGGCGAGGGAAAGAAGTGGGTGGATATACTGTCGGAAGCAGTGTTGCGGGTGTGGACGCCGGGCTCTGTGTGCCTGTATGACCTGATCGTCGAAGCCGGAGAAAGGTTCGATGAAGTGAGAGCTTCGGAACAAGAAGCGAAAGAGATTGAGAATGGTAGGAAGCAAGAAGAGCAGGAAGATAATTATCCTCAGCAGCTGGATGATTTAGATATCCATGGACCTTCGAGCGGTCAAGCTCTTCTGGCGTCCATCGGTCTTGAAGTTGCTCCGTCGTGGATCATGTCCGATCCGATTACAGAAAAGAAATCCGTCTTTCTCGCTCGGGCGGCGCATGTAAAGTCAAAAGAAGAGGCAGAGAAATACCTTGACTACCTTCTCGCGACGGAAAAGAAGGTCGCTGCTGCCACGCATAACATTACCGCGTGGCGCATCAAACAAAAAAAGGCCGATGGTTCTGACACCGTCGTTCAGGATTTCGATGATGATGGAGAGACTGCGGCAGGAGGCAGAATGCTACATCTTATGCAGTTGATGGATGTCTGGGACGTGGTTGTGGTGGTTACGAGGTGGTATGGCGGAGTGAAGCTGGGCCCAGACAGGTTCCGCATTATCAATGCCGCTGCGAGAGACGCGTTGGTGAAGGGTGGATTTGAGAAATCGGCGGCCACAAATGGACAAGAAAAGGGGAAAAAGAAAGGGAAGAGATGAGGTTTCATGTGGGTGGACTTTGTCTCTTCCCAGACAGCCCAGACTGAAAGCAAGGAAAACTTCTTGAAGCTTCATGATGTGTGATATCGAAGTTTTTACGGAGTAACGAAGAGGAATACGATGTTTGGAGTCATCCGGCCTTGAACTCTGAGAGCATTAACTATACAAATGAACGTGCACGGTTTCCGATGGAATTGTTCTCCGCTGTGGATGGATCGAACCGGAACTCTTGACGATCGTCAGCTTCGGATTACAGCAGTCGCAGCTGAGAATGATCGATTATCCTCAGTGGGCCACCCCAAAAACAAAATTTAGTCCAATTACGGAGTATGCGGGCGTTGTTTCCGAAGTTTTAATTGAGTTGGTCGAACTGCGATGCTCCGCCGATAGATGGGGATCCAGCGGTGCGATCCAACGGCACAAATTCCAACGCTCAGAGCCGGACTCAATCTCCACATGGACCATGCTGATGGCTTTTGACTGGATTCTGGACGACGAATAGCCATCTTGTTACAGCGCTGGGAATATTTCTATTGATATTTGTTGCTTGCAACGTCGGCCGTGTCGTTGGACGCGAGATTCACTCCAAAGCCCAATTCTTCCAGCTATTGGACATCTGTGTGATTCATGAACCACAAAAAACTTTACTTTGAAACCACAGAGTCTGCACTCGCCAGTTGAATAGGAGAAATAAAAACAAGGAGTTCCCAAAGGGCCCCCCGGAGATCAAGGGAGAAGATCCGCATCCACCAGCCCTCAGGTGCTCCGTAGCCGAATCTATTTTCAATTGAACAGCTCGGGAGGGATGTGGAGAGTTTTATTTTCCTTTTAAATGAGCAGAGTATTGGTTGTGGTGATTTCTTTTCTGCCTGAGCATGGCGTCGTGACGGCGGGACATTTCCCGTTCAGTAGCTTCGATATTGAGGCTTGTGCATCAGGCACGGTTCATCCGTTCACAAGCTTTGGAACCCCTGTCTGAAATTTGGAGATGGAAAGCACCCATGCAAGCGCAAACCTTGACAAATGGTGACCAGAGCCTGTCCACCCACCTTTACTCCAAAAGATGCAGGCAAACCTCTCATAGTGTTCTTCAATTGGATGGGTGAGAAAGATCGACTCAAGGGGTTGCAAACGTCTGAGAAAATGTTTCATCAACAGCAGTCATCTCCCACTCGGATCATGCCAAATGAGAGTAACTTTTTCATTTCATAATTTGAACGGGTCAGAAACCTCGAGCTGACAGGGACATTGGAATTCATCTCGCCAAAACATGCAGATGCTCAACTTCCTGCCGTCTCCTCCACCGTAATACATGCTAATGTACGGAGATATGTACTATGTACAAAAGAATCGGGGCACTCCATACTCCACTTCGGGACGGTAATCTGTACGGAGTACATACATGGTACATTGGGGGAGATTTGATGTGGGGATTGCGAAGTTACTAAGATCTCATTCTGAAGTTCAAGCCATCAGCATCAAAAAGAAGACGGACGACTGATTGCAACGCGGCTGGGAATGCACTAATAGTGTCTAAAATAGAATTCAAGAAAGATGATTTCGAACAGCATTTCGCAGGGCCTTGGACATAGCGCGGCCTGGATCGCCCCAGCAAGGACTCCGGAAAAAGAGGCGTCATGTGAAGAAATTGTGATGGGAGGAATCTCTTCGGCCTACCAATTGACTTGTAATGGTTCAGGTAGAAACCGATGAATTGCCTCGAAGACCAAGTAGTAATTTGAATGCTTCAATCAATACGGGGTAGCTACTGTTTCTCTTCGACGAAAAATGAAACGAAACTTGTTGCTGGACACACCAAGCAACGCGCGCCCACATGGCAGCCATCCTTTGGCTTACAGTAATTATGTCAAACGTGTAACTGCTCCATCACGCTTGGGTGGCTGATTGCTGGGCGCTTGCTCAGCAGCCTTCATTGCTCAATCCCTGTATTCGTGGGGCACCAAGAACACATGGCCGAGGATGAAGCCTCTCAAGATGGCATTTGACCGGGAAAAAAGAAAAAAAAAAAAAAAAAAAAAGCTTTACAGGCACATTGGGTTTGGACGAATGCAGCACATGAATGATCTCGCTTCCATGTTCTCGGTACCTTGAGCCATTAACGGTCAAGGGTAATCCGCCACTCACAAGGAGACGTGAGTTGGATGGCCACACAGTACGGAATCGTTACCACGGACTTCAAACAAATCGGCAGAACGAGAGTTTTGGGCTTTGTGGTGAACGGCGAAGGGTGTCAGCACGATTCCTCAACAGCCAGTGTTGGATGCTCTTGTGGTTGAGAGCAGATCTTCACCCGGGGGCCCTGTTTGAACTGTGGCTTTGCCTGGCCTGATGGTCTGGCCACACTCCCCTCCGTTTCGCGACCGGGTCCAGCCTTCAAGGATCCTGTTGCCAATTGGAAGAAAGCTCGTCCGGACCAAACTCCAGAGGATTCCACCTCCAAGTCTGGTATTACTGGATACGATTCGCAAGCAGTGGGTGAGAAAAACCCTCCGCCTTCGTGGATGGCGATCGGGGACCCGGGACCAAAGATATCAATCCCGGCAATACGGGAGCACTCCTGGGCTGTGGAGAGCAGCAGAGTCTGCCTTTTGACCCGTTCCATATTTTCTGTTTGGTGGGGAGGCAAAGAGAGCGGGCACTTCCGGCTTCATCATGGAGGGCGTGGCGGACCAAAGGTGCCTGACCCGGGCGTTTCATGACTACTGTCAAGTCTGCTTGGCGCTTCGCTCTCATCCAATGGGCATGGGATTGTGCCTGGTTCCTGTGGACGAGAAAAGCGACGTCCGCTGTCGAATCCAGAGCCACAGTCCCCTCGTGGTGGCCCCGGCTCCACCTGGACTGCACATCGTGATGGGCCGGCGTCGAACAGAGTTGGAGTGACGCCGTCAATTCGACAAGCGACGGCCGCTCGTTGGTGGGTCATTGGCCTATCAGAGCGCAGTGCCGCCCCGCTTGTCATTCCCAGGCACTGGACGAGGCAAAAAAGATGGTGGCGGCAACTTGCAGGTTTTTCTTCGGCCGGCACCGCGTCTGTCCACACAACCGCCGGGTTCAACGACAAAAGTGGGAAAAAAATCCCTTTTTTCCCGCAACCGTAACCAGAGGAAAGGTCGTGGGTCCGGCAAGACACCGAGGAAGAAAATTCTCCGAGACAGGGTGACCGCTGGACGCCGCATCAACTCAGTGGTCACTGCTTCTCGGGCGGCAAGGGAGCCCCAGCGTGCGCGTCGAATGAGCGACGCCCGCGGCCGTCCTCGATGCTGAATGGCCCGGCGCAGGGCTGCCGAGGAATCTCCTCCAAGGGTGGGAATGGGCCCAGTTAGCTTCGTTTCGAATCGCCATGCCCACCCTTAGGCACGATGCCCCGTTTCATCCCATCAACCTTTGCACCTGAGAAATCCACCGGCATCGAGGGAACCAATCCGGTCGGCCTCATGGCAAGGCCCATCTCTGCGGCGCGACAACGACCGCTTCTCCAACGCTCTCACTATCGCTCCCATTCCCGGGACCCGCTCTCTGGACTAGAACATCCTCTCCGGGCATGGCCACCGCTGGCTTCCTCTGCTTATATTAACCCCCCTCTCTCCCCCTCATGATCCGGCCTCTTTTGTCTCTCTCTTCTTCATCGCGCTGGTCCGTTCGTACAAGTCCGATATCCTTCTTTGCTTGCAAGACCATTCACTTTTCCCCAAAGACAGTTTCAGGCTAGCTCCTGATCATTGTCATCACTTTCCTTTCTGACTCTGTTTGCCTGTGGCATCTTTCCAAAGAGTCTTCCATTCCTTTTGTACACCTTGTGTCCAACTGGTAACGATTCGGAACGTGCTCAAGCCACTTGCCTAGGAAACTGTCAAAGGTATGTATGTCGATGTTGCACTTCGTCGTTCAATTGGCCTCAGTCAGCTTTTGCTTGGAAGTTACATCAACAATCTACCATTCATGTGGAACCTTCCGCTATTCAGTCCTGAATACCATTTAAGCTAACCTATTTCTTACTGAAAGATCCCGTCAGGTTCTTGACACATAGACAACGCGATTCCTACATCTTACGAGCAATCGACCGTCGACTTCTAGCACACTATCGTGTCATTTGATTCTTTCCTCGTCCGGAACGAGCTTAGAACGAAGATATATACCCGAGGGTCTCTTGCATTCGTTCGTACACTTGAACATATTTGAAAGGCAATTTTCGAAACCGGACTTTAGCAACGATGCATTTCTCAACTTCTTTCATTGCTGCCACCGCAGCTGTCCTTGCTGCAGTCCCTGCGAGCGCTCACATGGACATGAGAACTCCATACCCATATGGACCTGACACCCTGACCAATGGTCCTCTCATGAACGATCTCGCCGACTTCCCTTGCAAACAGAGACCAGGAGTCTATGACCCACCTGCCCAAGAGAACATCTTCGCGATCGGCGAAGAACAGACACTTAGCTTCAGGGGAAGTGCTGTCCACGGTGGTGGTTCATGCCAGGTTTCTCTCACCACCGACATGAAGCCTACCAAGGACTCCGTCTGGAAGGTCATTCACTCCATCGAAGGTGGTTGTCCTGCCAATGTCGATGGAAACCTTCCTGCAGACCCAAATGGCGATGGGGCCTCGAAATTCAAGTTCAAGGTTCCATCTAGCATTGCCCCAGGTGAATACACCCTTGCATGGACCTGGATTAACCGTATCGGCAACCGCGAATTCTACATGAACTGCGCCCCTATCACAGTTACCGCCTCCAAGAAACGATACGCTCCGACTCCAGCCCAGGAACCGAGAAGCCTCATCCCTCTCGCCAAGCGTGATGACCTTCCAGACATGTTTGTTGCCAACATCAACGATTGCATCACTGCTGAAGGCGTCGATATCAGATACCCCGACCCTGGCCCATCCGTTGAATATGCTGGTAACCCCAAGAACCTCATGGCGCTCGGCGAGCCTGTCTGCATAAAGAAGGATGGAAGCAATGGTCCAATTGCTGGTGGAAGCTCTTCTGGCGGTGGCAATGGTGGCGATAAGCCCTCTGCTCCAAAGGCGGACAAACCATCCAACTCTCCTGGTGTCTTCTTGCCATCGAGCCCCACTTCTGCTCCTGCTGCTGATGCTCCATCCGACGCGCCTGAGTCTGTTCCAAGCTCTGCTCCCACCTCCGCTCCCGCTGCTCCAAACCCACCTGCACAGAGTACCACTCCAGTTGCTCCAAGCCCTCCTGCCCAGAGCTCCACTTCTCCATCCAACCCACCCCAAGCCCCTTCTACCGGTGGCGATGGCAGTGATGGCTCTGAACTCTCCGGCGCTTGCTCCGAGGAAGGTTCATGGCACTGCATTAACGGAAGTTCCTTCCAGCGCTGCGCTAGTGGACAGTGGTCATCTGCTGTCTCCATGGCACAAGGCACCAAATGCACCACCGGTGTTGCCAAAGAATTGAAGATCGCTATGGCTTAAGAAGAACGCTCACTTGAAACGCCGACATTCTGCCCATCACTAGACAGGATGTCTCAGGCATTATCTCTTTGATTTTGTTCACTGCCTTTTGAACATGGATATCTGGCGTGGTATGGTAGGACTTCTGGAAAGGGGGGAAAGAAGGAATTGCATCTTTTCTTTTAAACTCTTTTTTCTCTGCGTCTTTCTCACCTTTTGAGAATTTTTTTTTTCCTGAAGATATTTTTCACATTCGCTTCTATCTGCTGGTTATGATCTGACAGCACTTTTCCCCCTCCTGTGGAAAATACTTTCAATCATTTATATTCTTCATTTGATATTTGGCTGGGGTGGATGATATATCTATCTTCTTGCATTGTGGTTTAGCAGCATGGGTTAGACGTATAAAATGGATCTATATACTTTGTGCCTTTAATTGACAGTGAGGTCACAGCAAAAATACCTCTAAACTGGCTACTCTATCCCAAAGGCCAATTTCTCCACTACAATTTCGTCTAAAGCCAAACGGATCATTGAGCGTTGTGGCAGGAAGTCTGATTCCACATTTATGTTAAGCCTACACGTAACGGCCGCAAAGTCCAAACTGCATGTTTCACAATGCAGATGTTTATAACTGTATCACTACTTGAGGGATATGGCCTCTGAATTCATTGTCAGTATCATTACATTCCTTCAAATTCCGACAACGTAATGCATCAAGGGAAAGCCGCTTTTTCTGCTTTCAAGAGTAAAGGCGGTTTGTAGAACCCAAAAGCTGACCTGGGAATGGTCCCTTCTTAGCTTTGTTTTCAGAACACAATATTCTAAATGCTCCTGGTATCATTTGTATCTCAGATAACACCTGTCCTCAGAGCGACTTGCAAGTGTGCAGGCGTGGCTTGGGATCGCTTGCTCATTGACATCTGCTGTGAATTGTGCTCAACAAATCATCTTGGAAGACGAAAAAAAAAAAAAACACCTATGTTTCTTACAGAGGTAATTGTGGGAACATCAGGTATACTTGTCATTCCTTTCTCCTCGCTCTCGAAAGGTTGTCACCAGGATGGCTTGGCGATACCAAATAGGGCTTGGGTGGTCAGGTGAGGTCCAAATAAGGCTAAGTCACAAACTTTCGTCCAACCCAGCTAGTCAATTAGGGTTTAGGGCTCCACGTGACCGCCAGCTGCAGCCACCAGAGGAAGCGAGAAAACCCACATTTGGGTGGAAGAGCTGACCTCGAACTTTCGCTGCTCAACCTCGAAGTCGACCACGACGAGCGACCTGTCGACAACAATGGCTTCTCGACCGACCGTCACCATCGCTACGGCCGATGGCAAGCCTAGTGGCGCCACCCACCCTCTCCCAACCGTTTTCACCGCGCCAATTCGCCCCGATATTGTCCAGTATGAAAGCCAAAGTCACCGGGAGGAAGCTTGAGAACGCGTTTCGCTGACGAATTTGGATAGATCGGTGCACACTGGTATCGCAAAGAATAGGAGACAGCCATATGCTGTGAGTGAAAAGGCTGGCGAACAGACCTCTGCCGAATCCTGGGGTACTGGTACGTGGAAACACCAAATTAAGAATTTTACAATGAAGATTTGAGGAAGAATGGATGATAATTGACTTGTTCATTAGGCCGTGCTGTTGCCCGTATTCCTCGTGTCTCTGGTGGTGGTACGCACCGTGCTGGTCAGGCTGCTTTCGGTAACCAATGTCGTTCCGGTCGCATGTTCGCTCCCACCAAGGTGTGGCGTAAATGGCATCAGAAGATCAACCTGGGACAGAAGTGAGCTTTCTCTCTTAGCCAGAAATATTGATGGAGTTTTGGTGATCGGTATTGACTTCTTTGCTTCAGGCGCTTCGCTACTGCCTCTGCTTTAGCCGCTTCTTCCGTGCCATCCCTGCTCTTTGCTCGCGGTCACCGTGTCTCCAACATCCCCGAGGTCCCACTCGTCGTTGACTCCAAGACCTTCGAGAATGGTGCCATTACCAAGACCAAGGCCGCCATTGCTCTGCTCCAGTCCCTCGGTGCCGGCCCTGATCTTGTCAAGGTCCAGAAATCCCGCAAGATGCGTGCTGGCAAGGGTAAGTTGAGAGGCCGCAGATACCGCCAGCGCCGTGGACCTCTAGTTGTCTACAACCCCGAGGTCGATGGAAAGGAGCTCGTCAAGGCATTCCGCAACGTTCCTGGTGTCGAGACTTCCTCCGTTTTCAACTTGAACCTTCTCCAACTCGCCCCCGGTGGTCACCTCGGTCGCTTCATTGTCTGGACCTCCTCTGCCTTCGCTGCTCTGGACCAGATTTACGGCACCACCACCACCCCATCCGCCCTCAAGAAAGACTACCTTCTCCCATCCAACATCATCTCCAACGCCGACATTACCCGCCTCATCAACTCCTCCGAAGTGCAGTCCGCCCTTAGAGAACCAAAGGGTGAAGCCAGAACCAAGAGAACCGGCGTCCAGAAGAAGAACCCTCTCAAGAACAAGCAGGTCATGCTCCGACTCAACCCATATGCTGCTGCCTTCTCCAAGCAAAAGTTGGGCCAGGCTAGCGTTGAATCTGGCAAGCCAGAGCGTGCTGGCGAGGCTTTCCACAAGATTCTTAATGAGGCATAAGCCACTACATGATGGGATTTTCAAACGTGGAATTCGGGGTTTACGTATGGACATTATGTTTCAAAACTTTTGCTCTTGATCTGTTAAATACACACCCTAGGTAGCAACCCGATCTGAAAAATGAAACGTTCTACCATAATTATGAGAGCATATTGGTTTTTGGGTCACTCCCTCAGCTTGTAGCATAACATTTCTCGCGTCCCGTTTTCCACTGGGCGTGAACCAGTCGCACATCATTAACGCGCCATACTATTTTCAGGACATCCCTGAAGTAACCCTGGAGGCCATGTAGTTGTCGACAATGATTATGATGTAGCGGGCCACGAAGAATCTACAGCGATTAGCTTCTGGCGTTTCACTACTTCATTATTGTTATTCCTCTTCTTCTCATTCCAGGCACCTGAGGTGCTGTTATATAGATATTTATGCCAGATCGGAGGAGCCTTGCTTGGATATTGATGTTCCTTAATCTTAAAAGCTTACGACATTTTGGTATCGGGAGACTTGAAAATTGAAACCGTACGTGTTATGGCTGTTAAGTGCTGATTAGTTTAATATGCCTATTAGTTGTCGAGTCGGTTGTCCCCGTCAACGGAACTAAAATACCCGCGAAGGTTAGTTAACCGGAGGTAAAAGAATCCAATTTAAGAAAACTGATGGCGAAATGGCCATCCAAGCATATTCATGTTCACCCTTTATCTTGGTCCGCCCTTTGTACAGTATGTTTGGCGTTTTAGAAGCCAATCGATACCGTAGCTATGCTCGATAATACACCATGGCTAAGTAAAACAAGCATGCTCCGGCCACTTCTGCCTTAATTTTGTCTTGATGGGATAGGGAGTGTAACAGTTGAACAAATCTTATATATCTATCATCTCTATAGGCTGGTATTTTAAGCGTTTACAACCCCGAATCAAAAGGCAGTAAATATCGCTTCAACCAAAACACTTTTCCTTCTACAGGATCCAAGATAGTTGTAAAATGGGTCATGGGGCTGGTGATAGGGTCTGTCGTTGTCCACTCAACGAGCTCAGCTGGTGTTGCTGTCACTTGAATATCGGGGGTAACTGAATCTGAAGAGAGACCATTAGACCCTGGAGGCGGGGTGGATTTGCGGGTTGAGGATCTTGTTCGTTTGAGGGGGTCTTGACGATGTGCTACTCCTGTTGACATTTGTCGTGTAGCGGCCTGTTTCATCACCTGAGTTTGCTGTGCCCGAACCTTTTTGTCCCAATTAGCTTGCATGCACGCTCTTCGTTCATTGCTATCTTCTATTATATCGATTATCGTTACTGTTTCGTTGGATGTGGCCTGTAAACCAGCGTGGCTCCCCAGAGATACCTTGTATGAGGGATCAGTAGTTTCCAAGTCGCTGTTTGTTGCAACAATAAAGGACGAGGATGAATGGACTACAGCAGAACGGTGATCTTTTTCCATTGCTATAGCCGATTTGCCATCACAAAAAACTAAGTATGCGGCGGTGGTTGGTATCTTTGGCAAAACTGAGGAAATGAGATCCAAGGAAACGTCCTGTGGGTTCGGTGGCTTTTTTCTCAAAAACCAGCCTGTCCAAGAGGATGCAAAAGTCGTGGATGGTAGCAGACATTGCCGGAGTAGAGAAGAGATGGACCGACGGATACCGAAAAGAACCAGGAGATGACTGCCGTAAAATCTAAGATTGCCCCATGCAGTGTTCGCATTGTGGTTAGGCCGGAAGTTGAGGGAAAGACTGAGGCCCTTGCGTACTCCGGTGAGAACGCCCACGAAGCCAACGTAGGTAACGCTCGTGGCAAGGACTGTCTCCACATCTGGGCTACGCACAAATTCCAGCTGCACGATCAACTTCCGTAAGCCATCCATGCTCCAGTCCAGAGTTCGGAAGTGTAGCATTTTTGCCTCTTCATCCCTGGGCTCCTTCGTCAAAGCTGCGCCACTGGTGCATCCCATCAATAGATCCAGAAGCACATTGAATGCCACAAGAAGATACATATCAATACCCGTAGTTTTGGATATCCCCCTAATTTCCTCTGTCTCTTCGTGGGTGCATAGTCTCCTCAGAAACAAGCGGGCTGCGCGTTCCACCCACACTACCGAGATATTCGGATAAAGGGATGCGATCAGTTCGTGGAAGAGCCCCGTGAGCGAATGTAGCTGATCGCGATAAATAGTTGCTAATTCCACATATCGCTCGGACGGAGGCAGAGAGAGATCTATGCGATAAATCGGAGGCACCTCTCCAAGAGCAGCGTCATCATCCTTCATCGCGGGCAGCTATGATCAGTAAGTTCGGGTGTCAAACAGTCTTGACTTACCAACTTGACACAGTTGCCAAAGAAGGGCTCTGGCCAGGGTTTCAACAAAATCAATCACTGAACAGGCAGCAACCTCTTGGAAGCCTTTTGTGAGTTGCCTGACCAGAGCACTTCTTCGAAGCGAAGAGAATGGATGAAAGCCGCGGCGTCCGCTTTGTTTACGCCAAGCAATTAATCCGCACCTGGACTCTCGCGATCACGTGATATCTCACGTTGGCGACAATGCGACTGGGAAGAATCGCATGGGATAAATCTTCATTCACCTGGCTTGTACTTTTCATGACGACTCAATTGGCTAAAAGCTCCAATTAGAGGACATGCTTCTGTGTTTCTGAAAGCTGCAGGGCCGAGCGCAGCGAAAATTGACATTTTCTTCAGAGCATTTTAAGTTTGCCAAGATTCTCTCAGAGTTTAACTAACAGCATCACTCGAGGGATCTGTCCTCAATATCAGCCAGCGCGGGGGAAGCTGCACAGCTCCAGTTATACCCTTCAAGAGCCTGAGAAGATAGCAGATTATGCGGCGACGCCTCGATCTTATATCTTCTCTTAATAGCGGCTTCAATTAGCAAATTCTGTGGCAGAAAGCCGCTTTTCGCAAACGTTGAACATGTCGACCAGAAGCGCCCACGGAGAATTTGATGGAGACGCCGGGGGCCACGAAGAGGGCTTGGGCTCTGGATTCTCGGAAGAGGAGGAATATGAGAAAATAATGGCCTACCCAGAAGATCTGGATTACTACAGTCTGCTCGCTCTGCCTCGCGACCCTCCTCCAACGGAGGCACAGATCCGGTCAGCCTATCGAACGCTAACGCTCAGCTTGCACCCGGACAAACAGCCTCCCCATCTGCGTGAAATAGCGACGAAGCACTTCGATAGAATCCGACAAGCGCATGACACACTGATTGACCCACAGAAGCGTGTCGTTTATGACATGGTGGGAGAGGAGGGCGTGAAGCATGAATGGGGTGTTGGTGGCATGTTGGGAAGGGGAGGAGAGGCTGAAAGGAAGCAAATTGGCATCAAAACTATGGACGTAGAGCAATTTCGGCGATGGTTTTTAAGATCGATGAAACTCCGAGAACTGAAGTACGTTGACCAACTGGTACAATCGAAGGTGTGTGCGTGGTTTTTCCTTGTCAGAGGACTTTTTAGACTCAAAAGCGCGAATCACGGATGGTCGTCCTTTAACCAAATAGTTATATGAGTGTTTTCTCCACCCATCCATAGAATCTTAGACTTGCCCTGTCCCCATCGCCGTTCTGGGCAGAACTGACGCTTTTGATAACAGGGAACCGTTTCTATCAAAGTTAATGCACATGGCTTAGCCATGAGAATGGTCGATCCATCAATTGCACCAGATGCACCGTTAGCTCGGATGTCGTCCATGGCTCTGGGGTTCAACTTCAAAACGCCATTTGCCCCCATGCAATGGCTCCGCCATCTCAGTAGCCGTAGCGATGATGATCAACCAGAGGAAGAAAACGAGGATGTCCCCCTTCCAAATGAGCATGATGCCGAACTGGAGATTCATGTGGGTGTAGGTGGAAAGCTTGCACCTGTAAAGCACTTCATTACGCTCATGGACCCAGAGACCCAAGAAAAAGAAACAAAGGAAGTGTGTATCCTCCTCCTTTACTTCTCAGATGAGTTTGGCTTACAAGGAGTAGGTGACGATACCACACGTCCTTATGGGTGAAAAAATCTCTCTCGGCGCCACTTTGCGCCAACAAATCCACATACCAGTTCAGAAAAGTCCTGCTCTGTCGGCATTGATGTTTCCTCTCCTGGGAGATTCCGTAGTTGAAATCGGTACTTCACTGTTCCCGTCGCCAGCATTCCAAACGAGTTTATCGAGACGTATACAGCCTATCAAGGGCACAAGACCTTTAGATTTTACGGTTCAAGGCCTTTTCTCAGATATGAGCATGAAAAGTGCTCCGACAATAAATACCACCATTTCGCGGGGACTAGGGGCCCGTGGTCTTACATATTGCAACCTATCGACCGGAAAACTATCTTGGCCTTCCTTCATTCAAGGAATTTTCTCATCCTTACCCTCAGGCGATAATGAACAGCCATTTGCACCGGGAAATGCTAGCAAGTTCGAAATAGGATATGTTGCTCTGCCGGTAAAACGCGTGCAAGACAAATTTGGTGGAGCCGACGATGATGACGAAGGTGCTGGCGGTGACTTAGGTGAGAATGGGGCTGATAGATCCTCCCATGAGCCTCTTGAAACATGGGGTTTCCAGCTCCATTCCTCCCCATTCTCCATGCAGCTGTCCATGAATTATGCGAGAAGTTTCTTTGGTGGAAAACTCGAAGAGCCTCACCGGTCCGAATGGAATTATGAAGGGTATCACCCACGAAAGCGAACCACAACAAGTCGAGCGGTGCGTTTGGAAGTTACCACAACTGTTGATGTAGACCTATCATTTGGTTGGATGGTCTCTGGGTCGCGTCAGGTGTCCAATTTCACCCGTATGGGGCTAGGGGTTGGCGTACAAGGTGGGAAGGGCTTAGTCTGCTCTTTGACGTGGTACAGACTAGGCCAGTCGATCAAAATTCCCATTGCATTATGTCCACTGGAGCATCTGGATGGCGATGTCAGTGTCCTCGCCGTCATGATACCGTGGATAGCTTATTCAATCGTTGAATTTGGCTTTTTGCGTCCGAGGCAGCGACGAAGGCAGAAGTTAGCCCTCGCAAGGGAGCGTAAACGATTAAAGGCCTTGGTCTCAAAAAGAAAAGCAGAAAGTATTCAAGCTATCAATCTAATGCGTGAGCAGGTTCAGCGGAGACAAGCGCGGGAGGCTGACAGGAATGGGCTCGTTATCCTCGAGGCACAGTACGGATATGTGTCTGCGCATTCCGGGCGCAGACGTAATAGCAGTGCTGATGACTTTTATAAACTGATCGATGTTACGATTCCTGTTGCAGCGCTTGTTGACCAGGGCCAATTGGCGATTCCTAGCCAAGTCATTAAGGTGAGAAGCGACTCTTTTACCGGCGTTGATTCAGTGCTTACGTTTTTGATAGTCAAAAATATTAGGCTTTTACGACCCTGCCCCATTGCTCCCAAAGGTCCTTAAAATACGATATCTGTTCGCTGGAGAAGAGCACGCTGTGGAAGTGAACGATACAGAAAGCGTAACGATCCCCATGCGGTCGCATATGCTTTAACGAGGCATCATCAGAATATATAACACTATGGGTCGACTATGTTCGGAGGTGCCTCTCTCGTTGCTTTGAGCGTTAATAACTTGCATAGTTTTGAGGCTTCTGCTTCTGGCGCGATTTTGGTGCCTCATTTGATTATACGCATAATGGCGACGATCTCGCCCTTCCGCGAATTCGTATACCCTGTGACATATTCTCTGAAGAATAAACTTTCTTCCCACTCCGAATGCAAGCTTTGGGGTACCTGTCTCTAGAGTTTACAAGGGGCTCGTTCAAGGGCTTGCTTTTCTGCCGCACATACATTCCAGAATCGCATTAAGGTTGAGCCGCGGAAAGGCTCCTTGATGAGGATATACCGCCCTCTTTTTTTTTTTTTTTTTTTTTGGGGGGGGGGCGGCCAAAAAGTCCCCCAAGCATGATGTGTTGACTCAAACGTCGGTCGGCTGACCGAGGAGTAAGGCTGTTCTTTGTTTTACATAGTAGGGCTCCTCCGCATTTCACCGCCATAGCAGCAGACAGGGGTTTGCTGTAGCCAAGAAGTCTGCGCAATGCATCAAGCGGACAATATACTTGTCTTTGTTTGATTATCAGCTGTACTCTTTTCTCCGTGTACTGATGTCACTTGTCGTCAGCCCAAGCACAGCAGCATGGCCCCGTTACTGTCTTCATCCACGATAGCATGGTTTCACAACATGATTGAGTTTTCCGCATTGATTCTGTATGCAGTACCGGCTCCCTGCAACTGGGCAAGGCGAAAGTTCACTGCAGCATGACTGTTCTGTAACAGGCCTATTGTGACATGATGCACAGGATAGGTGCTCCAAAGTGATTCACCCACAGTAACATCAGCCTGGGGATTCTCATCTCAGTGTGAGTCAGAGAATAGTGAAGGTGTGTCCATTGGTGGGCTGATGCACCGGGAACTCACATCGAGGTGACATTCTGTTCTGATCCAAGCACCTCTGCTGCCTTTGCTCGCCTAATTTCCTTCACTCTACGCTTCTCCTCCACACTGATCCACCTCCTTACTTTACATTCCGAGCCCTATTGTCCCATGTGGAGCCCCATGGCGGTTCCGATTTTGCGGAAATGATATCCTCTTGAGTCTCCAGCCTGAATTTGCTATCCCTTACACCCCCAGTCAGCAAATCCAAGTGAAGAATCCCAGGAGTGTGCTATCCTTCAAGATGTGCCTCGAATGTTGTTTCCCATATCGTTCCCTGATAATCGAAGAGGCACCAAAGAAAGCAGAGAAGAAAGAAGAGCCGAAGAAACAATGGTTCATGATCGAGCCGGGAGATACCATGTACCCTGCAGCGGTAAGGCTGCCTGGTCGATGCTAATAATATTTTTTTCCCTCTCTTTTTAACACCTGGTGCCCCAAGCCCCTAATTCCCATATACGCGTTGAGCCTGCTTGAGAAATTTTCTTCAGCGCGACTTGTGGTTTCTGTTCATCTTCTCCCCTCATCCTCTTTTCCTCACTCTTTCTTTCTTTTTTGTCTTGCTTTTCTCTTTTGACCCATCTCACTACCTTTCCTCCTTTCTTCAGGTTTTCTGCTCTTTCATGTAAAGCCTTGATATCAAGTTCCCACTACGGACTACTGTCCTGCTGCTTTTATCATGCCTCAGTTTTATCAATATGGGTTCGTTGAACCGAATCGCCGAACTGCAGACCCCCCGAATATTCCAAGTGAACCCATCCTCTATCAATATATTCCCGCTGGACAGAGGCCAGCCGATCCACCGGCACCAACACCTCCAAGAAATGATGCCCCTGCTCCTGCAACAATCCACATGACGCAGCAGATTTATACCACAGGCTCTATTGTACTGCCACCCTATCCCATTTCCTTTGAAACTTATTCCATTACATGTCTTTTCTCTAGCCTTGAGACTAATACCTTTGGTTTGCAGGGAGGGCAACAGCAAGCCCAGGTCCAGTTCGTCCCTCCGGCCCAGCAAACCTACCAGTCACCGGCTCCTATGGCCCCTGCTGCTCAGGCCCATCCCGGAGCTGTCCCTTGGCAGGGAGCCACCCGAGCCGAGATAGACGCGCAAAACATTGCTATTGCAAAAGCCACCGGTGCCACACGACCTCAAAGCCTAGTCCCATACAAGCCAGCTGAGGGTCAACAGTGGTGGTGCCGCGAAGTGGACGGCACTTATACTCTTCGCACCACTAACGATATCATGGAGAATCTCCAGCCAGGAAAATGGATCTATTCCTCCACTGGGTTCCCGTACTTCGTTCGGCAGCCTGCTCCCGCCTAAATGGCTCCGTGCTCAGCGACGTCTTTCGGGGGTAGGTTGTCTCCTTCTTAAATCATACCACAGTCCGCTCTCAACAGAAAAGCTGATGAGCCAAAAGCCTCTTTTCCTTTTTTCTAGTGAATGTCATGATAAACTTCTGAATTATGGGAAACTGGAATGGGTGTCAGTGATGTAATAGGTTAAAGGGTGGTGTAAATTCGAACAGAAATGTAGCAAAGGTGGACCTCAACGGTGTCACGACAGCCAAACTTGTGCCTTGATGAATTATAAATGAGATCCACTCTGCCTACAACTCAGGGCTTTGTCAGTCTAATGACAAGTTGTTTGCCTCCTGGCCTTGAAGTCTGACCTCACCCTGATGTATGTGCAACATGTAGTGCAACATGCAGTGAACTAGATATGGCAGTCAACCCTGGCCCAGGATGAGGACAGTGGCAGCGGACTTGTCAATTAGGCAGTGCGTTCTCTTGTGGGGGATTTAGTCATTTACAACAATAGCTTTTATCATTCGTGCCACATGGATTTTCTTTTTTTTGAAAGTGCAATCCCACCAAAAAGGACTATATTTTTTTTAAAGATTGAACAGGAAAAATTTGCTGAGTGTCTCCTGGGCTGTACTTAGAAAATTCTACTCTTCTCTCTCTGGGTAGAGATACATCTCGTTTGAATTGCCTCCATCTTTGTACCGGGGGAACACGTTTAATGCGAAGGGGCCAGCAAAAGAGGTCATATATTCTTTGACATCAGCTCTTCAGGGAGCTATCCTTGGATTGGCAAAATATTTTTAACTCAAAGGAAGATGGCACTTTCAGCAGTGATGAAAGATTGCGATATCACCGCGAGAAGAGTGATTTTGACAACTTTTTGGCAGTCTTTTACTAATAATTTTTTCTATCTGTGCTCCAAGAGCATACTAGGTGCAGGATTGGAGTATAATCACTGGTTGCAGATCTATCTGTTATCTTAATTTTTGCACAGTCGAAGGTTAATGGGACATAGTATCCTTTTAAAATGGTCAAATGATTCCTCAACCTACACACAAATGGTGGTACTTTTGTATTTACACAGCTCTATTCCAAGAAGATTCGTCTATTGAACTTTGAAGAATAATCAAAGTCCATTGGTATAGAATCATTAAGCCATCCCCATAGATAAGCTGCATACACATGAACAGCCCAATCTGGGACCTTCCCCAACGACTGACTGTGGCTTAAATGTGCTGTCATATTCTGAACAAAATTTTCTGACACTGGCTCGCCATCCAGAAGGAGTAACGCGGCTTTGGCTGCCAGTAGGCTTCTCACATCTGCAATCTGGAGCATGTGCGCATCAAAAACCATGTTCATGGCTTTAAAATACTGGCGGCAAGGACTGTTTGAACATGAAAAGAAGTCAGTCTTGATGTCTCCAATCTGAGAAAGTGCTGTTGCCTGTTGCTCGATGGTATCCCAGCCCATGAGCGGTTGCAGTTTCATTTCACACATGCGATCCTGGAGAAATGCCACGTTGTCTGCGCCCGCGCCAACAAACGGATCAATGAGTGGTCTGAAGGCTTGGACAACGTAAGGTGGCAAAACAGGGAGTAAACCCCATGGTTGCAATGCAGCCAGTGCATGTGCAATGAGCATGATCTGATGGGCTTTCTCTTTACTTAGGGAAAACCCTGGATTGACCTTTTCCATTGTCTTCCGTTCATAGTCGATGTCAGCTGCTGTTTCAACCGAGTACTTTAGGAAGTCTGCACCTGAGATGGAGACGAATTGCTCCATGGTATATTTGATCATATTGATTTGAGCAGCAGAAGGTAAACTTGTCCAGATGCGGAGGCCACCGGACAGGTCGTCATCCGCCGGTAATATTCCCGAAGCAATAACGATGTGATGATGGTCTCCACGTTCTGGCGTTCGCAGCACACCCAACGCGTAATCAATGCATCTCTGAATCGGCAGCTCGTTTACATAGCGTGCGAGGTCTTTGGTAATATGCCTGCATCCGTCATGTGGGTCGAAACGGGCGAGTTGTACGAACGGTTCTCCGTCCGCGAGAGCCATGGTGCCGAGAAGTCCAGTGGAGTAAGTTAGCCCCGAGGTAGAGAAGTCAGCGATGCGAAATCCACATATAATGAGTAAAGCTGTAAATTCGTTCCGAGTAAGCCCGTAGCTGACCTTCCCCTCTTCAAATATCATGTCGGCGAGTCGAGGAGGATCACCGGGACCGAGATCGCCGCTGACAGCAGGGTAAATCTTTGCATCAGGCCCACCGTAAGCAATCAGGTCCTGCGGTTTGATACCAGCGTGTGCAAAGAGGTTGCTCCATCCGCTGGTTCCGCCGCCTTGCCTATAATCCCAAGTCATTGAGATAGTCATATCTGTGAGATACGCTCTTTGCAGCCACCCTTGAAAAGATGGAGCAACACGTTCGACCAATCCCTGTCGGGGCATATTTTTTAGTGGAACGAGAACCGCCCAGTCTCCGGCAGATCTCTCCATCAGAAACTTCCTTGATCTCATCAAGCTGAATGCGACAGCTCGTAGCTGAGAAAATAGGGCTATGAAGCCGATTCCAGCGAACAACGTCCCGAGCCAAGTCCCAGCCATGGATGCAACATCGACATTATCGTTAAAGAGAAGGGGCGCCATGGCAATTACGGGCAAGCAAAACACGGCGATTCCCAGCCCACCTATCTGTCCTTCCCCGCTCCAAAAGAGGGTGGTGAACGTATATTTTCGTTCAGAGTGAGAGATCAACTGTTTGTGAATAACAAACATAAAAAAAACCAAGAAAAACGAAGAGAAAATACCAGCCGCTGTGACTGCCAGGATAGAAATGGCAAGACTGTCTATTCTTTGACAGCCGCATTCCCGTGTCTCGGGGGTGGACCCGAAAGGCGCAAGCATGGCTTTGGACGCTCTGTGAAGTTGACGAGCAAGGCAAAAATGACTTCGCTAGATGGCGAACGCTCATAGGCTCCAATTGCATAACGATCCCCTGGTGGCCCAGCCGCTAATGCTCTCTCCATGCGGTCAAGGAGGGTCGCTGCCAATCACCCCGCCGGCTCGATGAAAGTCGCATGAAGCTACGGAGGACTTTTTAAGGCCTCAAGTGGGAATTTTGGCGCGTTGGCTCTTCTGGGCTGCTGTACTTTGACTTGCTTGGCAATATGGCTTGATCTGTGGCTGTGTGGCAAAACTGAGTTGTGGCTTGCCGGGCTTCTACGGCGTGTCATCCGGTCCAACTCTGTAGTTGGCTCACTATCAGGCTCAGCAGCCGAACGCATCCTCTTCGTCGATAGAATTCCTTTCAAAGGCTTCCTTTTCTCCTTTCCCCAGACATCCTTCTGACCATGACGTCGATTGCTGAGGGTCTTTTCAAATCGCTACCAAAGCCAAAATACACAGGTGAACATGAAAGACCGCCGCCCCATGCCCAGCCCCGGGGCCCGCGAGTCGTCGGAGCAGGTTCCGTTGATGAGTCGCAGTTGATACTAAAGGTGAGTTCCCATATGTGTTTGATGGATGTTTTGTACATTTGAATTGAAACTAATCAACTGGTTGGTATCTTTTTTTCCGTTTTTTTAGCAAACTGGCCCTCCATCATACGGCAAACGCGCAGGATGGCGACCACGAGCAGCGGAGGACTTTGGAGACGGCGGTGCATTCCCCGAAATCCCAGTTGCGCAGTATCCTCTCGATATGGGTCGAAAAGGCGTCTCGTCCAGATCTAATGCCCTGACAATCCAAGTCGATGCCGAAGGCAAGGTTAAATACGATGCTATTGCTCGACAGGGGCATGACGAGAATCGTATCGTGCACGCGTCGTTTAAGGATCTTATTCCACTCCGCCAGCGAGCTGATTTAGGCGAGATATCACTAGACCGTCCCTCGAAGGAACAAGTCCAGGACCAGATGGAGAAAACAAAGGCCGCCCTAGAGAAGCTTGTATCTGGAGCTGTCGCTGCGCAGAAACCGAAAAATGTCAAAGGTGGAAAGAGGAGTGAGCCTACGTATGTTCGATACACGCCGGCAAATCAGATGGGAGATACAAGCAGGAAAAACGACAGAATCATGAAGATCGTGGAGAAGCAGATTGATCCGATGGAACCTCCAAAGTTCAAGCACAAAAAGATTCCCCGTGGCCCGCCATCGCCACCTCCACCGATCATGCATTCTCCTCCGAGGAAGCTTACTGCTGAAGATCAAGAGGCATGGAGAATTCCGCCTCCAGTTTCTAATTGGAAGAACCCGAAAGGATACACTGTTCCGTTGGATAAACGATTGGCTGCTGATGGTCGCGGATTACAAGATGTTGCAATTAATGACAAATTTGCTCAGTTTGCCGAAGCTCTATTTACAGCTGATCGTCACGCAAGAGAAGAAGTGAAACAGAGAGCTCAAATGCAGCAGAAATTGGCGGAGAAAGAAAAGGCGAAGAAAGAAGAGCACCTGCGGCAGTTGGCTCAGAAAGCAAGGGAGGCAAGGGCTGCGGCAACAAGTGGTCGACGCGAATCCCGTGCACGGTCAGTTAGTGGTAGTCGCAGTCCGTCTCCCTATTCATCACGGTCGGCGAGCCCAAGCGAAGATGAAGAAGCGGCCCGGGAACGAGAACGAATGCGCCGCGAACGAAGACAGGAAGCGGAACGGCAACTGCGCCAATCTCGTATGGGTGCTGAGCGGCGAATACAGATGATGGCTAGAGAGCAAAATCGTGATATTTCCGAAAGAATCGCCTTGGGCCTGGCCAAGCCGACTCAAAGCTCGGAAACCATGTATGACTCGCGACTGTTTAATCAAACTAGTGGATTCGATTCGGGATTCAACGAAGATAATCCGTACGACAAGCCACTTTTCGCGGCTCAGAACGTCATCAACAGTATCTATAGACCGCGTGCTCAGGCCGAAGAGGAGTACGATGAAGAAGCAGGTGGAGCTGAAATGGATAAAATTAGCCGAAGTAATCGCTTTGAAGTGCTGGGGCGAGCGAAAGAGGGATTTAAAGGTGCTGCTGAAGCAGAGGTAAGCTCGCTCCGTATTATAGATTTTAACATCAGATACATTGCTCTTTTTGCCTGAAGTATTACTAACTCTGTCCCATTATCAATAGGCCCGAGATGGACCTGTTGAGTTTGAAAAGGATACAGCGGATCCTTTCGGCATTGATGGAATGATTGCTGAAGTTACTGGCGGAGGATCCGGGGCAGGCCAGAAGCGATATGGAATCCAAGAAGCGGAAGATTCGAGCGCGCGTGGTCCGAAAAGAGCAAGGGTTAGCGATGACGATAGTGACGACGAACGAAGAAAAAGATAAATCAAGGAAATTATGGCTCCTTATCTTGTATACTGGTGATTTTACCTCACGGCGTTCTGGTCGCATTGTCCACCCGCTTCAATTGACATGTATTACTCTTTGATTTTGGAGAGCTACCAGGCAAGGAATATTAAGATTGACTTCAGCATAATTTATTTTTGATCGTAAATTTACACAGGAGTTTGGCCTCCCTCCATGCTATGACATGTCCACTCATCACATGATTAAAGTGGACGTGAAAAAAATCAATTCTCCATTTTTCCAGGATCCCGCAGAACACGGGAATCCATCCCCAACGCCAGGACGAGTGTTTTAACTCCAGCAATAACTTCAATCCTCTATTCCCATCCATTCACCCTCGCCGTCACTACCCTCACCGACATCATCCATTGTGACGACATCATCGCCATCCCCTGCGTTTCTAGCACCGTTTGTTGTCCTCTGCAAAGCGTCCGCGGAATTAGAAGTAGAGATAGCCGGAACCTCCAACAAATAATCCAAGGCATACATATTCTTGTCAACCACCCTCTTCAAATCATCCCTGATCCCATCAACAGCCCTTTGTACTGCTCTTAGTTCTGTAGCGAATGAGCCAGAGTTATCCTTGATATATCGACCATGTATACTTAGTAAGGCACGTATCCAAAGCAAGTTGAACTCTAAATGGGGCGTTTCGTCGGCAGCGTTAGCCACAAAGCGAAGTAGGCGGGTTATGTAGACGGTGGGTAGAGAGCGGACGATGTGGGGGATGTCGCGTGGCGGGATGGATTCGTAGACGGTGCGGATAAGGGAAGATTCGTTAAGGCGGAAGGACATTATTAGTGCTTTAAGGAAAGAAGATTCTGAAGGGTCTGTGGTAGATGATGTCGATGAAGCGGACTTTGCCGCTGCGACAGTGGCGATGATGCTATCTGGAGTGATAGAAATGTCAAGATCGAAGGGATCGAAGACCAAGTCTGTGTCAAGGCTATAGACTAGTAGGCCTTCGGTGGATGAGGCACAGAAAGACCGGCCAGTCGGGGAGAATCTCGCAGATGTTACGCGAATCTCAGGTCGTGTGTTGCGAGCCCCTGCGTCTCCGCGTTTAGCACCGGGAAGAGTCCGGTCGATTCGGTCTTCGAGATCAGACGCTTCCCCCGTTTCGTCAATAAGGGCTCGTGGTCCAGCTTCAGTCATGTTCTTGCTATTGAGGAACTCCATCGTGCCATCAATCGAGGTATTAACTGATACTGTAAATTTCTTAACTAGAGAGCCTGTTCCAACATCGTATAAGCAAATATATTTGCTGTTCCCGGCGGCGAGTAAGCATGACCCATCTGCACTGTAGGTTATTGTTGTAAAAGTTTTCGTGCCAGCCGCGTTTGCCGCTGTGCGGCGATCCGTTATCTTGCGACCACCGGAGATGTCCCGCCGGCCATCGATACCTGCTTGTTGAATAGCATCTTTGACGGACCAGAATGTCAATTGCCCATCAAGAGTGGAGGCCGCGACTTGTTGTCCATCGGGCCTAAAAGCCACACATAGTAGATCTGACTGTAATTGCAAGGGCTCACTGGTTTGGCTCCGTGCGAAAATATTCCATAATCGCACTGTACGATCCCAGCTACCGCTCACTAAATGACTTCCATCTGCCGCAAACGAGAGAGATGACACTGGTCCTTCATGACCCGCTAGTCGATCAAGAAGCTGCCCCGTTTGCACAGACCAAACATGGATGTCAAACGAATCTAAAGAGCCAGCGCAGACTACTTCTCCGCTTGGATCCACAGCAAGAGATGAAAACTGTTGCCTGGAAGGAGCGGTAAAAGTTCTGAAATTTCGATATCGGATAAGATCCCATGCTCTGACAGAGCCATCTAAGGATGCAGTAAACAGGACATTTCCTCGTTTTGTGAACTCGCATGCAGTTACAGCAGCCGTGTGTTCGGTAAACGTAACCACGCAAAACCCTGAATTGATGTCCCACACTTTGATCTTCCCATCATCTGCGGCGGTAATGATCTTTTGACCATCAGGAGAATAGACCAAAGAATTCATGGAGTTCAGGTGGCCCTGTTGCTTCAAAATATAGGACTCCGATTGCCACTCCCAGACCAAAAGTTGGCCCAGTTTGGCTGAACCGAAGGCTAGCCATTCGCCAGAATTGTTCACAGTCACATAGTCGATGTTGCTTTGAGAAACGCTACGCATGATCAGAACACTTTGTAGCGAATAGGCGTACGGAGCTTATCAAGCATACCTGAGGAGATGTAGTTGGTTGAATTCCGGCAGTTCGTAAAGAGCAAAGATTCCATTCGAAAAGCCTACCACTAAAAGATTCGTTTTTGGGTGGAAGGCTGAACAGGTCAACTTTGCGTTTTGCTGCATGAAATAATCCTTCTTCGTTATCCTCCAGTGAAGGTTTGGACTCTCCGATGTAGATTCAGGCTCGCCCGGTTTATCTCCGTATTGCCATCTAAACAAAGCGCCATCTTTGCTAACGGTGTAAATCTAGAATGTGTTAATCTCTAGCTTCTCAGAGCGCTGGGATTGGCATTCTCACGGATTCCTGATCGTCCGAGAACCACGCGTCTATTACTCCCTCGCGGTGACCAGCTAATGTAGTGGGCTCAAAGCCTTCTTCTGGATCCAGACTCCATATTCTGGCGGTCAAATCTTTGGACGCAGTCAAGAAGAACCTCGAATCGCCCGACCAGCGTATATTTTGAACGACATCAAAATGGCCTGCCAAGTCTCTGTATAGCACAAACGGCGCGAATTCCAATTCACCGCTGGCTCCTGTGCCCGGCGTAGAAGGGGTGCGCCATATCTGAACTCTTCTGCCAACACCAACCACAAAATGGCGCCCGGACGGTGAAAAGGAGAGAGCTGAAACGGGAGATTTGAAGGAGAAATGATAGATAGTTAACCGGCGGGGGAAATTGGTCAAGATAGCCTTCCCTTGCTCGTCTACCGAAAGTAGAAGTTTGCCATTGGGTGAAAGGTCAATGCGGGCGATATTGGACCGGTGGGAGAATGGAAGGGTATAGGATTTATTGCTGGAGAGTAGTGAGTTAGCAAGACAGCAGGCAGTTTCATAACAGAGCAGTCTTGGCAACCTACTGCACCAGATCAAAAACAGAGACTTTGTTCCCTACAGGGGAGAGCAAGCATGTCCCATCCGGCGTGAAGAGGAGGTTTCCTTTGCGATAGACGGTACCCAGAAGATTGGAAAACTAGGTAGCGTGACATCAGCAACAAGCGAGCGGATACTAAGCGGAAAACCGAACGGCACGGACTCACCTTGAAATCTGTCTTCATCGTCCCCAGCGAATTATTAGCTATCCTCGATCGCCGCCCTCGCGTTTCGCTGCTCTTCCCACCGCCGCAGCGTCTTCCGCAGCGAAAAAGCACCAAAAATTCCCGCTTAGTCATCAACCACAGGATACCGGGGGTAAGGATACTCCGATGCCGGTGAAGGTAAATGCTATGCGCTAGTCCTGATCTATCGCTAGCGCGGTCCGGGGTGTTTACCTCTTGGCCGAATTTGGCGTTTCAGGGGCAGCGAGCGTCTTACGGCACTTCGTCCAGCACAGGAGAAGAGAAATCAAACGACGGCCCTCACTGCTCATCACCCTCTCGCTTCCTGGCTATCCCGCCTTTGGAGTGTCCCCTCTGCCCTCTCTCGTTCCCTACTGGCTTCATTTCAGCTGTATCTTCAATTTTTTAAAGTTTTTCTCTTTTTCGGAGCCAATTGATTGCTGCTTGGTGTTTTAGCCCGCACGACAAGTTCCAGCTCCCCAATGGCGCCCACGTCTGAGACCGCGACCCCTATTGGGATTGCCAACGTGAGTCCAAGTTTAACTGTCAAAATTACTGTTAAATATGCTAACTGAACTTCGCGAATAGCTCCCAAACCAGCGGTATGACCACAGAAGCCCCGTCACTTCGGACCGTGCATATTTCGGCAGCTAATAAAGTATAGACACAAGATCGTTGCAAAGCGAGGGGCAGCTTTTACTATTATGGTATAAGAGACCGGCTTAATATCCTTTTCGATTTCACTCAGTTGACGGGTTGACAGGTTGCTGGAGAGTCAGGCTTGGGAAAGACGACGTTCATTAACACTCTTTTCTCAACCACGATCAAAAACTACGCCGATCACAAACGCCGACATCAGAAGCAGATTGATAAAACTGTCGAAATCGAAATTACAAAGGCCGAGCTGGAAGAGAAATTCTTTAAAGGTAGGAAGTTGGCTGCACCCACACAACATATGCCCGAGAGTTAACCCCTCGTAGTCCGGCTAACCGTTATTGATACGCCTGGCTTCGGTGACTATGTCAACAACCGCGATTCATGGATGCCAATTATCGAATTCCTTGACGACCAGCATGAATCCTACATGCTGCAGGAACAGCAGCCCCGCCGTACTGACAAGATCGATCTCAGAGTGCATGCTTGCTTGTACTTCATCCGCCCCACGGGACACACGCTGAAGCCCCTCGATATTGAAGTGATGAAGCGTCTCAGCTCACGGGTTAACTTGATCCCAGTAGTTGCCAAAGCAGATACTTTGACTCCCTCTGATCTCGCACGTTTCAAGCAGCGGGTAAGCAATTGTACCTCGTAATGTCTGGATTACATCTTTACTGACTCGGAATTAGATTCAAGCCGTGATCGAAGCCCAGGGTATTAAGATCTACCAACCACCCGTGGAAGAGGATGACGAACAAGCCGCCCAGCACGCTCGGAGTCTGATGGCTGCTATGCCGTTCGCCGTTATCGGCTCAGAAAAGGATGTGAAAGCTGCTGATGGCCACATCGTCAAGGGCCGTCAATATTCTTGGGGTGTTGCGGAGGTTGAAAACGAGGAACATTGCGATTTTAAGAAGCTTCGCTCTATCCTTATCCGAACACACATGTTGGACCTAATTCACACCACAGAGGAACAACATTACGAGGCCTACCGTGCACAGCAAATGGAGACGAGAAAGTTCGGAGAAGCTCGACCAAGAAAATTGGACAATCCCAAATTCAAGGAAGAGGAAGAGACTCTGCGAAAGCGATTCACAGAGCAAGTCAAGATAGAAGAGCAGAGATTCCGACAATGGGAACAGAAGCTCATCGCGGAAAGAGATCGTTTGAACAAGGATTTGGAAAGTACCCATGCAGCGTATGTGAACCCTCATCCCGTGTCCTACAGACGTGCTGTTCCAGGTACCTAACTGTCTTGTAGTATCAAGCAGCTGGAACAAGAACTCGAGCAAATGCAGGGCTCTGCAGTTCGCAGCCACGGTCGTCGTTAAACCAAACTTGCTGGTTTTTAGTTTTAAACCCCTTACTTCGGATAGCAGTTTTCTGTACTTTGTGAACCTTTATTATTTTTCGCAAGGTTGTATTAACCTAGACTGGAATCCCTGCTGCTTTTACGTCAAAAGGACTGATCCATCTTTTGGCCTTTATATCCCTAATAGTTAGCGATTCTTGCCAGATCCATTCATAATAATGCCATCTGTTCGCTTGTAAAAACATCCTAGCTTAGTTTACAAATTCTGAGTCGGTTTCGGGAGGTTATTAGAATTAGGATGACGCAGTGTTTGCTTTCCCAGGATTTGAGTTTGGTCGATCGCCAGGCTGCCCGGAGTACTCCGTACTCCGTACAAAAGTAGGTTTGGTCGCAAAGCAAGCTCGTGTCTAACTTCTCGACTTCAACATTCAGTTAAATGTCGATGAGAACGCAGAGCTTTCCGACTGCCCGTCTGCATACCATAAAAACCCATAATGGTAAGAAGAAGCCCAATTAGAGTCTTTGACTAGCCCACTCGCGCCTCATCCACTTGGGTGGTAGCTTAGGACGGCCTTGATAAATTCAGCGAAACAAGTCGCAACTGACAAAAGGCTTCATTGCAGCACCGGTAAATGCGGTTGCCTTCTCCAGCTCACCAGGCACTTACATCCTCACTGGCTCTTCCGATCGCGATGTCCATCTTTCCCGCGCCGTCCCACAATCTTCCTCCGCGTCGGCCAACACCGTCACAACTACACCCATACAGAAGTACGAGGCCCACGGTTATTCTGTGTTAGATCTTGCTGTGACGGCAGACAATGCACGATTTGTAAGCGTCGGTGGAGACAAGCAGGTATTTCTGTGGGATGTGGAAACTGGTTCAACTGTAAGGCGATGGAGTGGCCATGATGCAAGGGTCGAGGCGGTGGAATTTGGCGGGGAGGCAGACTCTATCGTTGCTTCCGGTATGTTCTTTGATATAATGGCGAAGAGTGTCAGGATACATCGCGAAGGGCGCCGAGCAAGAGCTCATAGTGGGTGGGCTCTGATGTTAAGCGTGGCCGGAACGATGGGAGGCTATATGATCTCAACAGTTTAGAGCTTCCATTGGCTCTGCTGACTTGCTAACAATCTATGGGTTTAGGTAGCGCTGACACCACTGTCAAGATCTGGGATACCCGCTCCCTGACCTCAAAACCTATGCAGACCCTAACGGAAGCCACTGACACTGTGTCGTCCGTACATATCCACACGCCTTCATGCTCCATCATGAGCGGAAGCTACGATGGCAGGATCCGCACATACGATCTACGCATGGGTGTTGTGAAGGTCGATGTCATGGCCCATCCTGTTACAAGTATCCGCTGCTCTGCCGACGGCAACGTAATCCTTGCTTCTTGTCTAGATGGCCGAATACGAATAGTGGACAGAGCCGATGGATCGGTCTTGAAAGCTTTTGGCGGTGAGAGCGGAGGTACAGGACGGCAGCCGGCATATAAGAATACAGAACTTCGAATAAGGTCGACCTTTGCGAAAGGAGACGGCGCTGTCCTTAGCGGAAGCGAACTAAGTGACCAAACCCCAGGAGCGCATGTCTTTGCCTGGGACGTTTTGAGTGGCAATGTCATAAATGTTGTTCCTGTTGGTGAAGATGTCAAAGTCGTGAGTTGTGTTGCATGGAATGAGAAGGGGAAAAATTGGGCAGCAGGATGTTCCAACGGTATGTCGGATTGTCTCCCGCGAATCTTTATCTGAGATTGACAACCTTTTTAACGCACTCACAGGGAGTGTTCAGGTATTTGGGTAGCCTCCTTTCCTTGAGCCTTGGTGGCTGAAGCGAATGTGTCAACTCTGCAGTAATAACTTGTGATCAGGGTCGGAATTGCAGGGGCCAACAACATGGTTGGGACATTTGAGGCTTTATCTTGCTGATGGGAGACTAAAGAACTACATACATACATGCTCCACCATATATGTAGAAGCACAGTTGTCTGGAGTAAACTGTCAGTCTCTCTTTAATTTATGTTTGCATTGGAAATCAAAAATAAGATGCGCCTGAAGCCACCCCGCAACCTCTGACACAATGAGCCAAACCATAACCCTCAATTCCTCCAAAACCATGAAACTATAAGCTCAGCTTATGCAGTCTGTCTGTTGCTTTTGTTTCTCCTCTAAGATACAATATCCATGGGCTTCTTTGGACTTCAAGGTGCGGCTTTTGGTCTTCAGGAGAGGGAACCATCCATCTTTGTCTGGTTTCTTATCCATCCCTAATGAGAATAGACTAGCCTTTGTTTTCACTCATCACAACATCAGTTTCTAATACAGGACATCCTAAATTCCAGCAGATATCAAACAGAAGCCAGCAACCCAATTCACCCAGACATGGCTTATGCTGCTTCAAATCCTTTTTGTGAAAATCCTATAAAATCTTACTTGGGGGCGAGAGGGATGTTGCCGAAGCTCGGGTTATAACATGCAGATATTCTCCCACGGCCGCGTCATTTGATCCTAGACAATTTGCTGGCTTTGGAGAAGTGTGTCATGCCAGTTTCCCACATACTAGTTAGCGGGGAACACCTTTCTTTGTTTGTTGAAGGGACATTTCCACCCAGTCCCGAGGAGATGATGCATTAGAAAATGCCCACTTGACTGTGGAAGAGCAAAGCTGGCCTTATCTTGATCTTATTTCACTTCCAATAGCCCATAGTCTGATTGCTATGGTAGTCCCATCGACTGGATAGCAATTGACCCGGTTCTCGAGGCTTTTTCCGTGCTCCTCTCTAACTAATAGATCCTATAATAAAACGACCAGTAGTAGGCGCTACATCAACAGATAAATCAGTGCTAAAAGCAAGGGGAAAAAGAACGTATTCCAGCCTAAAATTAAAATTATATACGACAACTCAACGACCTGAGCCCCAACGGCCCTCTATATAAGTATATACATCGCTTCCAGAGGTCGCGGGGTTGCGAATGAAGGATCAAATTGAGAAACTGGAGAGCTTAGGTATGAAGGGTATATTTCGTTGCTCTTTCATGCTTCACAGAGCATGGCGAAATTCCGCTCGTCCAACTCTCTGCAGCTATGAGATGCATATATGTCAGTTATTTGATGCTTTATCAAAAAGAAATACAAACGTATGGGAAAGAATCCTATACTCACGACGGGCTCTAAAGAGAGAATCTCCCAGTTTCTCGTGCACTGTGGCGCCTCTCGGGCAAACCGGTTCGACGTTTATCGACCATTTTTCTTTCCAAATTTTTCCTGAATTTCCGTTTTTGTAAATCGACGAGTCTTTGCCTGAAGCATGGTCGCTATTTCATCCAAAGTCATATCAATCTGATTACCAATAGGGACAAGGCACTTTGCAAGGTACATGTAGTCTCTTCGTAAGAGCCTGATTGTCATCATCATATAATCGATATTGCGAAACACCAGAGCATGCTCCGTAGAGTAGCGCTGTTTTTGTTTAAGAAATGCAACCGGATGTTCGCGCCAATGTCTCCTTGGATGAAGGTGATGCGAGGTGTGATAGCCATCATTGTAGCAAAAGCGGTTACTCTGCAATCAAAACATTAACCTCCAGGACAGGGAAGCCTGTTACAACAAACTTACTGCCACATCAATCAGGGTGATACTGGAGCGAAAGTCAGAATTCGGGTCGGCCTCGTCAACAAATGCATGTTGACCCCAGTTGCCAACCATCAATGCTAGCCGCAGGAGGAAAAATGGTAGGATAAAAGCAAACAAGGTCGCATTCCAATGGAAGCGTGCAAGAAAATAAATAACAAGATAACTCGAAATTTCCCAAAACGCCGCTTTGATGCCCAAAATTGCTTTGCCGTTTTGTAAGAAGTAGAGTGGAAGTTCAAGCCAGATGAAGAAAAGAAACCGGCCAAGGTAGCAAAGAAAGTTGAATAAATCATCACGCTGATAGTAGATTGTGGAAGAGAGGTCATCAGGGCCATTTCCCTCGACATGATGGTGTTTTACATGGTGATAATAATACGAATTCCAAGTGTGGCCCATAAGCGGGTTTGTAATGTATGGGAAGAGCGAGTCAATCAATTGATATTTTCGGGCAAGGATACCACCCATATGAATGTGCTGGTGCATCATGAGAGTGTATGTACCAACATAGTAAGTCTGCATGACCCAGTGTAGTACTCCATGAAGCCAATGAAAGCGGTAATACAGGAAGATTGCACTTGGGAGAGACGTTGTGAGATATAGGAGCAAGTGTGTAAGCATTACTACATCCGTCTCCACCCGAACAACTTTCTTTGCGAGACGGATATAAGGCTGCAAAAAATAATCGTTCACGAAGACAGGCAGCTTAATATGCTTGATATCCCAAGTAAAAAAGACGGTTGGCTCAAAGTCTTCATGAGAGGGATCGTTCAGCGCATTTAGCAATTTAATCGTGGCATCGTCATCTTGAACAAAGCTATCGTCTTTAATATTAGAACCTGAAAGAGAGTTAGACCGGTATTGGTAGCTGTTGAAGGTTAGAGGCTCACTCACTCCGCTTAGAGGAAGACTCGATCTCATTTTCTACACTTGATGTGCTTTGACAGTGTAAAAAAGGGGCGGAGGCCGGATTCTTGGTGCGGTCAATATCTCGCAGAAGGTTCTGAAGCACCAGTAAATCCGGCCGGGTCAGGTAGGGATTAATGTAAGTGGCCGGATCCATCATTGGATTTCGGCTTAACAGCCCTGAAGAGATCGAAGCTAGGAGTCTGCCGACGAAGTCAATATGTCGTCGTGAAAGTGGAAAATCTTGAAAACATGATCGAATTCGCAGATGAGAGCAAACTGGTGTTAAAGTTGCTGCCTCCTTGGCTCCGCCGTTAAAGCTTTCTTGCCCCACCAGGCCGGCCCAGGTGGGTGGCATGATTGGCCGGGAATCGCAGCTAAGCAGCGGCAATCCCTGCAAGTCCTGGGCACTAGGGGGAAATTTCCGACCCGAACTCCTGTCAAGCCCCTTGGAGCTGGTGCACATCGGATATACCGAATCTTTTCTTCAATGAAACCCTCTCATCTAGGGATAACGCACCAAAACACCGGCAGGATGCGGCACCTCCAAACTTTGATGGCCCCTCCTCCAAAATAGCATATGCTTTGACCTCAATGCGCATGAGGGTATTCTTTCCTGCTTAATTTTTTTAACCAACAATACCTACCAAGAGAGCACCAACCGATAATTTAACAGCACAATTGGCTTTAGAGCGAAGAAACCGTCGCTCAGGCATCAACAGCATGGGCCATTTTGCATTTAATTATGGTCTTCAAGGTAGGACACACGCACACAAAGACAATCAGCTTCTACCCGCTTAGATAGGCCAGAAGGACTTAGGAATGACGATGAGCATCAGGAACAGATGCTGTTTGTTGACAGTGGGGTGTTCTCTCAGGATATAATCCAAGAAGTCCACTTGAATATGTCTTTGAGTGCCTTGTGGAAAAAGGCTTCCAGCCTTTTGCAAATTCAAGAGAGTGCTATCGGCAAGGTATATTCTCCCTGGTGCATTGGAATGGACCAATTTTTATTAAATAATGGATTTCATCCTGGCAAGAGAAAGAATTGAAAGCCATGTTGTTTCGGCAGATGAAATTCGGTCTCCTTCCTCCCGGGTGACATCTCAAAGTATGTTCGGAGAGTAAAAGTAGGTCTGAAAGGCCTAGAGTAATGAGAGAGATATGGAATATGGGTGTTGCAGCGGTCGTATTCGTCATCTCTAAGCGCTGTTTGGGCTCACCGCGTATCCGAAAGACGATTTGGGCAGAAAGCGTCTCTGTTCAAGCACGACGGTGGTTGAGGCCTCGACGCAGAAGACATGCTAAAAAATATCATTGTTCGAAATTGTGCGAAGGAGAAGAGCGGATAACGTTGAAGTTAATGGGCATCTCAGTTGTCGTCGATAGCGAAAACTCCGTAGGTTTGTCGGTCAACCGACGCTGAAGTTGGGTTGGTCTCGGTATCGCGTGGCGGCGGTCCGAGAAGATTTTGCAGGTCACAACCACACCTGGTCGAAAAATGGAGTACCCGTTCGGTAGGGATTGGTGCCGTTACACCATTTTACAAACAGAATCTTACAGGCGATGGTAACATGATCCCCGTACGCGGTAACTACCTACAGGCGTCCGGAGATGGCAGTATGGCGGTGGTTGGTATTGAAGTGCCAAGTTCATACATAACTAAATCATCTGTAAGTTGGTAAAAGAGCGTGACTAGCACCTATCCGGCTTGAAGTCTTGGATGGTTGAAGCTACATGTGCATTGGCTTGCGCTGCGTTGTTCGCAATGACAAGCGCAGCAACCCACTGTCGTCATCCTGGACTTGAGTCGAGCGGAATGGCTCCGTGGTTTGTCTTGACGGTCTCGCAACGGGAAATGTTGGTGAGGAATCCCGCCAGGCTGACCAGCGAAATGTCGTCGGTCTGCGCTGAAGCGCAGATCTGCCCTAACTATGGTCGGTTGGTGACAGTGTTGTTTGCCCTGTTTGCATGTGGTTTAGGAATAAGCAGAAGTGGTACCCGCGGTCACTCTCAAAAAAACACTAACAGGAAGGTACCATGTCTGTTATGGAATATTGTGGGGGAAAAGTGCAATCATGATGCTCCGTCAATTGCGAGGATGATGCGGATTCCGCAAGCAATTAACGTGAGCTTAGCCCACGCTGGCTGGTTCAGTACCGTGAACAGATGGAATATGGTACGCCATCTTCTCGACAAGCTTCTCCAATGTCTGATGCTTGGCTCGCTTTGGGGCGGGCCTTTGGATACTACTACTGAAGTTGCCAGGGATCAGTCGCGAAAAGAAATGCTTTCAGCCTGCTCAATGGGAGCATATTTGGCTCCTCCAAGCTGTCGAGGCCGTTCCCTTCCCTCTCTACGCTGTATCTATGCCTACTCTGGATATCCCAAGAATATCTTAATCATTTCGTGCCCTTGGATCTTCCACGGAAACATAAGAGTCCTAGGGCGCTCTTTTTTGTTTACGTATTACCTCCCACAGAGTACCTTGTACATTGGGATGGAGATACAGACACTCAGGAACTGGTTTAACTGTGACTAGCATGCGTATCGCATTTCACTCATCCCAACCTCCCACAGAGTACCTTGTACATTGGGATGGAGATACAGACACTCAGGAACTGGTTTAACTGTGACTAGCATGCGTATCGCATTTCACTCATCCCACCAGTGGCAGATAGCGATATCTGAACTACCCTTACAATAAGGTCCAAGAAGATACCTCTAGACAGATATCTCTCTTAAGATATCAGAGCATCCCATGACCTCACGCACCAGTGTCCACGTGAAAGGATGCCGGAGCGATTAACCAACTCTTAGCAGTTAAACTCGTCGCAAGACAACTAAAACCGTATTGCTCCGTGCCCCACTGCAATATGAAATGCCCACAGACTACCACAAGATGTTGGGAGAAAATTGCTGGATCCCTAGTGCACGCCGGTTTCTTCTTCTTGGTTTTCTATCGTCTTGGGTTGTCTGGCCCAATATCAATGCTATATACATCTGCATGCGGCGGTCGGACTGCGCTAAAACCTATCACCCAAAGTGGGAACTTGGAGAAGCCGATCAACTTTACTTGCTAGGACGATGCGGTCCAAAGAAGCTCATATCATGCTGTCCGGATATTCCGTCGAGAAAGGTGTATAGAGAGGCCTGTTGGAGCCCTCTTGCATCAGATCGACTTGATCAACGCTCCAGGCTCTAGAGTTGGGCCCCTGGAAGAGGTAAAAAATTACTAAGTCGACTGACGTATCCGGGTTGCAACTTACAACCATGTTCGTTAAGAAAATCCTTTTTTCTTTCTTCCTCTACGCACTTTTTGGTCTGAGCTTGTTGTGGGTCGGAATGTTCCCACAAATCTCAAGGCACTCTATGATAAGACAAAGGTCCTTATCGATCATCCGACCATGTGAATAAGTGCTGGTATACAGCAGTCCCGCCTTTGTGATCATCCACCGGGCAAGAAATTCTAAAACGGCTATGGTAAAAGTAAGATTGATTGCCCTCATTTACCTTTTTGAGCATACATAATGAATAATTTGAAGAGTCTTTATCCAAAATTTGGAGACAAACTCGTAACAAGAATCCGGGCCTAGGCTCCGGCGGCTAGTCAGATAATGAAGTGAAATATATGGTAGAAATTACTCCATACCTTACATTAGGATTCGAGGCATGAATTAGCAGTCAATACCTCCTTAGCTGTTGATTTATATTTTCCCCTCTCACGTAAATTCTTCGTATCATATTGATGCCGAATATCACCATGAACTACTTCATAGGCTGAGGCCCTTTTGATTATAATCCATTCAACAAACGAGTGTCACCGGTAATCTAACCAACGACTATTTAACCTCCAGGTGCCATAGCCCAAAATTCAAGCCATTGAAGAGAAAATCCCGGGCAATTACAGGGAACGAGAGAATTCAATGGTTGCCAGAACACCCTGTCCTCCGAAACGATCCGGCAATGTATATTCCGTATGAAACTATGTCACATCATCTCCCGCTTCAAACTAAAGCTTTACACAAAGAAACGATAACGAAAGCAAGGGGTAGGATACTATCACCCGAATTATGTCTAGTTAGATGCAGCCGCTTAGCTCTCAGCAGTTGCAGTACCTCTTCCACGGCCTAGTGCTCCTCGGCCTCTACCACGCGGGGCTCCACGGCCTCTGCCGCGGTGGGATCCGCGGTGATTTAGATTTGTAGGTGGAGGGACGGCATTATATGGTCTTGGTCTGAAATTCGGATTATTATGGATGACATCGGTTGTAGGATCCACTCTTTCCACGGACACATATCCGCCGCGGGAATGTGGAAGCTGAGCTGCACTGGCTCCTCTTCCCCGACCACGAACGGGTGCTGTACCCTTATGCATTTCGCTGTCCATATTTTGACTCGCGCTACTACTGCCCTGGTTGTTGCTACGCCCGCGCCACGATCGTGTCTGGTGGACTCCCGAGGATTGGGCTCGCGCGGGATCGCTTTGGGGATGTTGACGGAATGGTAAAATGTGTGGTGCGCCACGCCCACGGGGCAGACCATTGCCCCTTGGACTACCATGTCCATTGATGGCTGATCGGAACGAGCCTCTCAGGGGCGGAGGAGTGGGAGCATCTTTCAGCTGTCCCCGACCACCAGGACCAAGAGGAGCTCCGTAACCTTGATTAGCAGAGGTTCGTTGCTGTTGTGCTTTAGCCTGCTCGTTGGCAGCTCGAGTCATAGCAACAAGTTGCTTGTTTGTCAGATTCAATACGGACGATGCAGCGACCGTTTGGCCCCTGAATGGCGAGCAACGACCGGATAGAGTAGTGCCACTCATGAAAGAAACGTCGAAAATCACATCCAAAAGCACCGTCCTAGACGTCCGTGTCAAACCGACAACGGTACCCTTGGTGGCGATAGGGACCTTTCCGGAATCTTGGGCATAGATAACTCTGTCCCCAAGAGCGAACCGTTGATTCCCCAGCCTATGTTCCGCATCTGCAGGCTTTAACACAGCATTCCGTGGAACACCTCTAATCTTTTGAGGAATAGGTGAAGGTTTATTGCGGAACCATTTATCTGCAGCTTCCTCGATAGCTCCCACAACATCCGAGTCAAGTTGTTCAGCTTCCAGGGGCACGCGTTCAAAATTTTTCGCCTCGATCGACTTCAGCCAGCTTTGGATTTCTTTAATCTTAGTCGCCGCGACTTCTGGTGGGTAAAAGTCTGTGGGTTCAAACAAATCCCCTTGGGGTTTCCGCTGAATCCCTGCAATGAATTCCGGAAACTTAATCATATATTCACGGAGCAGGCCTATCGCTTTCTCACTAAATTCCCATCCATTCTGTCCACGGCGGGAGTAGCCTAGAACCTTAAGCTTTTTCGCTTCGAACTTGAGGTTTAAACCCAAATTAATCCGTTTCCCCTCAGACATGACCGAAAACGAGGACGTAATTTTGGCCACAGTTAGGGGGTTTAGTTGTAGATTTCGAGAAACTGCAAAAGATGGCGTGTACGGGGAGTGGCTCTCAGCAATGACAACCTGCTCTTTGCCGAATTCGGGTTCTTTTGCGCCTTTGGTGGTAGAAACAAGGCCTTGTAGCTTGCCATCGTCGTGGCCTGTGATGTGTACCGGAGCGCCGTAATTGTATTCGCCCAAGAAGAACGCCCTGGTGCCTTCCGGGAACTCTTCTTCGATAGGGACCGCTTCACGTTCGATGAAACGATCATCCTGACTGATGACCTCGTCCACTATCAACTGTGAAGCATAATCCGTTTCAATGCCTGGAATCTCTGCAAATTCTTTTACAGTAGCTCCAAGCTCCGTTTTCACAAGGCCCTTTAATACATGAACGTGCACAATAGACTCCACCTCGCCAATGATCATGCCTAATCTCTTGCTGTAGTTGGATTCAATTCTGTCCGACTTTTTCTTCCATTGATCTATTTGCCCTGGGCTATGCGGAATTTGAACAATGTGCTCTTCACCATCCACTTGGACGTAATCGAATAGCTCGTCTGAGACACGAACCACCAGTGCCTCGTGCAGGAAAGGGTATCCAATATGAACTCGTTTGCCTATTTTTGACTTGGCAATCTCGGCACGCGAGCGGGATTCCGGTTCTGTCAGAGTGACGACCATGCTTTCGTTGCGACTCTCCTGCTGGAAGACGGTTACACCGTGGAAGCCCAGCTGGGCAGTGTGTGGGAGTGTTTTCAGACTTGGGAATCCAGCCAATGCCTCTGTTCCTAGCTTGACACCATCCATCAGGCCGACATAAGGTTCCAATCCTTCCATAGTTGGTAGTTCATAAACATTTTCTATGCAATGACACCTCGGGATGTCAGGAAACACGCCCACAAAGGAGCTAGGATATGTAAATTCAATATCAGGAGAATGCGTAAATTTTAGCGTAACACCGAAATTGTTCCTCGCTTTTTCCTCTGGCGTGAGTAGGTGCTCCTTAGATGCCATCGCCTTGAGAAGACGATCCTCGTCGATGAATGGGATCTTAACAACAGCTTCCCATTCCATTTTCTTTCCATTCATGTCTAATTCGAAGTCCCGAGGGTAGAAGTCGATGATGGGCGAATCAGGCGAAATCATCAGTTCGTGATAGGCTTGAGGTACTATCTTCTTACTGCGATCTGGTAGCACACCCATGAGTTGCTGGAAAGGGAAAAAAGGTTGACCCAGTTTAAAGTCCATGTCAGCAGCCAATCCACGCTTCACATCAGATATCATTGGTGAATAATGATAACGATAAAACCATGGCCACGATGCAACGCCCCGATAATAATAGTAAAGAACCCATTGAAGCCCCTGGACGTAATTTTCGGTCAACTTGCGCATTTCTTCATCGTTGTCGGTACCCCAGCCAAACTTCCCTTCGTAGTATTTGTTCTTCCATTCCTGAAACTTTTGCTCGTATTTCTTTTCCGCTATTTGTTGGGCTTCTTCCGCGGTAGTCTCCTTGACCTTCGCATTCTCGTACTTCTTGAGAACACGCAGCACAGCAATTTGAGCCTCTTCGTCCTCGTCTTCTGAAGCGCTATCGCCATTCGCTAATTGCTGCTTTGAAGGCAATTGCAGTCTCAAGAAACGGTCCCCATGTTCATTTGAAACGGAAGACCAAGAAATACGAAGGTCATCCGCAAGCTGCTCCACGAATTTCCGGTCTCTTGCCGGCAGAGATGGCGAGAGATCAAGAGGAACAGGATAGCCATCGTCATTGACTGGGCGATGAGAGATGTACTTTTTAACTTTGCTAAGGATATGCTTTTGTGCGGGCGAAATGGTTAGGGCCTTGGGATCATCCAAAATTTCTGGTTTCTCTTCTCCACGGCTTAGTTTGGACTTAAGCCACCGAGAATCTGAATATTCGGCTTCGAAGAAACGAAATTCGACATCGCCCAGCGAGTCTAGAAGGACACCCAATCTGTTCAGATTGATACGTCCACGTTCGTTGATATATCCGTCCAATTTTGGTAAAACCTCTTTGTATACCTTGAACATCCATGCCAATGCCCCCTCATTTATATGCAAGTTAGGAAGGTTGGGTAAGAAGTCATTTCCAACAAAGAATGCCATCAGAATGAAATCGTCAATTACTCTTTCCATATCGAATTCGAACTGCAATGCTCCTTCTTGTTCCAACTCCTGAAATTCCAGTTCCAAGTACTCCCTGACGATGCATAGGTGTAGAAGGTAGAAATTTTGATGCTCTAACTCCTTCACTTTCTTCTGATTTTGTCGGCCAAATGTAACCTCTTCACGAAGAAGACAGAAATGGGGATCATGGCTTAATAAGCCTAACATGATCAGATCTGCATCTAGGCCGTATAAGCAGTGGCGGACATTCGGATCATAGTCCGGCTGGGCTTTCGCCTGTCGGATGTATTCCATGATCTTGTGTTCCCCTTCTCCCGGGACTTCGTGGCCTGAAAGGATTACTTCCACCCCCTGCCACTTCGCATCTTCTGATACCTTCTTGTTAATGAAGTATTTGAGTTGTTTCGTAAGCTTGGCCATAAATTCCGTCCCTGGTGTAATGCAATTGCTATCGAAAGGGTCTTCCTTCGGCATTTCAATTCCCTCCCTAATGGCTTTTTCCTTCGCAATCTCTGCGTCTAAGGCAGTACGAAACCGGCGCGCTCGTTGCTGGTTCATCTTGGCTCGAGGGGCGACACCGTCGATGGCCATGAAGAAGAGCTTTTTCGGCTTTATTTTGCCAAAAAGATGTTCGATATAGTTGAATATAGCGATAAACATTTTATCTTCAGTCATGCGAAAGGTGGGCGAGTCGGAGTCTTTATGGGTGCAGTTATGGATAATGCCATTCATATCGAGGTAGAGACAATCGAACTCCGGAATACGATTCTCCGCAATGAGTTGCGATATTGCCGGATAGCGCTCCGAGAGCCATCTGAAGAACTTCGGGACACCCATGACTGTGTCGAATTCCTAAGTATTCTAGAGGAAGATTAGGCGATTATCAAGCAGCGGCGCGATACTGGATGCGAAGGTAACGAGGCTTGAAGAACTTGTACAGAACGGCACTATCAAAGTCGTGAAATCATTCCTAAATATCGTGATAGAAACAAACGACTGTACAAGAAAGGAAAAAGAAATAAGAAAGCTGGAAACAGAACGGTTGGGAGTCGAGTCTCTCAACGATGCTGTCGCCCTCGAGTTGGCCGATGATTCGCGGGTCGTCAAGCTCCATATCACGTGACAAAGTTACCTCAGCATTGCTTACTAATCTGACAGCTTGCGGATCTATCAGCTTGTTCGTTGGAGAGGGAGCGAACGCGATCGATCGCGTTTCAATTCCAGGCGAGAGAGCTCTCTTTGTTCACAAATACCACCCACATAAACTACAGCCCAATTATTCTTGTTGTTTTCAATTTTAGCAGAGGGTTATTTAAATTTTTTCCTTTTTCTTCAATCTTCTAGGAAAAAAGCGAAATGGAAGATTACGATCCGAGTAAGGTTAATCAACCGATCTGATCAAGGCAAAAGCCGTTGACCGTCTCTTGATAGGTGTCACTGAGGAGCAAGAAGAAGAAATTTCTGAGGAGAAGGTTATTAATGAGGGTGATTATTGCTAATTTGCCCCGGAACAACCGCCAGGCACCAGCTAACTGTTCCTTAGAGTACAAAACATGGAAGAAAAATGCGCCGTTCCTCTATGATATGATCCTGAGCACAGCGTTAGAATGGCCTACCCTTACTACTCAATGGCTACCAGATAAACAAGAGTATGTCCATAGAACCCACTGTCCCTCAGAGTGGAATGCGCTCACATCTTTGCTAGAGTCCCAGACAAACCCTACTCAACGCATCGCCTGTTAATCGGCACCCATACCTCAAATGATGCTCAAAACTACCTGCAAATTGCTCACGTGCAGTTGCCAAACCCCAAAGCCCCAGATGTGGAAGATTATGATGATGATAGAGGCGAGATCGGTGGTTATGGGTCGTCGGGATCCCAAAGGACCCCTATGGAAGTGAAGTTCCATATTGTGCAAAAGATTGACCATAAAGGCGAGGTGAACAAGGCGCGATATCAACCGCAAAATCCCAATGTCATTGCCACCATGTGCACTGATGGGAGGGTCATGATCTGGGATCGCTCAAAACACCCTAGCTTGCCTACCGGCACTGTTAACCCCGAACTAGAACTGCTCGGACACACAAAAGAGGGATTCGGTTTGAGCTGGAGCCCACACAGCGCAGGCCATCTGGCGACGGGAAGCGAAGATAAAACTGTTCGACTATGGTGCGTGTGGTGACTTTACTGAATTGGCGGTATGTGCTGATAGACTTTAGGGATCTTACGCAGTATACCAAAGGAAACAAAGCGCTAAAGCCCGTGCGAACTTATACACATCATTCGTCTATCGTAAACGACGTCCAATACCATCCTTTGCACTCGTCCCTTATCGGTACCGTGTCCGACGATATCACTCTGCAGATATTGGATATACGCGAATCCGATACTGGCCGATCCGCGGCATCGGCAAAGGGCCAACATAAAGATGCAATCAACTCTATTGCCTTTAATCCCGCAGCGGAAACGGTGCTCGCTACCGGCTCGGCTGATAAGAGTGTTGGGTTATGGGATCTGCGAAATCTAAAATCAAAACTTCATGCTTTGGAGTGCCATCAGGATTCAGTTACATCATTGGCATGGCATCCATCTGAAGAGGCTGTATTGGCAAGCTCGAGTTACGATCGGAGAATTATGTTCTGGGACCTCAGCCGGGCCGGTGAAGAGCAGACGCAAGAAGATTCCCAGGACGGACCTCCCGAATTGTACGAGACCCTCCGTGACTTTTCTCTTCCTTTGAGGGCCCAGCTCTTTTCTGATACTAATTATACTGCTTTTCTTGTAGGTTATTTGTGCATGGCGGCCATACCAACCGCATTTCTGATTTTAGCTGGAATCTCAACGATCCGTGGGTTCTCTGCTCCGCAGCTGAGGATAACCTACTCCAGGTTTGGAAAGTTGCGGATGCCATTGTTGGGAAAGATATGGAGGATGTGCCGACGGAGGAGTTGGAGACATGAAATCGAAACGTGAAGATCCTTATGGATTTAGAATTGATGGCTGATCCGGGTGAAAAAGCAAGCTACACCAGGAACTGTACTATATACAGACGAGCAATGATTCGAAGGGCAATCTAGCCGAAAGTTTTTCCTGCCATCTTCTTCTCTTGGAGGGACAATGTTACAAGTAAATGAGTGATGCTTATGAGTAAACATATTCCGTTCTCCGCACAGCACGACGGGAACCGGAAATCCAAAACCAGCCTTTCGGCATTTTTCAAGTCCATTCCTCACGCTATTCCCGAAAGGGCGTAGAGTGGGCGGGGTACGCTTTATCAAAGTTTGCATCGCGCCTTATCGATTGCTTAAATAAGCGAAATACGCAAATTTCCCGTTGCACTCGAGTCAGCCAGGCCTGAATATCTCCGACCCGAAACTATCATACCGCTTGAGCGCAAGGGAAAATGCTATCGCCGTACTTTAGGATCATAAACCGCAGCAGTGGAAAGTGATTCTTCTCTCCTCTATTGTTTTTATTGCGATTCTTTACTCCCCTGCCTACCGGTGTTCCAAAGCAAGCCCAAAAGTTCTCCCCGCACACTCCAGCTCCCGCTGACAGCGATCATGGGATCCGAAACCTCACTACCTTTGGGCCCAAAGCCCAAATCTGCAGTTCCTTCCTATCTTCTGAACGGCTTATCTTCCGATCGCATGCCCAGCAGTAAGCGCGAGAGAGATAGTCTCAATTCTTCTATAAAAACATCTTTTGCACGAAGACAGATCTCTAACGAGGATATCGGTGAGAATGGCACCTCACCGCCGACACGCACTGCCGGTGCTAGTGCCCTTGAGAGTAGAGATAGCGGGCGGCTTTTGGAGAAGCAACCTGATGGCACTGGAAGCACAAAGCGAAATATCAGCGAACCTCCGCGTGATCCTAGGGATCACATTGTCCCCACTCCTATTGTCAGTCGACCTGCCAGCCCGTATACCCTAAATCCGCCTATCGATTTCGATGGACTTAGTTGGCCTAGTATGTAATATTTCTTGTTAAATTTGTTACAGTCTACCTCTAGAAACACCCACCGCTAATATCCGGCTCCATTTATAAAGGCATTGGGACAAGGGAGCGACTAGAATCCACTCCAGAAGAAACAGAGGAAAGAATTCAAAAGCTTGCGGGAGCTGTCCGAACCATATTCGAATGCATTGGCGAGGATCCAGAACGAGAGGGATTACTTGGAACCCCAGAGAGATATGCGAAGGCAATGCTTTATTTTACCAAGGGATACGAGGAGAATGTCCGGGATTTGGTGAACGGCGCTGTCTTTCACGAAGATCATGATGAACTTGTGATTGTGAAAGATATTGAAGTTTTTTCTCTCTGTGAGCATCATATGGTTCCTTTCACTGGGAAGGTAAGCATACCCGATACTTCTTTTTGGCGTTGATGAAACTTAAATTAATTTTTTTTTTTTTTTTTTCTCTTTTTAAGATGCATATCGGTTACATCCCCGATCGCAGGGTCCTCGGATTATCCAAACTTGCTCGACTAGCCGAAATGTTTTCTCGGCGCCTCCAGGTTCAAGAGCGACTGACAAAGCAGGTTGCCTTGGCTATTGCTGAAGTGTTGAAGCCCCAGGGTGTTGCCGTCGTCATGGAATCGAGCCATCTATGCATGGTGATGCGTGGAGTGCAGAAGACTGGCAGCACCACCACTACTAGTTGCATGCTTGGCTGTATGAGGTCAAGCGCGAAGACTCGGGAAGAATTTTTGAGCTTGCTGAACCGAAAATAAACCTTCTCCTGAATCCCTTCCACGGCATCATGCTCTCTACAACTGATATTTACACCAGCTGCATCTGACGAGATATAGCCGATTGCACCATCTTACTCACACTTGTATATTATACAGGGAGGTCACTTTTAAATATTTGTTTGGCCCTTTCAACAGGTTTGCCGCAGGCGTTCTGGATACCATAATTGTGGAATTTCTTATCCATCCCACCTTGGTTCTGCCTGTTTTCTTTTTTTTCTTGAGACAACTCTGTGGCGAATTTTTTTTTTTTCAACAGCCACAATTTCTGCTTTTTGAAAAGAGAACAGAGGATAGATTGTTCTCACCTCACACGCCGTGTTGACCTGACAGTTGGGGGGGGGTATTATTTAAATATATCCCTCTTTCCCAATGCCAGCGAGCTGATTTTTGGCTTGGTAGGCCCTATTGCAAGCAGGAAATGAGAAACCATTGTTCTGCTTGGGAGGATGGCAATGCTGGCCCTGGTCTCTCCATGCTCTGTCGTTGGCTACATCTGTGAATAACAAATATCCTGTAAATTATTAAATGCGATAAAATCTATGCTTGATAGGATTGGCACCTATATATAGATGATCAACCTGATTGAAGGTCATAATTGCAGAACCTCTACCCACTATTTGGAAGGCATGTTCCAGTATCTAGAATAAAGAAAATGCCTGCACCAAACATGATGGCACATTCCATCAAAGCCATAAACAAGCTGTTATGAGATTAGCCGAATAGGAAGATATAAGACTAAATTAATATTCACACGTATTCGCCTATACAATGCTCTGCACATAGGTAAGCGGAGCCTCCCTCTATACAGCGACAATACGTGACGAGACGATATGTTCCTGTTGGGAGCCAAAATAAACAGAGCCATCTGGTGATTCACTTTATTTCACTTCACTCAAAGCCAAATCATTGAACCGCTGAAGATGACAGCATACAGACGGCCATCTATGTGCTAGTTATTGGCCCCTTATCTCTTCCACCCAGTTAGCTCATAATCTTGTTTTATTTCTCTTTCTAACACTGGAGTTTGCCACTCAAGGTTGTTGAGCAGAAAAAAGAATTTTTTATCATAGAAACACAAGTGCAAAAAAGACACCGTCAAGATTGAGCTGGGGCTTCCAGGAACTTTATGGTCAAACTGATAATTCATAAAAAGGACATTGGGTTAGTACATACTCCACTAGTAGCTTATCTGGGGACCTGTTTCATTGATGGATATCCCTTTTCCAGTCAGATTATTCCTGATATCAACTGCCCTGCTAGTCTTGACACGGCGCTTTTCCCTTGTCAGCATTCTGTCGAACCTACACGCAGGCTGTCCTTAGACAGTATCAACTAAATTGACAGGATCTTCCGAGGACAGCCTTCATTAGAAGACACAAGCCTTTGAGTGAGAGTGCTTGGAGTCGATGATATAAGGATTTGAATGTCAGAAGGAGAAGGACGCTCGGAGAAAACCGGACAGTACCTGGAAAAGCCTCGTGTCTCAAAAGAAGGCGGTGTGCATACTATTTTTTTCCATGCACGCAAGGAGATGCCGATATGGCTCCTAAAAAGCAGAGGAAGAAGACTATCCCGAAGACATATAAATTTAACAGTCGTGCACCCAGCAGTAGCATCGATCAAGGTAACCAAAATCAGACGTCGAGCCGCAAAACTTTGTTCAACCCTTACCGGGAACGGGCAATCCAAGATGAACAATCGGTGCTTCTAAATCGACCTTTTTTGGACCAGCAATTGCCCCCGGGAACATCGCGTGCAAAAGAAATGGAAAAGAGAGGCACTATCCATACGGAACGGCAAAAGGATAACGCGCATACTTCCAAGTTTCCGGGACTGTTTGAGGAGGAAGATGTGAATACAGAGCATGGAGATTGGCAAATGCTTGATGCAAACTCCGAAAGTACTAGCATTGCGGCACGTCGCCATGCGAGCGGGCTACCTCTCGGAATTCAAACCCAGGCTCATTGTCTTCCGGTGATTCGGCCTGGGTTGCAACTGCCCGAGCCTCCACTGACAGCAGTGTTGCCAAAACAAAGAGCTGTCAGTATGCCTTCGGTGAATAAACAAGAATTATCGAGTATGCTTGCAACAACGGAGCAGTACCTGTCTGGTTTAAGATTAAACCAGAATAAGCATGCCGGCGGCCTTGGTCAGGTGCCCTTGCCGCGTGCAAGTCGCATTGCAATCGAAGGTCAGATTAGTCAACGAGTTCACCCTGCTGATAGTATTGTGACTTTACCGAGCATCGGCAACCCAGGATATGGATTTCAAGGCGACTCGACAAAGCTACCCCCCGTGATAAAGCAACTCTTGGCTGATGCAGACGCGAGAAGAGCATATCATAGAAGAAAGGTTCAAGTTGCGCAGGGTCGTCACGACCAATACTTAGCAGGCACAGGACCTAGGACCACAGCCTCAGTGATGAATAGCAGAGCACCACCTCGAAATGGTCCGGAAAGAGAAAACACAATGTCTGTAACCCCGGAAATGTACAATCCGTATTCAAGAGTTCGTAAAACGACGCCAAGAACCTTGCGGTCAAGTCGACTGTTGTTCCGCGGACCCAGCAATGGGTATCTTAGCTTTGGTGACTTGGCACAGACTGACATGCCATCCCCGTCTTTGGAGCATTTCTCAGTCACGAAATTATCCCGAACTGCTGTTCGATATGACCATGCAAGAGTTTATGAGCAACGCGAGCCAAAGTTTAGCGTGTTTCAAGAGCTTCTCAAACGGCCTGAGCTTATCATTACATTAGCATGTCATCTTCGCGTCCAGGAACTTCTAATCTTGTACAGAATCAGCAAATCATTCCACAATATCATCAACCAGCGCTATACAACCGTGATTCTTTCACAGGCACTAAGACATGCACCGGAATCTGCAAAAATCTTTCCATACCGTTGCTATTCGAGACTTTGCATTGACGACCCCGCGGAGCGTCCTCATCCAGTAGCACAACGTGCGGCAGCCGGGCAGCATCGCAAAGTCCCATCCTTCCGTTGGCTCCTTATGATCTGTTTCCGGGAAATGATCTGTCACGAAATTAGGATGATCATGGACGAGGACGGGACTCCTTTGCCGGAACAATGCGAAACAGTGATGAAGAAAATCTGGTTTGTGATGGATATCCCGGATACCATCCGCCGAATTGGGACGATCCAGAATCGAGAAGTCTTTACCGATGCCGATATATTCTTTGCAACAATGCTTTTCGTGAAGATTGACATGCGATTCACTGACCCCATCACTGGGAGTGGCCGGGATGGAATGCGCCGAATGTTGCTATCGCAACCAAGTCTATCGATACTGTGGAAAGCTTTGAGCCGGACGGCATTGGTGAGCAAGATGGACGCAGTCAAGATGTTTGTCCGTTGGAAATGGCAGCCTCCTGCGCGTCTACTTGGCCAGCCTGTCTTTGGTATCCCAGCAAACGAAATCGGTATCATGCAGTTCGAAGGATGGGGCCGGACGGGTAGTCGAGTCCGCTTGCAACGTCCAGATGAAATTATTCTCAAGGAATCAGTCCACCGACGATTGAATCTTCACTTACACTATACAGATATGTTTTTGTGGGGCTATGTCAATCCGAACTCCTTGCAGGACATGCCGCCTATTCCAGAGCGTCGAAATTTAGAGCGGTTAGAAGGAATGGAGGAACTGCTTATTCCCAAAGATGATGGAAGGGACAGGAGCATCGGAAAATTGGTGTCAGGACGGGTAGTATTCGACTAAACTGTGAATTCCCTGGCTTTAGTCGACTGGATGATAGCAGGCAGCGCATGGCAGTCCGTATCAAGCCCAATGATCTGATACCATTTATGAATTCCAAGTTGCTATTAAGGTAAAAATAAAGGATGAATACGTATTAAGTGAAAAGACAAAAAAAAAAAAAAGGTTAGCTCAGAAAATCTCACACAGCGATATGTTGTCGAAAGGGTTTTAAAAAAATGAAAAGGGAATTCAAAGTGCAGGAAGTACGTTAGCCAGGTTAATCCAACCAACCTTCATTTATCAACATCTCACTTTGATTTCTGTGTACGGAGTAGACATTTCATTTTCGGTTTTTCATCACCTCGCTCAACACGGAGTTGATGGGGATCGTGGGATATTCCTGGGCTTCCAAAATTTGCATGCCTGAAGGGATTCAGTCTTCGGCATTCATTGGGCCCGACTATGTTGTCTAGACGGTAGCCAAGTTAGGAATAGCATTGCTTTTTACAGGATTTCACCTCGTAAATTTGTAATCCGATTTTGCTGCCGCCATTTCGACGGCATTCCTCTGCCGCTTTTGTCGAGCGCTGTCGACGTCGTCCGTCGGGAGAGCGGAGATGCTTGACGTTCGGCTTCTTGCTTGGCGCCAAGGAGATTCTCAAGTTAATCCAATTAATAACCCGAATGCTGGCCGTTGACAACACGAGGGCGAGTGACGATCACCAAAGCCGGATTCTAGAAAGTCGGCAGCAGACAGCCTCCGTCATCCCGTTGACTTCGCGTCAGACGGAACTAACTATGTCACGGCCTATTACTAAAATCTTGAGACCAAGCCAAAATTAGTCACCCAGGGTGATCTGGAACTGGGCAGCGCAACCTGCCCACTGCCAGCTTTCAGGGCAAACTACACTGTATGTATGGATGGACATCTATAAGAATCGCCGGGACGGCGTCCGGATGTTTTTTTTTTTTTTTGGAAGTACTTGATTTGACAAGTCTCCAAGGCGTTTTTGTTTTACATGAGATACGGTTCTAAGGCTGGTTGGATTTCAACCCGCGCCTTTAGTTCTGTAATACCACAACGTGGAAATATAGCCTTCACATCACCATTGGCACACATACCCCTTTGGCGTCTGGACACCCGTTACTCCCTCTCGCAAAATCGGACGATGGCTAGCGCAAAGTCTATCCAGTTATCCGTGGAGGATTCTGGAGTTTTCAGCTCCAATCCCAGGGCAGATTCCGCGAAAAAAGCGAGCCAGCTACTGCAAGAGGATATGAAATCCCATCATATATTTTTCAATGATTCTGGGTTTCATAGTATGTGACATGTTTCTCCTTGTACCCTTCCTGCCTTTTTATCTTGGTTGTGGAGTTTCTCCAAACCAATCGAATTTATTCTTTGCCTTGTCTTGTATCCAAAGTTTTGATTGCAGCTCTCTGCCCGAGTGCCTATTAATGAGTCCTTTCAGACCACACCGTCCATCATGTTTTGTCCATTTTTGCGCTGGGCGCCTCTCCCGAGAACATTCAATCCGCATATGATCGGGCGGCAGAGTATCAACGCCCCGCCCGTCCGGTGAATGAGGATATTGTCAAGAAGCTGAGCAATAGAGACGAGTTCAAAGCTTTGGCGGGCACAAGAGAAGCGTATCCTCATTTTTTGGAGTTCTTCCAACGAGAGATCGAAGCCAGAGGCACCGAGGCTGTTGTTAATGAGTATATCTTCGCAGGCGACGAGTTTGCCGATGATATGCTTGCGAGAACTTTTGGAGGTTAGTACCCATTTTTAAATTGCTCAAACCGGCCAATCTTGTTTGGATGACCCCTAATACTTCTTGGCTTCTAGGCTTGGTTCATCCGTTCATTCACTTGGGCTTTGCTCTGGAGTTTAAACAACCAGCACTTGTTGCTCAGGCCCTTGCGCAAACAGCTGTCCATGAACCGAACATGAAGGGTTTTTTAATGTCTGCCGAGAAGCAAGCCGGCGGTGTTGGACAGACCGGGAAGAAAACTTTGATTGAACTTCAAGCTGAGTGCCGTGCCGACCCACGTGTGCGGGATTCGGCTCACTGGTCCGATACAAACAAATTCTTCGATGGAGTCTTGAAGAGGGCTCCAGAAGAAATGGCTAAAATTGCCGGTGAATTCACTGTTGGACCCGACCAAATAGAAGAACGGGTTGCAGAATTGATCAATGCTGTGGGTAAGAAGGCGTGTATTCATACCGGCAGAACACCTCTGCCCTTCCCGTCCCACGCTGCTGACGCGACTGACTAGTCTATTACACTGGAGCGGCGCAAAATCCCCCAAAGAAGATTAAATTTGACTTCTTCTATATTCATTGCGTCAATAGCGCTATTTTCCTACCAGTTTTCCTAGCTTTCCCATGGATAAGCCGACATAATAAACAGCGATTGTTGGAATGGAAAGGTCGCATGGACTTGCTCACATACGTCTCTCGAGGCGACGTTGAGCCTCGTATTAACGAGATCACTGACTACAAGCCGGTTAGGTCGTGGCACGAAGTGTTCACAACGGCATTTGTAAATAAAAAAGAAGACGGCCATGCTGCTAAACTGATGCGAACATTGGCCTATGCGGAGAAAGCCTGCAAGCGTTATGAGAATAAGGATGGCTTCCTGGTCAAAGGTGATATGTGGCTCAAGTTAGGCAATATGGGTAAGTGGTTCAATATAACCTTTTGCCTCCGGGAGATTGTAAATCTAAGTATCTTAACTCGAATATAGTTGCCGATTCCATCCAGGGCCCAGAACGATTGTGGGTTATGTCAACTGGGTTCCCTGAAGCATGGGAAGATATCCCAGACCGCCCACGGCTCTAGATTGGCGCTACCATGATGGGCCTAGATTTTAACTGTGGACCCGAATAATTCTTGTTGTCATTATTTATTGTGATTTGTGAATTCCCTCAATGGAAAACGGGGTATGTATATATGTGGGAAGTATTTTGCAACCTAAATTGTCATATATCGGTTTAAGCAAATGAAGCTCGCTCAATTTGCCATCATGATGATCGGAGTGTTGGTACCTACAGTACTAACATTATGATAGCATGAATGGGCCGGATCATAGCCGGTGCTCATTGATAAGGCAAAGTACATGTAACAAAGATCATCTGATCACTTTTCGACATCAATTGCAGTTTATATCTTCCCAGAATTGGTTCCCGAGTGACACAGACGAGGACGGACGTCGCTGCATCGGCTTATCCACATCCCATCCACCATTATTATATAGAGGCCCTATTAAAATCTCTGTCGATGATTGAGAGGCTTGGGTCCTCTACGTGTCTGCCTATCTGCTCCCGAATTGTAGATTGCTTTCCATTCAGGTTAGTTTGTACCCTTGCTAGAAGTTCATGCTAGAAGACACTAGGTATGCTTCATCTCGATGGCGGGAAGAGCAGAACGCTCGTCGATACGATGTCGCACACTGTGGAACCTGGGCTCTCTATCAACGAAGAGACGCCAAAATTAGGCTGGAGACTTCAGTATTTCTTCACATAGGATTCTTCTGAGACGACCGTATGGTTTCTCCGCCGTTTGTATGAAAATCATTTTCAAGATTTTCTATCAATCTGCTTGTCTTCTCCAGGCTCCTCTTGAACGGATCGATTTGAAGCAGAGAGCGAATGACCAGTGTAACTTTTCTTCGGTAAGTAGGGTGCGAACTTAGGTAGTAATTACGCCGAAGCGCTGCATCTATTTTCTCGAGTTGGCCCTCACTTGCAGTTGCTAAAACCACCACGAACGTCAGCTGGGGTTGCCCTTAACCATGTGAGTATTTAGGGATATGGTCCTACCTCGATAACCTTCCGCGTCCTTATCGGAGGGAAACAAGTCTGCACCTGTTAGAGCATAGAAAAACTACTTTCGAATGTTAATTTTCCCTCGGAGTGTAAAAGGAGATTGCAGTAGAGCATACGACACAGCCCAAACTCCACAGATCGGACTTGGGCGACGCATAACAGCGTGTCTTGTCGCGCATTTCAGGCGCAAGGAAAGCCCTTGTGCCTTTAGCTCCTTCTCTCGAGCATCCTTCAAAGGCTAGGTAATAAGTGTTAGCGGTAGCGATACCACAGCAATGGGCAGGAAATGAAATGGTAATGATTACCGTTTCCGAAATCCAGTATTTCAACTTTGGTCATATCATTCATATCACTCATGAGAGCTGTATTTATAGTTTGAACGATATATTCGGGCAAATATTGTGGTCGTTTCGGCGGCTCTCCTGGTTTAATATACACGAAGTATGCTTTCAGCCCGTAGCTGAAGGTGCGCTGGACAGCGCTTGGAGTCAATGCATTCTGGCTTACACCAAAAGCAACATTTGCTGCGCTGAGATCTGCAAGGCAAATTTACTGAATATGCAGAAAGCTAGCAAGCGAGAGAGAGGGTGCAGTCAGGACTCACCTCCATGACAAATCCCATTTCGATGAAGAGCTTCAACCTTTTTAAAGAGTGTCCTTATAAAGGTGGTGATGGTCGTTGAGTCAGATGGCGGGTCAAGTTCTGAATACTCCCTACCTCTCAAGGTCGAGCCGAGGGGGTTCAATCCTAGACAGAGGTAGAGGCGCTTATTCTGCGCATGAAAAAAAGCTACTCTCAGCTTTCCTAGCTTCTGCAGTATGTGCATCTCGGTATTTTCAGGGGTACTATGCTGATGGCTCAGAACCTTGATGGCAAGATGACGATGAAAAATCCTACTCCAGCACGTGTCAAACAAAGCAATAACAGGATAAAGGAGGAGCCTATGCAGTGAACATACGTATCCCAGCCTAACCAGACCGTGGAATAGGCACCGAATCCGAGCTTCCCAAGTATTCTGAATGAACATGGTTCCTGTCCCGGTTGCAGCAGGTTATCGCCACACAGGACATCACCGACCACAATCGGACACCAAAAATTGTGCACATACTTTTCTATGGTCTCACTGTGGTAGCCGTTCAACCCTTGAAGGCGCCATCCATTGCCAACGTAGTTAGGAGGGGGCGGAGATGGTGTGCGGGATAACAGAATAGTTTGCACCATTGGAACAGGCAATTTTCGCCCATACAAACCAAAAATTAAACTACAAAGTCCAAAGTCATAAACAGAAAGCCAGGACTTGAGCAGTCAGGTGAATAAAAGATGCATTTTCTCAACTGCAACTTCTGTAACAGCGGAGTTGCCGCCCGTGGGAGAGATCTGGTGCGGCCTCAGTGTGCTGAGCTTGATAGAGTTGTAGCATTGTGATTGGCTACTTTGTTGCCGCGGTGCCGTTAATCGAGGCATCGAGGCTAAGTACGTATGATGGCAGCACATTTCATAGGAAACAATCTTGGACATCAGAAAGTTTCCATCATCGCGGAACCAACCAGATGTGCTATCTAACCTAGCCTGATGCTAGACCAGCCTTTTTAACTAAGGAGTCTGTGAGGGTCACTGTCAAGCTTTGATGGCTGGCCTCTGATCACTGCCATGCTGTTATGACAAACATCCAGCTGTAACTTATGTTTCCGGCCCAGAGGACTCGTGAAAACTGGTAGAACACTGAACAGGCCGAAGACAACAACTGAGATATCTTGAAGTACGTAAGTAGAGGACTCTCAACTTTGGTGAAACATTAGTATCTACTTCGACCTCATTGAAGACATCAGAAGGTCTGAAACAAACTTGTCCGCTTCCCTATATCCGTGCAAAGATTTCTAGAATAACTGCACTCATAAAACCGCTCCCTCCTCCAGATGAAGCAGAGAGAAAATCGCAACAAGCTCTGAAATGTGCTTAGATAACCCAATTTAATTATCACGTGACGAACTAGATCCGGTTAGCCCGAGCTGGGCCGATGACAAGCGTCAATCCAAGTGCAAGTCTTCCCTCCCCGCGACTGTATCCTTTGTTTTTTTCCCATCCAGCATATGGGTGCGGCATAGCAGTCTATCCAGAAATTTGCACTCGCTTTTCTACCGCGAATCGGCGATGTGGCGGACGTTGGAGTTTCCTCCCTCCAGGGTGGGGGATGCCCTGATCGAATATCTTCGAGCGGGAGAACGGCAGAACCTCATACATCATACCTCCTTGTTGGCCCGAATTTGCTCTGGAGGACCTTGAGATATAATATGACAGCACGGCTTGGGGTTAGTTGGTGATCGACAATCGAGTTACTATACGCGTAGTCGTCCATCTTGCTGCGGATCGCTGACCAACCTCTTGCTGGTCGTCCCTTTGGCATCAGGCTTGGGAGCAAGATCTGCTGGGAAGCTCGGGAGCTACCTGAATCCGTGTGACCCGGCCGAAGGTGCCCGGAAATTCTCTGCTTTCAAATCCTATACCTGACAAATAGCTTTCCAGGTTCTCGTCAACGTCCAGTTGTGTTTTACGTGCTGTATAAAATGTGTTTCTCGACGGGACGGGGAGTATGATACATATAGTTCGACGCCCCTTGACGACTGCAAAGCCATGGAGTTTAATTGATGAGAATGGTTTTGCCGAATCTTGCCTCCCTGGTGGTTACGCCATTACTGCGGCGGCTTCCGAGGATGGCATACTTCCCGACATACGTGAGACCGGCGAGCACCAAAGAGTAATCCCTGACATTGTCATGTCTGATAACTATGGTTTCTTGTCTGTGATTTCTTTTGTTAAACAGTAAACTTGTGTATATCATGGCAAACACTCTGACTGTTTACAGGTCGCATGGTTTGTGCAACTCTCCATTGGAATTTATACCAGTGAACCGTCTCCGATTTCCCCACTACTGGACCACCTCGGCACAGCACCTATTCTTTCCAAGCTTGAACCTCCTAGCAGCCGCAGACAAAGTTGGGTGTTCAAGCAGGTTCAGCAACTTGAAACTGACAGTGCAAGTGGTGCAGCTGTATTTACTAACCAAAGGCTTTGGGCCTCAGTTTTAATGCTTCACAGTTTCAATCGTAGATAGATGATAGGTGTTCCTGACATGTCAGCACCATCACAGCATTTTGCAGAACATCTTGTTGGGAGACAGTTCTTTGGAGAACACAGGTTCTTCATGTGAACCAACACTGGCAGACTCTTGTCAACACGCGTTGTGGCTTCCACTCGCAGTGCTCATCCGCGGAGTTGCAACACCGGCAGCAAGTGAAAGTTGTGGCCGTCTGCCCGGAGCTCTTAGAGCGTCTTTTTGTTTCTTATTTGCTTCTTCTTTTTTTTTTTTTTTGGCTGCTGTCAGTCATTTTGGACGTTCGTAGACTACTTACAAGTGAAGTGGGAGATGGAACTTGCTTGAAAGCAAGATCAAAGAGAGCGTCGCAGCAACACGCAAACTCTTCCATTTGACACCACACAAAAAAGAGAGAGAAAAAAGAGCACTCTAATCGCACTCACGACTTGGCTGCAGAACAATTGAAATCAACGGGGAAGCGCTGCCGCACGGGTTGAAATCAACAGCAGAATCCCGCCCAAAACCAACGGTTACACGTCGGCTTTGAGCGCATGGGAAGATTGGCGACGACTTCGCGCAACAACCATCAGTCGACTAGATTTCCGCGAGACTTTCTTCGGCAACCCCGCCGTTCATCAGCATACTGCCAGATCTCATCATGAAGCGGAGGTCAGTTCACTGGTCTCCCTTGCCATTTCCCTTTATTTTTGCTTTTTTCCTTTGCAAACCCTGGGAGGCGACCGGCTGAACGTGGAGAAAAATAACCTTCGCCACTGGTCTGTGTGGGCCGCCGTTGTGCTGACAAGCCACCAAAAGCCGTCCAGGAATTGCTGCTAATCCGTGCAGATTTACCTCCAGACGCTCTCATCCATATCGAACCCACCGCGTTTCTCGCTCGCCAGATCGTGCTGCCACCGACAACCCTCCCCACGCAGATGCTGCCAACGATTACATGGCTGCGTCCCGAAGGAGTCCGTCGATGAGAGACCAGTGGAGAGCCGACGGCGACTACGATCGAGAGATACACCATCATCGCCCCAGGGCCAGGGAGAGGCACAGCCGTCGCCAACTATCACCGCCGGCTCCACGTCGTCGTGATCGTGACCGTGAAAGACCAAGTCGAGGCCGTGGCTCTGGCTCCACCGCTCATTATCACCCTTGCAGACGTCCTATTCCTCGAGGCGAGGACCGAAACCCCGAAAATACCAGAACAACTCCCTTCAAAGCCGCTCGAGAGGAAAACCGGGACGCCAAGCATTCTCTAAAAAACCAGGTAAGGTCTCGACAGAGGGAAGATTCTCCTCCGTCGCCATCAAATCCTTCCTTTCCAAGGCGCAAGCGGAGTCGAAGCCCCTCTCCATCTCGTTCTCATCGTCGTCCTCACCACAAGAAGGGGAGACACAACGACAGAGGAGATCATTTTGGAAGAGGTGGCAGACGCCCGCAGCGCTATAACTCTCCAGAGCGGTTTGTGCCGCCGCGGGAAACCGGACCTGGACGAAAATCTCATTATTCCAAAGCACCAACGTCTGATTCCCTGTCCATTTCTCGCCGCAGGCGCTCTAGATCCCCAGTTCCCTCCGATTTTGGACTACGTGCATCACTATCCCCCCATTCGCCTAGCAATCGCTCTTGCAATTCCATAGACTATCCTTCTCGTCCGCCGTCACGTCATTCGTTTGCGTCGAAGGTGTCAAGGGAATCTTCCCCGTCGCGTGCTTTTCGTAGCATGCAAGACACTCTTCCGATACAATCCCTAGAGGACGAATCTATAGGTTCGGCATCGATTTTCCGACCGGCTGCAAACGCCGATATCCCAAGTTCCAATCATTCCGTGGACGGCGATAGTCATATGCGAGACGCATATCCCATGCACGGTATGCGTCCTTCAGAGACCCGAGGCTCTCGCCGACAGGCTCGCCCGCATGTCGACACTCGTCAACCATACTCCTCCCCCCAATACATACCAGGGTCAGACTCTCGTCATCCTTCCCCCCAGTCCGGATCCCCATATGGGAGTAGTCGAGGTTCATGGGTGGGACAGCCGCAACACCCGTACCCTCATGGACAACAGAGGTCAGCCACGTAATCCGCCCTTTTCTTTTTCTTTTTCTTCTTCTCTTTTTTTTTTTTTTTTTTTTTTTTTTTTTGCTTTCACGTGCTCTCTCCCCTTTGAAGTATTTTCTTGTCATGCCTATATCGCAGTATTGACTGTTCTCTAGACAAATGCATGGCTACTCGCCCCCCTACCGTCAACCAAGCTATTCATCCCAGGGTGGATCTCAAGGGCAGTATTACCAGGGACAACCGCCGCAGTATCCCCCTTCTCCCAATGCTGGACAACAAGGTTATTCGGGACAACCACCTTATCGTGGAACGTCTTCCAGTTATCGTGGGAATCCTTACAGTCAGCCGCCACCTCCAGACCGTCGATTCTCAGCCGCAAATTCCCAAAATTATGGTTCCTCACCACAGCCACAGAGGTCCAGGAGTGGCCATTTCACAAGCTTACAATGGACAGCAGCCGCTGGTCGCGGCCGTGGCTGCCAGACGGGACCTGGACAGCCATCGCCGACTATTCCATCACTTCAACCACCCCATCATGCTCTCGACGATCCCTTGTCACCAGATATGGATGATAATGATAATCCATTCCGCCCATCCAAAGATTTGCAAGTGGAGGATGAGGAAGCGGTGAAGAAAAACGAAAACAACGATGTGAAGAAGATGCCACCGCCTCGACAAGGCTCCGGGTCATCACAGCCGAAAGAAACTGGAAAGTTCAGTTTCGCATTTAAATCGAAAGCCCCGGCTACGCCGGTGCCCAAACCAGTATCTGGACTTGCACAGAAAATGCGAGAACCTCCTCGCCCTCTAGAACCACCAAAGAAAGAGCTATTGTCTACTCAAACGAGATTAAAGCATGAAATTCGCCCGGATCGTCGGGACGACAGGCGTGACCGTGACGGCAGGAGAGGGGATCGCCGATTTGATCGTAGGGATGATCGGCGCCGGGACCGGCGAGAGGACCGCCGACCAGATGTTAAACATGATAGACGAAAGGACCGCGAACGCGAGCGAGATCGAGAGCATTCTCCACCCACCCAAGAGAAGCCGAAGAAAAAAATGCTTACACGCATGAAGCCTCGTCCAACGCTATCAGAAGAGTTCTCCAAATCAGATTCGGTCTATTATCGCAAACCTGGAAACGAGTCCGTTGTCGGTGCCGGGACGTACGGGAAGGTCTTCAAGGCTGTTCACGTATTTACAAAGAACAAGGTTGCGTTGAAGAGAATACGTATGGAGGGCGAAAAAGATGGGTTCCCAATTACCGCTGTACGTGAGATTCGACTTCTCCAGCATCTCCGGCATGAAAATGTTGTCAGCCTACAAGAAGTTATGGTAGAGAGGAATGAGTGTTTTATGGTCTTTGAGTACTTGTCCCACGATATGACTGGTCTCATTAACCACCCGTCTTTCACTCTTTCCGCCGCGCATAAAAAGCATCTTGCGAAACAGATGTTTGAAGGATTAAATTATTTACATCATCGCGGCGTTCTTCACCGCGATATCAAAGCTGCTAATATTCTTATTAGCAACAAGGGCCAATTGAAATTTGCTGACTTTGGCCTTGCGAGATTTTTTTCGAAAAGTCGGCAGCTTGATTATACTAATCGAGTCATCACTATCTGGTATCGTCCACCAGAGTTGCTTCTGGGTGAGACACGATATGGCCCCGCTGTCGATGTGTGGAGCGCTGCTTGTGTATACATGGAAATGTTCACCAAAAAGGCAATATTTCCTGGCGACGGTTCAGAGATCAATCAGCTCGATAAGCTCTACAATTCATTAGGCACTCCGACCAGAACAGACTGGCCTGCCATTATTGATATGCCATGGTTCGAGCTCATGCGACCTCGAGAAAGAAAGCAACGGGCGTTTGAAAATATGTATAAAGACTATCTGTCTCCCGCTGCTCTTGATCTTGTTTCCAAAATATTTCAGTATGACCCCGTCAAGCGCCCGTCAACCGAAGAAGTGCTCGCGCATCCTTACTTCACAGAGGAGGAACCGGCACCTCAACAAGCAATTGAGTAGGTTTTCGTCCACAATCAATTAATCATTTTACAACAGCTGCTAATATATTTATTTTTGAACAGGCTTGCTGATGTTGAGGGCGATTGGCACGAATTCGAGTCGAAGGCACACAGGAAAGAGAAAGACAAGGAGGCCCGACGGGCTGAACAGCGTGAAAGGGAAAAGCGAAGGATAAGCAACCATACTGGTGAATGTGTTGATCGCGAGCGGAAACGTACCAAAGTGGATGATGATACATCCGCACCGGTGTCCCAAGGTCCTGAGAATTGATCAGAAGCTTGGTTGCTCGTACTGTGTCGTCCGAAAAGGTTGGATTTTATAAATGGGTTTGGTGAGCGTGTTTGTTTACCACATGGCATTCGGCGGCGTTCTCTATGGGATATCAGGCCCTCTACTCCGTACCGGCACGAGATTGCGCTTTTGTGATTTTAATTAATAACTATTATTTACCTGGCTTTTTACCTTTATTTATTTATTTTTTCGCTCTCTTTCTTTTTCTTTTTTTTAGAGGCTAAAAGGAGGCAAATCGACTTACTATCAACGTGAATGATGTGGTATTGGATTTTGCCATTCTAAGAGCTGGTATCATCAACCTCTTTTGGGGCAGTATGATGAGCTCACTTAAAGTGTTCGAGCTTTTCCAAGGAGCCATTAATTTAGCAAGTGCTCTTGGTATCTGTGGTGATGTGCAAGGGATTCTGAGCACGTCTGAGCAGTGAAATTTACCAGATCCACATATCATGTTGACAGTCAGCCAACCGGATGTGGACAACCCTCTATTCTAGCATATCGACGACTTCGTAGTGACTTGGATCGCCAAAGGGTTTGTTGTTCTATATCACGCACGGTGAATCCTGATTCAGAAACAGGTATAAGGTTAAAGATATGCAATGCAAGGCGGACGAATGGGTTCTTGCATTTAAACAATAAAGTGATTTTACATTAAGCTTGGTTCACCTTCATATCAATATTGTATAGATATATATATGTATTGGACCTCACGATCTATGGGGGGAATAAAGTCAAAGTAGAGCCACCTGCAAACAGCTCACAAAAACTAATCTAAACATCTGCCTCTTCACGCGAGTCATATCTTCGACCCATGCGGAGCGCCCAAATACTCACCCTTGACCACCGCAGATATCAACTGATAGGCGATCGCCGTCTTAGGCGGCAACCTCAAGCTACCCTTCTTATATTCCGGGCCCGGCTCAGCGCCCAGTGCGCTCGTGCCGACTCTCAGGGCCTCCTCAACCTCAGCGATCTCGAACCATTGCGCATCCTCCAACTCCGGATCATGCACGATACTAATCGTCTCATTTTCCGGCTTCGCCACTTGAGCGATAGCTCCAATCATCAGGTTCGCTGGATACGGCCACGGTTGCGTGCTGTGTATAATCACGCGCGACAACACCACGCCGGACTCTTCCCAGACTTCTCTACGCACGGCGTCCTCCACGGACTCGCCCGGCTCGATGAAACCTGCAAGCGTGGAGTACCAGTTTGGCGGCCAGCGCTTTTGACGACCGAGGAGGATGCGGTTGCCGTCGTGGCTGAGCACTGCGACGATAATGGTGGGGTCTGTTCGGGGGAAACAGAGGTTGGATAATGTGGTGCGCGTGTGACAGGGTGGGCGGGCGCCGTCCGAGGAAGTTCCGTTTTCGATGAGACCGAGGTCTATGGGTGGACAGGCTCGTTTGGTGCCGGCTTGTATGGAAATCGTTGGGTGGCCACAAGTGCCGCAGAAGGAGTTCCGGACGTTCCAGTCTATTATGGCGCGGGATTGGGCATAGATTGCGGCTGGAAAGGTGGAAAGAAAAAAAAAAGAAAGGCATGGGTATTTAGTTTGCTTCTTCCTCATCAAGGATAATACGTACCATCTCCTGGCGGGAAGCTAGTGATTGTCCGTGTGTTATAGAAAGATAGTCCAGTAGCTTCCAAGGTATCAATTATCCCTCTAGCCTTGTGTTCCAGTCCACCTTTCGGTGTTACGTCCAAGGCGAAATATGGAACGCCTACATAGTTCTTATACTTCAGTCCGATCTCTGCGCGCGATTCGTCTAATCCTAAAAACACCAGTAAAGGGAGCAGGGTGCCGGAATGGTAAGATTTGAGCACATCTTCTTCTGACTTGTCAAACATGTCCGCTGGCACAAGTGACTCGACATCTTTGTACGTGGCATAGAAGATTTCTGCCGGTGATCGTACGAGAGGTGCGAGCTGATTAAATAGTAAAAAGCGAGCTGTGGGATGTCTCAAGGCACTGGATAAGAACGGAGATTCTGACCGTAGGAACGAAACCCGGTTAAGAGGGGAACCTAGGAAGAGCAAAGTTAGAACCTTTAGGTTCAACACACCCGAAAATTTCAGTGATCTTACTTGAGAAATAGTTTGCAGTTTCTTTTCCGAATTTGCGTGCGAGCATTGAGTCGTGCTCCAGGTGCTCTGGGCTTGGGTTCTCGGCAAAAGGGCGGGACATGACTTTTGGCCGGTGGAAGCGAGCGGAGAAAAGGCACAGAGAAACAGGGAACGTCAGGGTTATTCAGTAAGGTACGCGATCCATCAATCGAAAAAAGCTCGAACATCTAGACGTTTAGGGGTGCTAGAAATGAGAAATATAACCGGCCATCGATGAATCTGCCGGATTTGTCATGATGGGCGTGTTCCCCACCGCCAATACCGTCATCCGCGGAATTGGGACAGGAAATACCGATTAAACCAGAGGTGCAAAATCAGTAATACCGCAAAATCGTGAATGAGATATAAGGAGAATAACATTGATTCAAGATGGGATATTAGATGCAAAGTTCTATGTACATAAATTATGAAGTCATGACCTGGTCATTGGGAGTAGTTCGCGACGCCGGCACCAGAAACCAATTTTTTTTCTTCTTAAAAAAAAGACGATGGCTTTGTAAAAGCAAAAGAGAGTAGAGACCAGAATATCCGTCAGCCATACACGGAAATAAGTTCAAACCATGAGAATTAGGAGGTGAGATGAGTATAATAGGTTCGTAGAAGGAAAGGAGACTGTTGCTGTACGAGAAGGACAGGGCGAATTAAGGAATTAATCTCTCCAAAACCAGCCACTTCGCTTGTGCTTATCTGAAGGACTATTGGCTTCTGTGTTCGAAGTATTTCCGGTATCGCTGCCTTTGCTTGCGTCGGGATGTTTCTGGTACGACTGCTCTCTGTTTGAGATTTCCTCGGTCTCGACGCTTTCCTCTCGACCGTCCGCAAATCGTTTATTTATCACTGTTTTCGTTTTAACCGTGCCATCCGGTAGCATACGACGTTGCGTGGTTGTAACGGTAGATACGATGGTCGAGGAATTTGATTCGGTCTCTGGATTAGCCGGGGGAGTCTGCGAAGTACCAGAGAACTGGCGCTCATAGTGATCTAATTCGGTTTCAGTGTCGTAGAGCTCCTTCATATTACCCATACCGTCGGTACGATCTGTATCTTCCCACAGTCTTCGTAGTTCTTCTAGTTCTTTCCTCTGTCTTTCCCTCATCTTCACGATGATGCTTAGAAGGGGACTCTGTCGGGTACGGTCGTCGTCGTGACTGACATCGTGGAGAAACTCATCGTAAAGATCAAGCTCGGTGAATCCCTTATCATTGCCTCCGTTCTCTTCATCCCTTTGTTCGAGATCTGGTTGGAGAACCTTTGTCGACGAGGAGCGATCTTCGTGACTGTATTTAAAGTAATCGGGCCGTCCACCCTCTCCATGAACATGCTTCCAGCTAGAACCAAGGCTTCCCCTCTTTATCATTCCAGCCAGCCAATCCTTTCCCGATTCCTCTTTGTTCTGAACCATAGCGCTTCTGTCAAGCATTTCCTTACCATTTTCAATGCGCAGTAAGTCCTCGAAGGCATCGCGCCAGTGTGGCTCTGTAGTATGGTCGTCGGGGTGGGTGGGAAGTAGGGACGAAGCCCAAAATACCAAACCGTGGTCACTTGCCTTGCGACTGGGCTGATGCTGCTGGCGCTCTAAATGTAAGGGAGAATATGGTGAGAGTAAGATATAAGACATAGGCCAGCCGGCAGAGATAGCGGGGGACATTATATCGAAGAAAAATGGGTTTCGGAGAGGGGAGGTTTCAGAAAAGAATGGAGACGGAGCGAAAGGCAGGTGGCTATCGAAAATGGCGTCGAAAACAGAGCACGGGAATGCATGGCTAGAATATCGATGGGCTCTAACCCCCCAGGGATCGGCATGGCCTTGAATTGACCGGTCTTCGCGGCTTTCATTGTTTCCTAGGTCAGTGAAGCGGTTGGATCCGTGGGAATCGCGGTTGTTTGACTTGTTCAATTCCTCGTCCGCGACGCGCCGCCAGTTTCTCATCAGCTGGTTCAACTCCTCATCATTGAATATTAACCAATCCCTCGAGGATGGTGGAAATATAAGTGAGGGAAGTCCAGTGATTGACTGTAGAAGGGACGATATATGCTCATCAGCGTAGCGGCGAAATGCTATGAACGGATTGTCTTCAGGCTGCTTCGGCCTGGCATCATTTCTCTGAGTGGGCGCATGCTGTCCATTGGAAGGACGATTTTCATCGTTATTGGATGGTGCCATGACGGGATAATAACCACTTCAAAGAGCTCCCTACCCTCGTGGTGGTTAGGTATGTAGTTACACGGTGGCTGCAGAGAATCCAATCCTCTTTTGTTGAGTTGTATGTTCCAGCTGGCGGTGATCCGGCTTGTGGCGAAGAACCATCGAGACACTCTTCATTACATAATTAGACAACTAAACTAGTATTTTCCTCACGTGATTAGCTAATGCAAACACGGCAAACTTTGGGTTGCTTATCAATTCTGGTTACTAACCGATCCCGTGACCCCAAAACCTTTCCCACGTGACCGCTGATCGACTGCCCTCGCGTCAACCTCCACTATTTACAACAGGTGGGATTGGCCGACTAGATGAAAGGGAAAAGGCTCCGACATGCACAACAATGTGTGTTTCACAGATGGCTGAAAAGAAAATATTGGGGCGGTGATGTTCGTTGCGACACTCCATGCTGGATTCAGAGTTTGTCCCCCGCCACAAACTCCCCCAGTCTTTCCGATCTGCATGTTGACGATCCTGGTCAATTGCAACCGAGAGTCTTTGATCGATGCAGGGTATTCCATGCTTCTCAGTGGCTTAAATCTCTTGGTTTTGTGGTCAGATGCTCATTCGAGTTTCTTTACCGAGCCCTCACTCCCTGACCGAGAATTTTTGGGGAGCAGTTAACTGCCTACCTGTCATGCCAGTTGTCCATGTATAGTGAATTATATGTACTCCGTACCACGGAAACACATCCATACCAATGCAGAGAATAGGATTCCTACTCTCAAAAGTAGGCATGCGTTAATATCGAGCCGGCACTGATCCTAGCATCCTTGCTGCGGATCATCCCCCCACCTCTCGGTACGATCGACGGACTATGCAGGGTTTGGCCCTTTTGTCGCTTTGAGCGTCATTCCATGCACGATGTTCACCATTTGCGGGAGGACCGCATGCTTGGTGTTCGTCACCAATAATGGATTGATCTTATCATAATTGAGTTTATTTGGTGGCCCGTCACCACCCGGGGCATCCAACCTTCCCCGGTCATCCTGGTGCAGATGTTTGTTTAAACACCTTGTTTCCCATGATGATTTTTTTTCTTTACTCTCATCAATCTTAGTTGATTGATACTTCAGGTACCAGATGGCAACTGAACGATCATGGCTAGCCTCGAACCCACGCCCTTAAATTTGCTACAGGCGGAAGGCCCGGCGGAGCTGCTTAGCCGCATCGATGAACTCCGAAATTTGGGTTTTCGACATCGAATCTGCCTACCTCAGCTTGTTATCTGTGGCCATCGGGGCTGTGGGAAAACGTCTGTCTTCCAGGCAATCACCGGTCTATCATTTCCTGTAAGCCATACCGTCCGCACCCGATTCGCAATAGAAGGTATTTTTCGAAGATCAGCCGAAGTTTCGACTTCAGTGAGAATACGACCCGGCCCAAATGCCTCTCCCGACCACAAACACAAGCTCCAAACCTTTTCGGCGCAGCATAACTGGCTTGAAAACGTTTCCGAATTTCTTGAAAAAGCCGAACAATATATAGGTTTAAACGAAGAACGACGTTTTTCGCAGGATACCTTGCAGCTTGAGGTTTCGGGCCCTACACTTCCGGATTTAACGGTTATTGATTTACCAGGTCTCATCCAAGAGCCTGGTGATAATGAGACAGTAGAAGATGTCGCCTTAGTCAGAGAACTTACGGAGTCCTATACGAACAATCCGCGAAGCATTGTTCTGGCTATCATTTCTGCAGATATACCTCTTCGCCAGCAATCTGCCCTTCAGCTGACTGCGTCCTGTGCGTCAAGGACAATGGGCATTATCACAAAGGCTGATAAGTTGGACCCATGTTCTTCTGGGTTGACTACCTTGTATGCACGTGTAAAGCACCAAGATACACCACCGAACCTTGGGTGGCATGTTTTGAAAAACATCGATACTGAACACAAGGGATCATTTGGGTTAAGTCGGGACGAAACTGAGAGTCTCTTTTTAAGCAGCTCTACGCCGTGGAAATCTCTTTCGCCAAATGCAGTGGGAATAGATTCCCTTAGGGATCGTTTAAATAAGATATTATTGAGCCAGGTTGAACTGCAGCTTTCAATGTTATCTTCCGAGATCCAAAAGGAACTTGAAATCCAGAGAGAATCGCTGCAGAGGTTAGGTCCGGACATGTCCACGCCGGCGGAGCGTCGATTCCATATTACCAGCATCGGGGAAACGATCCAAACATTCACAAGGGACGCTGTCCTAGGCGAATACTCCGATTCCTATTTTCGACAGCGCTCGAATCGGTCAGTAAGACGGCTCCGCTCGATAATCCGAAAATGGGCTGAAGATTTTGCTGTGGATATGAGGCAAAGGGGCCATAGCCACTATATATATGATAATCCTACGATGAGCATTGCGCCAACGCTAGGATTTCCTGATGATCCGCAACCCATGTTAAAATCTGAGTATATCCGTGGAATTCACCAGCTTCTGAAATCCAATAATGTTCGAGGAATAACCGGACTGGCGAATTCTCGTATCATCGGTGAATTATTTATACGACAGTCCTTAAAATGGGACAAGATAACAAAAGCCCACATATCAGAAATTTGGAAGAAAGTGAAGCAGTTTCTAGATGAACTCCTCCATCATATCGCCGGTCCCCACACTAGCAAAGCTATTATGCGGGAGATTATTAACCGGGAAATGGAAGAACGGCTACGGAAAACCAATTCTAAGGTTGATGAACTGTTGAAACCGTACAAGAGAATGATACCGTCAACTCTTAACGAACAGCTGAGCTTTAGATTACGTCAAATTCAACGCAAAAGCTCTGAGAAGGCGGATCCTAATGATATCTCGGATGACGTGGACCTTTCGCTTTGCGATGAAATTCTCGATTGCATGCAGGTGTATTATGCCACCGCTCTTGGGGTTTTCCTCGACAATATTGCGGGGTTGGCTATTGAAAACTGTCTTTTGGATGGGATTGAAAGCATCATGTCACCAACTCGGATTTCACAAATGACAGATAACGAAATTGAACGTCTCGCAACTGATTCCAACGAGGTGAGGAATGCCAGGGCTGCAACTGCAAGAAAGGTCAAGGTTTTTGAGGTGACTGCAGCGGCTTGTACACGATGTCAAATGGCGGCTTTGGAGTCTTCCGCGCAGAATTATACTACATCATCGGATATTAGCACCCCAAACTCTCCTACTTTTGGATCCGATTTTTCATCACAAAAGGATTCCCCTTCTTCTTCCGAGGTTGAGTTTTTTGAGAACACGCCAGTTCGTCGATCACTATCCAGGGGTATGAGACACAGGAGGTCCAGCAGTTCCCGCGGTGTTTTGATGTTTCCTGTACCCATTCGGATAGAAGAAGTGCCCCCGAGCACTGCTGATAAACGCCCTTCTTCTTCCATCGGATCCAACCCCCCGTCTCCAGCACGACCCCCACCCTTTGAGCCTCGGAAGCCATCCTCCCGACGGTTGTCCGTGGGTGCATCTCGGGTTCAAGCAGTGCCTGATCGCCAACCTACCCCTGACCTTTTACACCCTGGAAATGCTAGCCCTAGTCGTATATACACACACGGGCGAGCCGTCTCAGCGGATAAGATCGTTTCAAGGTCCCATGATCTATTGAGTCCCGCTAGTTTTTCCTTCGAAGCGTCGCAACATAGGCGTGCTCTCTCTGTGGAACGGATAATGCCACCATTGCCTGAAACCATGGCCCCAAGCTCTCGGCATATGCGAGCTTGGTCGGCGGAAAAGTTCACTACTTTACCGGCCCCACCACCGAGAAGCCCTGCCCGGCGAACGCTCTCCCTTTCTATCCTTCCTGGCCCAAAAAATAATGGATTTCGCCCTCTGCAAAGACGGCTCTCCAAGCTAAAGCCAGTAAACAAAGCTAAGAGGAAATCTATACCGGAGATTTCTTTGCCCTTTAACTTCCATCACTATGGCTCTGTGGCATCTATGGATTCTGCGAAGGCAGTCTGAAAGTTAGCCTTGCTCAACGGCAAGAGCAATGAATTCTTTGAGTAACATACTACTATAACAAGTTGCAAACATGGTTATGCCTGAGCCACTTTCCTTTGTTTATTTCTCGCGGATAGTAATATGGTCTAGGGAGTATAGCGTGGTGCTCCCCAGATTGTCGCAAGTCATGCTTTTGCCTCTCAGCTTTCGGTTTGCTACAATTGCACCTTTCATTAGAAGGTTTGGGCTCTGGCCTCTGGTGAACCCCTGGATCCCTTTCACACATCAATTTGCGAAGTGGAAGATTGGAAATGTCTCTTTCATTATTACGAAGCACTGTACGGAGTAACTACCACTGCATAAGGAATTTAACATATCTTTGCGAGCTATCACCTATGCCATGGATAACTAGGCAATCCTGGAAATTTAAAACGCGACAACTACCACCACGTATATGTTTACTAGAGACTGTCCATTAATGGCAACTTTAATGTTGGGGTTGGCCTTGATAGGACAATTTTTCTGTCTCATCAGATGTAATAGATCTGGCTTCGTGCGACACGGTACTCCGGATTCCTGGAATACACTATATACCAACTCTCACTTACGGTTTCGTCACAAATGGGATGACTTGAGGCGTGAAAACAAAACGCTCTCGAAAAACCTTTCTGCTAATCGGTTGTCGCAAAACAATTTTAAAGTTAGGCAGGCGGGAATTGAGATTGGGGCTGATTTTTCTTTATTCCTAGCACTCTGACCAAATCGCAGGCCTCAACCCATAAGCTGCAGCTGATCGTCAGGCGGCCAGCGGACTTGTGCGAAGGTAAGGCATCGTTTAATACTTTGAAGGAACTTCCTGGTTATCTCATCACTCATGATATGGGCTTTGTCTTGACCACCTTCGTGAAGCTTTTCCCGTGCAGAACGTTCATGGATACCAACCATGGTAACACCGATAGGCCAAGCGCTAGTATCATACATATCAGCGACGACATCCTTGATAGAGGAATGTGAAGAGACGATACTTACGCTTTTCCGATACTCAATCTCAAATACCCATCATTAGCATCGACGTACCGGCGATTCTGCGCATTTCTAACAATTTCGACAATGGGTCCTAAAATACCCTCTTCAACGTCGGCATTTTCAAACTTCTTGAACAAAGGTTTCATATTATCCCTCGACTGCACCATAGCATTGTATGTCTGACGGCCTTGAAACGTGCTTTTGACGCTATCGTCTCTCTTGGACAAAGCAATTTCCCACTCTTTTAAAACCATCGTAAAATAAGACGCAAGCTGTCTGAAAAGATATTTTTTCCCTTCTTCATCCTCTGGGACCTTGTCTGGTACTTTCATTTCCGCCTCCGGAAGGAGCTCCAAAGTCGTAGGTATCGGGCCATCGGACAGTTGCTTCTGCGGCGTAGCGGATCTCTGCACAAGGCGTCTATACCTCTTCAACCGACCCTTATCACTCTCTCCGAATAACCGAATCGGTTCGCCCAGACTCCTCAGTTTCTCCACAACTTCTTCCTGGCCAACAATCTCTTCGCCTTCCAAAGGCGTCTGCTCCTTGCCACTCTCACCATTCTCCTCTGCAGGCGTGACACTCAGCCCCAGCCTTTTCCTCCTCTCCGCCTCCTTCGCCGCCTCTTCCGCTTCTCTCCTCCGTCTCGATTCCTCGGCAAGCCGCCGCCGCTTCTCCTCACGGATCCTATTTCGCTCCGCCTCTTCCTCGTCTAGTTTTCTCTTTCGCTCCGCGCGCTCTTCTCGTTCTCTTTGTAATCTCTCCTGCTCTGCATTGTACGCGGCGACGCGTGCGGTTTCAAGTTCGGAACGGCGCACATACTGCTGGTTTTGTTCCGTCTGGGAGGATTGTTTCGCTGGTGGTTTGGATTTGGCAATCTCTTTGGACATTAACGAGGCAAAATCCATGATCGTATAGCAGCACTCAGAAGACTGATAATCTAGAAAACAACTGCTCACGTTGGATATCCCAGCTGTTCCAACGAGCTTCCTCTGGAGGCGGCGCGGCCACACTCGGAGAAATAATGTTCCACTACAACGGACTTTATTTATTCCGGCCAGCTGCTGACCTTGGTTGGAATATTGCTGTGGCTCTTCGTCAGGGCTAAAAATAAAAGTACGACCGAACTCAGGCTATGTCTGAATATCATCTTCTCATTAATTCATATGTACTCCGTACGGAGTACAGCAGATCATTCTGTGTCGCATGTTGCACTAAATCTAAAAGTACATATGATAACCAAGATCCCATCTACTCCGTAGTTAGATGTCATTAGTCTAAAACCTTATCGGCCTTCCTGCAAGAGTTTCTTTCGCTTCTGTCTCTCCCTTTCAAATTTCCTGAACAGCGGATGATGGCTTACTTTCTCCTTCAGTTGTTTATTTCTGCTCTTATTATGCTCAATGTAAGCCATATCTTCGCCACCTGCGAGCCCGCTGAGCGTGGCAGCACTGCGTTTCACAGCAGCTTTTCTAGCGGCTTTAGCCCTCGGCCCGCCAGAACGTTCGCTAAATAGGTCATCGACTACTTCTTCAACGGCCGCAGACGTTTCATTCTGCAACATGACTTCCTGTAAGAGCTCACGACGTTCCGCTGCGGTAGCATACGCGAGACCCTCGAGGTTCTCAATACCTTGGAGATGCGTGATGACCTTAAAAGCATAACCCTGATCGACCAAAAATGCCTGTCGCTTAGAGGAATAGTACATTTCATCCGTATCCTTGGAGACTAACGAGTAGAAAAAGGCGTTAAAACCTTCATCATTTCTGCGTTTAGCCCGGAGGATGCGTCCTAATCTCTGAGCCTCTTGACGTCGAGAGCCGTAGTGAGATGATATTTGGATCAGGCAGGTCGCCTCTGGAAGATCCAAGGAGGTATCTCCAATCTTTGAGAGGAATATTGTATTCACCTGCTCATTGTGTTGGAAATTTTCCAGAATTCGCAAACGCTCGTTTTGTGGAGTCCCTCCATAGATATATGCCTTGTTCAACTTCAAGGCATATCGCTCCAACGCGTAGACATTATCGGAAAAGACGATAACCTTATCTCCGCGTTTCTCATGATAGTCGATCAGAAATTGACATGCCTGGAACTTCCTTGGATTCATGATATATAGCAGAGCAGCCTTTCTCGACTTTTCACGCATATATTCAGTATAGAATTCTGTTGTCATGGGGCACCAGACTTCTGCACATTGGACTTTAGCGATGTGACCTTGCTCCGCCAGTTCCATCCAGTTGGCTTCATAGAGTTTAGGTCCAATAAGGAAGTTAAGATCCTTGATCTTGTCGTCTTCTCTCAGCAACGTCGCCGTCAAACCAAGCTTTGTCTGGGTGGCGATAGCAGAGGTGACCTTTCGGAACATGGATGCGGGCACGACATGGACTTCGTCCAGGATCATTAAACCCCATTCCCTAGATTGCATCCAATCCATCATCTTCTCGGCATCATGAGATCTAGCGCGAGTTTGCGAAACCATAGAGTATGTCGAAACGATGATACCAGTACTTCTTCTGAACCTTTCCTTATTGTCAGAGGTAAATATAGCGATGTCATTAGGATCAATATTCGACCATCGTAAAAATTCATTGCGCCATTGAACGACCGACATGGAACTTGTGCACAGAACTATAGTTCCTTTCTTGATTGTGCACGCCGCAGTAATCCCAACTAGAGTCTTTCCTGCTCCGCAGGGCAAGACGATGATTCCACTCTTCGCTCGACCGTTTCCAAACATTTTACTTAAACTTTTTTCCTGATAGCTCCGGATTTGGGCGTTGGGCTTAAGATCAATATCCAAGGTCGGGTTTATCTCGTCATTGCGAAAATCGTATTCTTCCAATGCCGGACAACCCATACTCTGACATCGCGCTTTCACGGCTTCCACACTTGTGTTAGGAATTTCAAAACTATGAACCTGCGCCTGATCCTCATCATCGTCGTCCTCGTCTCTTAGCGAGACCAATAAATCATCGTCCTTGAGTGGAGGAGCTTCTCCTTCTCCATTTTCAGGTTTCTGGTCAGGATTTTGCCTAAGGCCGGCAGCATCCTTTGTCCCAGGGATAACCAGCCCGCCCATTTTGGGAGCAGCTTGCTGTATAATGCCCTCTGAGTTTTCGACCCTCTGCGCACCGATAACTTCATCTTGTAGCAACGTCTGCAGCATCGCTGGATCGGAGCTTTCGACAAAAAATCGATTATGTTTTAGAACAACTTTAATCTTCCCATAGGACTTTGTGAAATTCACGATAAACTGCTTTATGGTCTCAGGGAGCGGCGTTTTCGAAAGTCGATCGAGAAAGTTAATGATGTCTGCGGGCAGCAGCCCCACCGATACAGCAGCGTAGAGACTATTTCCGGTCAATCTATATTCATGAAGATGTGTAGGACGAGATAGGGGCTCGGCTATCGTAGTAAGAAAGTCTTGCGCTTGCGAGGCTAACGGCGAGAAGCTCTCCAAGGTGATCGTTCCCTTCAAGGGCTCAATCCATAGTGGTCTATTCGCATGGTCGGGCTTCAATGGCAAGGACGAAAAATCCTTATACCCAAAATGAGGATCTTGTTTTAATACCTGGGACTTCTTGTCGCGGCTAAAGGTCTGGAGGGAGAACTTCTCCACGACCTCTATGAGCAAGAACGGACATCGGTCAGTCTTATGAACAATGCGTAGCGATAACCAAGTCCGGCTTTACTTTTTATATTATCTCCATCCACATCGGAATCCTGCACACCGGGGTCTGTGTAATCATCATCGCTAAGAACGCTCTGTGGTGTGGAACTCGGGACCGGCGTGGCGCGCTTTGAGGCTCTTCCTACCCGGGAGCCTGTATCAGAGTTAGTCAAGCCCGCTAGGCTATAAACAGGGCTCGAAGAACAACGCACCATCGACAGCCTTTCTTTTGGGAGGCATAGTTTAACCAGGCAAGGAATCAGGCTACCGGGCAAGATGGAGAAGCCGGTTGCGCGTCAAACAACGTCATCCAGGGCTCCTCAACTTGCTTCTGATAAATACAGAGAGAAACTGCACAGTCCGGGTTCAAGCAATGAGCTGGAGAAAAGCCTATGGCCAATAGCCTGGGAGATGATGGCAAAAGCTCACCAGGAAGCCATTCGTCGATGGAAGGCGAGCGAGAGATGAGCAGATGAATGTCGCCGTTAGCCCACTCAAGTAATATCACGTGATATATTAGCTTACTCAGCATACGTCTGTGCTCCGACGAAAGCGGTTGTGCTCTGATTGGCTGAGGCCGGCCCCATCGACGTAATAGCAAAATTCGGGATTCCCTGCGCTCAGGACGGCGAACGACAAGCTCATGAAAATATTAATGCGAATCCCCGAATCCGGCTCATACTTCCTTACTCCGTCGCCTTATACGTAGCGAAGCATACCATTGCAAGTCCCAAAATGAATACTGTAAGTGCTGCTGCAAAATACCAGCGTTTCGCAGCTTTCGGAATAAGTGACTAACTTCTTCGAAGATTCGATCTACCTGGTACGCGGTGATTACACCCCAGATTGTCTAATTAGAATGACTGTTTCCTCGGTTAATTCAGCCGATGGTATCTAACCTCCTCTCCCTTAAACAGGATTGGCTGGGGCTCCCTATGTGTTGGTATGCGCTCCCAGCTCTCCCCATAATCAGGATGCTTCTATCCCGAGATAAAAGAAATCATGCCCTCTAACTAATCCATTTTCCTCCTCAAAAGCTGGTGCCGGCGCATACTACTTTGCCAAACGCTCCATAAACGCTGATCGACTCTCTCGTCACGAAGCCGCCCAACGAGCCAAACAGGAGGCCTCCAAAAGAGAGGCCGAGGCCAGAGCCCCTTCGTCAACGATATCTAAGCCGCCATTTGCCGTTCCCCCTACACCCGGTGCTTCATCATCAAATGAAATCCAGGAGGCGGCCGGTGGTGGTAAAATAGCAAAGAGCATATCCGCAAATGCATTCGGTCAGGATGATGTAGGTAGTCCCAGCGAGGAGATGGGCCATGATCCGGCGGCGACAAGGCATGAGCCGGACACCGAATCACAACGCGTCTCAGAAAAGGGGAAGTACGAAGCTGCCGAGCTGTTTCGGTCGAGAAAAGGGGATCGATTCAGCTAAAACGGGTTGCCTGCGGACAACTTCGACGGGCTATGATGCCAATGTCACTCCACCGGCCCTTGCCAAAACCCGCTAGCGCTCCTTAGACCCTGGAATCTTACTCCGCCAGAGAAATAGTTTATTAATAACTGTTCGCATACTGTACATAGAAAAGTCTCGTGCCTTGCACGATTCGAAAAATATCTCCGCTCACGCTTTGCCATTGGTAAAGGAATAAGGCATTAGCCTCCGATTCCAGAACGCACCATAGCTGGAAGAAAAGTATCACCAAATATTTGGGTGGAAGTCTGAATAGAGTTAGGTCAGCTCCTTATTACCGTGTGCTCGTGTCAGTGCCAACGCTGCAAAAATGTATGGAAAGTTGCAGATTGCTCATCAATTCCGAAAATTAGCTGCTGCTAATTTAATATGACAGGAACTAAGTGCCATTGGAGTCCAGAAGGAATTAAAAAAGGAATAGAAAGCATTAAAAAGTCGCCCTGCAACTCCATTCCCAGATACCATGCCTTGAGGCCCGCCAATGACACTGGATTCAAAACCGGGTAAGTAAACGACTTGGATATAGCCCGCCTGGTACGGGAAAATATGCAACCCTAGTCAATTAAAGACGACAGACGTGTGGGACCAACATTTGTTCGGTAAGATTAGTCTGTCGTTACTATGTACGGAAGCAGAGCGGCGGGTAACTACTATCAAAAAGTTAACCCAGTACAGTTTAAAGCCAGGGTAATAAATAAATTCAGGGAACATACTTGCTCTCATGAGTGTTCCCGCTCCTCTTTTGCCGCAAGCTTTCCAGCGCGGGGTGAATGAAAGGTATCACGACCAGAGCAACGAGCGCAGAATTCGCAACAAACCGCTGGGTTCGACTCTCTGGCTTGGGCCCCTGGGCGGAGAATTGGCGAATGGAAGAGCGGGTTACAGCTCGCGCAAAGGACATTGTTGTTGTCTGCGTGGTCGTATTCTTTATAACTACTCCGCGCTTGGGCTCTCTGCTGAGGCAACAAGAAGGCAGGGGAGGGGCCACACTGCACCATCAACCATCCGTCAGCAACCCATCAGACGCTAGAGAGGTTAGATTCGGTGTCATGAACCCGAAGAGAGCACATATATCAACAAGGGAGAACATTGCTCTGCAGTCATCTGGCTCATGCTCGTATCTTCGTAGGGTTGACGTTGTTTGAAAGCTGAGAGGCCAAGGCTTGGGCGAAAGTGTGAAACTCACCTGTTGTTAACTAACTAACTAACGAGTTTAACTTGCTTACTGCCTATGCTTGTAGCGTCCTCCTAGCTGCGAGCGAGAGGGAGTAGTGGAATTAAAAGGGTTGAAGAATTCACCAAATGAAAAAGTATATGACCTCACATCTCGTTGGCTGTAATTATCGGAGATAAATAAACAAAAAAATGATTGACTGCATCTGGTAGCTAGCAGCCCATCTCCTGACCATGTTTCTCCCGGAAACGTGAGCAGGATGGCGTGGAATCCATCCGGAAGATCACACCATTCTTTAGCATGCTTCCGGCCAGTCAAAGGTGGGGGAAAGTAACTCAGCAAAGGCACAGAAGTTAGTTCGGCAGCGGAATTCATCACCTGATGATCGCATCACATTTCTCGCCTGCTGTGTATGTACATCATGCATACTTCAACTGGCTTGGAAGTTGCTTTACGCTTGCTCTATTTATAGTTGTAATAGATCAAGTAATTTAGTGGCCATGGATGGTAGCATAATCTAAGCTATGTGGTCAAGATAATACGGAAGAATTGCCATATTTCGAATTTCTTAGATCATTTAATATTAGGAGTATGTTCATGCTTTTAAACTACACTGATGTTGTTGACTTAGGAGCCAGCCTTACCAGTCAAAATACCAAGTTACTCTTGATCGTATATAACTAAGGACTTTTTGCTTGGGAATAAAGTGTTTCGTCCCGTAAGAAAGCACAATAATTTAGCTGATTAGGATATATCCAGTCCAGAAAAATGAAATTCATGTCTTCTCTTATCACCATCCAAAATTCTCAGGCGTCTCTTCATATCTCCAATCCAGAAGCCATATGCAGATCCAATTTGACTTATTGATAAACACAAGATGATGAGATTCAAAGATATCTATTGGCAGCGTGACTAATGTAACCAGGCTATTGGGTATACGCACAGGGCGCTGGGCCTCAATATCATAGATAAAGATTGTTGAAACAGCACTCTCTTGCTGCAGTCCAGCTTCAACAGTTATTAGGAGGTATTTGTTGCCTCGAGTTATAACTGTCATGCTCTCACGCCAGCCGCAGGTTGCTGCATGCAATTGAGGGGGAGCGTTATTCTCGAGATTTTCTGCATGGGAGGCTGTCCGGTCTAAAAGAGGCCAGTTCAACTGATCTACGACTTCTAGACCGGCCCGCTCGCATAGCGAAATTTCTCGACCACTTGTAGACACTACGGAGTAGTTTGTCCCTGTTAGGCCAGTGATTTATCTAGCGATTTCCGCCCCGTATGTTGAGAATCTTAAGAAAGTTGCCGCTCATCATGCGAACGAGGCGTGAGGTGCGCGCGGTGGAAATGAGCAGGATGGCGGATTCACGAGTTCCTGGAGCTCATTCTATCTTTAAAGCATGATAGCCATCCTCTGGTGCATTTAACGTTCCCAGCATGCCTCTAATGACCGGCATATTTGCTTCTATTTTCACCTTTTGTGCTCTCGAACCTGCAAAGTCAACCTCTGGATAGTTAGTTACCTAGGGTAATGGACTGCTAACTATCTACCGGCAGTTTGGTACGAGGACACCAGGTGCTGCAACAGTGCGTTGAGTATCTTGTAGGTAGATTCTTGAGGGCTAGAGAACTTGCAGACGGTATGATGATTTGCATCGAGAGGAGCTCTAACTTCGCCAGGACACCCAATTTTTGCCGATTCCTTACCCACTATTTTCTAAGAATAAAGTCAGGTCACGCCCAAATCTGCAGGGGTGGTCATCGACCATACCATCGAGATGAACCGAGTGATAGGGGTGGGCTGTAACTCATAAAACGAGAATATCTCCAAATTATGAATAAAAGATCGAAAGCTTTCGGTAATCTCGCGAATAGTCCTCGAGTTCACATCCAGTTCTCTAATATAGCGCTTGGACGAATGACCAAAGATCGAAATGGAGAGAATCCAATTCAAACTTCTCGCAAGCTTGGTTCCGTGGTGAGGTGTTGATAGAAAAATGACCGCATGAATATTTTTCACAATAGCGCTAAATTTATCACTGCAGATTCCCTGAACATATGCCTGAGACTTCCTATCAGTAAAGACAATAAGGTTTCTAGCAAAAAGAGCTCTCTACCTGCTTGAAGACAAGTCCACCGAGGGAGTGGGTGACGAATATAAGCGGCTTCTGTTTTTGTTAGCATGCTTCTTTCGGGACTGCACGCCTTGGCCACCCCCACCTTTCCTAACGCAATGCTCCTTGACTGATTATCCATCGCGTATTTCATTTCAAAAAGCAGGGACCTTGCGAAATCCAAAATATCGGCTACAGAGCCACTTCGCCTCCGCCCAAAAAGTGCATTATAACCAAACGTCAAAATCCTTGCCTCGCAAATATTTGGTTCTAGCGGAAGCCATTGCTGAGGCCATCTAAGGTTTGGATCACCATCCTTTGACCACGTCTGAAGGCTTGAGCCCCCGAGCCCGTGGACAAATATGATATCGGCAGTGTGTTGCGCCTGAGGCTCGTAGAGTACAGTGATTCCCAAGGGATCTGCCGAACGGTCTTTCACAGGCTTTGTCGAAAGTGTCGGGGCCGGGCCGATAAACGTACTATCATGTTCACACGGATTAGGGATGTCTTGCAAGCCGACACTCTCTTTGCTGAATATGAATCTCTTTTTCCAAGTTCTCTTCAAATCGCGAGAATGATCGCGAAACCTGCGCAACTGTGGACCGTCAGCACAGCGTTACTCTCGAAAAATTGATCCAGCTTAAGAACTGAGGCGCACCATCACGCCCAACGATCGTCGCTACATAATCTCGGGCCGAGTCACGGGGTCGTCCCCACGATAGAAGCCTGGCTCCCTTTCCTGGGATCCGGTCGATTCTCCGTTGTCCACTCCGTCATATTAATTAAATAGGTTGTTAGCTGCTGGTTCTTTTGATTAACTCGCCAAGTTCCTTCATAAACAGGGATCTCATTGGACAGATTGGCATTTGTTGGTCTCGTTGCTTGGCTCAACCTCCCACTTGACAGCAAATTCTCCTTAAATATTTAATTCGTCCTGATATTAAGCCCAGATATTCTGCTTTTGCCTGCTGTTTATTATATGCTACCACTCCTTTTCTCAAAATGTGGTATGAGGGTAGTTATATGCTTGCGCTTCATAGCCCAGCAAAACTAAGACAACCGGGCACCAAGCCAGGACATTATAACTGGTGGTTTTCCCTCAGAGTGACGAGCATGCTTGATTAACATTGTACGAGTACAACAGTGCTTTCCGCCTGGCTCCAAGATGGTTTCAGCTGTCGGTTGTGGGGTTTCATCATCGTCTCGAACTATGGGAGTCACTATTAAAGACAACCCGGGGAAAACAAAGCAATATTTTCTAAAGGTCAAGCTTGACCATACTGAGTTATATCGCACCGTTTCTCATATGATTCCAATATCATATTCATAGGGAGAGGTCAGGAACCAATCTAATCTAACATTTTTCTTCCTCTCTGATTATCTGAATCACACCAACAAAGCTTGCTGAAGAATTGGTCAACCTTCATACAAAAAGCAAATCTCAGCCACAATATTTTGGGTTTTATGCTCCCACATTTGACGGCAAGGTGCGGCAAAATTCTGCCCGGGATTCAAGTTAGGCATCCTTGGATTGGACGTTCAGCTCAAGGACCCATGGACAATGCTTGAGCATCTAGTGCAGCACATTTCTAAATGCGTAATCACTAGATTAATTGACAGGCAGACTCAGGATGGGGAATCGATTAAGTCTACTTTGATCCACGGCGACTTCTGGGAAGGTAACACCGGAACGGATGCGGAGACAGGTAATACTTACATTTTCGACGCATGCTCGTTCTATGCTCATTATAAGATGGGGCTGGGTATGCGGAGAAAGGCCCTTCATAAAATAAACACGAAGGCTCTAAGCAAGGGTACCCCAAGCGGATGGAGCCAAGCAAGCCGGCTGAGAAGGAGGACGCCCGGGTGCGCTTATATAGTGTGAAAACGAACTTATGTTTTCAGCACATAACCCCTCTATACCAGACATCAGTGAGCGTAATAATAATCTCTATTCCTGGGTGGGTGCCTTCACTTACTCTTGTAGGGCGCATGATGATTTGTTGTAACTTTCGGTTAAATACGCTCTAAGGATATCAACAATAAATGAGCAAAAATTTTCCAGTGTATAGGCGACGGCCCCTTAATCCCTTGGGTTCCCTGATTTTGGATCGGCAGTCAAGCCTACGCTTCCTTCCCACGATTGACACCTGAGGGGATACGCTGAAGGCATCGTCGAGGTCATTGTATGCAGGTTAAGGGGCGGCTTGTGTGTCCAAAGAGGCGGCGTTTAATCTATGCCGAAGGGTTATTTGTTCTAACTTGGGGTGGCCATGTTTGAGGACCGAAAGCGTGGAATCGTAGGAAGCTCTTCAGCTTAGCGTGGGGTTCACGAGAGATTCTTCAATTGTGAAGGATTCATACGGAAATCCCCGAAATGAAGTGGGAATGGGCCGAATTGCTGCCTCGTTCCGGTTACAGGGACTCTTCCTTAGAGATTCCACATTTGGCTGGGTTATTACCGGGGTCCCTTCAATTTTCGGAACTTTGTAAAAAGGCTTCCGTGCGTTGGGCCGAGGCGGCAGGCCAGGATTGAACGGGATTTTGCGAGTGGCGATAAAAGGCCGTAATGATGGGTCTGGAAGAGATGCTTTAGCTGGATGAGTTTTGTACGGCGCTCTTCGCGGAGCGGCTAACTGAGTCGGAGGTCGCTGATTGTTAGTTTCGCTCCGGAGGGAAATCGTGCGCACTGGGGCGTTCAACAGAGACTCCTCGATTGTTTGCGATTCATAGGGTGACAGCCGTATAGGAGGTCCTATAATACGTCGTCTTTGATTGTAGGGGCTCTTCGAGACATTTGAGGGCTGCTGGGCTCGCGAAAGAGATGCTTCGGTCGTAGGAGGCTCGAGCGGTGGCCGCTGTCGTACAGCAGAGGCGGTGGTTTTTTCATAGGAGCGACCCGGAAAAGGATCCCCGCGGAGGAAGGATTCTTCAACTGTTATAGATTCGTATGGTGACCTCTGCATAGTAACAGCTGGCTTCGAATAAAGTCGAGCTCTTGAGGTCAACTATCGGAGTTTCCCCATAGGGGAATCCGCGAATGACATGGTAGAAGGTAATATTGGAGGGGTGCTTTCATCCAAAGGATGGAATAAGTAGGGACAACATTTCCGGGAGCAAAGCTGCATGATACGGGGCAAGTTATAACTCCTCTGTGGAGGATCGCGAGTCTCAGACTGTTCTCATGCGCCTTGGATGGCTGTTCCGTGCAAACTCGACAATTCAGAGACGCTCGGCATCCTGGCTCCGCAATGAAAGAGTTAATTTTAGTTTAAAATCAATGCTTATTGTCACTGTTAGAACGTTACAATTTCCCTCTTGAGGTTACTGGTGGTTCATGTAGCCCATGGGGTCTTTTCGGGTAAGCATGGGAAATCTGTGGCTGAGACATTGCTCCTGTTTCTCACGAGGCATGGCCCAGCCGACATTTGGCCCTAAATAGCTAAATGCCACCTTTTCTCAAGGAAAACAGCATCGACAAAGAAGTTCAGCCCTAAGCCTGCCAAGTGAAATTTTCGTCCTAAACCACAACAGCATGGAATGCGATCGAAGAGTGATTCTACTTCACCGGTGGTCGATTCTTTCGCATTGGGGTTCAGGAACTGCCCCATTGATGCGTCAAGTTCAATGTCGACGGGCTAACCCGCATAGCCGCCGAAGCGTGTGGTAGCTCTTAGTGCGTGGGGGATGTATAATATGTCTTTGCTCTGCAGCGTGGTCAACGGCCCAAGTGGCTAGTAAGGTTCCAAACTCGAGTGCTGGGACAACACGGCGCAACAGCATCTGGAGTTGCTACACTGGATGGTGTGAGCCTATCCAGATTTTACTGTGTGTACCAAGATTATGGTGAATTATAGATTGGAGGTGTTCCTCATGTGCCTATACCAAAAGTGCTGACTGGGGCTTCAAGAAGGCAAAATCTGGATGGTCAGAACAGATCATAATGGAGATACCTCTTGATGTCCTGCTGGACGAATTATAGGGCCAACTATGTGTCGGTGTAAGGTGAAAGGTAGTCCAAATCCTTGCAAAAATACCCAGATACTGTGGATTTTGATAGAGGCCTATGTAAGTGGTCCCTTATTTGAGCCCAGCTTGTAAGGAGAACAGTTGAGCTAATAGTGTTGTGATAGTATTGGCGCGGGCTGGTATTGCACAACACTCAGGGCAACATGCGGGTTTTGTAAGCTGCTGTTCATGGCCCACTGGAGAGAAGAAGGAATTAGAGATGGCAGGCCAGCGTAATCTATTGAGGCTCGAAACTAGAGCCTACAAAGGCAGATGATTGAGTGACCCGAGCAGCCTTGCAACTTTCTGTTTCAGGACCAGTGATGCCGGTAGCTCTGATCCGATGTTCCTGGGTGAATTGAATACAAAAGAGTAGTTAATGAAAACGTCTTCTCTCGTAACCGATAACATCATGGATATCCTTGACTTGGCCTGTCACGGATTTATGATTTTCCGAAATACAAACAACACAAACAGCTCCAAGCACGTGGACGCAACCGAAGATTGGGACGCGGGCTCTTGGCATCTCAGGTGGATGCTATCCATAGCCGCGATTCATGATTCTGCAAAAAGATGGTGATAATGCCAAATATCAAGCCAATATGACGTCTCATCAGGTTGCGATCGCCAAGGCTTCCTTCTCTGCCGGCCTTCTTCGACCCGACCCTACATCTGTTCCGCGAGATGAGATAACCGAATTCCACAATGCGCTCGACACAGCGTTGTCGCGCTGCTCACCCGCGAACATCCAGGTTTGGGACAATTGAATCCTTCAGGTTTTACGGGATAGCTAAAGTATTCCTTTTCTTTTAAAAATAACCGCTAGGCCTGCAAAGCGTGGATCTTGAAAAACATTACTGAATCTGCAAATCGGGTTGGAGTATTAGGAAAGTATCTCACTGCTCTTGCGACATTCTTCCCGTCCACTCGAGATTTGCAGACCCAACCCTCCAGCAACGAAGCTCAAAAGGCATCTCCGAAACGGAAAAGACTGCACATCCTGTACCTTCTCAATGACCTTCTCCATCATACAAAATATCACTCTGGGCACACATCTCCGTTTGCGACGCTCACAGGCTCGCTGCAGCCATACTTAGTCGACCTCTTTGCTCTCGCCGCGGCGTTTGACCGTCAACGAAATCCAAACCATTTTCGGCGTTTGGCGGAACTACTGGATATCTGGGAATACGATGGATATTATAGCAAGGACTATATTAACAAGCTGCGAGAGACCGTGGCAAACCCGGAATTTCAAGATGCGCAGGGCCTAGAATCAACTGCACAGGGTATGAGAGCCCAAGCGGGGAAGAAGATACATCCGAAAGATGTACCATATGTCATGCCTGCGACCCATGGTGATCCAATGGCATCTTATCACGAATTACCCGCCGGCAATCTTCTTCCGCATATCATCCCCAACTCTTCGATACCCATCAAGACACAATCGGTAAAAGCTCTCCAGTTTGTTGCTGGACCTGCAGACGAGTCTCTCATCAGAGCAGTAAAGTCCTTACTCAAAGATGTGGACCAAATTTATGGGACAAGCAACGTTGACGTGGACGACACAGCTGAGATAGATATCGATGAGTTGGGACAAATCACAGCATATGATGAGGTTACCGGAGAATCTCTTGACGGGGATGCGTACTATGGCTGGTCCCGTTCCTTTTGCCAAAAAATGAAGCAAAAAAGAGGCGCGAAGGATGAGAGTAGAAGCCCGAGTCGAAGTCGGAGCCGAAGTTACAGCCCTCCCAAGAGGCGACGACATAGTGACAGCAGAAGCGCAGGCGATCAGAGACGTTCCTGGTCCCGTGATTCGCTTGATTCTGGGGGATATCGGAACCGCGGTCGATCTTCGCGATCTCTATCACGTTCACAGTCACCTCCACGACGGAGGCGACGCTCTCATTCTAGATCAAGATCATACTCTCCACCACCAGCCCCTCAGCGGCCATCCTCGCCTCCATCCCAGCGGAAATCAGCACTGGCCGGCGTGCCACCGCCACCACCCCCTTCTATACAAGCCCCGTTCAATTCACCACACCATTATCATCCTTCGCCGCAACAAAGTGGATCCCCTCAGCCTAGCATGTTTGTTCCACCCCCGAGACCCCCAAATTATCACGGTCCATGGCCCCCACCTCCCCCACCTCCTCCAATTCCAAATCAGCACGGTTTTCCTGGTTCTAGCGCATCCCCCCAGGCTATGAATATGAACGTGAATATTCCCGGGTATGGTCAACCACCTTTTATGCCTCCTATGCCCGGCACGCCATTTGTACCACCCCCACCTCCTCCGGGCCATGCGCAACAAGGCCAGGCCCCACATCCAGGACAAGATCAACACGGTATGTTCCAATATCCTCCAACGCATCCCGGGCACTCGACTAGTCAAAACTATCGTCGAGATGGTGGACCAGGCGGTGGATGGAGAGGTGGAGGATGGTCTCGAGGAGGCTGGTCGTGATTTCCCTTCAGTTGACTTGATCAAGCAAATTGTTTATCTGGAAATAGGTACAAACCGAATACCAGTCATACTCGATCAATATCCATGTATATACGCTTAGGCAGCAAAGGTGTGAATCGATGTCTAAGTTGAAAGGCAATATATTTCGCTACAAATGGGCGAAAGCCTTGCTAGCGATGCTAAAGTTGTAGCAATAGAGCAACTTAGCTAAATAACACCTAGCTATCAGCGTAGCGGGTGCTATCTACATTGCTAAGATACAAACGGAGCAGTTTCTCTTTGATCATAAAAGCTTGCTAGACACAACTGGTGGGAAGTAAGACTAAAATCCATGTACTGCAAAGTGTGGGCATGGAAATATAGAGAAGGAGCTTTAAGAATGTGAATTTTTAAACCGAGTGGAGAGGGGTCCTGAAAACACATATGAACATATAAAAAGGATTTCATCCTTTTGCTTCTCGGTGTATAACAAACAGCTAAGGAGCAAGAGGTCCTGTCATTTAGTAAAAATACTAGTGTCATCCAATTTCTGAGCTCTTTCATTTTGCAAGGGTGAAATCTCAATATTCACAAGCTATAGGAGTACGATTGTGTAGTATAAATAAAATAAGGAAGTAAGCTAGCCTTGGTTTTGGATAATACAGAGCTAAAAGAGAATTATCAGCCAAGACAGCAAGCTCCTCTCTTAATCATGCTGAGTGACACAGCTGCGGATGCTTACATTGCGGGTAGGGAGTATGTATGGCTCTTGGCAACGTGCTCTACAGAGTAGTCTGCACAAAAGCAGGTTATTCATTGAGAGGCTGAGAATGAGGAAACAAGCGTTCGAAAGAAGAGAGTCAAATCAAATCAACAGATTTCAGTGCCGGCACTTCATATAGAACCATCAAAAAGCATAGAATGTTATGTATTACAGGTTCTCTGAAGTTGGTCATGTTCCTGCTGATTGCACCCGTTTGGCTGTCCCATGGGCGACGCGCCATCTGGATTATTATTATTCTCGTGTGGCGAATGATGGTTTTCTTTGATGCTTGTTGGTTCAGGGCTCGTTGGAAGAGCATCAATTTGTCGTTGAGTATGCTGATGCATCACCTTCGCGTACGAAGCCAGCGGCGATTGAGAATTTGTTGAGTTAGGTGGCATGACCTCTGGAGAGCGTGGCTCTGGCCTAACAAATTGCAAATTCGAATAAGTATGCAGCACCAATGTTGTTCATATTGAAGTGACCGATAATTTAGAAAAAAAAAAAAAAGAAAAAAAAGAAAAGAAAAGTTGAAAGAACAATATACCGTGACTGGGTGTGTATGCTGTTCTGAGACCATGAAGGTTCATTCATGGTGTATTGCGTTTCGGTATATTCTAACCTCATAATTTCGAGCTGAAAGGAACTCACGACTTTAAACTGGAGACTCAGTAAAGGAAATAGTATGGAATATTGATCACAATCAAGTGCTTATATCATAACACCCGCCAAATTTCCATATAAATATAGTGCATGAAACAGGATAAGCCCCGTAACCTCCAAAAGGAGCTGTAGATACAGGGTATGCACATAGATTATGTACCCCGATGCACGTAATGAGCTAGCAACTGACAATGATATGATTCCTAACGCCGAACGATCACCTTCTGGAGGACTGGTGGTTTAAGCACGGGAGAGCGCAACACGGTGTTGCAGGGGAACAAGGACAATGATATCATGCCTTCTGTCAGAATGCGGAGGCCCTTAGCGCGTATGAAAGGGGTCAAGACTAGTAAAGATTCACTGATTTCACTGATGGCTGTAAAAACCTTGTTTTCCATCTGGGGCTTGATATCACCCACAGGAACCAAGCCCCCTTCTCCGTAATATGCGGTGGACTTTGAAACAGGCGAATGAGCTCTAGAATTAAATTTAAATTCCAGTGGGAACCACATCCTCAAATGTAGCCTCTTTCTGCTCCGGCGTCTCTCTCAAGAGTATGGCGTCACCCCACCGGCCACATGACCAATGATTTCACAGTTTGATAGCCGTAAATTGGCAAATGACAGAATTCGGATATCGATGGCCTAAAACCGCTGCTATATTGCCCGTGGCAACAGCGGCTGATCAACTTTGATTGCAACCTTCTATGAGGGCTTCGATGAAGCTGGAGGGAGATGCATCATCACCACCCCTGTTAACAGTCAAACCCCATTGCATCGAGTAGATTTTTTTTTTTTTCGACTATAGTTTCACAGTCAATATCTTGGTAATCTCGATAGAACCAGAGCATTCACCGTGTCCAGGCGGCATGTTGCAGTGACGAGCTCCTTTTGGGTGGGGGGTGACCAACTATTAATCGCGCGTTGCATGTAAAAACGCCAAGAACGGGACTTGAACAGGCCATCGACGAAGTAGACCTGGAACGCGACAATGGAACTCGACTCAGCAACATCGCTGTCTCCTTGCCTGCCTTGACGCGAGTTGTCGCAAGTGACAATATGACGTCATGGGGTACATGTCACATGATACGCTGGCACGCACCAGCCAGGAGGGAACGGAACGGAACGAGTATCCAGCAAGCCGAAGCAAGATGGCAGACATGTCTGTGGTAAGGATGGGGACTCGAGTGAGCTCAGTCGCGAGAACCTGTGAAGCCACGCGTGGTCAGAAATATGGACTTGAACATAGCGGACAATGCACATGGAATGGTGGACAACTCCCATCCAGCAAAGGAGATGCTAGGCCATTCAGAATCGGATGGATCGATCTATTTGTGCCGTGGTTTAAAACCCAGAGAAGCACCGACAATGGTGAGATGCTGGAATAACGAAGTATATGTGCTGTACCCAGTTCTATCATCACACATAAAAGCCGCCATAAAGCTAAAAGAACAAATCTGAAGAGACCACAAGTGTCAAGGCCAAAGAACATGGATAGCTTCGCAAAACGATCATTATTGCCATTAAAACCGGATATCACCACAAAACCATTACACATAGCCTAATTACCCAAGAGTCAGGTTAGTGTATCATCATGGGCAAATATTGGATAAAGCGACAACAGAATGAGACGGGTTTAGATTCGTACCTTTCCGTGCACCCTGGAAGAAGAACCTGACAATAAACACCTGCAACCCAGACATTGTAACCATCATCAAACCTTCAATTACGCTAAAGTTGAAAATCCGCTGCTCTGTGCTCCGGACTGTGCTGAAGTTTCGGTTCTCACGGGTGCGGAAGTATTTCTGGTTTCGACTGATTGTTGAAAGTTGCCCGGAGAGTTTGAAGATCGAGTCCTCGAGTGCCGAGGCTTGTTCAGGGGAAGCGCCTGGTTTAGAGGGGAGTTGGGCTCTTTGTTCGTTCTCGACCTAAATCGGGGAAAGCAGCAACATTAGTGCATTTGCCATCAACAAAGATATTTGAAATTGTCCGTCAAGCTTGCATTGGGATAACGGGGACGCCTAGGAACGGAAAGCATGGACTCACCGCAACCTCAAAATCGACCATCTTCTCCGCAAATGTAGACATCCCGTTATTAAAACAAAATCTGTACTCTCCTACACTTTGCGCCGTGAAAACAAAGTCCCCTTGTCGTTCCTTTTGGCCTTCCATAATAACCTTCTCTCCGGGACCAACCACCGAATAGTCAATATCGAAGGAGCCGCCAGATTGGACCTAGGAAAGCGGGTAGGAGAACCGCGTCAGCAACGAAAACTACCACAATACGCCCAATAATGGCACATACAGCAAAGTAGAATGCGATTTTGGCCGGTGGCGAGTCGACCCATTTATAGAAGCAAGCTTGCTCGCTGGCATCAAGCTTGTACGTCAGCGCCGTTGCAGAAACAGACGACACAATATAGGCCAGGAGGCCTAATACAAGGGTAAATAACCGCATTGCCGATATGCTTCGATTGATTGCACTCCTGACGCTCTCTCACCGTGGCCTTTCGGGTTGATTTTTGGTGCACAGGGGAGTTGTAAATCACGATGTGGCAGCTGCGTTAGGACTTGGCATGTTTGCGTTGTTTGCGGACGCAATTGTTGAAAACTAAAAAGGGGGAAGCAACAACCTCCCAAGTTCCACTGAGCATCGAAATGCGGCTTGGAACTTGGGCGCAATGGTAGAAGCAACTCTACTGATATTGCGCCCCATTTTGGAGATGTTGCGGGCTGTGAGAGAGTGCAAATGTTTGTGTCTGGTCAGCGCTGTTTGCGTAAATTCAGCAAAACAGATGACCATTGTTTTTTTTGGAACTGCACTTTCATCTCTCCTGTTTAAGTAGGAATTCATTTAAAATGGTTGCAAGAGGAAAGCCGCAAGGCATCTAGGTCTAAACGAACTGGCTTCGAATGTGGATAGCGACATTTTCGTATGCCACTTCGGAATTCATAGGCATTTCTCATGGATGATTTTAGTACTTCCATCATGGCTGCAAATAATAGTCGCCAGGGAAACTTTCAACCCAAATCCATCATCCACCCAACCAAATGCTCGCCCCAATCAAAAACTCCGTATGGAATAGCACAAATGACTGCAAAAGAAACCAAAGACAGAATCACAGGTGAAGGAAAAGGTAGCCTTGAACAAAGTTTGGAAAGTCTATCGGATGAAGAAGCTCTCGCTCCGGCCCCAGAAATTCCGATTTTTATTTACGTGGTCAAGACCGAGTTGCTGCTCGGAATCGGTCGTAAGGTCGGCAAGTATATGGTCTATAGAATCAATATATTAGCGTTTGCTGCATTGTAGTAGATTTCACAACCTACCATCTTCAAGGTACAACGGTTTTGAATACGGAGTGCGGGATACGAGGGCGAACTTAATCCTTTCAAACTGCTTGCCCTTGATACCCGTCCGCTTTGATAACCGTTCTTTGGTGTCCTTGAATTTCTCCCCCTAAGCAGCAAAGATAAGCGGGTGCCCAAAAGCTCGTAAGATAGTAAGAGAGCAACAAAGGAACACATACCGGCTTAACCACAAATTTGAACGGACAGCCATATGCCTTCTGTGGCTCCTTATCAAAATTGAATGCATTAATCCTAAATTCACCTTCTTGCATGTTCAGTTCGTCCTCTGGTATTCTCTCGGCGAACACGGTAACATAATCAGTGATACCAGCCACGCTATACGTGTCGTAAAGCTCTTTGTAAATCTTGCCTGAGTAAGCTTCGTAGAGTCGCACGTTCCGTATGGTCTCATCGTCAATATTCGCTTTCTTTTGTAAACTTTCAATCACATCGGAAACGACGCCATTCTTGGCGACAAGGACTTCATGTATTTGCTAGTGAAATGTTAGTATGTAAGGATAAACGACGGGCTCAAACGCGCGAAGTATCGTACCTCTTTAGCGATTCCTTCAGATAGCCAGGTGATTTTAATATTCTTCTTCATCTCGAACTCGCTCAGACTGGTTTCTAAGATTTCGTAGTAAAGCACATCGGAGCGATGAGAATAGCCAGTACCTGGGTATGGACTTGTGAGCATTTGCCCGAGATTCTGTGCAACATTTCGTTTGATGAAAGGCTTTGGCGCTCCACTGCTTATAATAACAGGCGCAAATCGTAGATGAGTTGGTTCAACTTTCAAATGCTCGCCGACCTTTGTTGAGAATTGTTCATATGTCATCTTTTTACTGAGTGTCAATGTAAATGTTTGTTCAGGATTAGGCTCAATCGGTGCAAATGTGACGAGGATACGGTTCAAGAGGAAATCATAATATTGTTGAACGTTGCGGTATATCACGGTGGGCGGCAGCCTATTTCTTAATGTTAAATTTTCAGGATACCAAAGCAGGAAGAAATTGATTTTGGGGATGTGGGGGTGACCGTTACGTACTCTGACTCTGGGATTGATCGCTGGAAGCAGATAATGTCGCCATCCTGAATCTCAGACTGATGAAATGTGTGCTTTGGTTTCATCGGATCAATCATTGAATGTCTGATTTCCTATTTAGAGGATTAGCCATGGTTTGAAAATTGATGCCACAGATGTGCTCATACCTCGTATAACAAGAAAGATGTTCCAGGTGCCCAGTTCATCAGTTCAAGGATTGTGCCACTGATTTCGGACACCTTCGCATGCTTCCTAACAAAAACATGCTTGACTCCCGTCAATGTCTGAGCGTGGACATCAAAATACTTCAAGAAAATAAGAGTATGGGCATTGGGTCCTCGGGAATCCGGCCAAGAAACTTTCCCGTCGACTCCAGGTTCGCCTATCTCCAGCCAGAGTCGAAAAGGGTTGTTTTTAGTTCCAAATTCATTGAACGCTTGCTCCATGGACATTTCCATATCTCTTAAATGTTGATCTGGGCGTGTGGTTTTATTTTGGCGATTAACCATAACCCAAAGCCGTACCTGCTCCGGAGCTACCTCCCTTTCTTCAGCGACCTGCTTCGCAAATTCCCCAACTTTAGTAGCACGTAAAATCCGGTATGCCTTCGGAGCGGCAGGATCGTTAGGGTCTAGGTCAGGACTCGTGAGGTCAAAGCTATGGTGATGCTTGAAGGATTCATCTGATATTAAGCTGACGTTCATATAAAGATGTTGTTCCTCGCGCTCCTTTTTCCGTCTCGCAAGCTCGGCCCGTTCCTCAGCAATCTTCTTTTCTACTCGAATTGTCAGAGTTTATAGTTAAAAAGGAAAATATGGTGTTCCTACCAATGTGACAAGGAACGTCATTTTTCATTACTTCCACGAGGATATCGTCCACCCGCGATTTGCGAAGATATACCAACATGTATGCATTCATTGATCGCTTTGTGGAGTATCCCCGGGCAAAATGAGCTTGACGCATTCCAGCGTTGCCGTTGGGGAGAGTTATCCAATCTCCACCAAAGTTCTCCTCCAAGGTCTGTTTCATAGTAGCCCTAACAACTCTGTCGTCATCAAATCGGTAAAAGTAGCCGTCTTTCGTCGGTCTCAAAAACGCGTAATAATGGCCGGCATTTAACTCCCCAGTGTGAACCAGGACACCGTAGAGTTGATATACCCAAGGTTCCGACCTATCCGCATTTTCAGAAAGGTAAGGGGAAGCATCAAATTCCTCTGGGAATTCATGCCGATCATTAATCTTCATCATCGCGTCACGGTGGATGTCGTACTCAAATCGCTTCAGGTGGAGATGTAAGACGGGTGGGAAACTTTCAAATATAACACCTTTCTTCGCGTCCTGTAATCCATAGGGGTCACCGGCATCATACTTGTTCTCCCCTTCAAGCGTTTCCACCTGGATGTAATCTTTGAAACTGTCATCGAGAGTCTTGTTGCCTCGGACATTAAGTTGGATATCCCAAAAGTCCTCTATTCGTGAAGATTCATAATCAACGTTTATGCAAGAAATGTAGGTCTTCGTCTTTCCAACGAAAAGGTCGTGGAGGGCCTTTTCTACGGGAGTGCCTTTCATCTTCTCCTCCAAGCGTTCCATCAGCTTTCGGCACAATTCTTGCACATCTTGCTGCTCAAAAATCTGTTTCGACTCCCATCCAAAGGAAGAAGTAAGCTCTTGTGTCGATACCGGATTGTCACTCGTCTGGAGGGAATAGAACAATCGCTGTAAAGTCCAGGCGCTATTTGAGATTTTGGAATCTTCTTCAGTGGGGATTTGATAAACGGCCTAAGATTCCCTATGTCAACTTATCACCAGCAAAGCTCATCCCTTGAGTGGACTTTACCTTTCGGAAGGAGTTGGTGAAATAGAGAGACTGTAGGAGGGAGTTCAAATAACATGTGGCACCCTGATTTTTGAGGCCGACCATGCCGGTTTCCTTCTTGGAATCATAGCTATACTCTCATTAGCACCGGCTAAGGGGAAAGGGGGATCTTTTTTCTTAACTAACTCTTTGAAACTGTGCCACAGAACTCCTGTGGGATCCTTTACAACTCGCATATACACTGTAAGGCAAGCCTCCTCATTCTCTATCAACGGAGAACCATTCTCATCAAACGGGCCATGGAACAGCTTGCGAAGCTCACAAAATCGTGTGAACCCCCAATCTCCATCACTGGCGTTAAATCGGTGCGTAGCAACTATTTACAGGTTAGCACATGCGATTGATCAGTGAGGGTATGGGGACATACCGTGCGAAACGTAAATGGAAGGATTATTCTTGCTCCACAAGACGAGGGCGAACTGGACACACCGGGACCAGCCTTCAGGGGGCGCCTCTTCGTAACCGTGTTCGAGGTAAAACGACGCATATTCCGTCACCTGATTCCCAAACGGGAAAAAAAGGACTCTCCTACGCGATATTAGACAGGGTACACACGTCGCACTGAACAGAGCTCAAGCAACGCACCATGGTGACCCTCCACACTCGAAAATCGGCCCATGTTCTTTCCTTTCCATCCTCGTCCAGTTCTGGATATGCCATGTGTGATGCGTCTGTTCAAGAGTTTCCGTGTCGGGGAGTTCGGGAAGAACCCTTGTGATCATTGATTCATCTGTTGACACAATCCGGTTAGCCGTGTGGCCACCAGCTAAGCTGAAGACACGCCGCAGAATAGCGACAAACTGCGACATAGTAGCGAATGCCAGAGTCCTCCATGATCCCCAGCGGATCATCCGGAATTCCGTCATTGTCGGGGTGCTCAGCAGAAGAGGAGTTTTGGGGAAGAGAGAGGAGGAGCAGGAGGAGGGGAAGAAGAAGAAGGGGGGGGTTCATACAATCATCGGCGAGGGGGAATTCAGGTTCAGGCTCACTCGGCGAGCCTGATGGCGAAACAAGAACGACATCATCGGTGTGGTCATTACTGTACTGGTCAAACTCATCAACCACCATACCACTCTCCTCCAGCTGGTTGGTAACAAAGAGATTGGCAATGGTCAGCAAGAGCAAACTGTGCAACTCATGAAACTGGGTTCTAGAAGACTCACATTGTCCATGGGAAAAGGCTATGGTGTTCCAGAACTGTGCTTGATCCTGGAGTGAGCGCGCGAGTTGTGATAAGGGCAGGGTGTACAAAATGCTCATCAAAGAGTCCTGAGCGAGCACGATGTGGGTTGGTGCAGGGTTCTATGAGTGGGAAAATCGTTGTGGGCAGCAGTGCCTGGAGTAGGATGTCGGGCTGCCTTTGTCTGCGAGTGAGCTGGCAGATAAATAGAGCAGGGCAGGCTTTCAATGAAGGCAAAGACTCTGTTGAAGGGAAAGAAGCTGGAAATTTGCAGAATCACTCGCCGACCAATTCAATGTCATCTTCCTCACGTAATCTGCACTTCCAGATGACCCCGCTTGTGCACACGCGCTTGGCTCGGGGAAGCGCACAGCGGCATATGCTATGGAGAGCTTGCTACCACGCACTCCAGCCCGTATTTGCACATTCACCCATCGCGCCGTTCACTCCAGTTCAGTTCACATGTGAAGGCCCATGCCATTTGTGTGCCTTTTGCAGCAGAACCAGCTAGCCTGCCAGCATGGCTCTCTGCCATTCAGGGGCTTTACATGCAGTTCAATGCACAAAGGATAATTGGTTCTACAGAGCAGCTACAAATTAGCGGGGAGGCATGCTGGGGGCTCTTTTGCATGCACCATTTGCCGGAAACCATCGGACATGACACCCTTTGTAAGATTGAAAAGGAGACGAGCGCAGTACGGAGTAGGTAGATGTGAGTATTGTCTTATAGCTTTCGAGGGTGCAAGGCACAGTCCTCACGCTCCACGGCTCTCTTGCAACAGCTCTCAGCTGAGATATGGATAAGGCTGGTTGGAGTCACAGTTAACTGCAGAGCAGGAAGCAGATCAAGACTCTGTCCTGTACGGAGTACTCGGTACAGAGTAACCTATGAACTACGAGCCGTCCATTGGAAAAAGCAATTTTCGTCGCTGTGGTGGACATTTAGCTAGACAGGGGTCGGTTAGATCCCGCTCTCAGCCTGTAGCAAGCTTGCGGATAGGGCAAGGGGCATCCATGGAAAGAGACAGCTCTTCAAAAGAAAACCATTCACTCCTCTGTACTCTGTACTTTGTATTTTCTACTCCGTACTCTGTTTACGAATATTCCAAGAGGTGGCGCGGTTAGCTTGCAGCCATCAATTCTCTTCCCGCAAAGTGACGATCATGCTGAGGGGCCCAATTCTAGACCGTCGGCTGGAGTGGCAAGTTTCACCACACAGAATGACAACATGGTAACCAGTTTTCACGCCCTGTCGGCAAACAACATTTCACCCACAACAATAATCTGATGCTGTGAGGATGCTCCTGGCTTGACTATGATGCGCAATAGTCCTCCTTTCCAAGTCTGTCTTGCCTTTTTGCCTGGGATCTGTGTAACTACATGCGTGAATGGCAGCGCAGCATGTTCCACAGCAAACATGGTCGGTGCTGGCAAAGCATCCAGATGAGATGCCACCAGCCTGTGAGCCATTATTCCCTCGAAGCGACCAAGGCTCCACCCTGGCGACCAGGCTTAGCGCTTGATGAGTACGTCTACCCACAATGTCATCTCCTGGTGTGTGCCCACAGACGCTGACAATCGCCGCAGATGGGTGGAACGAGACGTCAGGCCCATCAGCCTTCGCCAATTGACCTTCTTCGGTCGCACTTTAACCGAACACCGATTAATCAGTTCCGCAAACTATGTGCGCACGGAGCTTCCCACAAGACTGGCACATCGCCTTCGAGACATGCAAAGACTTCCTTATGTCGTCGTCACTAACCCGCATCTCTCCCATGTCTATGAGCTATACTACAAGGCTTTCGAACGCTTTCGCACTATTCCGGAAATCCGATCACTGGAAGATAATGACCGGTACTGTGATATGCTCCGGAGGACGCTCAAGGAACATTTGACCGTAATTCCAAACCTTGCCATGGGCGTGATCGAATGTCAAGATTTGGTGAAGGCGAATCATATGGACCACTTTATGAATACAATGCTGCGGGCGGTATGATCAGCGAAGTTCCATTCACTCCAAATTAGGCTTTGCTGACATGGTTGGACACAGAGAATTTCTCGTCGGGTCATTGCCGAACAACATCTCGCGCTTACTGAAACGTTTAACTCGCCATGGCATTTTCCGGAATCGAAATCGCGAGCCGATCTGAACGCCGATTTTGTTGGAGAAGTGTTTTTAAAGTGTAATGCAAAGGACGTGGTAAAACGGTGCGGTAAACTGGCACAAGACCTCCTGAGGCCGACACTTGAGCCCGGCCAAAAGATACCTGAAATTAGGGTGCAGGGACACCTGGGAGCAACGTTCCCTTATATCCTCGGACATTTGGAATACATAATTGGAGAAATACTTCGAAATTCGATCCAAGCGGTAACCGAGAGATATAAAAACTGCGCCGGAGATTCACCCCCGATTGATGTCCTAATCTGCGAAGCCCCCCAGCACGTCATAATTCGTGTCTCTGACCAAGGAGGAGGGATCCCACGAGATATTTTGCCGTATCTCTGGTCATTCTGCAAAGGTCCCCGGACACAAACACGCCTTCAGAACTTAGGCAAAGTGCCAACTCTCGCGGCAACGATGCAGGAGCTTAAGGTCTCGAACTTTTCGCAGCCTGATATTAAGGCAGACGCTGCAAACCCAGCGAATAGACACTCTCATCATCAAAGTTCTCTTGCATCCCTTAGTTCGAGGCCTCCCAACTTACGCCTAGGCATGGGTTTACCGATGAGCCGCGTTTACGCCGAATATTGGGCTGGAAGCTTGGAGGTCCACAGCTTGGAAGGTTACGGAGTCGACGCGTTTCTTCAAATCTCGAGACTGGGAAACAAGAACGAGCAAGTAACAGCGAGAGCTTCGATAGACGCCGTCTAGTATCTTCCGGACTTAAAACGAAAATCTTAGTTGCAACCCTGATACCCTCGCGCCGATCTCCACCTCGAACATACCTACCTACGAATACCCGATCCATCGAAACAAAAGGCTATAATTGTCTATTTATCGCATCTGACTCCGATCAGACATTCATGCAGCAGGTCGCTTATATGGTTGAGCTTTGTAGCTACTCTTCTTGGGGACATAAACATAGAGGAATGTGAAACAATATCAGCTTCTGGTCATACCTTGCTTCCAGGGCCGTCATGCGTCAAGTTTGCATAGCCAAAGGCAAGCCGCAGACTTACTTTTTTCCGTTCCACGATCAAAATATGCAGCCAAAACCCGTATTGAACCCTCGTTCTCTTTCACCCGACCCTCCATGCATACTTTGTTGGATTGATACAAGGGACATAGATGAAACAGCACTGCCCAAAAAGTCCAATATTTTCATATGAACTGCGCTCCTTGGCTGTGCCTACTTTCCGGCTTCCACGCCCTGTGGCGCCTTCCTTGCCCTGGAGAAGCAATGGTCCAGCATACCGATCTTTCACCTGCTCATCCACCAAAGCTCCTCTGCACAATATGATAGATCAACTCAAGCACTATGTACCCGGAACTTCTACCTAAACCTAGCCGGGACGCGAATATGGCCGCGGCAAGAGTTGTTGCCCATGCACCGGATTCCACAACTCGGCATCGGCACGTTAGTGTTCCCTGACTCCTCTTGCGCTTCCGGAACCGCCATGTTCATAAACTAATATCCATTCTGTATGCTGGTATGGATATAGGCAAATACCAACGCTAGCAGTCAGGCTGAGCAGAGGTCATTTTCCTTTGTTGGAAATTCGTTTCCGCGTGTGCAAACAGGGGCGGATATGTACCTGGAAAGGCCTTTCCACAAAACAGGCGGAGGGAGGAGATATGCTTCATGCAGAAGCTTTTCCGAGAATCTCTCGAAGACCTGTTGTTTTCAAAGCTTTGCTACTTGGACAATTACGTCGACCAAGAGGCGGTACACTGTTTAGAAGGGCCCAAGATGTACGAGTTCGCCCTCAGCCTGCCAGATATAGTGTTGTTTACCGAACATAATTATAGACAGCAACAGCGTTGTTGCCGCTGGTCGGCCTCGAAGGAAAACCTTCACATTGCACTCAGCAACCTCATCCAGCTCCAGGATTGTTTTATGTGGAAAGGTCCTGGTCCCGGAGATCTCCAGTTTGGCGTACAATTCAACGCCACTCGCCGGCCAGGTGCCATTCCTGTGGAAGTTGCATGGCATCCTGACTATATTTCTTTCCAACCGTTCTCCAATCCGGTCCTCGAGGGAGAACCTTTTCGCTTGGTTCCGGCATACAGGGCTATATCTCGTGATTTGTCGATGCTTGAGACTGTCAGGCGCCATACAATCCAATTTTCGACACCTTTCAACTAGCTGGAATAATTCTGTCTCGGGATTCCAAGGCGTGGTTCCCTTCCTTTCTGACGCTGCAGAGCGCAACTTACAACCTGAGACGGCTGTCCAGCCAGGTGCAGGAGGTGAAGACGTTACTTTCTACACGGCTCAGTTCATTGTGACGGGTATCTATAAACAATATTTTGACTCCAAAACATACTTTGAATAGACCGTCAGATCAAAGGTTTCGATCAAGATTAAAAAAAGGCGGCGACCCTTGAGCTAGCACCACGCCGGTTTCGTCTAGCGAAGCTTTTATTCCAGGGCTAGAACCGGATTCTGCCAGATGCCAGCTAGGCCAAAGAACAGATAGACAAACACGTAGAGTGGCGTTTGCTAATTGGAGGCCTTCTGCATCACGGTAATTGGGTATTGGCCATACATTCTTGTGGCGGCCGATGTGGGTGTTTTTAAGCCTCGTGAATTACTGATCCGGTTTCTATTTTGTTTGGTTTGGTCTTCATTCGCGAGGAAATCTGATTCATCGAAGTCTCGGGTTCTATTATTCTCAGTGATATATGTACCGTACTCGAGGGCTGCTGAATTATAAGGATGCTTCTCGAAGGTTAATCCGGGAAGTATACGGACGGAAAATTGGAGAAACGGTGCTTTTATACATCATGAGTGCTCGAAGGGGAATGATACTTCTCTTCTCTATATCTTGACAGTGTAAACTATATCTCTCGATTGTCTTTCTCCAGATTTCTCTCCTACAAGTAGGGCCCTGGTGTTTCTAGAGCACCGTGGGACATTGACAACTGACCATAATGGGACGCATACACCGAGTACATACATACCTACAACCCTCTATACATATGCATCCTAGACGGATGCTCTCGCACGCCGGGCAAGTTAATGTCGCCCAGCACTCATCCCGCGTGAGATCCAGCTTCCTCGTCCTGAGCGGTGGTTTCCCCTTTATCAACGGCATCAAATGGCAGCAAGCTCGATTGGCGCTCGATTGATGGCCACCGCCACCCAGATACATACAACTTTCTTCTTTTTGCCACCACACATCGGCATTGACGATCTCGTTTGCTAGAGTTCACTGCTCCGCGTGGACCTATCTTTTTTACCTTGTTGTATTGCTTATTCCGTAAAGGGCACTGTAACATAGGCAATTATCAGTTAACTACTCGTCTGAAACCTCAGCTTCCATTTATCTCTCTAGGACGGAGACCAAAATGTCTGAAACGTGCGCTGCTGTGATCCTGATCGTCGTGACCTTGTTCTGTAAGCGGTTCACGATCCCCCTGAGATAAAGGAGAGTGAAATGCTCTGTATGTCAGTTAGCGGGTTAACATATCCGGATTTGGTCCTCGTTAGTACCGCCTCTCGGAGTGTTTTTTATCAGCGGCTGCTCAGCAGACTTTTTGATCAATATTCTTCTGACATTGCTCGGGTAAGACCTTACATTGGTCACTGTGTACTTGCTGGGCTTGATTCTGATGATTGGCCAACGCCAGCTACTTCCCGGGGCATATACACGCCTTTTACTGTGAATACGTCTACTACGATCGGCGCGCAAGAGGCCACGAAGGTCGTTCTGTTACCAGGCCAGCTCCAGGGATATTCTCAAGACGAATCCAGAACGGAGGCGTCGTTACGAGGGAATACATATATCCTCCCCCTCCAACTGCTCCGGCTATGGGGAGTTACCCTAATACGCCAATGCAGAATAAAGTTCGGCAGAACGCAAATGCGTCGACAGAGAGAGGTTAGAATTTCGACTCGAGAGGATTCCTATGTAGAACGGAATTCCACGCCCGTGATTTGCTCTACTAGTTACCTATTTATTCTCCTACTCTGGTTCGCTTCGTACATGTCTCGATTCACGCTGAACACGATTGTGTGGCGATGAGATCCCGCGTCACTGAGCTGAGAGGTTCGATTATGCTGCGCTTCTGACTACTTTCTCCTCGCAGAATATGCCGCTATCTTTATGTGTACGTCCTCGCGACGAGATCCCTACAACCGACGACACTATTGATATATCGCACTTGAGCCTCGTGGAGGGCTCGATGGACATTTATTCGAGCCAGTTATTCGTGCACCTAAATTTCTTCCATGCTTGAGCGGCTGTGTGGGCGAACACGGTATCCGGAGCGCCCTGGTAAACTTCAGTTCTATCTCGTGTAGTCCCTTCCAATGTGTGCCGGGTTTTGTAAGTACAGTATACAGAGCCTTGAAAGGTCTTGACCCCTTACTGCGAATGTGAGTCCTTTGAAAACGATGAAAATTTTCGAAATATGCTGTCTTTCTATATCACAGCAAGTATGTAGCATTCAAAAGTGGATTATAAGCTGCCTAGCCTATGTAGACGTCGTCGCCTTTCCCATTAACTCTGGGAAGTCAAATGGTTTGCTTCTGCCTGCTCGCGGGCGCGGGATGAAAATTTGCCCAAAAATTCCAGCGAGGTTAACTTCAATATTCGTTGCCGCGCTCCATTGCAACGCTCCGATCCATGGCTGAACATTCCATCCTACTACTAGGGTGGCATTCTTCCGTTCCCCAATAACGCCCGAGATATCGGTAATCTGGTACTTTGGCCTCTGGTTACGAAGCTTAATTTTGCCGGGAATCTTATCTTCTTTTCTCTTGGTGTTGCTGCTATTGGCATTGGAGACGCGGCGCCTTTTGGAGCCGTTGGTGGAGAGATTGGGAAAGAAACGAGACTTCAGGGAGGAGAAAGAGTATGGGGATACGGGTGCGGGTATTATGGTGTCCCAGATTATGGATTCGGTAGTGGTAGTGATGTTCTTGGAGCGCTCGGAGGCGGATGATATCGTGGATGGGTAGGAGGCAAGGACATAGACGAATAGTTGTTTTGTGTTCCAGTTGAAGAGGGAGGAGAGATCTATGAAAAGTAAGATATCGGCTAGATCAAGACGGTGGCTTGAGGAGTATTCTAGGAAGGAAGAGCGGATTACCGGCGTCTAAATCGAATCTGATCTGAGCATATTCCTCTCGCTTGACGGAGTAATAGTGCGGGCGGCCCTTGACACTGTGGTCGGTGTTGTTTTGCACGTTAGTCCTCCCCCCGAAAACGACCGCTATTCTCGCGAAGTTTTGCTGTTCTTACACTTTTATGTTCGACAATTTGATGCTCGTCACCGGGTTAGCGGGGTGCAACACCACAGACAGCGACGTTAATATCCCCAACACTAGTGCAACTGTGGTGAAAAAGCCAAACACACCCTGAGCACGATTGAGCGCTGAATGCATCGTACCGAGCAGTTGACACGAGAACGGGGGAAGCCCAAGAAGTGAGAAAAAAAAAAAAAATAAAGCAGCACCTGCTCTTGAGGTTCTACTTCGAGGGAACTGCGCTGCGAAGATTGGTTCCGCTCGAAGGATGCTGGCGCGTTGCGGTCGATGGCAAATGTTGATGTTGGCCAGATCGATAAGATCAAATCAGCTCCACCAGTTGGCGTTGGTTCCGTGCAGCCTTGGCGTCCGCTCCGCCTGGTTTGGCGTCTGCCATTTGGAGGCTAAATCCGGGCGGGGAATATCACCGATCGCACAGCAACAGGGGTTCGCAAATTAAATTCATAATAATAGGCTATGAGGTAAATATAAATGCGGCCTATGTAACTGACAGACTGAAGATGCTAAAAAAAAATTCAAGTCACAATCCCACCTTACATCTCAATATGAAAACAGCATGCTCCGCGAATGCAAATAGAAATCCACCATGCATGTCGAACTCGAGTCTATCTTAAGATCCCCAGAACAATTCCACAATACGTACGGAGTATACCACTCACATGGGGCGAAATAAAACACAGCCGCACCCAACCTAGACATCGAAACAAGATAGAAAAGGAAAAAAAGGGACATTGCTTTAAGCTTTGTCGGTCATTCTCTAACAATTCTTCTTCGAACGTGTTAGTGGACTCGAAAGCAAATGCCTGCCTAATATACGCTCATTGCTTGCTCTATCAGTTTCTGTGTTTTCTTCTTCAGGAGGGGGAGTTCCAGGAACTTCAACCACGTCTTTGTACTGTCGAGTTTTGGGTTCGGGTGGTTTGGAAACCAACTCTTCAAGCTCATCGAGGAGAGAATCGGGGGAATCGGCCCGCTCTTGGACTGCAGAGAAAAGCAGGGCACTTGTTTTGCTTTTGTCTGCTTTTTCCTCACTTGATACAGATCTTTGCGTTAGAGTTGACAGTCGTGACTGATTGTTCGATGCTTTCACCTTGTCACTATCCGCAATGGATGGATTCAAAGGTCCTTCCGCTGGTAGCTTGGGGGAGACTTCGGCTGCTCTCAGTGGTGATGGTGTTGTACTTGATCCCACATCCTGCAGTTTTTTGTCCGGTCTATCAGAATCTGCGTCCACTAACAAGATGTTCAAAGGTTTATAGTCGACGAGTAGTGGGCCATCCCGTTTCTCACTCCTCTCCTCATCATAAAGCTGGTGTAAAAAGCTACGTAGACGACGACGAAGCACTCCGGATCTCAAATTCGGCCAGTCATCCTTCGAATCCATTTCTCTTTGAAGCAACTTTCTTACGAAAGTGTCGGGATCTTGCACGAATTTCTCAAGATATGCAAGAAGGTAAAGACCGCAATCAGAAAAGTTAGGCTGCAGCGGTATCTGTTGCGCTGTCATGCCTTTGATTTTCTTGCCATCAATATCGGTGAATCGCTTTGATTTCGCTTCTTCTTCGAGGTACTCCCGAAGCGCTCGAATGGTGGGAGATCGTGAACATCCTAGCGAGTCAAAAGTGATAATAATAGGCTGCTTCGGCTCATGTTTCGGCAATGAAGGTCGAGATTTATGGCCGCGCTTCTTTTTGTTTTTCGACTTATTCATTGTCCCGCCGGGGTTTCCATCCTCGTTTGGTGGTGGTACAGGAGCAATACCCGCTTGGTGCTTACTTGAGATGGACACTTGGTTTTCATCCTCTTCTGGCCATTCGTCTTTGTCGGTGTACTCGACTCCCTTAGGGGATTCTGGAGCGCTAGCCTGGGAGGACGAGTCTACAGATTTGTCTGATAAGGCCATTGTGCGAAGAGATGATGCAAGATTCTCATCCTTACCAATTTCAAATCCGTCACTGCCTGGGATATTGTTAGTGACTTCACGGTCTTCATTTAAACCGGGGTTGAAAGTAGACTGCTGGCCCTTCGCATTCGCTTTCCCGGTAGTCATGGTTTCCCCAGCATCACCTTGAATATCGGGGCTCGGCGTAAATAATGTCGGCAAGTTGCAAATAATCGCCATATACCAGTGAGCGCTTTCGTTTATCGGAACGACAACAAAATCTCGGCTGAATATATCTGCGGATCGCGTCCATTTTTCCACTCCCTGATAATTTATTCCTTTTTTCCCTCGGGGAGTGTTCGTTAGGCTTGCAAAGAAAAAAGAGTTAAAGAAATACGTCCGTTTCAGGATTTCTGGGCGTTGCCGCTCTAGATGATGCTCTAGGAAGCGAATGTATATCTCTATGAGATTGTCGTTTAGAAATTCACCAACTCTCAACCGCGCTAAATCGTGAGCTTCAACTTCTGCCCTCTTTTTGCCCACTTTAGGATACACAAGCGGCCTAGTTCAATTAATAATGTTCAGTTATTGATTTCAAGGTACTTACTTGCTCCACTTCTTTCCTTTGCCTCGATCCAGAGACGAGTCTGAGAGATTATCGTTATCACTACATGGAAAGTTAGAAAAATAAAGAAGATTAAAAATTTTCGGGGAAGTTAGGAGAACATACCTTTCAATATCTAAATGCTCTTGCCGCGTCTTCGAGCGTGTTGCATATACAGTGGGTAGTTTGCACGTTTTAACAGGAATTGGTATACCTTTGTTCGCTTGAGGGTGAGAGTGGCTAAGGCTATCAGCCGGTAGCACACGGGAAGTCTGTGTTTTCCGGATCGAAGCATCCTCAGACAGTTTCTTTTTTGTTGGCGCTGTAATCTCATTTACATTCCCATTTAAAAGGCCATCACTCAATTTCGTACGTTTGGGATTTGATGGTTGCAAATCTGCATCTTTGCTTTCTGGCAACGCCTCTATTGGGCTTTGGCTATTGAGAACGAAGCTTGGCCCACCAACCCTCTTAGTAGGAGTTGTGCGACTGAACACCTTGTTCATCCATTCACTAGGCCAGATTAGTTATTGTGTCTTCAATTATCCAGATGGAGGAAGATAGGCACCTTGTTTTGACATGCTCTTTGATATCAGGCACTAGTTTTTGAATGAGATCACAGAAGGAACGACAGTCTTTGCCGCTCAGAAATGTCATGTCCACGACATTGTCTGCATCCCCGGCCCTTGAGAGCTTGAGGCGCAACTTTGTAATGTCATCTTGAAAATCATGGTAAACTGATATTGCTTTCTTGATGTCGTACGATTTGAAAGGAGTGGAGGTTGAGGTTGTCTTCAAAAGTAGCCTGACTTCATCTTTATCAATCACACCCTGTAAGGGTCCGTCAACCACATCTGCCCCGCAACGGAATGAGTTGATACAAAAGGCCTTTTCATGCCCACTCCTCCTTTTAAGATCTTCTCGCCTGCGACTTTTAGGCATTGCCCAAAAATGGGTTGGACGGATGTTGCTCGGTGAAACCGTAGCCTTTCTTCGCCACGTATCCCTAACCGTTTTTTCACCCTGGAGTTCATCAGGACTTTCCCTTAGATCCAAATTGCGGGTCTCATCATTTGACTGATCAATGCTATCTCCAGCTCCTTGGCCGTAGACCGCGGTCTGTTTTGGGGTTTCTACAGCTCTCATTGCTGACCGCGTCCTCACACTTGATTTAGGCAGCAGCTCCGTCCTTGGATTTTGAACCGATGCGCGGCTGATACGCTCCATTCTCGCACCCTTGACAAATTCCTCTGCATCGAAATTTTTATAGCAATCGCCTAAACGATCATCCCGTTTCTTCCCAACTTCAGCTGAAGCGGTAGGAGGCTGTACGGCCTTTTCGGTCTGCCAGTATTCAAGTGTCGCCTGAATCGCTCTTTGTTTGGAACGTACGCAACTTCCAACGGGGGAGCGCGGGTTTAACGTAGAAGGAATAGTCAACGACGAGCTTGAATGTGCGATTTTCTCGTTGTCTGATTCAACAACGTTTGACATCTCCGTCTTTTGTTTCTTTCGAGGGCGAGCGCCGTCTTCGTTGTCGGATGAAACATCTGGTTCGGACTTGGGGTTAAAATACGGGCTGCGACTATCAATACTTTGTGGGCGAGACGTAGTTCTATTTGGGCGCACACTGAGGGTGTTGGTAGGTTTAAACGACGAGAAAGACTAGAAAACGACGGTGATGCACTGTAATCAGCAACATGTTAGAAAGGGAGCAGAAGGAAGAAGGATCACCGCACTTTCACTGTTAAAGTAGACTTTAGTTTGTTGGAACTCGATGTCCCAGGAATGGCTATTCTAACACTAGCTGGGTCGTTGCTAGAACACAAAATCAGTCAATTGAAGCCCCTCAGACAACAACGAATATGCGATAGATCATTTTTTTAGGGGAGCATACGAGTAGTCCCCGAGCAGCCTTCTCTCCTCTGCGAGTTCCTTCTTATCGCGGTCGCTAATAAGTCGACTATATTTCCGCATCATAAGACACCGTTCGTTCCCAATATGATGGTGCGGTTAGGGAAGTACCTGACACGTTTCCTGGTGCCAAACGGTAAGCCTCGTCTCTCTTGTGACTGTGAGGCACGGGACAATCCTGGCCTAAGGGCATCCTACATCAACAAATTACCGGGCAAGTTAGCACCTTAGCAAGCTTGGGACGGTTGAACGAGAGGGAGAGAAGGGTGGGATAGAAATCGCATACATTTAGCTCTCCAAACTGACTGAATCTGCGGCGGATATGGTTGTCTGAGCTGCTATCAGGTACACTGTCCTTCCCCACTTTCAACATCTGGACCTGCAACAAGGAGGGTTGTATGGATTCATGGGTATCATGTATGTGGTAAACCGAACGAAAGACGACTGTTGAGAGCTGGAAGACTGGAAGGTTACTAATGCTCAAATTGCCGGCAACACAGAGAAACAGTTCAACTAGTCTTGTGTATTTAGTGAAGTAGTCTGAAAAGGCATGGGTTTTAAAAGATGGCTTTTCTGGTTGAATTAAAGACCTTCTGTCGAATCAAATTAAAGGTGAAAGAGGTTAACTCATGAATTTGATGATTTCATCAGTCACGCACCTCGTGCGTACGCGCCACTTCTTAATGGACTTACACCTCGCGTTAGAAAAATCGAACA